ATTCTTTTCAAAATAAGTTTCTGCAAGAATAGTTTTCTCAGATTTCTTAGTAAACTGGATTGCATAATATAAAAAGTATGCTCTATAGTAAGTAAGAAATCTGTTTAGTATCTTTTGATTGCTATTATATATAATAAGCTTGTTTATCTTATATGCTTTTCTAGCATTGCTGATAATTACGAAAGTAAACTATGCCTGCTGAGCTTGCTAAGCTAGCTAAGCTTGCTAATTAGCAATAATAATGCTTTAAGCCTGCTGCTAATTATACAGATTCTGAATATGCTAAATAAGCTGATATATCTGATTAATTAGTTCTTTCTAAGTAGAAGCATGCAAGAATAAAGAGATTCCTTGAAAAGCTATTATATTCCGTATTGCTTAAGGGAATAATACTGAACTGTTTTTGAACAAGAATTATTAAAATATAATGAATACTATAGCAATCCGAAGATTTCAAAGTATATAAGAGATTTATGCTAACAAGAGCAGTATTAAAGTATTAAATTCTGAAATATAGAACTATATAAGATCTGATAAGCAATATAAGTATTTACTGCCTTTAGAGCTATTCAGTATATAAGACTGAATACTTAGATTAATAACTGAAGAGCTATATACTGAATCTATCTAATGATAATGAATGTATTCTTATATATTCAGCTCTTCAGTTCTAACTATTCTGACTATATTCTGATTTCTCATAGTTGTTCTTTAAATATGTTGATTATATCCATAGTTGACATAGTTGCGCTAGTAATCCTAATCCGAGTTATGTAATTCTGCTTGGTATTCAACGTTGGATTGTAATACCTGGTTTCTTTGTTGGTGGAGCTTATCCTGTGACCTGCATGTTGGATGAGTTATAACAGGCTGTTGTTGTGGTGGCTAGAGTGGTAGTTCGTGAGACATGGAGTACAGTGGGTCAAGGGTCCTCATACATATAAAGGATACCACTCACTTTTCAAATTCTTTAGCTATAAGCAACAAAAAAAAAAAAAAAAGCATCCTTTCTCTTCCTTTCAATTTTTGAACCCTTTGGACAGGTCTAAGACAGGTTTTTCACTCTGTTCTTGCGCCCGTGTGGCCTTAGTTTGCTGTCCTCATCTGTACAGGCACGCTTGGGTTGCATGAGCCCTTGTGTTATAACCCATCCAACATGCACTTCACAAAACAAGTTACGAGTAATAAGGATCAGATGTTATGATTCAACCTCGGATAACCAACAAGGATTATATCATCTAGAGTTAGAGTTACAGATTACAATCAATCAGAAAGAGATTAGAGCAGTTAATGATCAGTTCTTACAATCCAAGCAGTAAACTGTAACAATCAACCACCAACTCTTACAGTTCATACTAAGAAGCTGAATATATAAGAACACATTCATTACCATTAGATAGATCCAGTATATAGCTCTTTAATTATCAATCTAAGTATTCAATCTTCTATACTGAGTAGCTCTAAAAGCAATAAATACTTGCATTGCTTATCAGAACTTGTACAGTTCCGTATTTCAGAACTTAATATTTTGATACTGCTCTTATTAGCATAAATCTTTTATATACTTAGAAATCTTCGGATTATTATAATGCTTATTATATTTTAATAATTCTTGTTTAAGAATAGTTCAGTATTATTCTCTTGAGCAATATAGAATATAATAGCTTTTCTAGGAATCTCTTTGTTCTTATATGCTTCTATTTAGGAAGAACTAGTTAATTAGATATATTAGCTTATTTAGTATATTCAGAATCTGTACAAATAATAGCAAGTTTAAAGCGCTACTATTACTAACTAATAAGCTTAGCTAGCTTAATAAGCTTAGCAGATGCAGTTTATCTCTATAACTACTAGTAGTACTGGAAAAGTATATAAGATAAATAAGCTTACTATATATAATAGCAACTAAAAGATGCTATATAAATTTCTTATTCACTGCAAAGCATATTTCTTGCATTACAAGATTTAGTTTACTAAGAAATCTGAGAAAATTATTCTTGCAGAAACTTGTTTCGAAAAGAATGCTCTTATCTAATATAAGCTTTCTCTATATAATCACTTGAAGCATTAGAATAACTCCAATATATATATCTAGAATACTAAGAATATATTTAATTCTTTTAAAAGCTTTAAGAAAACTTTCAAGGAAATCTTTAGTAATTCCAATAAAGAATATATTATAGCTTAGCAGCTTATAAATCTCAAGCAGACTAAATTAGCTTCTGCTTATATAATTAGATTCGAGCAATTCTTAGTATAACTTCTATGAAAAGATAAGAATCTTATAGAGCATTATTATAAGAAATTCAAGAATAATATTAAAAATAAAATTTTCAAGTAGAATTAGCTAAAGAACTTTGCAATATTTTCTAATTAAGCTATCCGCATTAATAATTATCTGTATGAATAATAGATGGAGAAGTTTAAGAAGAAAGAAAGCTAGATTTGGAGATTTTTAGCTAATATAAGCAAGAAACTTCAAAACAAAAATAGCAGTTAATATAGCAGTATAGCTTAGAGCAGTATTATATATACTAGTTCTATAGAATTCAATATAGCTAATAAGCAGTATAGCAAGAAGAATAGTATTACTTGCTATAACTGCAATAAATAAGAATATATAGCATATAACTGCTATTAATCTCAGAAAAATAAATAGCAACTAATTCAGAAAGAATGCTAAATAAATATTGCTTAGCAATAGAAATTTAATTAATTAAGCAAAAATATTTCCTTAGAGCAAATATTGAATTCTATTAATTATAGAAGTCTTAGTTAGATATTCTGCTATAATAACAACTGCTTAATATATCTTTTAAGTAAGAAAGGTTTAGAATGATTTTCTTAGAAATCTAAGCGCTGCAGATAAATAGCAATAGCAGAACGAAAATGTATGCTTAGCACTTCTACAAGTAGCAATTCGAACTGCTCTGATATTGCAGAATAGAGCATTCAAGCATTGGAAGAAGAATTTAGCAATAATACTCTTTAATATTCTTTATTGCTTATGCTAAGCATTATAATCAGAGATATGAATAAGGAATAATACTCTCTTGATTATTGGTATAAATACTTAAACAATACTGAAAATGCTTCTCAAGTAATAGAAAGATTAAGCTAGAATGAACAATTCAATGATTTATTAGAATCTCTTATAAATAATAAATTCAAGAAATCTATAGAAAGATTTCTCTTTAGTATTGAGTAGAATAAGAAAATAATATAAATTGAATATTTTATCTATAGAATAGAACTAAAGAAGCTTTTTATCTGCATTTCCTTACAAAATATTAAGGCATAAGAAGATAAGAACTCTTGAATTAGCTTACTTTATAATCTATATTACAAATTAGCTTGAATTTCTTATATCTATTATAGCTGCAAAATACATTTCTCAAATAAAATACAATACAAATAATTCCTTATCAGAGAACTAGAACAAATTCTTTAAGCTATTAAAAAACAGAAACTCCGCTTTAGAAAAATTTTTAATAGATAGCATTACAATGCATATATCGAACTATCAAACAATTGCTTTATGCAATATATAAACAAGAAAATAAAATAGTAGCAGTGCAAAATAATACTTTGCATGATTTATATTAATAATAAGATTTGCAACTAGCATTAATAGAAGAAAGATTAGAAATAATAATGATATAAACAAAAGCAAGCTAAGAAGCTTGCTTAAAAAGTAGCGAAGCAAGCTTAGAAGAATAAGCAGTTCTTAATAGATTTAAAAGAATAGAATTGCTTATAAAGAAACTGCAGATAATCAGATTAGAATAATTTCTATATAAAGCTTTTAAAGTAGATTATATTTATATTAAGTTTAATATATATATTTAAGAATACAAGTATAATGCACTATTAAATAATAATACTTAGAGAAACTTTATATTCTTATATATTATTAATCAAGTATAATTATAATGGAAATGAAAGAGATGCTTATATACTCTCAGTATTATAGAAAAATAATCTATTGCATATAATCAAGAAGTAATTAACAAGAAGACTAATTATCTATTTATCTTAATTCAAGAATATATAATCAGAGTTTCTTTTAATATTATAAATGTAGCATAATATAAGCTAATTATAAGATTTCTATAGCTTAAAGAGTATAATTCTTGAATCAATTGAATTACTAGCTAGATTTTATAAGAATAAGCTGTATTCAGAGAGATAGTTGCAATTAATAATGCAGGATTGAAGCTAGTTATTAAAGAATACTTGGAAAAAGAAGCTTTAAACAACTTTATATATACTTTCAAATCAGCAGAGCTAGCAGTTCAAGGAGAAGAACCTAGTAATAAGCAAACTCAAATAGTGCTAGAGCGCTAACAGATTAGCAAAACAACAGAAGTGTAATGAGCACTGCAGCAATCCGAAGATTCCTAAGTATATGAAGGGGTTTATGCTAACAAGAGCGGTATCAAAATATCAAGTCCTTGAATATGGAACTGTACAAGTCCTAATAAGCAATGCAAGTATTTACTGCCTTTGAAGCTACTCAGTATATGAAACTGAATACTTAGATTAACAACTGAAGAGCTATATACTAAATCTATCTAATGATAATGAATATATTCTTATATATTCAGCTCTTCAGTTCTAACTATTCTGATTATATTTCGATTTCTTATAGTTATTTCCTAAATATATTAATTATATTCATAGCTAATATAATTGTACTAGTAATTCTAACTCAGATTATATAATTCTAATTAGTATTTGATATTAGATTATAATATCTAGTTTCTTAGTTAGTAGAGCTTATTCTGTAATCTGCATATTGAATGAATTATAATATCATCTTCCTTCTATCAGTTATTATTCTTAACAATCTTCTGTAAGTATTCTAGCAAGTTCTTTATATATATAATCTTGCTTTTCTGATTGAGATATTGAATAGAATCAACAAATCCTGTATTCACAAATTTTTTTTCATTCCAAAGAATATCCAAGATCGAGATCTCTTAGTTTCCTGCTTTTTGGAAAATTTTATCGAGATGCCTATCTGTTCTTATTGCAAGGATTGTGATTTCGGATTCTGCAAGATATCTTCCGGAGATTCTTCTCGTTATATCGAATGCATTCGACTGAGCTGCTCCAAGTGCAATATTCTGGGCTCTTTCTCTGAGAAGCTTTGCAATATTGCTACTTAATATTGAAAGTTGGAGAATGAGATTGAGAAGAGGAAGACTGAGCTTCTTTATCTGTGCTAATAGAAGCGGATGTAGTTTAAGAAGATGAAATGTGCTCTGTGCTGTAGCATTACTTGTATAGAGGAATTGGATTGTATAAAAGCTGAGAAAGCTAAGGCTGAGAAGGTGTATGTTGCTGCTAAAATGCAGGCTATAGTAGCAGAGGAATCTGCTGTTGTAGCTGGGGATTCTTTCTTTGAAAGTTTTGACTAGAATTCTGTAGATTTAGGAGGTTTTGTGATAGATTGGTTAAGCTTTCTGGAAAGTAAGGTTTTCGAGGCTTCTGAGTTTCAGTTCGGAATGGAGCGATCATCTTAAGTACTAGTTTCCTTCCTTTTCCAATATTCAGCTATTTTTTTCTAAGCATTCTTAATATTTTTCTGTGATTCTTATAAATTTTCGCTTATTGAGTAGCTTTTCCATTTGATGAGATATTCCTTCATATTGTTTATACTTCTATGCTTGAGAATCTTTTCCATCTCATACTCTGATTCGTTATTTTCTACTTCTGCTATATTATCCGCTAGTATTTCCTGTGCTGCTAGTTCCAGCAGTAAGATATGAAAAACTGAGTATATCTTTATTCTATAAGATAATGCTAACTTGTAATTAATCAGAGAAATTTGCTGCAAGATTTTGAATAATTTTAACTTCTTATAGTTAAGCTTATTGCTAAATCTGATTATTTTAATATTTTTCCGAAGTAGATAAACTTTATCTTCCTTCTATAGAATTAGTTTCTTAATTCTTTTGAAGTTTGCATATTGCATTATTTGTTCTTGAACGAATTGTAATTCTGATTAGAATTTCTTTTAAACTTTCTTAATCTTCTTAACTCTTTTATTTGCAGCTTCTGCATCTGCTCTCAGCAGTACTTTATAATAAGCTATTGAATTATATCTATAGAATATAAAGAATAATAACTTCTTTATTATACTTATATCTGCGCTATTATAAGCGAACTATATAAGGAGTAATAGATTAATCTAGTTATTCTATTTCTGATTGATATAATATTGAAGATACTGTTTAATAATCTGATTCATTCTTTCTATCTGTTTATTTGTTTGCAGATGAAATATTATGAATATTCTGTAGTATATTTCAAGCTGTTTTATAAGTAAAGTTTAAAATTTCGAGTTGAACTTTCTATCTCTGTTAGAGATTACTTCTTCTAGCATATTATAGTTAGCAATAATCATTCTGAGAAATGCATATATGAGTTCTTCTGCTATACTGCTTTTCTTATAGGGAAGAAAGTAAGCATATTTGCTCAGTTTGCAAATTACTATTAGAATGCTATTATATTGCATCTTAATTAAGAGTTTTCATAAGAGAAATAGCTTAATAATAAAGTTTAAACTGATGAATTGCTAAATAGTTATAAGTATTAATAAGGAGTATAGTAGTCTATAAAGCTTATATCTTTCTGCTTTATTCTTCTTGCAGCTATTGCATTGTTATAGGATATTTTCAATTCTTTTCCTAAAGCTTAGTAAATTCCAGTATCTTTTAATATATTCATAGATTGCTCTAATTCTCTGATATTCATATGCTAGTATACTGTATATATTCTTAATATAATTATCTTGTTCATCTGAAGTTATTGATTCTGAATTCTTTTCTGAGAATCCGATTCTGAGAGCAGCATTCAGTTCTCTGTATGCATTAACAAGATTTCCTGATTTATCTTGAGCGAAGATGTTCTGTATATTCGAAGAATCTGCATTCCGATAATCTGATTTTCTGCTAAGAGTATCTGCTTATTCGTTCTCCAAGCTTTTGCAATATACAATCTTGAAATTGAACTGTAAAAGAAATTCTGCTTATCTAACTTATTATTTATTCAAAATCTTAATTATTATAAATATAATCAGATTCTTATAATCTGAATAAACTATAATTGAATATTATGTGCTAATAAAGTAGTATTGCTACTCTTTGAAAATCTTTACTATTGCTATGAGTTCCTAATTAGGGATTCTGTAGTTGGTTTCCAAGCTATTCAACTTCTTTAAGAAGTTGCTTATAATTCTTAGATATTCTTGATTATCTTGCTAGCTAAGTTATTCTCCGAGTGCATATTCTAATACATTGATCTTAACTTCAAAGAGTTTATAAGAGTTTGCTTTGTATAGAACTAGCTCTGAAGTAATATACTTAATAATCTTATCAAAAGCTTCTTATGCCTTGGGAGTTTATTCGAAAAGCTGTTTCTTCTTAGTAAAATTTGTAAGAGAATGTGCAATTCAGCTGTAATTCCTAATAAACTGCTTATAGAAATTAATGTATTCAAGAAATAATCTAATATCTCTAATATTTCTGGGAACTGGCTAATTCCTAATAGCTTTTACCTTGTTTTTCTATAGCTTAATGCATTCTAGCTTGATTGTGAATCTGAGATAGTTAACTTTTTATATATAAAAGTAATTCTTTGCAGATTTTATAAAGAGTTTTGCATCTTAGAGCATTTGCAATACTGTTTTCATATATTTCTTATATTCTTCTAGTATTCGAGAGTAGATAAGAATGTTATTAAGATAAGCAATGATGAACTGATTCAGATGTTTGCATAGAATATAATTGATCATTTTCTAAAATAAAGCTGAAGTATTTATTAGATTAAAGAGCATAATTAAATATTCGTAGTATTTATAGCATATTCTGAAAGCAATTTTTCATTCTTCTTCTTTCTTTACTCTGATTAAATTATAAGCTTCTTTCAGATTTAGAACTATAAACTACTGTACTCCTTATAATTTATCTTATAATTTCTTAATAAGTAGTAATAAATATCAGTTCTTAATTGTAATATTATTGAGTTGCTTATAATTAATATATAGCTTAAGCTTGCTATTTTTCTTAGATATAAATAGAATGAGATATTCTGCTGATAATTGCAATGATTATATATATTTTTTCTTAAGATTCTTATCAAGATACTTTCTAAATGCTTCTAGCTAAGCTTTATTTAATCTGTAGATAGAAAAGAATTTGAGCTGTTTCTCTTTTTGTAGCAGGATTTTGTAGTTATATAAGCTGTATTCTAGCAATCTTGTATTCAATTCTTTCTGGAACAGTTTCTTAAACTTATAATATTCTTATAGTATGTTTGCAAGTATTAGTTCTGATTCCTGTGCTGTTTCTGCTATCTGAAAGAATAGTAGGTACTGTTGAGCATACTTCTTTTCTAATGGCGTTTTCGAGGGCTTTGAGCGTTTGCTCTGAGCTGGACTGAGCGCTTGAGAGCCTAGTTTCGAGGTTTTTTCTGTATGGATCTACAATTCACTTTCTGAAGCTTTTCTTTATTGCTCCGGAGCGGATCAACTTGCTAAGAGTCTCGCTTCCGTTGTTTTGCTAATCTATTAGCGCTCTAGCACTGTTTGAGTTTGCTTGTTACTAGATTCTTCTTCTTGAACTGCTAGCTCTGCTGGTTTAAAAGTATATAGGAAGTTGTATAAAGCTTCTTTTTCTGAATATTCTTTAATCACTAGCTTTGATTCTGCATTGTTGATTGTAATTATCTCTCTGAGTACAGCTTGTTCTTATAAGAGCTAGCTAGTAGTTTAATTGATTCGAGAATTGTGCTTCTTAAGCTATAGAAGCTTTATAATCAGCTTATGCTATACTGTATTCATAATATTAAAGGAAGCTCTGATTATACATTCTTGGATTAAGATAAATAGATGATTAGTTTCCTTATTGATTATTCCTTGGTTATATATAACAGATTGTTCTTTTATAGTGCTAAGAGTATATAAGCGCTTCTTCTATTTCTATTGTAGTTGTATTTAATTAATAATGTATAGGGATATAAAGTTTCTCTGAGTATTATTATTTAATAATATGCTGTACTTGTATTCTTGAATATATATATCGAACTTAATATAAGTATAATTTATTCTAGAAGCTTTATATAGAAACTATTCTAGTTTGATCATCTGCAATTCCTTTATAAGCAATCTTATTCTTTTGAATTTGTTGAGAACTGCTTGTCTTTCTAAGCTTGCTTTGCTGCTTCTTAAGCAAGCTTCTTAGCTTGCTTTTGCTTATATTATTATTATTCTTAATCTTTCTTCTATTAATACTAGTTACAAATCTTATTATTAATATGAATTATGCAGAATATTGTTTCATACTGCTACTATTTTATCTTCTTGTTTATACATTATATGAGATAATTGTTTAGTAGCTTAATATATATATTGTAGTGCTATCTGTTGAAAATCTTTCTGAAGCAGAATTTCTATTCTTCAATAGCCTGAAGAATTTATTCTGGTTCTCTAACGGGAAATTATTCGTATTGCATTTTGTTTGAGAAATGCATTCTGTAGCTATAATAAGTGCAGAAGATTCAAGCTAGTTCGTAATGTAGGTTGTAAAGCGAACTAATCCAAGGATCTTCATCTTGTTATACTTCGATATCTTGCAAGGGAATGCAGATGAAGAGCTTCTCTAGTTCTATCTCATAAACAAGATATTCAATTCATATTGTTTCCTTATTCCACCCAATATTGAAGAGAAATCTTTCTGTAGGTTTCTTGGATTCATTGTTTACAGGAGACTCTAGTGAATCGTTAGATCGATCATTCTAATCTAATCCTTCTATTGCTTGAGAAGCGTTTTCAGTATTGTTTAGATATTTATACTAGTAACCAAGAGAGTATTATTCTTTATTCATTTCTCTGATTATAATATCTGATGCAGGTGATGAGGAATGGTAAAGAGCATTGTTATTAAGCTCTTTCTCTAGCGCCTGAATGCTTCGTTCAGTAATATCGGAGCAGTTCGAGTTGTTGCTGCTTATAGTTATACTGAGCATATATCCTCGCTCTGCTGTTGCTATCTGTTTGCAGTGCTAAGGCTTCTGAGAGAACTATCCTGAATCTTCCTTACTTAAGAGATATATTAAGCAGTTATTATTATAGCAGAATGTTCAGCTGAGATTTCTATAATCAATAGAGTTCAATACTTGCTCTAAGGAAGTATTTTTGCTCAGTTGATTAGATTTCTATTATCAAGCAATATTTATCTAGCATTCTTTCTAAGCTGATTACTATTTATTTTTCTAAAATTGATAGCAGTTATATGCAATATATTCTTATTTATTACAATTATAGCAAGTAATGCTATTCCTTTTGCTATATTGCTTGTTAATAGCATTGAGTTCTATGAAACTAGTATGTATAGTGCTGCTCTAAGCTATACTGCTATATTGATTGCTATTCTTATTTTGAAGTTTCTTGCTTGTATTAGCTGGAAATCTTCAAGTCTAGCTTTCTTTCTTCTTGGATTTCTCTATTCATTGTTTATACAGATAGTTATTAATGCAGATAGCTTGATTAGAGAATATTATAAAGTTCTCCAGCTAATTCTGTTTAAAGATTTCATTTTTAATATTATTCTTAAGTTCTTTATAATAGTATTTCATAAGATTCTTGTCTTTCTACAGGAATTATACTGAGAGTTGCTTGAATCTGATTATATAAGCAAAAGCTAACTTAATCTGTTTGAGATTCATAAGCTGCTGAGCTATAGTGCGTTCTTTATTGGAATTATTAAAGATTTCTTTAAGAGCTTTCTCAAAGCTTTCAAAAGAATCGAATATATTCTTAGTATTCTGAATATGCACGCTGGAGTTATTCTGATGCTCTAAATAGTTGTATAGAGAAGATTTGTATTAGATAAGAATATTCTTTTCGAAACGAGTTTCTGCAAGAATAACTTTCTCAGATTTTATAATAAACTAGATTACATGATACAAGAAATATGCTCTGCAGTAGGTAAGGAATTCATACAGCATTTTCTGGTTGCTATTATATATAGCAAGCTTATTCATCTTATACGCTTTTTCAGCATTATTGATAGCTATAGAGATAGATTGCGCTTGTTAAGCTTGCTAAGCTAGCTAAGCTTGTTGATTAGCGATAGTAGCGCTTTAAGCTTATTATTATTCGCACAGATTCTGAATACGCTAGATAAGCTGATATACCTGATTAACTAGTTCCTTCTGAGTAAGAGCGTGCAAGAATGAAAGAATTTCTGAAAAAGCTATTGTATTCCGTATTGCTTAAGAGAATAATACTAAACCGTTCTTGAACAAGAATTATTAAAATATAATGAGCATTGCAGCAATCCGAAGATTTCTAAATATATAAAGAGGTTTATGCTAACAAAAGCGATATTAAAGTATTAAGTTCTTGAATACAGAACTATACAAGTTCTAATAAGTGATGCAAGTATTTACTGCTTTTAAAGCTACTTAGTATATGAAACTGAATACTTAGATTAACAACTGAAGAGCTATATACTGAATCTATCTAATGGTAATGAATGTATTCTTATATATCCAGCTCTTCAGTTCTGACTATCCTGACTATATTCCGATTTCTCATAGTTGTTTCCTAAATATGTTGATTATATCTATAGCTAACATAGTTGCGCTAGCAACTCTAATCCGGGTTACGTAATCCTGATTGGTATCCGACGTTGGGTCGTGATACCTGGTCCCTTGGTTGGTGGGGCCTATCCTGTGACCTGCATGTTGGATGGGTCATAACAAGAAGCGAGACTCTCAGCATATCAGTTCGCTTCAGAGTAACAAGGAAAAGCTTCAGAAAGTGGATTGCGGATTCACATAGGGAAAACCTCGAGGCTTCTAAAAGCACCATTAGAAAAGAAGCATGCTCAACAGTACCTACTGTTCCTTCAGGTAGCAGAGATAGTATATAAACCAGAATCAACACTTGCAAGCATACTATACAAATATTACAAGTTCAAGAAACTATTTCAGAAAGAATTGAATATAGGATTGCTAGAATATAGCTTATATAACTACGAAATTCTGCTATAAGAAGGGAAACAGCTCAAATTCTTCCTTATCTATGAACTAAACAAAGCATAACTAGAAATATTTAAGGAATATCTTAATGAGAATCTTAAAAAAGAATATATATAATTATTGCAATTATTAGCAGAATATTTCATTCTATTTATATTTAAGAAAAATAGCAAGCTTAAGCTATATATTAATTATAAGCAATTTAATAATATTATAATTAAGAACTAATATTCATTGCTACTTATTAAGAAATTACAAGATAGATTATAAGAAGTATAGTAGTTTACAGTTCTGAATCTGAAAAAAGCTTATAATCTAATTAGAATAAAGAAAAAAGAAGAATGGAAAACTACTTTCAGAATACGCTATAAATACTACGAATATTTAATTATGCTTTTTAGTTTAACAAATATCTCAGCTTTATTTTAGAAAATGATTAATTATATTCTATATAAATATCTAGATTAGTTTATTATTGTATATTTTGATAATATTCTTATTTATTCTTAAATGCTAGAAGAGTATAAGAAATATATGAAAATAGTATTGCAAATGCTTTAGAATGCAAAACTTCTTGTAAAATCTGCAAAAAATTACTTTTATATACAAAAAATCAACTATCTCGAATTCATAATTAAACTAAAATGCATTAAGCTACAGAAAGATAAGATAAAAGCTATTAGAAATTAGCTAATTTCTAAGAATATTAGAAATATTAAATCTTTTCTTAGATATATCAACTTTTACAAGCAGTTTATTAAGAACTATAGCTAGATTATACATTCTCTTACAAATCTTATTAAAAAGAAACAGCTCTTCGAATAAATCTCCAAGATATAAGAAGCTTTTGATAAGATCATTAGGCATATTACCTTAGAGCTAATTCTGTACAAAGCAGATCTCTATAAATCTTTTAAAATTGAAACTAATATATCAGAATATATATTCGGAGAATAACTTAATTAATAAGATAATCAAGAGTATTTAAGAATTATAAGCAACTTTTCAAAGAAGTTGAATAGCTTAGAAATTAATTACAGAATCTCTAATCAGAAGCTTATAGCAATAATAAAAGCTTTTAAAGAATAGCAATACTATCTTATTAGTATATAGTACTCAATTATAATTTATTCAAATTATAAGAATCTAATTATATTTATAACAATTAAGATCTTGAATAAGCAATAAGTTAGATAAGCAGAATTCCTCTTACAATTCGATTTTAGAATCATACATTATAAAAGCTTAGAAAATGAATAAGCGGATGCTCTTAGCAGATAATCAAACTATTAAAATGCAGATTTCTTAAATATATAGAATATCTTTGTTTAGAATGAATCAGAAAATCTTATTAATGCATATAAGAAGCTAAGCGCTGCTTTCAGAATTGAATCTTCAAAGAAGAATTCAGAATTAATAATTTCAGATGAATAAAACAATTATATTAAGAATATATATAGTATATCAGTATACAAATATCAGAAAGTTAGAGCAATCTATAAATGCATCAAAAAATACTGAAATCTATTAAGCTTTAGAAAAAGAATTGAAAACATTCTATAATAATACAATAGCTGCAAGAAGAATAAGATAGAAAGATATAAATCTTATAAATTACTGCATTTCTTACTAGTATTTATAACTATTTAGCAATTTATTAGTTTAAACTTTATTATTAAGCTACTTTTCTTATAAGAACTCTTAATTAAGATGCAATATAATAGCATTCTAGTAGTAATTTGCAAACTGAGCAAGTATGCTTACTTTTTTTTTTATAAGAAAAGCAGTATAGCAAAAGAACTTGTATATACATTTTTCAGAATAATTATTGCTAATTATAGCATGCTAGAAGAAGTAATCTCTGATAAAGATAGAAAGTTTAACTTGAAATTTTGAACTTTACTTATAAAATAGCTTGAAATATATTATAGAATATTTATAACATTTTATTTGCAAACAGATAAATAAATAGAAAGAATAAATCAGATTATTAAATAATATCTTTAATACTATATTAATCAGAAACAGAATAACTAAATTAATCTATTACTTCTTATACAGTTTGCTTATAATAGCGCAGATATAAGCATAATAAAGAAGTTATTATTCTTTATACTCTATAAATATAATCCAACAGCTTATTATAAAGTATTACTAAAAGCAGATATAAAAGCTGCAGATAAAAGAATTAAGAAGATTAAGAAAGTTCAAAAGGAATTTTAATCAGAATTATAATTTATTCAAGAATAAATAATACAATATGCAAATTCCAAAAGAATTGAGAAACCAATTCTATAGAAAGAAGATAAGATCTATCTACTTCGGAAAAACATCAAAATAATCAGATCCAGCAATAAATTTAACTATAAAAAGTTAGAACTATTCAAAATCTTATAATAGATCTCTTCAATCAATTATAAGTTAGTATTATCTTATAGAATAAAAATATATCTGATTTTCTATATTTTACTACTAGGATTAGCAGCATAGGAAATACTAATAGATAATATAGTAGAAATGGAAAATAATGAACTGAAATATAAGATAGAGAAGATTTTCAAACATAGGAGTATAGATAGCATGAGAGAATATCTTATCAAGTGAAAAGATTACTTAGCAAGCGAAAATTCATGGGAACCACAGAAGAACGTTAAGAACGCTCAAGAAAGAGTAGCTGAGTACTGGAAAAAAAAAAAAAAACCAGCACCTAGAACGATCGCTTCGCTCCGGACCGAGACTCAGGAATCTCACTCTCCGAGAAATCCCTCAACTCAGAACCAACCTCTCGAGCACCAGAAGAACCCTTATTACTCCCAATACTATTCATATCGCCTAAAAAGGAATAATCCAACATATTATCAGAAGACTAGGAGAGCTCTCCTAAAACCAAAGCAGAAAACTTCTCAGAAAGGGGATCAACAGGAACACAGGCCTGCTGCTCCCTTGCTAGCTCCTCTGCTTCCATACAGTTAAGCTCCTCAATCATATCCAGATCACAACGAACAGCATGCGCCATTTTCTCAGCCTACAGCTTGCACTATTTCCGCAGCCAGCGTATCTTAGCTGTAGCACGCTCTAGCTCCTCCTCTGCATCATCAAGAGCGGCTTCAGCAGCAGAGTGCTGAGCTACAATCTTTTCCACCTACAACAGCAACAATCCATGCATATCACAATTCCCACGCTTATACTTAATATACTCCATACAGCGTAACGAATCTTTCTCAGAAGCAAAGCAGCAAGCTTTGCAATCGCTGCAGAAAGAATACATTAGCATTTCAATATAACAAGAAAGAGCAATAAGCCAGAGAAAAATAGACTATTCCATCTTTTTGTAGCAAGTTTTATCAATTCTGCTTATTATCCGGATTAGAAAGATAAGATTATGCATAGAAGGTTTGCTAGAATACTTACAAAAAGATTATTGGGAATAATAACTAATAGAAGGAAGATAATGTTATAATTTATCCAATATACATTTTACAAAACAGATTATAAATAATAAGAATCAGATATTATGATTTAATCTCGAACAATTAATAAGGATTATATTATCTAGAATTAGAATTATAAGTTATAATCAATCAGAAAGGAACTAGAGCAATCAATGATTAATTCTTATAGTTTAAGCAGTAGACTATAATAATTAACTACTAACTCTTACAGTTTATACTGAGGAGCTGGATATATAAGAACACGTTTATTATCATTAGATAGATCCAGTATATAGCTCTTCAGTTATTAATCTAAGTATTCAGTCTTCTATACTGAGTAGCTTCAAAGGCAGTGAATACTTGCATCGCTTATCAGAACTTGTACGGTTCCGTATTCCAGAACTTAATACTTTGATACCGCTCTTGTTAGCATAAATGTCAGGTGGAAAGGTTGCAAAGGCAATGTGGCGAGGTCTTTTCTCTCTTTCAGAGGTATACAACCAGAATAACATTGAGGCCTAAGGAGCTAAGTTCTGCTCAGCAGTGCTGACGTGGCTAGAAAGCCGCTTTATAGCTGCATATTGCTTAGTCATCCGTAATCCAGCTGGCTTAGCTAGCCCTGAGCCTTGCTGGCACAATCAGCCCTGACAATAAACCTCTCGTGTACTTAGGAATCTTCGGATTACTGCAGTGCTCATTACACCTTGCCCATTGCTTCGGCAGCTGTTTGTCCCTTTTTCTTTCGAGGGCGACGGCGCCCTAGTTCTGGTTCACTGTCTGTTCCTTTTTCTTTCGAGGGCAACAGCGCCCTAGTTCTGATTCACTATATTAACTATGAATATAGTTAATATATTCAAGAAACAATTATAAGAAATCAGAATATAATCAAGCTATTTCCTATTGAAAAGCTGAATATATAATCACGGTTATTACCATCAGTAGATAGATCTTATATATAGCTCTTCAGTTGTTAATCTAAATATCAGATTATATCATACTCTGATAGCTCCAAAGGCAGTGAATACTTGCACAGGATAACTCGGTGTATTTCCGTATTCAAGGTTTCTTACTCAACACTGCTCTTGTTAGCATAAACCTTTTATGTACTTTAGAATCTTCGGATTGCTGCAGTGCTCATTACACAGGATTATATAACTCAGAATTAGAGTTATAAGAGAAGCAGAATTGAAAGAATTGCTACTAATTCAAACAAGCTTTATACTATGAATTGCTAAGCTTGCTAGCAACTTATTAGAGCTATACTGAAGAGCAGGATATATAAGAATACATTTATTATTATTAGATAAATTATCAGAACATAGCTCTTCAGTTATCAATCTAAGTATTCATTTGTTACATACTTGAATAGCTCCAAAGGCGAATGAAAGCACTTGCACGGATTACTTGTTACATTTCTGTATTTAATTAGTTATTACTTTGATACTGCTCTTGTTAGCATAAACTCCTTGTATACTTCAGGATCTTCGGATATTGCAGTGCATCATTACAACTATGAACGGCTTGAAGTAGAGTAGCCCTGTTTGCAGTTCACTCGTCTCAGCGGCCGACCTGTCCGCGGACACCGGATGGCGATGTAGTATCGATTTCTGCATGTCTTCGCCTGCAACCTCCCTCTCCGCCCCACCTGCCTCTCACCGAGCGCACAGAAAGATGTTGGATGGAGGACTCTTGCCTGGCTTGCCGAGACGGGGAACTGAAAGCGATGTGTCCAAGCTTGTTAGGTCGACTTTGTGTGTACATAGTACATTAATGGCAGCACTGGCACCAGACTGTTTACTGGCGAGGAGCAGCCGTGACTCCTGTGTGGCGTTAAGTAGCGCTGCAGAACAACGCAGGACCCCTATATGTGGTTGGGCTCGGGGTTGGCATCCGGAAGTAGCAAGGAGGATTTATGCTTGCAAGTGGCGTATATTTGTGGTACATGCACTCCTAGTACTCATTTCTTGAGTGCTGTGGCCCGAAGCAGCAGCTCGTGGGAATTGTCAAGAGACGACGCGGAGGAAGTTACACGAGACGTTGAGCGCAGCCAGTCAGAAGAAATGTTCAGATTGCCTCGCTCTGAAGAATTGCGATGAGTGGTCTGGAAAAGACGCTGTGCTCACTCACCCCTTGCATATTCATTCGACCGTTCTATGCAAGCACATCAAAGGGGGCTAAGAGCGCTATAGGGCACATACCAGGGACTGAGGTGGTTATAGTACAAGGTACATGCTGTGTGTTGGGACGCCGTTAAGATCTGGCCGGCGACAGGGATCTAGGCTCAGGCATGACTCCGAAGAGGGCCCCACTTAAGGTATGTACCCATGTGAAACAGAGCAGTAGGTGGCAGCGCACCTCCCACTGTGTGCTGTGCGGTGCGCCTGCGTATGTGCGCGCAGTGTACCCCAGAACTTACCAAGTCACTATCAGTCGGGGCAGTTCAAAGGCCGCCTGTCTGTTTGAGACCATGGTCCGTATGAGGAGGTAATCATGCCACACACCTTTTTATCCTCTTGCCTCCTGCGGAGGAGTAAACAGATTTGAGTTTGAATGATCTTTTCGGAAGGGGGGGGGGGGGGAAAGCAGAATTGGGTAAGCTTTTCAGAAAGAACGACAGCTCACCTGCCGGGAAAAAGGATTCAGTGCAATCTTGAACGTGGTCGGCTCTTTCCCTGTCATCATCAGCTAACCGTCTGCCGTTCTTCCTCTACTTATTCTACACCTCCTCTTTTTTCTTCTTTTCTTTTTTTCCCCCTAAAGAATAAAAGTCACACCACATTGTCTCTCCTCACTTGTCAGGGGCAACCTCGGCGTATCATCACGGTCAGCAAACGGCCTCACGTATACCTGCTGATGATGCTTGATCATCATTACTTCGGCTAAGGCCAGCCTACCAATCACTGCCAGAGAGAGAGAGAGAGAGAGAGAGAGAGACACGACCAACCAATTTGTAACCTGTGTGAAGCGGTCTCAGCTAGGGCGATAACTGTGCACGCAGATCGACGTCAACGGGCAGCAGCAGGCTGCAGACGGACTAAAGGCTGTCTTGAGGGGACAGGCCAAAACAATTCGTCGTCGACACCACACTGACGCTGCTGCTGCAGCAGCTGCTGCAGCTGCAGGTCGCTGTGACCACAGACGCGGTGCCAGGCTTCGGCTACCACCATCAATCACCGCCACCACCATCTCGCGTAGCCATCGGCCCCCAAGAACATAGCGCTCATTATCTTGTTCGAGGATCCGCGACCGACCGTTTGGGATTGATTGCCGGATAAGCAAACACAGCCAGGAGAGACCCAACCCAGCCGTGCGATGGGTTCCACGTCGGAAAAGAGCGCCGGTGACCGGGAGGAGTCCCCCCTGCGCATAAACAGCAGCGGACCGGGCACCTGCGACGACGACAAGGTGGACGAGGTTGAGCTGCAGGATCTCGACCGCAAGAGGGAGGAGGCCGGCGGCGGTAGGCGTCAGTTCCCACGCCTGGGACTCGATGCCCTCGTGCACGAGTCCCGGCCTTCTGGGGAACCAAATGAGGACGGGACGTACCAGTTCTACAAGGTGTACAAGAGACGTTGGTTTGGTCTTGTGCAGCTGACTCTGCTGAACATAGTCGTCAGTTGGGAGGTGAGTGTCCTTTTTATTACAACACTGTTCGTCCTGTTTTCTTTCTGGGGTGAAGGTGGGAAAGCAGGGCGGGGAGCTTGTGTCCAGGTCACTGTGACATTTGGGGGCGGTGCAGGAGAGTTATAAGATGACGACAAAGACAAACAACAAGGCTGCGTGTCCACAAGGCTAACATAATAACTCCATTCCTTCTACCAGTGGTTAACCTTCTCTCCTGTGGCCACCATTGCCGCCGAGTTCTTTAACACTGACGAGTCTGCCATCAACTGGATTTCCACGGCCTTCCTGTTCGCCTTCGTCGTGGTTGTCCCCCTCGTCATCTACGTGCTCCATTGGGGCCCCAAGCCCTCCATCGTGGCCGCCTCGGTCCTCATGCTGGCTGGCAGCTGGATCCGTTATGGCGGCGTTCTGGCCCACCCTCACAACTTTGGTGTCGTTATGTTTGGCCAGATCCTCATCGGTTTCTCCCAGCCTTTTGTGCTCGCAGCCCCGACCCGCTACTCGGACCTTTGGCTCACCAGCCGTGGCCGCGTCGCTGCCACCGCCCTCATGAGCCTGGCGAACCCCTTTGGTGCCGCCCTGGGTCAACTCATCATCCCCTTTTGGGTGTATTCGCCCAGTGATATCCCGAATGCCGTCCTGTACCTGGCTATCATCGTATGTCTATGCATTCATTCCTCGTGCCCCTCCTCTTTCCCCTGCAGATTACCATCAGGTATACTGATACTTTCCCTCAGGCCACTGTCGCCTGCGTGCCTTCGTTCTTTATCCCTGCGAAACCACCGACGCCGCCCTCTGCCTCGGGCGAGACGGTCAAGCTTGACCTCCACGTGTCGGTCCCGAGGATGCTCGGGTCCCTTGAGGTCTGGCTGATCTTCATCCCCTTTGTCGTCTACGTCGGCTTCTTCAACAGCATCTCCACCATCCTCAACCAGGTCATGGTGCCCTACGGCTTCACCGACACCGACGCTGGTATCGCCGGTGCCGTGCTCATCGTCGTCGGCCTCGTCTCCGCCGCAATCACCTCCCCGATCCTCGACCGTACTAAGGCCTTCCTGCTCGCTATTAAGATCGCCGTCCCCGTCATCGGCCTCTGCTACCTCGCCTTCGTCTGGATGCCTGGAACCCGCTCCGACGCTGGTCCCTACATTGTCCTCGCCATCCTCGGCGCTGCCTCCTTCAGCCTCGTCCCCGTCGCAATGGAGTACCTCGTCGAGCTGACCCACCCCGTCAGTCCCGAGGTCACGAGCACCGTTGCCTGGGCTGGCGGGCAGCTGCTGGGCGCCCTCTTCATCATCATCTCCAACGCCCTCCGGGCCGGTCCCGACGCCGATCCCCCAAATAATATGAACAAGGCTATGATCTTTCAGGCCATCATCGCCATGGTGGCCTTCCCTGTCCCGCTATTTCTGGGCCTCTTTGGCAGACGCGACAAGGTCGTCCTGCGGAGGATCCTGTCAGACCAGGAAGAGGGGCCGCATGGGGCACCGGCTCCTCAAGAGTAGAGGCATCGCATAGCCAATCTCACGGAGAATTTACCATGAGTGTGTATCAAAGAGAACACACGTAGATGGATCGATGGAGGGGATCAGAGGAAGACGGGGGCCGGGGGTGGGCGGCTTAGGCAGGACATGCGAAGGTCTGGTTTTCTCAACATTTCTATCTTGACATATCACTGGCTAGGGGTGTAATATACAGCCTTGTAGCCCAGGAACATTATGACCATTATACGACAAGCGCTACGCTAGATACCCTGATTATATGACGTCTTTGTCTATACATTAATTTATAAGAGTCGGAAGTGAATGGTTTTGTGCAGCAGAGTCCTGCGCAGTCCACCTTGCCCCTTGCAGATGGCAAGTCTTTATTCTTTGTCCAACGCCACATGGGTCACGCCACATGGGCCATCACCCCGCCTTCGATGGCGATATTTTCCCCTCCCACTCCTCCCGCAAGCTCTCCATCTTGGCCCAACACTTGGCGCCAATCTCCTCAAACTCGGCCCTGCTCTCCTCGGTGACCATTATCGCCCTAGCGCTCCTGCCTACACTCTTCCTCAGCACCCTGATCGCGCCGGCGTCCTCCTTCTCCATGTGTTCTGGGCTCTCCACATTTCCTGTCCATCCCCAGCCGTCTACCTCGGTCCTCTTGACCATGGTGTTCCCCCAGAAATCCGTGCAAGAGCCCCATTTAGAGCTGCCGGCGCCCTGCGCGTCCAGCTCGGCCTGGCTCGAGAGTGCAAGCCACACAGTCGCGACAGCTGCCTTGTACGGCACGACAGGGTGCCAAGGGCTGCCGAGCCAGCGGCTGATGCTCGTGCCCAGAATGTAGGCCCACATGAGCGTGAAATGCAGGGGGAACATGGTTGTGGCGACGATACCGGGGTGGGCGAGATATATTTTCGGCTTAACGACCGTAGGCGACGGCCCTGTTGCTGTATGGGAGGAGGATGACGATGGCAACGACGAGGAAAGGTAACGGCTGGAAAATCGAGCCGTACTCGGGAGGGCGGCAGTCAGGCAGAGGAGGTCGGTCAGCATCTTGCTGCTCTCGTAGGCGGCGGTGCTCTTGAGCGCCTGGAAGTCGTCGAGGCTAAAGTGCCGAAGCGCTGGATCCACGCTGCTCTGCCAAATGATCCGGGCCGGGGCGGGCACTACGCCGTCGCCGTCCTGCTGGATGCCCCCGTTGGTGGGTTGATCAGGGCGGCTCAGCAAAGGCACTAGGTAGTGTGCGAAGAGGTAGTGGCCAAACACGTTGGCACAGAACACCAGCCCCAGAGAGTCCTCCTGGCCTGGCAGCGGTTTCACCGTCAACCCTGGTTTGGAGCGCTTCGAGCGTGGCCGGGTGGTGGCTTGTACCCAGCCCTGGGTCACGATGTCCCAGAAGAAGCCGAACCAGCTGACGTGCGACCATCCGCCCAAGCCGGCGTTGAAGATGACGGCATCCAGCCTCGGTATCCTCAGCTCGCCGAGACCCTCGAACGGCACGGTGCCGCTGAGGAGCTGGTCCGCGGCGCGCTGCACGGTGGAGAGGTCGCACAGGTCAAGCTGGACCGACGAGATGTGGACGCGGGCGACGGCGGCCTCCTGCGGCGAGGCCCTCGAGGAGGCGGCACGCACGAGGTATCCTCGGAGAAGAGAGACGGTCTCGGAAGACTTGCGGGCGGAGCGAGTGGTGGGAAGGAGGACGAGGTGGGAGGTGCGGTTGCGCGTGGAGAGGAACTCGTCGATGAGGCGCTCACAGATGCCGTGACCGACGCCACTGTCGGTTTTGTTGGTGGGTGAGCATAATCTCAAGATACGAACGATATCCAGAGGCCAGCAGTAGCAGGAGGAGAACTGGAAAGGGCGGGGAGCGTAGGATTTCAGACGCACCTGTTGGCGCCTGTGACGAGCACGAAGAGGGTGTCGCGGGCTGGGACCGAGTCCCAAGGAGCTGCTGGAGCCATAATTGGCTGAGGTGGTGGTGTTGGCAAGCAGTACGAGCACGACGCCCACCTGCGGCTTTAGCAGGTCGAAAGAACGAGGACTGAGGTGAGTGTCGACGACCCGAGACTACTACCGTGGCAGGCAGAAAAGGAGGAATAAATTTTGAAATGGTCTCTCTTTTAGCATGGCACACGCGGTATGTCACACCTTTCCCCTGATGGGTGTGGGGTCGAGCAAGGATCAGCTTGTGGAAAGAGGGGGGACCCTGGCAAGTGAACGTACCCATTCCACCGCAACTTCCTCTGTGGTGCTACCACATATCAAGTACTATGGTACATATATTTGCGAATATGTTAAAAAAGTTGAATCGTATGATTCAGCTGTAAGCCGAGTCTCAGTTCATCTTCATCTCCCCTATTCAGCATTCTCTCAAGGTTTCTTAATAAGTAGACACCAAGGTAGAGAGAGATACTGTAGTACCTATCCACATACTTAAAGCACTGTTTCAGTACAAAGAGGAACGACCTCATGAACCCTTCTTCCTGCCACTTCCTCCCAGCCATTGCCAGAAATCATCTTTCCTGCGGCTCTCCCCCCTCCCTCTTTGGATGCTTTGCTATCTATACAATACCTTCTATACCATGTCTTGGCCACGACCATGATGGGCAGACTTCTTGTCCTAACCGGTGCTCCAGAATCGGAACGGCTTGACTGGTCTTCATCGGGCCTCCTCTCTACCTTCCAGCCTGCCGTGGCCCGCTTTGCTTTCCTCCGCCGCCCCCACCATCACCCGGAGCTGCAACCCACACCGCATGACCGACAGGACATATCCGCCCTCGACCTGGCAGCCTGGCGCTCCCTGGCCCTCTATCGCCCACAGATCCCCACGGGTTTCTCTCAGCGTGCAGGTGTGTTTCCCAACAGCGCCGACTTCCTCACTACAGCCAGTATCTCGTCGTCCTCAGACGCCTCCCGAGACGGTGACACCGGCGGCGGAGACGGGGAGGAGGAGGCAGGCGGTAGCAGGCTGCTCGTTGAGTTCTACGAGCACTCCCTTGCGGTGCATCACAACCACTGCTCATCCCAGCTCGTGCCCGGGCCAGAGAGCCAGCAACAGGCGGCAGCCTCTCAGCTGTCCGTGAGTGATCCCAGATCCATCAATTCAAAGTCTTCCTTCGACAGCGATGGGGGCGAGGACGACGACGAGGAAGATACCACGACCATCGCGGAGGGGACGACGGTGTTGAAGACGCCACTACCGAGGCGCCGTGGCACAGATCACCTCTCGGACCTGGAGGACATCCCGCCGGCTTCCTACCTCACTTCCATTGCGCCTCAGACGATGACGGTCACGCTCATCGTGGGTATCATCAGCATCGCCCCGCCGCGGACCGTGGAGACGCGCTACGGGGCCACTAGGGCACTCGTTGAGGTCCTGGTGGGCGACGACACCAAGTCCGGCTTTGCCGTGACCTTCTGGCTGTCCGAGGCCGACGCGAGGGCAGGCACGGGCGGCGTGTTGCCGCGTGGCCTGCGTGCGCAAGACGTCGTGCTCATGCAGAACGTTGCCCTGAACGTGTTCCGGAAGAAGGTATACGGTGGTAGCCTGCGGCGCGACATGACGAGCGTGCATCTGCTCCACAGAGTGCGGACGGTTGTTGATGATGATGAGGATGATACAGGCGGGTATTACTCCAAAGTTGATCTGGCAAAGGCTGGGAGGAGCACGAAGAAGCAGCAGGACCCACAGCTAGAGAAGACCAGAAGAGTAAGAGACTGGGTTATGAAGTTTGTAGGTGGTGGTGATGTGGGAGGCGAGCCGAAGACGACAAGGTCTACCACCACTGCCAGGGGCAAGAAGAGGGCGGCAACTCCAAGAAATTGGAATCAGCCGCCACCATTGGATTCTCAGTAAAGAAGTCCCCGATGTTTTGTATATACATACAAAGAAAGGAGAAAGGCAGATCATTGAATTTGGGTCACTGCAAGGACTGCACAGGGGTTTTCCCCTATACATTAGAAAGCCCCATAATCTGCCTCGACTGGGTTCAATGTAGCGCAAGGTGGTCAACAACACAACGACGTTTTTGAATGGAGCCTGCAATTTGAATATTGGCTGGATTGGAACCCTAATCAGCCGGCCAGACCTGACCAATGGGGATCTGCACAGGGCTTTTCTGCAGTTGAGAGCCCCTACTTGTTGCGATTCCTGGTCTTCTTTTGTGGCTGAGCAGTGTCCTCCTCCTCCTCATCCTGTCCCTTCTTCAGGTCCTCAACCAGGCCCCACTCATCTTTGTCATACCAATCCTCACCATCAGACATGTCTCTGTTGGGACCACAGTGCGCCTCAGCTTTCGACCAGGCCAATACCGTCTTGCGCATACGATCTGCCCTCAGGAGGCCCTCGTAGAGTTTCCGGGCGCCGCGGCAGACCTCTTCCTGTTTCTGTACATACGCTTGAAGCAGCCGACGGACGTCTTCTGCTTCTTGTTCCGGCAGCCCCAAGTCTCGATCCGGGTGTGCTGACTTGGGCGCCAGGAAGATGGGATGTACGTATGATTCGTCCGTTAGCGCCGCCAGGAGACTGGCGGCCTCCTCGTCATTGGGCGGTGCTGGTAGATTAGACCGTCTCTGGTCCTCAAAGGGTTCGGTGCCTCCGTGCATGACGATATCACCGTCTTTCGTATCTGTCCCAGCCTCAGGCTCCTTTCCTTTTCTTTCCCGTTGCCCTGGGGCATGACTGCCGCCATTTATATGCTCAGTACCCTGCTCTTGTGGCCTGTTCCCACCTGCAGCCGGTGGTTCCTCCTTTCCTCGCATGCCGGCGTGATCCTGTGACGTTGCTGTCTCAGTATCCTGTCCTGGCTGTCCTACACTTGTATTTTCGTCGCTGCCTATCATAGCGACGTCTTCATCGGCTGATCGTTGTTGTTTGTCGCTGGGCTCCGCACCATTGACATGGCTCTGCTCCCCATTGACTGAGGGTGGCGCTGCTGCAGCACTGAAATTTAACCTGCCGATCGCTGCATGTTCGACGTCACCACTTGGAGAACCTATCCTCCTGCGCTTCATCGCGCGCATTATATATCCGTCGTCGAAATATTCGCTATCGTTGGGGCCTAGGAACATCTCGCAGTTGGCCCAGGTGTGATCGCCACTGAGCTTGGTCAAGAGGGGCCGCACTTTCGAGAGCGCAGCATTCTCCTTGCGCATGAGCTCGCTTCCTTGGTTGGCAAGTTCGGTGAGAGCGGGGGAGAGAAATGGTCGTGAGAGCGTCGGGTGGGTGGGCAGCTCGGTGACTGAAGTGAGGGGGGCGAGGAGCTCTGTAAAGCAGTCAGTACGGCATTCACCGGACCGGAGTGAGGGGTCACCAGAGAGACACACGCTCAAGGCGAATAGACGAGTAAGGATCGGCCTCGGCAGCGGCGGCCACAGCATCCTGAATGCGTTCTTCGTCGTCGTCGCTGTCAATGTCATAACCATCTTCGTCAACTAATGGTGGATTTCGGCTAATGATGGCTCGATGGTAGCCTGTGTGTTCGACCACCTGAACATCATGTGTGTTAGCATTGAGAGCCCTGTAGGAAAGCTGTCTCTTGAGCTACCGTGGTTGAAGACTGGCAGGACAGAACATGCCTCTTTGTAGACCGCAGGTCCAGTAGGAGGGCCTAACTTGCCCTCGCGGACAAACTTTGCCTTTTGCTTGAGCTTGTTGCCTCTATTGGTCGGGACCTGGATCTCAGAGTCGGAGTCGGATTCTAAGGAGAGATTGAGGTCAACAGGCAAACTCTGATGCGCCTTTCTGGATACGAGACTGCTGTCCTCTCCATACCAATTGCATCTCGCGCGATCTTCTTCTTCATGGCCTTTATCGTCTCGAAGACGTAGATCTGTTCCCGCGTAGACATGTTGGGCAAACTGGAGGCGCTGAGGGTGGGCTTTCGTGAGGTCGTCACATGTGTCGGTATGTGAGTGCGATTGAGAAACGGTTGGTGGATCGTAGGCGTAACAGACACGAGGGAGGAACGCAGGGTAAACTTCCCCAGCTACTCGAAGAGAAAGGCAGAGCGCTGGTACTGTGGGCGGGAAGATGATCTGTCGAGGTCTGCAGGAGTCAGTCGGTTGTTTCGTGGCGCAGATGGGTCGTGACTTTGAATGAACTGAAGAGAATCTGCCTGCGCTGAAGAAGGGACTGGAGAGGATGAAGCAGGTAAGTCGGTAAGAGGAGCGAAGGGTCAAGGTACGCACAACGGATTGCTATTCTGCGGGAAGGAGAGGCCGACCGTGCTGCTGTTGCGGCAGGCATCCACTCGAGTCGATAAGCACGATAGGGTACCTCATACTTGGCGCTTACAACATACACGTGATATGTAGCGCATGCTACAGTGGCAGATTGTAATGCAGTACTATGTACTATTGCATAGTACGTACTCAGGGAGGCACCCTGCCCAGCAATAACAACTCTAGCGCCCCAGAGCGGGCTGCCACCGCAGGCGGTACCGGGAGTACAAACACTTCAACAGTTCTTGGGCGTTCAGGTACCGCGGCTTCATTAGCGCTGCTGTGACGCCATGTTCTGCCGACAGCTCTCAACTCACCGCCTACCAGTATAAGACCTCATCCCACCTTCGCTGCTTGGTCCCTACAGCTCGCAGGGTGAGCTCAGCACCCATCCGCCCCCTAACTTGGGTTTCTTTCAAAGCATGATTGAATGGCAAAACGGCGATGGTCGATATGTAAATTTACACTGATGACTATGAGAGCATTTCAAACCGAGAGAGAAATAGCGGCATGACTTAGCGACACAGACACAGGCATACAAGTAACGCTAAGACCAGGTGCATTTACCCCCCCCCCCCCCCCCTTCTGAGTGTTTGAGGCTTTGAGCCTGTGCCCAAAGGATATACGTTGTGCAGCACCATCAGCTAACCTAGCAATCACCGTACCTGTCTATAGCCTCTTTCAACCGACCCATGAACTCTACCACCTTCGACTTCATCCCTCAACCCTCCAAGTTTGATAGCCAGCTGGTCAAGACTCATTCCTGAAGTGGGTAGTGCACCTGGGGCTTCGTGGCCATCTGGGACCACTGATCGTCATCTAGCATGGACGAATATGCTCCCTGCAGCTTGGATTTCTGTCTGCCCTTGGCTGTCTTCCTGGGCCTCCCAGCCAACTATGTCCAGGAGTCTGCCCTTGATCCTGGATATAAGGAGGGTGCTGTTCTGATACGGTCGGAACCGCCACCTGTTGAAGGAGAGCAGGTCGCAGCCCTGATTCAGCACATCCGGAACTCGGATGCATCTGGGCTACCATGGAACGGGAGGGCCACGGCCAACGTGAGATACAAGTTCAGGTTCAGGACCGCTGGAAGGGTATGAGAACAATAAATAAATAAGAGAACTACCGAAAGGAGCTGGTCATAGTGAGGGGCTGCGTGCTGACCGTGTGCATAGAGTTATCTCCTTCCCCCCAAGCTGGCTGGCCTCCCAGAAGATTTCGAGATTCCACCGTCTCAGGCCGTCCTCCACTCGCCCTTCTCGCCCCTGAGCCCCTCATCCACCCTCTATCCCGACGGGCTGATCGATACGACCTGGCTTAAGAAGCATCAGGAGTTAATACCAAGCGTGTTTCTGTGTCTCTACAGTCTCACGGCAGACGCGACTTTGGCAACTCTGCACGACAATAAGATCAAGACCGATATTGGCGTGCTGAGAAACGCGATCGCGCAGTCTGGGTGCAAGTCGAAGCTCGCTGTCATCATCCTGGTGGACAACTCGTCTGGGGCACAGGAGAGGTTGGAGAACATACGCAGAGGCAGTGGGCTCGATCCCAAGTCCTTCTTCGCCACTCCGACAGGCGCGTCGCCTGAGGAGCTCGGTCGGATCCTCGACAATGCCCTAACAACCATCTATGCGCAGGCCATTGATTACTACCGCGACCATGGCAAGCAGGCCAGGAAGAAACGGGGTCGTGGAGTAGCTCCTCAACCCACCGTGCCACCCACATCCGGCACCTCTCAAACCCTATCGCTGGCGGGCTGGCAGGTGCGCTACGATTTCAAGTCTGCTATCTGGGCCGAGTACCGTCAGGAGATGGATGCAGCCCTGCGGTCGTTTGAGCAGGCGTACGAGAACCTTTTCGGACCCGAGGTCATAGAGGTTATACCAAGCTGGAGTCCCAGGTGGAACCAGGCCAGACTGCTGGCAGACATCATCGCCGTGAGGTGCATCCGCTGCTTGCTATGGAGTGGCCAACACACCGCTGCTGTCCGCCGCTGGCAGTCCCACCGGGACAGGGCGACCGATCTTGTCGACCGGCTCGGTCATGGGACCAACACCTACGGCTGGGAGGCCTGGGAGGCACGCTGGGCGGTGCTCATGGCGAACCTCATCGAGAAGGCTGACATTCCCGATTTCGATCACTCCGTCGCCACCATTTTCTTGCCACCAGAGAAGACAGCGCTGGCAGAAAGATTGCAGCCGTGGGAGCTGCTCCACCACCCAGGCTACTGGTATCGTATGGCGGCTCGTCACACCTTTGCCCGGCGCAGGCTTGCCTACTCGATGCCCGAGGACGATAGGAGGTCGCCTAGTCAGTCTCCAGCTTCGAAGCTGGCATCCAAAGCCTTCACCTACGACAACTACATGTGTCCAGAGCCGTACGAGGAACTGCCCTTGGCCAGCTCAGGGGTCAACCATTCTCAGATAATATTAGACCAGTTGCTCTCTGCACAGTCTTACTTCGTCAAAAAGAGACAGCAGCGCCTGGCTGCCGAGGTTTCTTTGGAGTGCGCCAAGGAACTCGCCACGGTAAAGGACTGGGAACATGTCGTCAAGATCTTGCGTCCATTCTGGGACGAGATGTCTTTTCGGCGTGACGGGTGGCCAGAGATTACCGAGGACATGTGCTGGGTCTTGAGAACTGCGGCAGTGGAGACTGCGCAGGCAGACTTGGTGGTCTCCATTGATTGGGAGCTATTGAACCAGAGTAAGATGAAGCCCAATTCTTGGTGATGACCACCCTTCCTCATTAACACGGCCTGTGATAGGGTTTCCGAAACGTTCCAACTGGCATTACGACCTATCAAAATCCCTCGAAGGAATTGACGCACCCAAGCCTTCAATTGAGGTCAACGACGAATCAGGCACCTCTTTTCTGACGGCTTCCTTCGTCTTCCGGCATGAGGAGGGCAAGGCTGGGCAGAGGTGTCAGGCTCAGCTGTCTATAAAGTCAAATGCCGCTCCAGGTTCTGCGCCAGTCGTCCTGGAGAGCATTCTTCTTCGGTTCGATGGCAGCATCAAACCAATTCTCTTAACGCATAGCCCGGGACATGTCAACAAAGGTCCTGATCGAGATGCTGTCTCTATGAGCTTTCCGACTTTGACCGAGCCCAGCTCCAATGCGGAGCAGGACGATGAGGAGGTTCCAAGCGCCGGGTCTGCCTTGCAAATGCACGGGACCAGCGATCTGACGCTGGTTGCTGGCCACACTGCCGTGATCGAGATGAATATACCGTTGAGGGAGCCTGGCGAGGCCAGCATCTCATCAGTCACGTTCACAGTCAACACGGACACATTCACTTTGACACACAATGCCAGCATTCAGAACGCTGGGAAAGGCCATGTCTGGCACTCGGGGACAACAAGGAGACGCATGGCTCGAACACATCCGCAATCCATACGTGTCCTACCACGACCGCCGAAAATGGAGATCAAGGAAACTAACCTCCTCGACCAATACTATACCAACGAGACCATCGAGCTGGATTTCGACATCATCAACGAGGAGGACGCAGACGCAACTGCCAAGGTGGATATCACTGTTCTGAGTGAGGACCCGCCAAACTTCAGGCTGAGAGCTGCAGACGGGGCAGAGAGTCGAGCGCTGGCAGACGGCGAGGAGTCGAGTCTCCAGGATGCCCCCCTAGGCCCAATCAATGCCTCTGAAGCAACCCGCATTAGCGTAATTCTTACAGCGGCAGAGCGGACGACTGCTTACACAGTGGCGCTGAAGGTATCATACAGCCTTGTCACTGATCCTGCCACCACGATTATCCAGTCAGCCACCTATCGGATCGCTGTGGCCAGTCCGTTCGAAGCAAACTATGAACTGCTTCCCCGTCTCCATCCGGAGCCGTGGCCAAGCCTGTTCGACCACGAGGGGGTTCAAAACACGTCAGCCGAGAGCCCCGTTCCAAGCCACGGTTTAGCTCAAGCATGGTGTCTCGTGACGCGTTATGCCTCGTTCGCCTCGGAGAAGCTGAAGGTAACAGACCTGGACATCGAAATCGCCCCAGCGCACGGTGTGCACTGTCAGGTCTCGAAGCGGACAGCCCTTCCGGCAGAAGGTCTCGAGGTCAGTCCGAAAACGATCGAGGAGACGCAATTCGACGTCGCAGTGAAGCGAGCCAGCCTGGACGAGCGAAACCCGATAGGCCTCGACGTCTCCTTCGCAATCGAGTGGGCTCGAGTTGATAGCGAGCCGGGCACTGTCAACCGCACACTACTCGCGGTTCCGAGGCTCCCCGTCTTCAACACAGAACCCCGCGTCCTCGCGTCTGTGTGCTACACGGATGGACAGAATGGGGAGGACAAGGCCCTGATGCTGCTGGACATCACGATCGAGAATGCCTCGAATCACTTCCTGACTTTTGGGCTGACAATGGACCCAAGCGATGAGTTCGCTTTCTCGGGTGCGAAGCAGACGACGTTAAACCTGCTGCCGGTCTCGCGGAGGACGATGACCTACCGTCTACTACCGCTGGTCAAGGGCGGGAGCTGGGTCAGGCCTAACCTGACGGTGAGGGACAAGTATTTCCAGAAGGTGTTGCGGATCGTACCGACGGAGGGCCTGAAGATGGATAAGGATGGCCTGCTGATCTATGTTCCACCGGTCCACGGAGACGAATAGGAACAAGAACATATCAAACCCCAAGCGACGTAGACTTACATGGCAGACCGTATTGATCTACAATGGTCAGTGGTCCATGTGCGGCACGGCCACTGTGACATGAAAGGCCCGTGAGGCGCGGTGGTCGCCCCACGTGAAGGTTTGCCTAGGCGTGCATAATGAAACTGCCTACCCTGGACAGGGCGTGGGAGGCAACAACTCACCTGGCCTCCCTCGAGCGTGAGCCACCTCATGGGTGCACAAGGTCCCCCCACCCCTCTGCAGCTGCACGAACACCGAGCATACACCATGGGGTCACTGCTGGCCTTAGACAATATCAGCTTGTCCCTGGTGGCCCACAGGAGAGGAGCTCCGGGAACCGGCGTCAACCAAGACTATGATTTTCCCCCCTCCCCACCCCTTCTTTTCATGTACTTTACACAGTAATAGGGTCTTTATTCTACCAGCAGGGGGTTCCAACTCGGCGGCCAAGGATGGCGGCCTCGCGTCGACCCGAATTTTACGTACTATGGTGGCAGAATGACCCCACTAAGAGGGTGTTGTGGGCGCAGACTGATCGATCTGATTAGATTGATAACTTTAAGGCCGAGCCATGGCTCTGGCATCGTGGTCTCGCTGTCGTCATCCTCGCCAGCCTCCCTTGGCCGCAATGGGGCATCTGCCACTACCAGCCAAGACCATCGGCGGGTTCCACGGTGCTGAATTTTTCTTTCTTTTCCTTTTCCCTGTTCTCGCCCTTCCCAACGGCGTGCCTGGACCGCTGTTGACGAACCAACGGACTATCGAGGATCAAGGGGTGACTGGAGCTTGGAGGTGGGGTTCCAGCCTCGGACGTGCTGGGTAGACGGATGTATGCTCAAAAGAAGGCACCACAGGCTGGGTCCTCCGTATCGGAGGAGTGTGTATGCATGCACGCACGCAGCACCACAGGGCTGGCTTGTCGCAGACTGCACGTGCGGACGCGGTACATGATACGAACGTCTCGGCGACACAGCCACACTGCGAGAGCTGATAAACAGGCCTATCTATTGCTACTGTTACTGACGACATTTGAGGGAATAAGCAGCTAGCACGGTGTATTCCCCCTACGGTACTATGTGTGCCTCCTGGGAGATTATGGCCCTGTTGAATGGCTACATGTTCCTCCTGAGGGTTGCAGATCCATGGCCTCGAAGTAAGACAGTAGCTGCTGCTGCTGCTGCCAACGTTGTCGTTGTCCTCGTCATCATAATCGTCGTCGATGATGATAAGAATGATGATTTTTGGTAAAGGCGATGCTCTCATTATTCTGTTTTGTGGTTATTGTTCTTACGGGGCTGACTTTTCACGCACGGCACACTGAGCAGCGAAAATAAGATGAAATAGACTGGGGGCGGGGGCGGTGTGGCTCTGTCTGGACATTGTCGTCCTCACTTCTAGTACATAAGTACTGGACTGAGGACACTAAACAGGGGACAGGGATAGGGAATAGGTGAAGGGTTCTTTAGCGATAAGAGCCAAGCAGGGGCCAGGCTTAGGCCCCTGGCCCTTTCCCGCGGTTGCCACTCAAAATCGCCGAATCCTCACTCGACTTCAGGGTCTCGTCCCCCCCCCCCCCAACAAAATGAAAAAGAAGAGAGAAGTTTTGCTGTCCCATAAATGACTTGTCGAATTCACATTGTCGGTGTACCTCGGTGTGTCTCGCACCCATACCATCCAACAATCGGCGGTTTGTCACCCTTATCGTAGCTTACATGGTCGCTGACGGCTGTAGACATACTCCGCGCCAGCTTTGTCCTGCTGTGTTAGTATGTGCAGTGTATTGGTGGTGGTGGTCCTGTGAAGTTAGTGTACGGTGTATGCACGAGGGGAATTACTGGGTACGGATGAGCCCAGGGGTCTGGGTGCTCGACTGGTCGACTGACCGCAGTGGTACTCATTGCTATAGTACATAGTAGTGTACGATGACCATAGTACCACAGTCCATATGCACAGTAAGTACTACGCATGACATGTACATGAACTATGGGCCACCGCATGCGGGACTTTTTTTTCGAAACCAGGTCTCAGTTCCGGCCATATGACAGCTGGCCACCTTGTCGAAGTACGATGTAGAGAGTCCTGACCTTGATGAAGCGCACGGACGGAAGGAAAGAAAAAAACACCATAAAAAAAAGGTGACAATGGGAAGGGCGGTGTACTCATGACAGACTGACAGGTATTGTTGTGGATGGGATTGGATGGGATGGGACGGGATAAGATGTGTATTGCTTTCAGGGCCTTTAGGTAACTTTGGGTACCTTCGCGGTCCGTCCTGCGTCGCAGTAGTTTGGCCTGACTGATGCGGTCCGGACAATACCCAGTCTGGTACTGGCCGAATTGGTAACTAGGGCCAGGGGGGGAATCCAGCGTTGTCACGGTGGGGCCAAGCTGCGTGCCTGTACATAGTCTGCTATCGTACTATCATCACGCCTGTAAGTACTGTCCCATAGCACTAGTACGCATGAGGTACATACTGCTGTACTAGGCCACATGCAAGGATATGATGGATTGATTTTTGAACGATACTGGAAATTTGCGGAGGACCCCTCCAGAGCACCCAGCAGCGACCAGCAATGAGAAGCAGCGCACACGTCGGAGCCCACATAAACTTACTCAATCTCTACTCAACCAACATCTCAACCCTCAAGGCTCCCTTCCCAACTTCTTTCCTTCCCTCGCCCTCTCCTTGTAGCTGCTCACCATCCCTCCCCAATCCGCTCCTCTACAGTCTCTATACCTCCCTTCTTCCAAGATGGCTTCCCGTCCCCAGAACATTGGCATCAAGGCCATTGAGATCTACTTTCCCAGCCAGGTTGGTACTCCTCCGTCCTGAACCTCCTCCCCTCCCCTTTCCCCAGTGCTACGCCAGCTTCCTTCATCCCCAGGACCGCCAACAACCAGCAGCACCAGGCGTGGTTGAACCCTCTTTCCCTCCCTAGACCTCCCCTTTCCTTTCCTCTCTGCGCTGTTACTGACGATTCTCCCTTCCAGTATGTCGAGCAATCCGAGCTGGAGAAGTTCGATGGCGTCAGCACTGGCAAGTACACCATTGGCCTGGGCCAGACCAAGATGAGCTTCTGTGACGATCGTGAGGGTAAGTTTTCCTGTTCCAGTTCCCTAGCCCCGCTGCGGCGCACACCCATACCTGATCTAGTGGAAGAGATTGCATTGGCTAACATTGGACGTCCCCTCTTCTCCCTCCAGACATCTACTCCTTTGCCCTCACGGCCGTCTCCAACCTGCTCAGCAAGTACAAGATCGACACCAACTCCATTGGCCGCCTCGAGGTTGGCACCGAGACCCTCCTGGACAAGTCCAAGTCCGTCAAGTCCGTACTCATGCAGCTCTTTGGCGACAACACCAACATCGAGGGCGTCGACACCGTCAACGCCTGCTACGGAGGCACCAATGCCTTCTTCAACACGTTGAACTGGATCGAGTCTTCTGCCTGGGACGGCCGCGATGGTATCGTCGTTGCTGGCGACATTGCCCTCTACGCTAAGGGCAACGCCCGCCCCACCGGTGGTGCTGGCTGTGTCGCCCTGCTGGTCGGCCCTGACGCGCCCATTGTTGCCGAGCCCGGCCTGCGGGGCTCGTACATGCAGCACTCGTACGACTTTTACAAGCCCGACCTGACCAGCGAGTACCCTTACGTTGACGGCCACTACTCCATCAACTGCTACTCTAAAGCCCTGGACGCTGCCTACCGCGCCTACTGCCAGAAGGAGAAGAAGCTGCAGGGCGCCGCCGCCAACGGCCATGCCAACGGCAACGGTGTCGCTGAGGGCCTTACCACGGTGCCCCTGGACCGTTTCGACTACCTGACCTTCCATGCCCCGACCTGCAAGCTGGTCCAGAAGTCGTATGCCCGCCTGCTGTACCACGACTTCCTGGGTGACCCAGAGCACAAGGCGTTCGCCGACGTGCCCCCCGAGGTCAAGGATATGGACTACGAGAAGTCCCTGACCGACAAGGTGGTTGAGAAGACCTTCATGACCCTGACCAAGAAGAAGTTCCAGGACCGGGTCAGCCCGGCTAATCAGGTCGCCACCATGTGCGGCAACATGTACTGCGGCAGTGTCTGGGGTGGCCTGGCCAGCTTGGTCAGCCATGTTGAGCCATCGAAACTGGAGGGCAAGAGAATCGGCCTCTTCAGCTACGGCTCCGGCCTGGCTGCCAGCTTCTGCTCCTTCAAGGTCGTGGGCAGCACCGAGAAGATCTCGAAGGTCCTGGACATCCCCGCCCGCCTGGCCGCCAGGAGACAGGTCACCCCTGAGACCTATGATGCTGTGAGTTGTTTCTATATAGAATTCAGCTCTCCGTTCCCCTTCCTTCCCTCTTCCTCTCTCTCTTCCTCTTCTTTTTTGCACGTACTGACCAAACTTTATAGATGTGCGATCTGCGCAAGAAGGCCCACCTGCAGAAGAACTTCACGCCTCAGGGTGATGCCTCGACTATCATCCCTGGCACCTACTACCTCGAGAAGGTGGACGATATGTTCAAGCGGGAATATTCTGTCAAGGCATAAGCTGCCACTTCCCCTGGGATCATACAGAGGAAGAAGAACAGAGAGGGAGACGCGCGGTGTGACACACACCCACACACGTCCTGGCCCTTGTCGCATCGGATAGAGGCGTCTTTGTTTCGAGAAGATTCGTCGATCTCGGCTTTACCTAAAAGAACGGCGGATGCATAGAGATCATCTCTGTCTCGCCCTCAAAACAAAAGGGGGAACACTGAGGGTGGCGCATCGAACCCGTGGGGAGACGACGGATCCTGCTTTAATAATGATCATGGGCGGTCGCTTGGTGGACATATGGCCAGCATGTAGATACATATCAACGAGATGATGTCTGCTGGCACAGCGACATCTGTACTAGAGTATAGAGCCCCATTACGGTAAACACGACTAAGAACCGCTAATAAAATCTGTCTTGGAATCAAGGCGCAGACTTCACAATGATCCTTTTGTAGTGTCTAGTTAAGATTCTAGTGGACTTTTGCCCCCCCCCCCCCCCAACCCGGGTTATTTTCCCCATTCCCCCCTCGGTTATCCACTGCCTCACACACAGACACACATACTATATAATACACATATATACATGTAGCTACTCCCAGCCCTTATATCACGTCGTACACGTGCCCTGACTTACTCGTTCTCTCCCCGCCACTTCCACTCGGCGTTTCGATGCAGCAGGTAATCCTTGCTCTGGATGCTCTTCGAGATGCCATAGATGCCACCGAAGGGTCTGACACCCTTCAGCCCGCTCCGCTGGGCCTTGATCTTATCCAGGTCGACCTGGACCTTGTCGTACACGCTCGGGAGACCCGCCTCGTCAGCCTTGTACGCCCTGCGCAGATTGTCGTACCAGGCCCGCCCGCCGTACATGTCCCAGAACTCGGGCTCGTCGTAGTACGTGTGGGCGTACAGCCACTTCATGCCGCCCAGCTCCTTGACCTTGGCCTCGAGGGCGCGGTTGGCGGCGACGAAGGCATCATGGCTGGCGGGGCCCCACCCCCAGACGCCGACGTTCAGCATCATATTGTCCTCATCCTCCTCCCTCCCGCCGCTCGTGGTGTATGGGTGGAAGGTCGGCGGTGCCCTCCTTTTCAGCGGGCACAACCAGAGCGGCCAGATGTCCAGCTCCGAGGCGGTGTAGTCTACCAGCTTCTCGGCGGTGGAAAAGGGCATGGCGACGTCCTGGACGATGAAGCGGGCGCTCTCGCCGCTGCCGTGGAGGGCGCGGTAGAGCATGCGTGTGTGAATGAAGTCGTCGAGGAACCAGCGGGTGAGGCGGTTGAAGGGTACGACGCGAAAATACCGCCAGGCCGAGCGCGCGACCCAGAAGCCCGCGCGGTCGTAGCGGAAGAGGTACTCGGCCAGCGGCACGTAATCCTCCTCGACAGCAGCGGCCTGCGACGATGGCGACGACGAGCGGGTACGCGACTCAACATGCAGGTAGAACCAAGGGTCACGTGCACGGGAGAAGGTCTGGATGGGGGCGCTGGCGGGTTTCTCGTCCGTCATCTGGCCCGTGATGACCACGCCATGGTCCTTACTGAACAGGATGCCGTCGACATAGTCATTCTGGGCGTTGGCCGTCTCCTCCCTGACCAACCTCACGGCCTCGGCCACGCTGCTCGTCCGGTGATAACGCGTGCGCACAAACTTGGTAGCTTTGATCAGATTCAGCTCCAGCAGCGTCGTCACACCCAGCGTGCCCACCGCGCCGGCTGCGCCGCGGAACAGGTCGGCGTACCTGTCGTCCTTGTCCGGCCGGGCGGTGACGACCTCGCCGTCGGGCAGGACAATCTCTACGCTGCGTACCGTGTCGTCGAAGAAGCCATGCCGGAAGGATGAGGACTCGCCTGCTGTGCCTGCAAAGCCGCCGCCAGCCGTGATGCCGGGGAACTCCATTACCACTGGAGGTACGAGGCCGTATTTGAGTGTGTGGGAGACGAGGGCATCCACTGCAGCAAAACGAAGTCGTTCATCGGTCAGTCTCTCTCTCTCTCTCTCTCTCTCTCTCTCTCTCTCTCTCTCTATTTCTATGTGTCTCTATAACTTTGTTTCCCTTTCGGCAAGACGAAACTTACTAGGGACGTTAGGCTCGACAAGAGCTGTGCGGGCATTGGTGTCTACAGAGAGCACATTGCGGAGAGCCGAGATGTCAACGACCTTGGATCGTGCGTGAGCCTGGGTCGGCCTGGTCGAGTTCGTGCTGCCGTGGAAGATGCGGTAGGGTTCCTTGGAGGCGTAGAACTGTTTTACGGTCTTGGAAATGGTTTGTATGAGGGAGCGATGGCGCTCCATCTTGTTGTTTGGGTGGGTGGGGGTGTGTGTGTGTGTGTGTGTGTGTGTGTGTGTGGTCGTCCTCTTCTTGGTCAGGCCGTTCACCTCCCCCTCCTCGACGTCCCTTTGGCTCACCCTCCTGGCTTCAGCCTCAGCCTCAGCCTTGACCCTTGACTTGTTGATAGGATGAGAGCTTAGAGAGGTCCAGAGATGGAGCGAGACTGCTTGGGCCAGACGAGTAAATTCAGGTGTAAATTGGTGAGTGAGCGAGCCGGCTGCAATGCAAGACACAGCCAAGAAAAACCTCCGACAAGTGAGACCCACATGCAAATATCACAGTATACTTATTAGACGGAGCCGCTCGCGGGAACTGCCGGAATTTGAACAATGTTGTTTTTCCCTTGGTCCTCTTCTTCTATTACTTTTGTGGATACAAAACAATTGTTTGGAAGAAGTAGAAGAAGAAAAACAAAGAAGAAGAGGAGAATACGAATAGAAAGGAGGGGAAAAAAGAAGGGGGGCCCGAGGTTGACCTCCGGGGAGAGCAACAAACCAACACCCTAAAAGTCACCACTTCCAGCAAGGAATCAAGTATTGTGTAAGTTGAAGTTGTTGTTGATGATGAGGAGGAGAGGGAAGGAGAAAGGGAGAGCTCTTTAGTGCATTTTGGCCCTGAAAGATCCCCTGTTAAATGCTTAGCCATTGACCCTGGTGGTTGTTCCTTCCACCGCAGTGTGCCCTGCCGACGAGCTCTAATCTCCACTAGTATTTTCGCTTCGTGTATGGTGTATCATATATACTAAGGCTGGTTACTTATGCTGGCAGTCCTTTTTACTTCTTCTCCTTCTTTTTTTTACCTTGCTGGATTTACAGCCACGCCTCAAAAAAACGAGATAGGAGGCAAGAGTGCGACAACATGTGGACGACACAACAACATAATTACAGCCTCGCAGCAACATCTCCAGTCGCCTTCGGGCCTGTCCACTGCGCCGCCAGCTCTCGCAACCGATCCTGCAAGTCTCTCTCCGTGTACGGCGCCAGCTGCGCCGGGTCTCTCTCCTCGTCCTTCATCGTCTTGGCCCGGATCGTCCTGAACACGCTCTTCTTCTCGTTTGTCGGAGACTCCACGGCCTCCTTCATAAATCGTGCCCACGCCTCAAAACACATCCTCGACATGGGGTGGTCGGTCAGGACCATGGCGAAGCAATGCGGCATCCCCTCGTATTCCTCCCAGACGACCGGCACCCCTTGCGAGTGCAAATGTGCAGCCATGTACTTGTCCTCGTCGGCAAGCAGCTCCCACCCTGTCGACATGAACACGGGTGGGCATCCTTCCCAGCTGGGCGCCGTGAGGAGGGTGACGAGCGGGTGTGTGATGAGCGCGTCGTCGCAGTAAAGCATCTTGCGGGGCGGCTGGGCGGGCCAGGCCGGACAGGACGGCCGTGGGATCTTGTCGAGCTCCTCCAGCATGGGAAGATAGTCAAAGGGCGTATTGGTCTTGCATGAGGCGGACGAGTGTGTCATGTCCAGCCAGGGCGAGCTGAGCGCGATGCCTGCTGGAAGAGGAACTGTGTGGATCTGTTGGCCGTGCCACTGGATCTCTACGTTGCCACGGCGCCTGACATCGAGGAGCAGCTGGATCAAGGCCATGCAGAGGTTGCCTCCTGCGCTGTTCGTTCACACACAAAAACGTGTCAGTCCCACGGAGACCCCTCCTATGATGTGGATATGGATTTGAGTATAACGTACCTGTCGCCCGCAAAGACGATATCCTCGGACCTGACGGGGTCGTGAAGGGCGCCTGGGGGAGGAAAAAGCAGGGCCAGATACGATTGAAGTGCATCGATCAGCGCAGCCGGAAACGGGTTCTGCGGTGCCAGCCTGTATCGCACAGAGTAACAACGCCCGCCCGTCAACTTGGCAATCTTCTTGGTCGTCGGTCGGTGCGTCGCCGGGTCCATCAGGTAATAAGCCCCGCCGTGGAAGTATAGAACGGTGACAGGGCTCGTGACCTCCTTCATCATCTCGCCGTACTTCTCCGCTTCCGTGATGAGCGGCAGTCGTGACGACGCTGTCGCGCTTGCCCGGTATCCTGTCCACTCTGCCTCCACAGGCACCACATCGGGCCACTGCACACCGGTCAACGGCTGCGGCGGCGGCGACGGTTGGCTCTTGTCATCATCATGATCAGCTGCGGCGGCAGTGGCGGCAGGGCGCATAGACTCGACAGTGCGGATGACAATGTCCCGGATGCTGGGTTCCGGCGGCGCAGGAGCCGTGTACTTTGCGATCCAGATGCGGCCCTTGATCCCCGGGTCCCGGTTCAGGAGATTCTGTGTCCCGGTGATGCTCATGGGCGTGGAGGGTTCCAGGAACGACCGCAGCACGGCAACCGTCAGCTCGGTCCGCAGGTCGACGTACTTGGAGGGCGGCGACATGTGCAGAAGGTGGAGCAGGGCCACCCTCGCCATCAGAGGCAGCTTGGCCACCAGCTGCAGGACTAGCTTCGTGTTGTCACGGTCCATGGTGGTGGAAGAGGAGGAGGAAGACTAGGCCCTATGCCTCCCCTTACCTTGTCTTCTGGCGACAACGTCAAGAGGAATTATGAAGATCTGCCTGAGTGAGTGAGGAGGGAAGAGCGAGGTGGCGGGGATTGTCGTCTGTCTATATGAACATGGCTAGGATTGAAGAAGAAGAAGAAGAAGAAGAACAAGGCGAAAATTTGATTTCTTGACCTCTCAGCCCCTCCTCTCTAATGCTCTCTGTCTCTGTTTTCTTTTCTATCTCTGTCTCTCCTATGAATAGGAATGCGCGTTCTAGTCGGAACAAAGAAAATCTTGAAGAAATGAGGACAGAGTAGTTCAGAAGAAAGAGACTGTTGGTATAGGGACAGAGACGGTATTTAAGTTTGGGGTAAGAGTATCAGTGTACTCGCAAAAGGTTTCGAGCAACGGGGTATCAGCTATTCGTATTATTTAGCCTTATATACCCCCCCAACCAAGGCTGCTTGCTGCTGCTGGTCTGGTCTGGTGATCCTCTACCGCCAACGCAGAGCCCTCTCACTAAATAGCTAGCCTACATTCGATCGATCAATGCCTTGCAAAGCAGCGTCGATACGTATAGCAGCCGTGACTGGACACTGGACAACAGACACGGCGCAATTTTTGTGCCTCGGCACATCAATGGTCTCCGCTTCGCAGCCAAAGCACATATGCTTCACGCTTTGAGAATCCGAGCGGACCGAGCCGTGCTGCGCTGGACATCCGGTCACATGAAATGCTGGGCAGCGCTCCACAGTAAGCCTCTGCCTCTCCTTGAAAGATGTGGGAGGGAGGCAAGTTGGAGTAGAGGACCGGCTGACGAACTTTGACGCATTTGCTTGAATAGAGCTTCTTCAAGCATAAGTCGACGGATCGTCGCACGAGACCTCAGATCTTTGTCGCAGACCTTGCTAAAAGGGGGTAGTTTGATCATCTGCCAGGGTGGTTGGTGTGCATTCTACTGGGCCGGGAAAGGTGACGACGATATTGATGGTGATGACGAATGATAACCAAAGATGAATGAAGACTAAAGGAGTGAGATAGATGCTCAACATCTAACATCTCCAGCGCTCCCACAGCAGCAGAGCATACGAGATTGCGCACGGATTTCCTGCTTAATGGCCATCCCTGCAATAGTACTTCCAAAACTGAAGGGGTCGTGCTCAACAGCCTTGGTTATGAAGACGTCTGAATCAGCCAGGCGGCCGAGGTATCGATAGACAGAGGACCTGCCATAAGTCAGCCTGACCATCTGCGCAGAACTCGGATGCAAAGCACCCCCCCCCTCCCCACATGGAGCAAAACCACAGACGTGCAGTACCGTGGTCCCTGCCTCCGCCATATGCTCCCCAGCCTTGCAGGCGCAAACCTCCAAGGCCTCTTGTTGCAGGCACGGTGGATTCTAACACCCATGCGAATATGTTCTGTACCGCGCAGAGCCTGGTCTCGAGGAAGAGGTCGGCGGCGGCGGAGAGAAAGCCAGAACCGTCAGCAACCCTCACCTCTGCTAGGGAAGAATTGGACACGGTGAGCGGGAGCAGGGTGCGGGTCGTTCAAAACATCTCTGCAGCCTTGTGAAAGTGTTTGTCCTCGGAATACCAGTAGCCTAGGTCTTTATTGGGCTGCATCTCCCTGAGGATATCCTGGGGATCAGGACAGGTAAACCCCTCGGCCACGGCGTCTGTCTCCCGTGTTGAACTGAAACGTCGGTTCTTATGTGTTAGAGCTGGCACGTGATAATAACAACACAACAACAGTATGTGCTGGATTTTGCGAAGCTTCTTCTCTTTCTTCTTTATATTTTATTCTTCTTTTCCTTCGAGAGAGAAAAGAGAAAGTGAGAGAAAATAAGGAACAGCCGTAAATTACTATAAACTTCAACATCTATAGCCAAGCTAACACAGGTGTGAAGTATGTGAAGTATGGAGAGTGTAAAAATATCAGTGTGGAGAGACTCTCTAACTGGAATGATAATAGAGAGGAAAGACACGTGTAGAATCACGCCTCTCGAGCTCGGAGGAAAGGGGGGGGGGGTATATGTGCGATAGTAGCTGTAACACCCCGCTCTCCTCGTAACCAGCCAATAAATAGCTGCAGTGCAGTCTGCAGTGTAAGCGTTTCACTTCCATTCTCGCAGTCAAACGCATAATTCATGTTGCACAGACTGAGACTCAGACGAACAGCTTTTTTTCCCATGTCGCGCGTCGCAATGCGTACTACCACACCTTGCACACAAACACGGAACCAGGGGTTGCGCTCTGTTGGGGGCAGTCTGTATGTATGTGCTGTATTCTGAGTGGCGTCCAGGGGGCCAGTTTCGCCGGGGTGGGACTCTGAAAAGGGCGCACTGGATATTGAAAGGCCATCGCCAGCACGTGAGGGAGGCAGCTCATTCTCTTTCCCCTGGCTAGTGTCTCAGTCATGTCTAACGGGACCTCCTCGAGCTGGGGCGAGACAGTGAGACGGACAACCAAGTGCTGCTAGGAGTGAACATGATGATGATGAATAAATACCTCCTAACATTTCTCACACCTTACACCTCGCTACACCCAGCTATCTCAACCTGTCTAGCTCGCATTATGCTGCCCCTCGACCCTGGGCAAGTCCTCCAGAGCAGTCGTGAACGTCTCGATGCCTGGCCTCTCTGCAGGCGTCTCAAAGGGCGTCTCCGCCGATGGGGTGACCGCCTCCTCCCCGCCAACAAGTAAAGCTGGAGGCACAGCATCTTTGCTCTTGCCTTTACCTTCGTCATTCTCGCCTTTGTTCATATCACTAGTAGTAGTAGTAGCAGCAGCAGCAGCACCCATAGGTTCGCTCGTCTTCTCATGTTCCAGTCCAGCAAAGAACCCAGTCGAAGTCGGGCTCAAGGGCATCGACGTCGAGGCACGTGGTGTTTCTAAGCCCTGACTCAGATGACTCGTTAAAGTCAACATGCTCGCTGTCTCAGCCTCTTTCTTCTGTGAAAATACCCACAAGAAAAAGGGGGTGTATGAGTAAGATGTTCTGGTAAAAAAAGACGAAAAATCACACAAGTTGTTGACCTACCAAGCTGAAGGGCACCGCTATCCCATCCACGTAGGGCCTCTTGCCGGTCGAGCCGACGCCTACCCCGGGCTGATAGCTGGGAGAGAGGTGCTGGGACGGCTCCCTCTCCGCCGCGTCCGGATCATCCCCCCCGTGCTTGGCAAGGAGCTCGGCGACCGTCGTGTTCTCGTCAACGTCGTCAACGGCACCTTCCTCGTCCTGCCCTTCGTATGTCACCCTCCTCCTGCGCGAGGGCCTGCGCGACCGACTCTGGTCCTTGGGTGAGTGGGGCGCCGTGGTTCGTTGCGCCTCGATCTCGGCAAACGGTCTTGCGCCCTGGCCGTCGGACGGCAAGGTCGGGCTGAAATCGATGCCCTGGTTATCCTTCTCGGCCTGTATCTCCCTGTTCATGGTCATCTTGTCGTGCTTGGACCCCCAGAGCGACCACAACGCGAAGCCCATGTTCTTAGTACGCTTCCTCGTCTTGGTGACGCCATCCTTCTTTCTTCGTCCCGCGAGCGCGCTCGGCGGTGGGATCTCGCCTTCGCCGAAGCCCTCGTAGCCAATGATCAGGTCCTTCACGGCCTGTTTGTGGACCTTGCGCCTGGCAGAGGCAAAGCGCCGGTCCCACTGCCGTTTCTGCTCCAGCCACTTCTTCACGGGGCCCTGCTTTGCCACGCCGACGAGCTCCCTGTCCATGGAGCAGCCTGGCAGCTCGGACGGCGGAGGCAAGGGAAAGATCACGCCGTGCCTGGTCACACGCTGCCGGATCATGTGGTTTTTGAAGGGGGGTAGCGCATCGCCTGCCTTTCCAACCACGCCCCGAGACTCCTGGTCATTGGCCTCTTCATCTTTCTGCGCCTTTGGTTTGAGCATCGTGTCCACTGAATGGATACATAAAGAGGAGGGGCAGGGAGACTCACCTTTTTGGCCGCCTCGGCATCAGAGTCAGAGGTTGAGCTCGAGATGACAGAGATGTCATCGTCGTCCTGGATCTCAATGTCCGTCTTCTGCGCCCTCGCCAGGGCCCACGCCGCGAACTGTGCCACAGACCTGTACATGTACTTGGCGGGGCGGGTAAAACTCAGCGTGGGTGCGACGTGGCAGAGGTCGTCCCACACCTGCAGCTGGACATCGGTGGGCTTGTACTGCTTGATCTGCGCCCAGGCCCTCTCATCCAGCGTCGACTCGGACGGTAGGTACTGGGAAGGATTGGCGCACTTGTGGGCCACGTAGACCTGCTCATCCCGTAGGATCTCACCGCCACCGACCATGATGAGGAGAGGCGGCAGACCGCCCAGGGTGGGCTGCATGACGGGGCTCACGAGGGGGTGCGTGATGAGCTCGTTGGTGGCGTACATCTGGATCTGTTCCTTGACCTCGACCGTCTTGCCATCGATGACAACTGACAGGTGCGTAGCCTCTGCCTCAGCGATATCCCTGGACGTAGGAATGCCCTCGTCGGCCTTGTCATTGGCATCACCTTTGCCTGGGTCGCCTTTAGGCATGATGGTGATGCTGTCAGCTTCACTTCTTCAATGTCCACAAGAGAGCGGAGATCATGTCTCTAAGACAACCAAGAGAGGGGGACATACGCTGGATTCTCTGCTTTTCCGCCAGGGCCAAGCTCTTGAGCTCACTGGTCTCTTCGTCGGTCGGAGGCGGCCACGCCGGAGACGGCTTGTGGTGAAAGCCCCCCTGGGGAATATAATCGAATGGCGCATCGCCGGCGACCGATGGGAACGAATGGGTCAGGTCGCACCAGGGACTGATCAGCACCGCACCAGCCGGCAGAGGAATTCCCTGGTCCCTCATGATGACCATCAGGCTCAGAACCATACCTCCACCCGCGGAATCGCCGGCCAGGATGATGGTGCTGGGCTCCTGGGTGGTGAGCAGGTACAGATACGCGGCTAAGCAGTCCTGTAGGGCGCAAGGGAATGGGAACTGCGGCGCCAGCCTGTAGTCGGGCGCGAACACCCTGGCCTTCAGCTTGCGCGCGTGCCTCTGAAGCTGGTACCGGTGCATGTCGACGCTGCCAAAGAAGTAGGCGCCGCCGTGGATGTAGAACATGACACGGGACCCGGGGTCGTTGTTCTTCTTGCGCTCATGGTAGTCGGAGCGCATCTCGATCCACTCTGCCCGGAGAGACGAGGCGTCTGGGTTGCGCCACTGCCACCACTTGCGCCCGCCAACCTTGCGGATGCCGGCTGGGCCGAGCTGGGCCTCGAGGTGCACTGCGGCGCGGTCGAGATCTGCCTCAGGGATGACCACCTCGTCGAGTTTAATCCACTGCGGGTGGGGGACCCATTGCGCGGTGAAGGCCTGGAGATCCTCAACAGTATGCTGCGAGACGTAGGCCAAGAAGGACCGGATGAGATGAAGACCCTCATCGTAGGAAAGGTGGGCCGTGGGCCGCTGATGGAGCGGTTTGCGGTTGAGATACTAGCACAGGTGGTGAGCGTGTCAGGTCTCCTCCCCCTTTACATGCCTCGAGGACGACAGAGAAAGAGAGAGAGAGAGAGAGAGAGAGAGAGAGAGAGAGAGAGGCACAGACTTACATGTGACAAGAAGGTCTGGAGGACAGTCGGCGTGACGGCCAAGCCGACCGAGGCTGTGTTCATCCGGTTCATCTTCTCCTTCCTCAGCTCCCAAACAGATGCGTGAGGAGGCTATCACTCCAGGGCTGTCTAACTGCTTGACGCGATCGAAGTCATCCAAGGATGATTACAGCTTACAGCTCTCAGCCCACACAGCCCCGCCTGCTCTGACGACGGTTCTCTGACAGAAAATAAGGAAGGGGAACAATAATAATAATAATAATAATAAAAATTACAAGGAAGGGAGGAAGCCCAGATTATCACGAGAGCCACGAGAGATGGAAATGCAAAAAGATACACAGAAAAAACATGACCTGTAAAAGGAGTGTTCCAAGGTCAGATGGACGTGACCTTTTTATGAAGGAAGACAGATGTACTTTTTTCAGCTCTCTCGACACATGAGGATCAGGTCTCCCCAGCTCCAAGATATAGGAAGCCGGCAGAGAAATGCGCTGGCCAAGCATTTAGTGAATCAAATGTTAAGAAGGGCCGCCTCATTACGCTTAAGATTGGGAACCAATTAACACTTCTTGTCTCCTTCACTCTTTCCCCCCTTCCAACTGAACCTAAACCTTTAGATTCAGGGGGTGATGTCATGGCGTCCTCCTGAGGCGGGTGGACCATCATCATCTTATACATACTATCCCAGTAGTGGAACGTTAAGGGTTAGGGTTGTTACAGTGGGGTTTCCACCATGACCGGACTGGTCTCCTTACCGCTTCAGCGTACGCCAACGTACTATGGGTACAGGCCCTGCCTACTGCCACGTACATGCCGCGATAAAGCGCGGGCCTCGTCTTCCGCGCCGAGGTTAATTGGCTCCCTGGCCGGGTCTTTTTGGTCTTCATCTTCATATCCTCGGGAACCTCCAGCAACTGTTATTTTTTATCTTATATTTTTGGAACTTCAATAAAATTCGAGATTTCTTTATTTTGTTGTTTGTCTTGCAGATAAAGAGAGATATATACACTACATAGGACCCTGACTTTATTCAAATTTCCGTATAGAGGTGCACATTTTCACCAGCATTTACACCTGTCCCACAATTGTTATTCCCCCTCCTTCCCCCCTCCTCATCCTCCCCGTCCTCACACGCTGGATCGTTCCAAACATGTCGGCTGTGTTTGATATAAAAGAACATGTCATCGAGGGCCAACACATTCGAGAATATCCCCGAGCGACAGCACATGCACAGGAGGAAATCCTCCAGCTGGCGGTGAAACAGTACATCCCCAAAGACAACCCAAAGCCAAAGCCTGGCGATATCACCATCATCGCCTCTCATGCAAATGGTTTCGTCAAGGTATGTAGCACCGCCCGTCGGCGCAAAAGAGAGAGAGAGGGAGAGAGAGGGGGATAAAGACGAGAATTATCTCCTATTGAGCTGACACGAGAAACCTTCTCTCTCTCTCCCCGGCCTCCAGGAGCTGTACGAGCCGCTATGGGAAGACCTCTTGCACACATGTCGCCAAAGTGGCGTCAACATCCGCGGCATCTGGATAGCCGACGTGGCCTGGCAGGGCCAGAGCGGTATCCTAAACGAGCACAAGCTGGGCAATGATCGTGAGTGAGCACACACACACACACACACACACACACACACTCTCTCTCTCTCTCTCTCTTTTTGTCTCATGTATCTTCGTCACTAAGCCGCTTCTTCTGCTGCTGCTCCCATAGCCTCATGGTTCGACCACGCCCGCGATCTTCTGCACCTGACCAACGTCTTCCGTGCCCAGATGCCTCGTCCCGTGATCGGCGTAGGTCATTCTTTTGGCGCCAACATCATCATAAACGTCGCCTACATGCACCCACGCCTCTTCTCAGGCCTCGTCATGATCGACCCCGTCATGAGCAGCCGGATCCGCTTCGGGCCCTTGTACGGCTTCAGCACCATGCGCGCCTCGGCATCCCGGCGTGATCTCTGGTCCTCCCGACAGGAGGCAGAGCAGGCCGTCCGTAGGAATAAGTTCTACGCCACGTGGGATCCGCGTGCTGTGGACAATTTGATCAAGTTCGGCTACAGGGATGGACCTACGCTCCTGTACCCGGACAAGACGGGTGGCGAGGTCACGCTGACCACCACCAAGCACTTGGAGTGCTTCACGTACTATCGGCCGATCCTGCAAGGGCCCAGGGATCCCCACACCGGCAAGAGGACCATGGACCGCTCTCTGATCCCCGATGCTACCAGCGAGGTCGACGAATTCCCCAATTTCCCTTTCTATGGAAACGCCTCGTCCACGACGGCCGCGAGGCTGGGCGAGCTCAGGCCGAGCGTGCTGTGGATCGCTGGGGAGCTCAGTGCCGTGTGTCCCCCGGAGACGCAGCAGGAGAAGATGGAGCTGACGGGGTACGGACCGGGTGGCAACGGAGGCGCAAAGGCCGGCAGGGTCAAGGAGTACGTGGTGAAAGGGGTGGGCCACCTGGTGGCCATGGAGAGACCCAAGAAGATTGCCGAGCAAGCGGCCGGGTTTATCAGGGACGAGGTGGATCGGTGGAGGAGGGAGGAGGAATCGTATAGGAAAGAGTGGGTAGAAGCCGTGGACGACAGGTCGAAGACGGTCATGGACCAGGAGTTTAAGGACTTGATTGCCAGTGTTGGGCCCGAGTCGAGCAGGAGGAGAGATGGAGTAATGGCTGGGCCAAACGCCAAGCTGTGACATATTTTTCTTCTTTCTTTCTTTCTCCTTTTTTCCCTTGAGCCATCATGGCCAGTTCACGCTGAAGAAGCAGTAATAGACTTGGATTTGTGGGGAAGACGGCATACCTTCCTTTCTCGCGTTCCCACCATTTTGCACATTTGTGAAGGGCATCCATCTACAGAGGACGAGAGACATGTTCGAGATCAATACCTGGAATCTTGCGGGCGTGTGTGTGTGCATTGTGCCTTGATATGAAAATACACGTGTGAGCCCTGTGCTGCGCATCTGATACTACGAAAGACAATGCATGCATTCAGAACTTCTTTAATGTACTTTACTTGCAGGCTATGGGCAGTCCTCGCACTCTTGAGTGGGAAGAGAGGAGGCTTAGCTGGATGTGACCTCTGAGCCGGAAGTTTGGGCTGGCGTTGCAATGGTTGGCGTCCACGTGGCAACACGTAGACGCTATAGTGACAACCTCGAGAATACATACTGACTCAGCAGATAAGACGGTGTAAAACTTCAAAAGGTAAATATCGAGTACCAGAAACTAAATTTTTTTTTGTCTTCGGAGTCTTTTTGTCATCCCCCAAAATTTGAAATGCAAAATAGAATAACGTATATGTAAACATTTAGTGTTTGTCGAAAAGTGGAGGCACGCCGACCACCAGGTAGCTGCCACCAGTTCAATTCCTCAAGTCGTAAATACAGTACACATGATCATCACTCTCATCATCAGGGCTGAAGAGATTCATCCTCATTTGCCTCCCGGAAGTCCTGTTCATCCTCCTGTTTGAATCCCAAACGCCGATATTCTGTACCGTACCGTGCGTGCGCTGTTGTCATTTCCCTCTTCTTCTTTTTTTTTTTCGTAGGCCTTTTCAAGTTCTGCCCATGGCTAGTGCCAGACCGGTTATGAACACACACACACACACACACACACACACACACCCATACGCAGATGTGCTCATTACAATACATCGTCATCTCGTGATGAAAACCCATGAATAAATCATACGCCGCTTGGTGAATGCTCTCTCCAAAAGGAAACAAAGGTGAAAAGAAAAGAAAAACACTCATGGATTCAGCTGGATGAACCCAGCTCCGCCCTCGCCTAAAGGATTGCCCTGCGGTGGAGGAGGAGGAGGAGGAGGCTGGTGCTGTTGCTGGTGCATCATGGGCGGCATCTGCATAGGGCCAGGCCCAGGAGGCATGAACATGGGCGGCTGATGGGGCGCCTGGTGCACTGATCCGGTCATGTAGCTGCTGCCACTGTACACCGAGGAGTAGTCGTCATCGTCATCATTGGGATTCATGCCGTCCACGATCTCAATGGGGGCACCAGGAGGAGGCCCTCCTCCCCCTCCCATCATCATGGGCGGTGGACCCATGCCCATACCCATGCCCATGCCCATACCACCACCACCGCCTTGGGGGGGCATCCAAGGTCCGGCTCCTCCCATGTGCTGCGGGTGCTGTGGAGGGGGCGGATGTGGCCTCACCGGCACACCACCCGCAGCCGGTTGGGTTCGGGACGAGTGGCGGCTGCTCCTCCCGCTGCGGGAGGACCTCGAGGATGACGAGCTGTGGTGGCTCCTGCCGTCATAGTCGTCCTCGTAGAACCACATGGTGTAGCCCGAAGGATCACGGACGAGCAGGTACCTCTCCACGGTCCTGGTGGGCCCATTGGGCTCCTCGATCGTTGTGACCTGGCGCCGCAGGTTGGTGTGTCTGCGGGGGTCGCCGCCTGCGAACCAGATCAGGGGCTTGACGATGTTCTTGCGAGGCACGTTGACGTTGAAGGACTCAATTGAGACATTTGACTGGGTGGAGGACGACGAGGATGAGGAAGAAGCCGAGGAAGAGCGGCGTGAGTACGAGTGAGGCATCGCGATCTTGGTGGTGAACCTCGTGAGGCGGTATTTGTGATAGGATGATACGATTTTTGGCAGGGATATGGGTCTCTCCTTTTTTTGCTCTCTGTTTTGCACACGAGGAGAGGCTCCAGAGAGGGATCACCTGGCCGAATGAGGGAGAAAATGCTTCAATATTCTCAGAGTAGTAAGAACAAAAAGACCCAAGAGAAGGGGTCCAATATTGGTTCGGTACCACCCGAGTATTGACAACGGAGGGGAGCCCAGGACCAGAGATGGGGAAGAAACAACTTGGTACTGGTAAATTCTCGCGTGAGAATCAGCACAAGGTTGCAAGCCTCACTCGGTCTTCGCTGGGGGGGATCGTCAGTGCTAGGCTTGGTTCTGACAGGACTTGTTCCCCATGAGGAAGTAATATGTGAGGCACGATATGAAGAGCAAGGAGGAGGGTGGTAAAAAAGGGAGGCAACGTGGGACAGAGAGGAGGAGGATGGTCGATCAAAGGCAAACTTCCAGGACGGGGTCGCCACCATGATATATACTTGTGCAGATCTCCAAAGCATATATATCAAAGTGTAAAAAAGTATGAGTGTACTCTAGTACATATGCGCGCCCCCCTCCCTCCCTTCATTTTGGGCCCGCTTGAGCATGGCGGTTACGTCCGGTACCCAATTGTGCACTCATGGATTCCACAGACGAACCGTCAAGAGCTGCCTTATTGCTGACAACCTTGCAGGTGATGATGCCTGGGGGGGGGGGGGGGTTTGACCAGGGCATGTTCTTTGCCTGCTTGGGTCATGTATCTCTTGTGCAGTTTTGGCGTGCCAATGTGGCGCACCCACACCCCTCCTTCAGACTCGAACAAAAAAGAAAAAGCAGCCATCCGCTGGCAAGGGGGGGGGTGGGGGACAACAAAGTGAAATTTGCCCGATCGCACTGATGTCGTGCAAATAATGAGTTTATGGGATGTGTGTGGTGTGGGGACCATACAGAGGACGAGCACAGAGCCGCAGAGAGAGATTTCTGCAACCCCCTCGTGCTCCTGCGATTCGGGTAGCCAAAGAGCTACTTGCTCTGTAGGAATCAAGGGCGGACACTAAGAGGCCACGGAGCAATCAGTTGTGTGCCTGGCCCGGAGAATCCCTGCCCTGCAACAGTGCATACTCCGGTCGGGCGAGCCTAGTATCAGCGGACGAACCAGAGAGCGCCCTGGGCCTCCATGAGAAGTAATGTGTCAGTTTTCATCTGTCCTGCTCCGCCCTGCTCTGGAGAGAGCCTCTTGGCCAACAACAATCGCACAGACCCAGACGGATTCAAACAGAGCCCGAGAGGGAGGCGCAGGCGCGTGATGTGCCCAGGATGCTGATCCCCCACACGAAAGAGAAGAGCGCCTTGAAAAAAAAATAAAAGGTCTGTCTCCACAGTCTCTGTCTTGGTCTTTGTCTCTTCAGAGAGAACAGACCGCGGGTCCGACGGTACTCTGCAGACGGCTATGTGCCGCAAGACCTGAACCACCATTCTGGAGAGGGATGTCTCAGTGGGGCGGTGATAGCAGACGGACGATGCCGTGTAAAGAACGCCGCATTGTAATGACGAAACAGGTGGCACATTCTGGACGCCGCCTAGAGCGGCAACCAGCCTTTCTAATATCCTCTCCGAAGAAGTAACATGCCCTCGTAACCTCGCAAACTCGTGGTTCCCCGAGCAGCGCAGGGCCATGAGGGTGGTTATGTAGCCGCTGTAGGCGCTTGCGTCTGGTTTGAGACCCGTGTCTCTTTTTTATTTTCCTTTTTTGTAGTTGTATTACCTATTGATGGCGACAGTAAGCAAGAGAAAAAAGAAAGAAAAAAGAGGGAGGCGATGCCTAGGCGACACGGCGGTAAGCATAGAAGAACCCACATTGCACGACATATGAAGATCATGCAACCAGACAAGGTGGTAGATCAGAGCTCAGGCGTGCCAAAAGGGCAGCTGGGCCAGGCCTGCACATGCTAAATCGTGCTCGGGGGTATGCAGGTCGTACAGTAGTAGCGCTTGGGAGGGGGGGGTTAGCCACCCGATTTGGTCTCTGCTGAAACCTGCATATTACTGTGCAGTCACATCCTAGCTATTGTACGCCCCTCTCGTGCAGAGTGAGGCGGGCCCCCATCAGCCACGGAGAGCCAGTGAGAGCCAGTGAGAGCCAGTGAGAGCCAGTGAGTGAGACGGAGGGACCGGGTGCTCCTGATGGGAGGGTAGTGCCAGACAGCCCTGGGTGTAGTACCATAGTGCTTCTTCATATGCAGGATGCAGATCCAATCAATAAGTAATGCACACGCTATGCGTTGGTAGGAATAATAATATGAAAGCCCGGCGCACACGGCTCGGCTTGTTTGGCCAAGCACGACGGCAGGTCGATGCATGGGTCGTTGGCCGGAGTAGGTGTGCGGTATTCATCGTAGGAAACCCTCCAAGCCAAAGATCACCGGCTCATTGCATAGAATGCGGTGAGAGACAAGATCTCGCAGCTTGTCTCCTCTCTTCTCTCTCTTGAGGATTCGGTCGGCGCTCTCTGGAAAGGCAAGTTATCTGCATGACGTGAAAAGTCTCGGAGAGTCTTTATTTTCTTCTTCTGCTTTTGCTTCTCCTCCTCCTCCTTGAACAGATCCTGTCACTATTTCTTCTTTTTCTTTGCTGCTTTATGTTCTTCTTTCTTCCCGTGATACGAGGAAAGAGCCAGTCGTTGGTGGCTTTAAAGTGGTGCCACCTAGAGATGCAGTGATGCTCTCTCCTCTCTCGGCTGTGACGTCGAGCCACCCGATATCTGAAACGGGCTGAAATGTTTTCCATGTTCACTGGCATTCTTTTCTTTTTTTTCTTTCTTTTTTTCCCCCTTCCTCTGTTCTTCTTCTTCTTCTTTCTTTCCCTTTTTTTAATTTTTGGCGAGACGGGAAAGTATCTTATCCCGCAGCCGATACGGGTGCTCGCATTCACGTCGTCTGAGACAGTGGGACGGAAGTTCCCTTGATCAGGCGAGATGACGAACTTCCAGTGGATACGGCCGCGACCTCAGTCAGCCGCAAATCTAATTGATGATGCAAATGTGACTGAGTGTGATGAGAAAGGACCTTTGGTCGCATGGTGGTCGTGGTAAGAGGTAGACACGCGGATACATTGCCAAGGTGACGGCGCTTCTCAACCATGACGTCGAATTAAATCGACACCTTTTGTGAAGGACGAGAAGTTTAGGTCTGTCCTGCAGTGAAAGATTCCAGTGGGGGCCGGGGCCCGGGGCGGAGGGGGGGGTGTTTGTTCGCTGGACCAGTGCCCGCCGCCAGGGTTAGAGCGGAAGGCGGTGGAGAGAAGGCGTGCTTGTGGTTACTACTTTGTAGGGAAGGAACGATCGTCTGGCAGTTGCTTCTGCTTCGGAAAAAGAGCTTGATGGCAGCGCAGACACTCGGAATTCTAATTCTCGTATAGCTACAGTCCCTTATCGTGCGCATCGAGTACTCATGTTGTCTTTGCCTTGCGTGCCTTCACGACAGCCATGCTCGGCAGCTCCAGAAACGTCTTCCAGAAGTCCGGATCACTCTTGACGCAGGGGGCTTCTCCGGCCGGCTCAACCTGTGTGTCCACCAGCCCGTGTCTCGCGTGGAACTCGTCAATCTTGGCCGGGTCGTGAGTGACTTCCATCGACGCCGCATCGTACTCCACGGGCGGGTCGACGCTGACCACATAGCGGAACAGCATACCGCCAGGCACGTCCACAAAGTCCTTGTATACCGCGCCATATTTGCCGCTCGTCGTCTCCGGCGTGCGAGGGGAATTGAAGACGCGTGTTCCGATAAATCGTCCGCCTGGCTTGAGGTAGGCCACGATCGTGCGGAACATGCCGTCCAACATCTCCATGCTGGACGCGTGCTCGAAGGTCCAGTTGGCCATGACCAAGTCGTAGCCTTCATCTTTAAACCGCAGCGGCAGGCGCTCCACATCCTCAGGCTTGGACACGTCGACCTCGAACCACTGCACAACCTTGCTGCCTCTTCCCAGGGTTTCCTCTACCTCCTTGCCTATCTGCATCATTTCGGGAGACACTGAGGCGGCGTCAGAACAGTTTAACCCAGATCCCAGAGCACAGTAAGTGCGACCAGCGAAGCAACCATGGATCGAGACAGTCATGTCGACTTACAGTCGAGAACATCCACGGCAACGGCGCCATGGTCAACCACCTGGCGTGCCCTCACGCCCTGGCCGCCGCCGACGTCAAGCACCGTGAGGCCCTTGCAGTCACCCAACGCCGAGTCTAGAAGCTCATTCTCTAGTGTGCCTTTCGGGAGGGCCTCGCGCTGGCTGGTATGAGTCGGCCTGCCCGGCGTGTTGCGACTTGCTGTAACCCGTTCTGGGTTCTCGTTCCGCCATGATTGGTCAGATCTCAACGATGTCTTGATAATTTAGTTCATGACTAGCGCTTAAGTCTGAATTGGTTGAGACTTTCGTGCACACATCGAGTGGGCAAGAAATAGCGAGGATGAGAAATACAAGACAGGAATCAAAAAAGAGATGAGCGCCCAATCCGCGTTACCTTAACTGTAACAGGAGAACATACTTAGGCAAGGGAAGAGCAACTTCATCATACGGGCAAGAGCCATCATGCAGCTCAAGTCTCTCTTTCCCGTGCCCTGTCTCACCCTGCCACTCGAGATCCTGGTCCTGATGACGTTGGATCACGGCTCCAAGTCACACAGTGGCTTGATGTTGACTCTCAGCGTCTGAAAGATACGAGGTTCCATTATTGTGGTTTCCGTTATATTGGTTTCCATCTAAACTGCCTTTGCTGAGATCAGCCTTGATTCAAGTCGGATCCATGCAGTCACGAGCTATCTGTCCAGATACTGAACGTCATTGCCTGTGAAAAGGGGGGAATGCTCAGAGTTTTTGTGAAGGACTGGGAAAACTGAACCGAAGAATATGTTCAAACCACTCCTCACCGCTTTTTTCTTCTTCTCCTGTACGCCAATTATTAGCGCAATTGAGTTGTTGATAGTCTCGAGCTTGTTGATGTGCGATCTGCCTATCTATAGAAACACGGCTGGTCTTTGTACTAGTGAAAAATGACCAGTAATTAGCTTTCCTCATGCTGAACAAGTAACATGTGCAACGGTGTAAGGAGAACGACATGGCTATGACAATTAGCTTTGAGCATTGATGTGGGAACTACACCATTGCTGAAGATGCACTCTCTTTTGATGTTGATCTTCAGGGAGACGTAATCTTATAATTACAGGCTCTACCTGGCAAACTTTGGGAAGGCAAATGCCCCGAGTCATAAGATGGCATTCACAAGATCAAGACTTCTGTGTGCCTGTTGGAGAGAGTCGATCCAGCTTTCCTCCCAATTTCAAATCCTTACTGCTGGTCCCAGCTCAAAGGGACCATGATTGAGGTTGCAGGTCTTGTGACATACGATATTGATCTGCTATAGTAATAGCCTTGTCCTCAAAGCCATAGCTTAGCAGGGTCTCAAATAGCTGTCATACTTTTCGTCTTCATATGATCACATGGTCACTTGATTTGATGATTTCCATCTATGTGTTGGCATGATTCAGAGCCAAGTATGATTGCTTCGTTGCAAATGCATAGTTGACTTCATACACTTGAAGTTTAAATGCACAATATAGTTGCATCCGAATCGTCCCCTACCTCTGGTTACATGTATGCTCTCGAAGGCTTCATTGCTCCGACAAGTTGAAAGACCTGGAGTTTTACAGACTTGATACCTTTGTTGTATTCCCAAATCTGCATGCAATTTTACAGGTGTGGATTATGTGTCCTTGAAATAGTACATATAGCTTTTTTGACTGTGATTGAACATGTGCTGTGGTCCGAGGACCTGTTGCTTAAGCTCCTTGTTATTCAATATGAACTCAATCACGAGTCATACTTTGAACTCACGGGTTACAGGCCCTTTCTAGCCTGCTTGTTATACATGTCCAAATCGAGAAAGGTGTTCTAAGCCTTGTACAGGTAAGAAAATACTCTCAATACCAGGCATATTTCTCAATCTCTGGGCCTGTGTCGATATTGCTTGGTGACGCCATGTTGTGCTTTTCTATGTACTCTCAATCTTGTCTTCGCTACATGAGCCAACAGGTCTTACAATAGTCCATCCCCTGCTTATATCAGATGATAGATACAGTATGTATCAGCTATAGCTATAATGATATTGCCAAGATGCTGTCTATCACCTGCAGCTTATGTACGATGAAGTCTGCGATAATTCGCAGCCCTTGATAGCTAGCGGTTATCACAGGCGTGAGACAAGTTTTTGGGGCTTTAGAAAGGCTCATGGGACAATTACATTACAGTTGCAGTACTTTGTTGGCGAATGAGCTCAAAGGCCAGGGGAATACCACTATGTACTTAAGTACTATATAGGGGCTCGATTTCTCGTCAAGATTGTGACGGAGAAGAAATTAGAGAACCCGAGAGACTATCAAGACCCGCATGGACAATAATAGCGCAAGTCATGACAGCGGATCAATAAGACACAATAAAGATTATGATATAGTAGCCACAGCGAAGAGAGAGCAAAATCATCATACGCAGGTGATTCCACAATAATTACTCAATTGCCCACACAAGTTACAAAGCGAAGTTGTTTGAAACAATGAATCTGATGATCTCGCTTATCAACATGTTATCTAGAGAACTATCTAACATTTCATCAGTGTCTCTCATGCTACAGGTTTTGCGGTGTTGAGCTCATCACATGGAAGAAAGATTTAAGAGCGTAGACTTGATCGAGTTGCAAACATGTCCTCGGTCTTGGTGTTTTGCATGAAAAGACAGTAATTGATATGATTACCCAATAGTCTTATGCGGGATCTTTGGATGCTCTATTATTACTGTCTTGCTTCTCGGGTGCTGTTTCCAAGCCATGAAACTGATACATACCGATGTCGAACCTACAAAACGCCCAACCCTAGGATATATTTGTACGCTGCGCTGGTTTCAGAGACGCCATGTGTAAGGCTGGATAGTGCTTGAGCATTGTTTGAGTTGCTGATGTGAGAGCATTTTGCGAGTGCCCCTCAGGGTAAGGAGTGGCTGGTGTAGTCTGCTGGGATTTGCACCGTTTCCTGGTCACAAGAGACAGTTTAACGAACTGCGAGACAGGTGAGAGAGAGAGTCTACAAGTTGTTTCAGCACCTTGACAAGCCTGGGATCCAGCTTTGCAGTTGAACGTAGGGCTGAATCTGAGGAGAAAAAGAGGGACAGCTACCGCAAGTGCCCATGTGTGGCTAAGATGCCTGGGCAAGGGCAGCTCAAGGCTGAACTAATGTCTAATGTGAACAACTAATTAATATAAGCCTGCCCCCCCCGCCCCCCAGGTTCTTTCTTTTGCTTCTTCTCTCCTCTTCTTCTGTACTTAAATTTCTTTTTGTTTACTGTTCATTGGAACCGTAGACAGTGAGTTTGTGTCAGCGTTGGATTCTGAAGTTGCCAAGCATTCGCCTGTCATCAAGAAGCGCTTAAAATCATCTGAGAAATGGAGCCAGGCGATTTAAGGCTGCTGAGACGTGTTTGAGACCGGACGACGGCAACCAAGTGGTTCGTTCAACTCTTGTCCTCGATAACCGATGAGGCATGTTCTATTTTACAACAGATGAATTCTCCTCACGTGGCCTCGCAACGCTTCTGGGCTGACCTGTCTCGTGCAACATTTAGACTCATTAGAAACGCCCTTCCCGCCCCGCCGGATCGAAATAGACTCAAGACATCGGCACGTCAAGATCTGCAGGCGATAATGCACCGACGGGCTCAACGGTAGCAGGCTTTCGCATGTGTGTACGGCCCAGCCCTCCACTAGCCAGTTGACCACGTCGCTAAATGTATTGAACCACTATATGATCAAAAGCAGCCAGAAAACCTGCTGTCGTGCGTGTCCTGCAGTGCTTCTGTCACATTTTGTCATTATTCGTGTCCCAAACAGGCTGGCGCTGCTCCGGGTCAAACCGGGCTGCCGGCGTCGTTAGCTAAATTCAGGTGGTTGCTCCGGCCCTCAAAAATGGCTTCGGCTGCAAAGAATTGGAAAGAGACATGCAGATATTGAAAGCAGACGTGCAGATATTGATTGGCTTTAAAGTCGCTCGCCAGCCAGGAGCAGCACTATCGTTTACTTTCCAGACCGCTCACGTTATCCACCACCTTTTGTGCTTCACTCTTGGAACTATCGTGAGCAGGTGACATCAGATTATCAAGACTAGATACCCTCATTATCGGCAGTCGGTCGGTAAGTCGGGATCATGACCTAAGAGGGGCGAAGATCAGCACGAAGGGGACTGAGACACCCCCAAAAATGAAGGGACCCACAATGGCTGGCCAGCGTGTGGACCAGGTGCGTGTGGTCCCACAATACGTACTCTGCAGTAGGGGCGGAGGCTTTGCTGTACGAACGGACCTGTTCTGCTACCTGAGCATGTGGTCATTATCCTATCACCGTAGTACTCTACCATGGTTGCAGTGGGTAAAATCAGGTGCGATTGCGGTGTGTGTGTGTGTGTGTGTGTGCGTGCAAAGAAGCACTGGCGCCTCAAGTGATCATGTTCGGTACTCCTATGGATCCATCTCGTATGCGACCTGGTACTTCGAGACTTGTCTTCCAGGGTTCAAGTCGCCAAGTCTGTGCCAAGTACAATTTTGAGACGCTTCTTTCTCCTCCGGGCTCAAAAGCTTAACAGCAATGAAATGCAGCGCACGGAGCTCTTCTACCCTTTTCTCTGCCCCATGTTGTGCCTTTTCACCCCCAAATTCTCGAGTGGTTGTTGGGCTGGCGCCGCCACGGCTGATAACAGTGGTCGGCGGAGAGTCGGTTTTACGAGCCGCGTGCCCACAGCGCTCTCGAATCTGAAGCAGCGGCTTGTGTCCAGCCTTTTGCCATTCCAAAAAGGGCTCGAGTACTGCCATTTTGACTGATGCTCTCTCTCTCTCTCTCTCTCTCTCGCACGCGCGCGCGCTCTCGCACAGAGTGAAGAGAGTAGGGGGGCCCTTTCCTCGCCCATCGGGGTCGTGTCCCGCCCTGCCACCCCTCCACCTTGCCCACTCAATGTAATTATGGTTATAATCAGACTACAGCGACCTCATTACGGCTTGGTCCTGCCGCAGGAAGCTCGATAGTGTCTCCTGCTAGGATGCGGCTTAGGTCAGGACGGCTGGCTCGCGAATGCTGTTTGCCACTAGATCTCTGCGTTGTAAGAGCAAATATTTGAAGGCAAAGACCAGCGACTGGCTGGATGGGAGCGGATAGGCCCTCACTATTGACAAGCCATTGTCTTGTGTGCTTGTGTGGCTGGGGCGTTGCAGTGATGGTGCAGTTAGTGGTCCACCATCACCACCACCTCCTGTTCGGATGCCAACGCTCACTAGCAGCATAAATGAATGGCGAGATGTACTATAGTATGTGGAGTGAATTTACCCTCAAGATCAGCCGGCAGACAAGAGCGGGACCTCTCTAGCCGGCTCCGCTGGTCCCGCTCGAGGACGGAGTTGGGCAAAGTCCGCTCCTTACAAGCCTCAATCTGCCCGAGACTGCCGTCAAACGGTGGTAATGATGATGATGCAAAATTTGGTCTGCCAGACCAGGCCACTGTTGCACTGCACGACCGCAGACAGCCGACGGGCCGCCCAGAGGGGTAACCTGCTTCCACAGGCTATATAGTAGACTGCTATATATTTGCAGTCTCGACGGTGTGATTTGACCTAGGCGTAGAAGGCTAGCTCAGATTGAAGGAAGAAAAAAAAGAGAGAGAAAAAATACAACGCCCATCGTGACGTGACGTCTTCACACGGTAGAGGGTTGAAGAAGAAGGAGGAGCGGACTCGGGGCTGCTAGCGTAGCGCGGGCCCCCATTTGGTTCCGTTGCCATACTATGGTAGCAGTGCCTTGGTACCAAATCCATCGAGTGATGCACTGTAAAAAAAAGGAACACGACAAGGGTGCAATATTGATCGCCAATATCACGAGCCTGATATAGGAGGGGAGTGTACCTGCATTAAGAGCACGACTGAATTGCGGACGAGTTAGTTCTGCGCATTGTAGGATTGAAAGGTTTTATTGTAATGCCTCTCAAAAGAATTTCTTTGTTCATGCACGCTGTCATATACACACCCGCTCACTCGAACCAAAGAGAGAGAAAAAAAAGAACAAGCGGGGCCAGAACCATTGCTGTAGTTCGTCACTTGTCGCCTATGTCTCACAGTTGATTGACCATCCAAGTTTTTCCCCTCCCTCCTCCACCCTCCTTGTCCACTCTATCCAATGCAAGGGGACGGGGGCGATGAGCCCGGAGGGTACGGAGGGGATATGAGAGAGACCAGGTCTAGACAGGGCTTGTTGACCAGTGAGAGGAGAACCACTGGCTGCCTTCGGCTCCGCACTGCTACTATGGTGCTAACTCAGGCCACCAATGGCGCGTGACTACATGTGATTATCGTATAGCATGGTACAGGGTACTTTCTTGTCAACGTTTCATTCGCCGTATCTTGCTGTCCTTCAGACGTCCTGACTCCTGTATCGTGTACTAAGGTAGTACCAAAGCAAGTAGTCCTCACACCCCTTTGCTTCTCTGCTAGGTGTATCCATGCTGTCCCTGGTCTTTTCGTCCTTCGCGCCTCCATTTGTCCTTGTTAGCACATCTTGGCCTTGGTCCTGGAGAGCGAGAGAATCCTTCCTACACACACACACACACAGAAACAGACACCCACCCAAACCCAGCTAACTTTCTTTGTCTATCTCTTCCCCTCTCTCTCTGTCTCTGACACACTCATCCACCCACACCCACACCTGTAGCACAATCCATATCGTGTGTTGTGGCCTTCTTCCATCGCTTCCATTGCTTCCATCACTTTTTTCACACAACCTCCCTGACTGTTGCCTCTCTTGCTTGCCCTTTGCTACAGAGTAATAGAGTCTTCTAGTACGAGCGATCCCCACCTAGGCTAGGAGCCTTTGTCTAGATCGGACCAGCTCTGGATTTTGGGTTCTGAATTCTGGATCCTACTAACAGTATCCTGGCCACGTTCCGGTCCCAGCCCAGCTCCACCCTTTCGACTCGGGGCTGTTTCTCTCTCTGTCCCCCCTCTTTTGTGTCTCATCGAGACCTGACCTAGTCCGCACTGACCACTTGGGCCATCCATCCATTCGCTGGTTCCCTTTGTGGTGCCTTGGCTACGAGGGCCCCCCTTTTCTCTTTGCCCTTCCAACCTCTCTCCACTCTCATCTCATCCACCAACACCAACCACCACAACAACACACCACACGAAACACCGCCATTGACAGCCTCTCACGAACCATCAGGACATCCAGGCGTGGCATCGAGAGCGAGAGAGATCATTTTTACGAAATTGAGAGATACAACTTTTCACCGTCTAAGAAGATCGACACACGGGAGATATTTGGAAGGGAGATACGAGGACTGGTCTGTTGGGCAACGAGGACATTGCTGGGCAGTCCGATGACTTGACAGGTCTCTTGAACCACCTCGGCGGATTGAGCCTGCTCTTGCCCCCTACTGCTGCTCACTCAACCGACCACCTCAAGACCCACGCACACGTCGTCTCTCGTCGACCTCTGTGTCGTTTTATCCTCGCCCATCTCGACCTGCTTCTGGCGATCGTCGCGATTCGACATCGTGACCCGTTTCAATTGACATGGGCGATCGAAACCCCAAGGCATCCGATCCGGAGAGGAGGGCATCAGTGAGGACTTCGAGAAGGGTATCACTATCACAGGGCGGACATGCAGATGTTGTACACGACGGATTTGCCGTCGCCGATAACATTACTGATCCCACCAACAATCACCACGATAATGACGATAATGATGATGACGACGATGACTACGCGCTCGCCCTTGCTGGCATGGTCTCAGATGGCTTCCGCCCGGAACCTACTGCATCTATTGCACCCATGACTACGAGTGACGCCGCCGCCGTCATTCCCACCGAGCCAGCCGCGCTACCGGATGCAACAGCCTTCCGACCGGCCTCCGCCGGCTCAACATCAACTCCTCGGCTCAATAGGTCAAGTATATCGAAGGCACCTGGCGGCCGCGACTCCTTCACACTCAGACACGACGGCGCCAATGGGCATGTCGCGGGCGCCTCGCTGTCGCGAGTCTCCAGTGCCTCTGGCGAGAGGGCATTCATCCCAGTAGATGGGCCATACCGAGGCCCGTCGGGACCGTCACACCCTTATCAGATGTACTCGCAGGATACCCGACTGGCAAGGACAATGAGTGTTGCCACCACATCAACCACACCAACCGCTCGACCTGAATCCGAATACAACGGCCCGACCGGGCCCTCGCATCCCTACTCTATGTACCCACAGAACCCAGTCGAGGAGACACCCCGGCAGCCCGCCGTGCCAGCCATCCCGGTGGGCTTTGTGAATACCCCAGACCCCTATCAACGGCGACTCGGGCCGGAAGGTGAGGACATGGCAGACATTATTGGTCCCGACGGTCACACCGAAGAATTGCCTCCATACACGAGATACCCGGACGAGTACTACACACGAAAGATACGGGACAATGACGAGTCGCAGCGAGATGGCGGGGCTTCAGGCGCAGGCCCGTCAGGCGCCGCTGCGGGTGCCGCCGTCACCATGGCGGCGATACCAACAGCATCGAGATCAGCTGCAGGCGCAACCTCACCAGCACCAATACCCGGTGCTGGTGGTTTGGGGCTGGCTGCTCGCAACCCGGAGTACGATGCCCGATCTGTCGATGGCTCTGGAGTACTGTCAGGGTCACGACACTCATCGAGAAGCTTCACAAACGAGAGCCATCACGAGGTTAACACGGCAGCCGCGGAACTGTCAGAGAAGCCGCAGCTCAGCAAATATCAGAAGTTCGCCAAGAAGAAGGCCTGCGGCGTGATACCATACTGGGCGCTGGGCCTAACCTTTACTGCCATTGTGATCGTCCTCGTCATCGTCGCGGCTGTGGTCGGGTCTTTGCTATCGCACCACAAGCCTACAAATCATCTGGGAAATAGTGCCACAAAGTGAGTACACAATCTCGTTTCGGCAGCGGGGTACATCAGTATACTAACCAAGTCTCTCACGTAGCTACCAAGATAGCGTGCCCACCATCACCGTCACGTTTGACGCCACACCGATCCCCACGCCCTCGAATTTGCCCGATCTTGCTGAGGGCTCATTTGGTCTACCTCTGAACCTGAACCAGGACCCTAACACCTGCTTTAACGACACATCTCAGACATCTGCATGGAGTTGCAATATCATCTTCCAGCAGGCCATGTCCCTGCAGGTTCAGATCACGAGGAACGCGCCCCAGCTCGGCAAGGACGGCAATTACGACGTCATGATGTTCGCCAACACCTCGAGCAATAACGACGGCACTGGCAACAATGGTGGTCCCCTGTCGTATGGAGCAAGCGCCCCGGTCATCAAGCCTGCGATGAATATGGAGCTTGTCAACGACACCTTCGACATCGAGCGGGGACCGGCTTGGTTCAGGATGCTGCCTTATAACAAGACTGTCGTCGTGCAAGAGGACCTCCTGTCCGCATCTTCATCATCCAAGAAGCTACGGCGCTCTTCATACCCGATCCCGACTGTGGGCCACTTCCAGCGAAAAGGTGTTGCAAATGCGGGAGACAAGCCATGGATTTGCACTTGGCCTGATACCTTTGTGGAGATGTTCATTTATGCCGAGCAAAACAGTAGCTATGCGTCCGAGTCAACGGCGACGATAACGACAGCGCCGCCTCCTTCCCAGACAGCGACGGGAAGTTCTTCCGCGGCCACATCGACTGGTACCGGTGGCAGCAGCAATGGCGGCGGCGATACCGAGATTATCAACATGGCGCATCTCACGGCCTATCCTAGAGCCGTCAAGGTGAAGGAGCGCCGTCTGAGCAACTCGCCGCAGCCATACTGCGTCCAGGTCGAGGTCACCGACAACAACACCACACAACCAGTACTGGACGCGAAGGGTAAACAGGTGACAGTCCTGATCGAGGAATTGGAACAGCAGAACGGCATGGGCAAGCGGGAGTACGAGGAGACATGGCTAGCACGTCGTGACGGCGACGGCGATATGAGCGACTGCGGTTGCATGTGGTTCTCATCATGAGCCAGCCAGCCACCACCAACACCTTTTCTTTTATTACGACAAATTCCGATCTGTGATGGAGACCTCTGGTTTTGAGGCAGCAACCCCTTGCATGACGGCAACAGCGGCCGGCGCGACGAGGCTCTCCCTCCGTTGGCGTTGGCGGGCATAGGTCTCCTCGAGTGCGATTTTACTTATTCTTTTCTTTTCACTATATTTGTTCACCCCCATGGAACGGGGGCAGATTTCTGGCGTTGAGTTCCAGACACGTCTCGACTGCCATTTCCTACGGTGACCAAGTCTATACCAGTTGTACAACGAACTTTTTCGAATGTGTGCGACATCTCTGGGAACAAATGGAGTTCAGGGCGACGGGGGATCTGTGCGACGGCCCTCGCGCAAAAAAGCTTTGGCGTTTGATATTTTGACTGGCATATTCATCCTCATCTACCTGTCTGCGACTCCGACATTACTCTTTTTCTTTTTCTTTATTGGGAACTACCACACTGGCACCGAGAATCTTGTGCTGGAAGAGGGATCAGGGGCAGGCGAACAGCGGGCATGGGGCGCTGTCGATGCTGATGATCGCGTCGGGAATGGAAACTGCGTTACACGTGTACACATTATTGAGGAGTGCGATCTGAGGAGAGCACCAGCACTAGAACGCATGCACGGCAGCAGAAAATATCTTCTTGTTCCGTTTTGCTGTATGTATACCACCTAACTGAGCGAAATAAAGAGCGCGAAAGGCCTTAATGGTACGACACAATCTTGTGTGTGTATGTGTGTGAGTGAGTGAGAAGTAAGCTGAAGCAAGAGTCATGGTGGTGCCTCTTGGGTGGCTGACCTGGATATACCATTGCAACTAGACATGTGAAGTCAAAGAAAATAAATACCCTACTGTATCTACTCACTCACTCTTGTTGATCACGTCCCCACTCGCCGGCTAGCCCGTCTAGAAAACTATCTGCCAGCTTCTGCGCCCTCTTCTCCCCCTTCTCCTTTCTCCTCTCCTCGATGACCCTCCTCCGCTCCTCAATCTCCTTGCGCCTCGAGTCCCTCTCCTCCTCCCGCCTCTCCCTCTCCCGCTCCGTAGTCTCCCTCTCCTTAGCCAGCCCCTCCATCTCTTTGGTGCGCGTCTCCTCGTCCTTGCTGAACTGGAAGAACCCGACGCCCTTGGTCCTGATCTCGGCCGCGGCGTCGTAATGCTTCATCTCAGGCGGGGTCAGGCTCCTGTCACGTTTGCGGGCGAGGGCCTCCATCTCGGCCTCGTCGCGGGCCACAAAGGCCTCGGACTGGATCGCGTCGCCGTAGATGACGTTGGCCGGCGCCTTGGGCCGCGCGGACATGCGCTCGAGCTCGATGGTGGTGTGCTCGCGGGCGCGGAGGCGGCGCTCCAGCCGGAGCTTCTCGGCGCGCGTGCCGGTGCGCGTGCGGCCGAACTCGTCTGTGTATGTGATGATCTCCGTGTCGTTGTTGTCAGAGTAGTCGTCGTCATCGTCTTCGCCCGAGGACGACGGCGGTGCCCTGCTGCTGGCGTCGTCCTGCTGGGCCTCTGCCCATTTGCGGTCAAAGTCGACGAGCGGAGCGGCCTCGCCTTCCTTGGGCACATAGTCGCCGCGCTTCATGGCGGCATAGAGCCTGGCCTTCTCCTCCATCCTGCGCCGGGCCGAGAGGAGTTCATTCTTCTCGTCTTCTGTCCCAGCGACCTCCTTCAGCACCAGCCTGCCCTTGTCCCGGTCCCGGTCTGCCTTTTCGGATTTTCGTTTTGCCTTGACGCCGGCGAAGATGTCAGTCTTTGCCTTGGACGGGCGTGGCCGTGCTTGTGTGGTAGAGGCGGAGGCGGAGGAGGATAGCGGCGTCTTGGAGGTGTTGATGAGGGAGGCCAGCTCGGATTTGAAGGCGAGGGAGGAGGGAAGCAGCGTCTCCTTCTTCTGGCGCTTGGGGGCACGCTGGCCGTACAGATTTGGATCCTGAGGCATGACGGAGGTGAAGGTGGAGGGGGGGTCGTCTCTCTCAAACGGACATGACAACAATTTCCGAGCTTCCTGGTTCTGGACGGTCGGCGACGTGCGTGGGGTGAGGTAGGTGGACCCTTGTGATGATGATCATCTAGGGCCTAAGGATGGTTACTACGGTACTGTATTGTAAATGGGTATAAGTGATTGTTAAACGTTACAGTGGATTGAGAGCCCCTAAGGGCCATTCCCTAGCAAGCCGTGGCACCCCACCAAGGCCCAAACCCGGTCTGCCTACCCCCCAACCCCAGGAACGATCAGTGGTGGGTGAGCGGCACTGACAACAATCACTTGCTTCCAGCGTGCATAGCAAGCCAGTGGCGCTGGCCATTCAGATTGCCCGAAGGGTGGGTTGATGAGTCCTGCACGAGACATGCGCTTTCTGCTGGGATTATTTCCCCTTGTTTTTTTTTCTTCTTAATTTTGTTTATCTGTACGCTATTGACTTATTCTAATGACCTGTCTACCGTTTCCTAATCTTTACACTTTTTCACTATGCTATGCTTGTTCTTCTTCTTGTCCCAGCCTGACTGAACAATTTGGGTGGCGCATGAACCCACTTTATCTCTTGTCGCTCTCGCTCTCGCTCGCGCCGTGAACATCCCCCGCCTCTTGAGAAAAGTCACGTCACGTCCCTGTCCTGCCCTCGCGGTTCCGACTCAAGATCGGTTGCCAGCTACCTGAAAGCTCCCGGCTGCCTTTCACCCAGCTCAGCTCGGAATCTACGGTCCTGTACAGTATAAAACGGGAATCAAAGCCGATTGTTTGCGTCTCTCGAATGCTCCCTCCATCTTGAGAATGCACGTCCTGCAGTCCCTGGATATGGACTCCCTTCATGAGTTTGCAGCGGCTCTGGAGTCGAGGATGACAGACATGCTCGTCATCTCGGACTCCTACTCCTGGGTCGTCAGGCTCATCTCTTGGTTCTTTGTAAGGCTCTTCCTCCTCCTGATCGACGACCCGACCAGACCGTTTGAAGAACCACAGTGAGCGTTGTTGCTGACATTCAGCCCCCCTCCAAATTGGTAGATCACACTGGCGCTCTCCTTCTGGACCCCCATCGCCGTCCTGATCGTCTTCGATTTCCTCCTCTGGATTTACCGCCTCGTGATCCCTGCCACAATTACCAACCCTCGAGCACGACGGAGGCGCGAGTCGCTGAGTCACCCTGTCTCGACGACTTAGCAAGCGTGTGTTACCACTGAGTTCCGGACTACGACCACGATGGGTGCATGGGCTTCTATGGACAGATATGTCGAAACTCTTGCTTTTTGGTTCTTGATCTGATAGACGGAGAGTTCCTGGGATTATGTCAAGGTACGGCGCACAGGGAAAACAGGACAAACAAGAGAAGCATGAGCATGGAGTTGGAGGGATGTTGTTATTATCACACATGGGAGGTATCTGCGTGTGTTGCTTTTTTTTTCTTTTTTTCTATATCCAAGTGCCTTATGCTAGATTTCCGAGAGAAAAGGGGCCTCTTTTGCAGGTCATGTCATTATATCTGGGACACCACCTTGAGCAGGTCGCCTGTCACGCCCATCGCGGTGACCTCGCCACCAGCACCTGCGCCCTGGATGATGAGCGGGTTGCTACCGTACCGCTTCGTGTAGAAGCTGATGATGTTGTCCGACCCCTTGAGTGCCGCGATGGGGTGCGAGCGGTCAAACTTCTCGAGGCCGACCTTGACCTGCCCGGCGCCCACATCGACGCTCCCGACAAATCTCACCACCTTGCCCTCCTTCTCGGCCGATGTCTTGACCTCGTCCATCTGCCCGTCAAAGCCTGGTAGCTTCTCCATGAATTCGTCCGCACTGCCCACGCTCTCCAGCTCCTTGGGAATCAGGCTCTGCACGGGGAAGCTCGTCGGCGACTCGACCTTGAGCCCGGCCAACCTCGCCAGGATCGTCAGCTTCCTCGCGACGTCCAGGCCATTCAGGTCGTCCCGTGGGTCCGGCTCCGTGTAGCCCAGCTCCCTGGCCTTCTTCACCTCGGCGCTCCACTTGCCGCCGGCCCCCTCGGTCGGTGCGAACGAGTTGAACAGGAACGACATAGTGCCGGAAAAGACGCCCTCAATACGCGTGACCTCATCGCCCGTGTCCACCAGGTCCTTGATAGTCGAGATGACGGGCAGGCCTGCGCCGCACGACGACTCGTGGTAGACCTTGGCCCCGCCAGCGGTCGCCGAGTCGAAGACGTCTTGCCATAGCTGGAAGTCGCTAGAAAAGGCCTTCTTGTTGGCAGTGACGACAGAGACGCCCTTGCGCAGAAAGAGAGGGTATGACTCGGCGACATCTTGCGACGAGGTGTTGTCGATAAGCACAGACTTGGAGCCCGAGGGCACGGAGGACAGGTACTTGACGACCTCAGGGAGGGGAGGCGGGGCACCGACGCTCGCGGTGTTGAGCTGGGTGACCGCGGAGGAGATGTCGATGGGCTTGTAGTCGGCATGGTAGAGGGACTTCTTGGACGTGGAGATGTAGCAGAGGACGAGCTTGGGGTCGGGACGGCGGACGGCGAGCTGGGCCAGCTGGGAGATGAAGCACTTGCCCACGCCACCGGCACCGATGATGCCGATGTAGACTGTCTTGGTCGAGGCCATACTGTTTGTTTTGGTTGGGTCGGGGGTCAATTGGTTCTGCTGAAGCTGCGAGAAGCCGGCTATAGGGATTTAAGGGAGGATATTCAAGAGTTTGCTGTAGCCTGAGCGATCTCTAGGACTCCGGATGAGGGGCTTAAAAAATGTCGAGAGCTCTCCAAGGCCGATCGCGGGGTAGTTTAGGAAGGGATCCGCCCTGTAGCGTGGCAACGTGGCAGCGCGGCAGGGCCCGCCCTTGCAGGCCATGTACCTGACTGTGTAAGGCCAAATGCTTACAGCGCTTGAGTACTATGGACGTACTTACCCCAACTGCCATAGCAGCAGCTATAGGGCGCTACCACATGCCTGGGGATGCTGCCCCACCAACATTTTCCTGCGCCTGTCAATTTTGAAGGCCTCACGAAGCTTGTGACCCGCGAGTCCTCGCTCAAGTCCAAAGTCGACTCACCATCGCCTCGAGGAGCAATAGAAACACGTCTTTTCAATCTCACCAACCCCGTAAAGATGTCTGAACCATCCGAACCCCCACCACCAAAGCGCCAGAAGCGTGAGGCCTACCGCTCCGCCCACCGAGCGGATGAAAACTCGACTGAGATGCCCAAGAAGAAATTCTTTAGGCAGAGGGCACATGCGAACCCCTTTTCTGATCACCATCTGATATAGTACGTGAGAATATTGCCCTCCTCGTGCTTTTTGCCTCGCGACATGGCACTGACCCTCATCTAGCCCTACGAGCCCTGCTATGATGGACTGGTCCGAGATGTATCCGGCATTCGTGGCCAAGGGTCAAGACGATGCGGCAGCCGACTCCGAGACTTCCGTAGACGATAATGGTCAAGTCTTCAGCCAGGGGGCCAGAATACCGAAGAAGCTGACAAAGGATGTCGAGGTGGCGGATATTGGATGTGGTTTCGGTGGTCTGCTCATGGCTCTCGGCCCCTTTATGCCAGAAACGTTGTGCCTAGGTCAGTCCCCTGTTTACCAATTCGCCATTCCATCGCCATGAGCGATTCTGGCGGCTCCCCCAGCTGAGCAAGAGTATAGGTCTTGAGATCAGAACCTCGGTCACAGAATATGTCGAGGGCAGGATCCGTGCTATGAGGAACCAGAGCAGGATTGAAGGCGGCAATTCGTACCAGAACATCGCGTGCCTGCGGGCGAACACAATGAAATTCCTGCCCAACTTCTTCAAAAAGGGCCAGCTCTCCAAAATTTTCATCTGTTTCCCGGACCCGCACTTCAAGGCCAAGAAGCACAAGGCGCGCATTGTGTCGACGCAGCTCAACTCTGAGTACGCCTATGTGTTGAGGCCCGGCGGCATCGTCTACACTATCACAGATGTCAAGGATCTGCACGAGTGGATGGTGTCACATCTTGAGGCACATCCGGCCTTTGAGAGGGTGTCGGAGGACGAGCAGGAGGCCGATGAGTGTGTCAGGATCATGAGTACCGAGACGGAGGAGAGCAAGAAAGTGTCGAGAAATCAAGGACAGAAATTTGTTGCGCTGTATAGGCGGCTAGAAGACCCTCCATGGTAGAAAGGAGGACGACCTTATGGTTCAGAATAATTTGGACGAACGATGAAGAGGCAATGATGACGGCCAATAGATGTGATGATCTGCATATTGTCATTACTGTCGTGTCAGTCTCAGAAGGATTTTCTTATTAAAAAAAACAGTCACCAAAACCAAGCAAAAATAAGAACAAATAAAACATTACGCCGAATTGAGTGTGGTCATGATACAGCATGCGGCTCTTAGGACTTGTACCGTCCTCTTTACTTCGGTAACCCTGGAGAAGCCTATGCGCTGGGGGACCCCCGACCAGCAGTGATCTCAACCGCGACCGCGACCACACCTACGTATCGATAAGCTCCTTGCTCTACAACACTACATCATACCTTGGCTGATTGCTTGCTTGCTACAACCACATTCTACCTCTGCGACTTACTCCCAGCAAACTATGCGGCGACACCTGCACAGCGCCTTGTTGTCGATGAACGGACTATGGCCCTGAAGAGGAGAGATGTGATTCTTGCCGGTATTGCCAGTTTTATCGCCTGGGGTTATGCCACCAATTGGTTCCCCGCGGTCCGCTGGGCTGGTCACGCCTTCGTCGCCGGTCTCGTCACCTCGCTTCTCTTGGTGCTTGCAGCCTTCCTGCTCCTTTCTAGAGGCTCAAGCCACGAGACGTCGTCAAGATATAGATATCCGTCATCACGACATGGGCCCAAGTTCCTCGGCCGGGAAGCATGGCGCGCCGAGGTTGCGGCCCTGCGCCAGCGCCATTCCTACACGAAGCAGCCCCTCTACGCCGCCTCGCCCAGCATCTCTCGTGCACTCGACGACGTCCTCGATTTGATCACCAGGGATTTCATATGGTCGTGGTATTCCAAGGTCAGCGATAATCCGGTCTTTAGAGACGAGGTCGACAAGGCGATACGGTGCGCGCTCGAGAACATCCGCGACCGCCTCTTCGAGGTCGACCTGCCCGAGGTCTTGACCACTCGGCTCGTGCCCATTCTGACGGCGCACTTTCGAGACTTTAACGAGGCAGAGAGGGCCGTCAGGGGCCGCAAGCTGAACCGCTCCGTCACGGAGTCTGAAGAGCTGGACTTGGCCATCGCGTCCAAATACAGGGAGGGGAGACTGCACCCGGCCGCGACCCTGTCGTATTCCGACCTCAAGCTTACGCAGCAGGACTACCTGCGGCAGACGACTGCCAAGGTGCTGCCACACATGCTGCCGGACAATGTCCTGCGAAGCCGGGCCGTCTCGACCTTGATTCGCGAGATTGTCGCTTGCGCGGTGCTGTCTCCCATCCTCCAAATCCTGTCCGACCCCGACACGTGGAATCAGATCATGGAGAACGCCGGGAGGAACATGCTGCAGGATCGCTCAACCGTCAGGAAGCTCCGTGCAGCTCTAGATGAACATGCGCCATCTGCGCCCAAGTCCGGCAAGCCCATGTCATTCCCGCGGCTGTCACCTGGAGATAGTGAGAGGAGGTTTGAGAAGTTCGTCAGGACGATCAAGAAGGTGTCCAATCTGTCCGACGCGAGGAGGTTTAGGAGCGAGGTCACGAGCCAGCTCAAAAGAGACTCCCAGCAGGAGGGACAGGACCCCGTCTACCTGCGCCGGCTGGACATGGGCAAGAGGTTGCTGGACCAGAGGGTACAGCTCCTTGCTGCAGGGGGAGACCGCCGCGTCCGCACCCTCCCTCCCAACCCGGTCGCCACACCCGAGTCGAGGCTCGAAAATGCTTCCCTCGCAGACCTTCTGCGGGATGCCTCAGGCTTATCATACTTCATGGAGTACATGGACAGGCTACGACTCATGAGCCTGGTGCAGTTCTGGCTCGTGGTCGATGGGTTCCGTGACCCTCTCGAGGAGGAAGGGCACGATGACGATGACCACCTGCCGCTCACACTGCCTCCGTGGACAACATCCGACAGACAGGACCTGGCCCAGATAGAGCAGGCTTACCTGTCCAAGCCGGAGCTCAAAGTTCCGCAGGCATCGAAGCGGACCGTGCGGGAGTTTCTTGAAGCCGGAAAGGCTGCCACGCCCGAGCAATACTACAGGGCACGGAAGAGCATCTTGCGTGCTCAACATGCCGTCCTGGAGGAGATGCAGTCGAGGCATTTCAGCAACTTCAAGAAATCGGACCTGTGGTACAAGTGCCTCGCAGCAGAGGAGGCCTCACAGAGCAACGCGCACCCTGCGCGCAGCAGTACGGTGCCATCTGAGGTCCACTCGCCGCCACCTTTATCTAGAACTACAACTGCTTTCGCGGGCAAGCCGGGCCCGTTCTCTCGGCTGGCGCCAAAGCTCAACACAAAGCTGCAAAACCGCCGCGCCGAGTCATCCTCGGATTTGAAGCATTATACCGGTAACGCTGGTAGCCTGGATGCGGTGGTCGAGCCTCGCAGATCGCTGGATGCGAGGGTATCTTTTGACTCGAGGACATCGTTCGATGAACACTCGCCGAACCCACTCTTCGACGATGAAGAGGCAGACCATGACGCACTTGCCGACAGCGTGGCAAGCCTGGACCAAAGTACCGGGCCCCGTCCTCCTGACAGGAAGGTTGTTGCCGCGATGGAGGAGGCACTGAACAACATCCTGGAAGACACTCGTCCCCCTACCTCAGAGGACCTGCGAGGATCGCTGTTTGGTGAAGACGACGCTGGCTCGAGCCTTTTCTCCGACCACGATGTGCACACCAAAGGAGGACCAGCGGACGTCGGCCGTCCCGGCAACGGCAAGGAGCCCGAGAGGCCTAGCTTGTCGTCCTTGGGACTCGTCAGTGCGGCATCGCGCATTGGTGTGTTTGTGGATGACGACTTGTTCGGAGACGAGGACCGGTATCTATCAGATGAACCTGATGATGCGGACAGTCCCAGTAAGAAGGACGATATGGATGATATCCACGAGGCAGCACCAGGGGATCTTGGGCTCGCAGAGGCCATCACGGCGCTCACGAATGACATCGACAAGCTGGAGGCGCAGAATGCTGTCGTCGACTCTCTGCTCAGGAAAGCGGAGCTTACGAACAATACCGCCGAGCTCCGGATCCTGCGCAAGTCCAAGGCCAGCCTGAACAGGGAGATAAGGAGGAAAGAGCTGCAGAGGCAGCAATACGTGGTACAGGAGAGCGACAACAGTTTATACGGCCGTTCAGCTATCAGGATCAAGGCGATTCAGGTCGGGCACGAGGGCGATGGCAGGGAGTACGCGGTCTATGTCATCGAGGTTTCACGCAACGCAGGGGAGAAGATGCCGGCGGCCTCATGGCTCATCACACGCCGATACAGCGAGTTTCATGAGCTGCACCAGAGGCTCCGCTCCAAGTATCCCTCTGTCCGCCACCTTGATTTCCCCAGGCGGCGGGTCGTGATGAAGCTGCAGTCCGACTTCCTCCAGAAGCGCCGACAAGCTCTCGAGAAATACCTACGCGAGCTTCTGCTCCTGCCTGACGTCTGCCGCAGCCGTGACCTACGAGCCTTTCTCTCCCAGGCTGTCATCCGAGCCAGCGAGAACCGCTTGGGGGAGGAGGAAGAAGAAGACAGGAAGGATATGATGACGCGACTCTACGACTCAGTGACGGATGGCGTCGAGGATATCCTAGGCAGCATACCTGTGCTAGACCAGCTGTCGATCGCCGGGCAGAACCTCATAGCTGCTGCTACCAATCAGATCAACACCCTGGGTCCCTCGATGACCATGGTCGACCCAGCAGCCAACTCTGCAGATGCGGCAACGGCAGCAGAGGCCGAGGCAGAACTGGCCGCCTTCGAGGGCCGCGAACACATGGAGGCAGAGCCCTTCGTCAAGCCCATCTGCGACGTGTTCCTCGAGGTCTTCGAGCTGAACCGCGGCAGCAATGCCAACTGGCTGCGCGGCCGCGCCGTCGTCGTGGTCCTCCACCAACTGCTCGGCGGCACGATCGAGCGGAAGCTGCGCGACAATGTGCGGATGCTCGTCCAGGAGGACGCCGTGCTGAAGTACATTGCATTGCTCAAGGACAGTCTCTGGCCCGGCGGGAAGAACTTTGGCGAGGGCAAACGGCCCCGGACCAAGGCAGAAAAGTCGCGCACGCGGACCGAGGCGAGCCTGATGCTGGCGACTCTGGTGCCAGATCTCGCGGGGAGTGTGGTCGGAAGGGTGAATGCACAGGCAGCGAGCCGGAGGCTCTTTGCCACTTTTAATAACGAGCGACTGAAGTGAGTATGGCCTCTTTTATTTGTCCCACGGCCCCCCCCCTCTTCTCCTCTAATCTGATTTCCTCCCTCTCGTTGGGTTATGAGATTGACAAGGTTACTGACGTTTTTCTATAGTACGCATCTTGCCTTCACGGTCATGGACGAGCTTATCGATATCCTTTTCGAGCGATAGACGTGTTGTGATGCTTTCTCACCCGCTACGATGTAGACAATTCGTCACGATGAGGTGATATGAGATGATACGATATTTTGTGTATGTGTGAGTACACCTGGGATGGGCGGCATAGCGTGGCGTTAAGCGAGACTGTAACTGCTGCACGATTACCATAATTACATATATTAATTTTGTGAATTGACACCGCGCTCTCTTTTGACTTGGTCCTTTTTTGTTCTCTTCGTATCAATCCATCTCCTCCAAGAAATGCAAAGATGGGTTGAGAGACCGAAGCCGTTGTGCTCAAGTGTGCATCTGCCACCAATAAGCAGGGAGCAGAGTTTTCAGCTGCCAACGACATTGCTTCTCAAGCAAAGAGTAGAGTTTATGCACTGTACAGCAGAAGTACTTCATCTGTGAGCTGAGCTATCGTATCTGCTTCAGGCAAGTTTTACCGGTCAGAAACGACGGCGAGGGAGCGGACACGTACGCTGGCTGACTTTTGCATACACCTTGACGAGCAGCGTCGGTTCATCCACCTCATCATGTCTCACTTTTTTTTTCTTTCACATATATATGGTTTGTTACATGCTTCCCATATTTGAGATGACCAATACAGAGAGACTGGTGTACCTCATGCGCGGATTGTGAGGTACATGGCCAAGGTATGTTCAACATGCAGCCAGCTATTCCATGCATTCATTCACACGAGACTGGGCCGTGAGCCGTGAAGAAATGATGTTTTTATGGACTTGTCTTAGCATGGAAAAGCATGCGCAGAGACAATATCCCTCAACCATCTTTTTCCTGATCAAAGCACGACTATCCGAAACATGCACCGTGAGGGCTTTATCCTTTTCACAGGGCGCAGGGGCGTATGGGGGAGGAGGCACAGTGGCAGACGTCGGGGGCAGCATGTCGCATGCCGTTTCTCCCGGGCTCCTAGCTCTATGACGCCTTGGCAGTTCTGCAGTCAGACGACAATCATCGTGTAGCGGTGCCCGATCACAGTGGGTGTCCCCGTGCCTCCCGTTACGGTGACGGTGACGGTGGTGGTGGTGGCGATTGGTGACAGTTGATTAATGACAGCCCCGACTCGTCTGTAGCTATCGCGCGTTTTTTCTTCTTTTATTCTTCTTCTTTTGATTGAGTGTGGCAAGGTGCACAAAACACACATGTGCGAAGATGGGAACCATTATTCAGAGACAGACAAAAGTAAACTGGTGGATGTCAGACGTGGTCGAGGGCTACAGGTGTGCGATCGTGATAGATCGATCGTCTGACCGGGGGTGAGGGTGCTGTAGTGCCATTTCTAGAAGGGGGGAGGGTCGTAATTGGGCCGGTACACTGCAGATCCGGGATGGTGTTGATGCAGGCTGGAGCCAATCCTGCTACATGCAGCTCCCTAGCGGCCCTGCACAGTAGGAGGAGACAGTGGGTTGGGCTGCTGGGCTAGGGCCGCCAGTGTAGGTGGGCGCTGATAGTGTGCTCTGTGGCCTCCTCTCCGCACCCCTGTATCGATACTACCATGCAATAATAGTGCATAGCTACTACCTAGTAGAGGTGGGCGGCTCGCGTCCAGGACCACAAGCAGACCCTACCACAGCTTGAGAAGAGGCTCTGCGGCGGGCCAACCTTGCAAGAACCCCAGCCAGCCCCATCGATCGATCTCCCAGCCTTGGGGAAAACGAGAGCCTGACCTACCCCTCCCCGTCGTCGTCCTCCTCCCTTGGCTGATTGCCTCTCTCTCTACCTTTCTCGCGCTATCTAACAACCTCGCACATCTTCGCATGGCCCTCGTGTGCCAGCCCACACACCCAGGTTATACTAGATAAACTATAACTTATCCGATCGTTTATTGTGGTTCCTTCCCATCCACCTGCTACCAGGACCATTCGAACCTTTCGCGACCCCAGCAAGACACGGTCCGTTCTATCCACACTTTAGGGCCCATTTCCAAGGAACCTCTACTTCTTGTATTGTTTTCTCCTCTCCCGCTACCCTCTCTTCGTATTCCTTTTCTCTTTCTCTCTGGAACACCCAGCCTCGCCTCATCCACTTTCGCCTCGCCTCGCCTTGTTCCTCTAGTGGGTTCCCCGTTCCCACCTTTTTTTTTCCTTCCTCCTTTGCCCTGGCCAGCTACAGCTCCCAGCTTCAAGCTCTCCCAGCAGCTTCTAGCTCCCAGCTCCAGCCCGTCGCGACCTCGTCAGCGCCATCCAATCCACGAGGCTGTCCTGCTACCCCGCGGTCTCACGACTTACTTGCTTCACTTTCCTACCTCCACATGACACCCGTCGCCTGACCTGATTTCCTGGAGACACAGAACAGAGAAAAACAAACAAGAAAAATCCCAGCCCTGCGACCAGCAACCATGACGGAGGTGTCGTCCACCCGTCTCTACCTGGGCAACCTGCCTCGCAATGGTAAGCGCCAACAGCCTCGCCCTCAAGCGCCTTGATGCGCCTCGATCTATCTGCGTCAACCTCTTGCCTTCTCTGCCCCCCCCCCCCCTCCTCCAGGTCTTTCGGTTCGCCTAAGCTGACAATCCTTTGCCCTTCTGAAGTCACCAAGGCCGACATTGAGTCCCATTTCGGCTCTCATGGCACGGGCGAGATCACTGAGATCAAGCTCATGAATGGCTTTGGCTTCATCGAGTATAAGGATGCCATGGACGCCCGCGATGTGGTTCCAGGTAAGATCTATATATCCCAAACTATTCTCATTCCCTCGTCTCCTCCTTATCCTCCTACTCATTGTCGCAAATGGCTAACAATGTAACGTGTGCGTTAGCATTCCGTATGTCCTCCCCCAAGAAAACCTTCCGGCTACCAAATCGACCACCTCCGTCTCTATCTCCCTCCTATAATCCTGACTAATACTTGTTGTTCTTCTACAACAAAGATGGTAGTACACTCCTGGGCGAGCGCCTGACGGTCCAATTCGCTCGAGGATCCCGACACCGGGAGAATGGCGCCTACGCACCTCACGAGCGTGGCGCTCCTCGTCCTCGCCGCACCCCTCACAGGATGCAGATTAGTGGTCTTCCCACCGATACCAGTTGGCAGGTCTGTTCTTCCTCCTCTTCCTTGCTGCCGGATTCACGGATACCCCTCACGACAACCCTCTGTGTCTTTGGATAGGTGTCCCCCCTTCCCCTTCTGGCTTCTGAGGAGATTCGATGTTATTGCACCCAACCCTATTTCATTGCGCCATTCCTCCCAGGACGGCTCCAGTGTGTCTTCCTGCCGTTTCGCACCTGCTGTGGTGTGATCTCCTCTTCCTCACCCGCGATGCCCTGGATTGTTGGAGACTGGACTTTTACACGCTGGCAACAATTTCCTCCTGTGCGGGACTCTTAACTTCTCTGATGCTTCTGGATTTCCCCGGGATTGTGGCTGCTCGTGGGACCGGGATTGGGACCGGGAGTTTTCCGGCCTCATCGCTTTCCGCCTTCCAGACCTGGACTGCAACTTACGTGGATTGTCTGGACATAGGATCTGAAAGACTTCGCCCGCCAGTCTGGTTGTGACGTCGTCTACTCGGAGACCGGCCGCAATTCCAATGGCGAAGGGTTAGTATCCACTCCTTTGGTGAAGAAGAAGGGAATGAACGGTGCTGATTTTGCGCGCTCAGCTTCGTCGAGTTCGAGACTGCCGCGGACCTGAAGAAGGCCGTGGAGGCTCTTCATGACCGCGATTTCAAGGATCACCGTGTCACCTGCGTAGCCAACGTAAGTTGCCTCCTCACTCCCACTTTCACATCCTTGCTGCTCACTCGTTGCAGGCACAACCTGACGTCCCTCGGGTCGAGCGTGGTCGCTCTCGCTCGCCGGGCGCCCGACGCCCCTATCCTGCTCGCGATGACTGGGACCGACGTGGTCCACCCCCAGGTGGATTCAGCCCACGTCGCGACCCGTACCGTGACGGATATCGCGAGAGAAGCCCACGCCGCGACTACTACGATGATCGCGCCCGGTATCGATCGCCCCCCCGTCGCGGAGGCATTGATGACTACCCACCTCCCCGGGGCCGCTACGATGACCCATACCGCCGCGACTATCCTCCTCCAGACCCATACATGGGCGGCCGCCCTCCCTATGACCGGCCTCCACCCCGGGACCTACCTCCTCGCGACGCTGGATACCCTCGGGACGGTGCTTACCCCCCACGCGATTACGATCGCCGTTACTGGTAACTCTTTCATTATTCCCTGAACCCCCGCGGTGCAGGACCTGATCTTAATAGATGCGCTCTGCCACTCTCTGAAGAGACAAACCCAAAACGGTATTATAACGACTAGGAGATCGGCGGAACAAGCAACGGCGGTGTCAAGAGTTTGGCCCCAGATATGTTGGTGCAGTGTGGCCGGCAGGCCTTTGCGCTTCTTTATTTCCAAAGCCTTGACGTCTTACACACGGCCAGGCGGTGGAACTACTGGCACGATTTCGGAGCCGGTTACCGACAGCCCTGCGTTTTCTGCATCAGGCTTCATTGTTTCTTTTTTTGTGTGTAGTGTTTGGGGGACAAGGGACAAAAAGTATGACCATTCAATTCGTATGTCTTCGAGTATTAATCTGGTCGGATTGAACATGGGAGGATCAAGGGGCCCGGCGTTTGCGTTTTGCAAGTGGTTACTTGGCATATGGCCCAGGATCATCTCTACACACACACACAGCTTTGTATGTTGTTCGTCACGATATTATCCCTCGAGCCTTTCCAGAATGAATCAATCATGTTTACTATTTCTTTCAGAACTTTTGTAATCTCTGTTTTGTCTGATTGGACGCTCATGCATCGCCCCGTCGAGCAGCTCCTAAGGCGAAGCATACTTGTATCCATACTGCGCCTTGGCATCATCCAGTAGCTTCTTGATCTCGTCGGCCTTCTTCTTCTCCTCGGGGTCCTCAGCGATCTTCTTGGCCACGGCGGCGTTGACAAATTCGCTCTCCTTGGGGACGGCGAAGCCCCTCTTAGTGCCGGGCCGGGCCAGACACCTGTCCAGCCAGGCGACGACATTAGGGAACAGGTTGGGCAGATCCACGCCGGACAAGACGGCGATGTTGGCCCAGCCGAGCAGGGCGATGTCGGCGATGGAGTATTTGCCCTTGCCGGGTCCTGCAACGTATTCTCTGTCCTTGAGGCGAGCATCGAGGATACCGTAGAGGCGTTCGGACTCGCCCACGTATCTCTGGATGCCATAAGGGATCTTCTCCTTTGCGAAGCGGAGGAAGTGGTTTGCCTGGCCCTGCCTATTTATATGCACATGATATTAGTATACATCACATGTATGTGCACGTGTGTGTTAGAGGGGGGGGGGAAGGGGTAGGGTATGATGTTATTTTCTATACTGACATGGGACCAACGCCGCCATGCTGCCAGGCCATCCACTGCTCAGCAACAGAGTAGTCGTCGCTGTCGATGGGGAAGCTCAGCTTGTGCTCCGGGTCGTAGTGGCGGGTGAGGTAAGACAGGATGGCCAAGCCCTCGAAGACAGGGAAATCATTGCGGTCGTGATCGACGAGGGCGGGGATGCGGCCGTTGGGGCAGATGGCGGTGAACCACGGCTCCTTTTGGGTGTTCTTCATGATGTTGATGGTCTGGTAGGTGATCTGGGGAAACTTGTCGCCGTAGGCCTCCTTGAGCTCCTCGAGGAGGATGGAGACCTTGTAGCCGTTGGGGGTCCCTAGGGTGAGGAGCTCGAGGCCCTCCTTGGCGATGAGACCGGTTGGTTCCGACATGATGTCTTCTTTGTCTTGTTGATGTTGTTGTTGTTGTTGTTGTTGTTGTTGCTGTGTCTTTTCTTCTTCCAGGTGGACACGGCCGGCGTGGTTCTTGGTACTGTAGGCGTGGGACGGGGCGCAAAACAGAGTCGGGGTCAACAAGGGAATGGATACGAAGGACTTGTTTAGAAGAGCAGGTGATAGCAAAGCAGGGCTGTTCTTGGGCAAGAGAGCTATGGTTGACAGAGGCTTGGGAGTGGACAACGAGAAGGGCAGGCTTCGGATGGTGCTCTTCAGCAGGAGAGGTCCCCTTCTTATCCCCGCAGCCATGGATCACGCCCTTTCTGTTGTCTTTTCAACTACAATAGCACTCAGAACGCAGTGCTATGCGCTACGTAGCTTAATAATGGTTCAGAGGGGAGAGCTGGATGGTCGCACATTACGTGATTTATCATCATCGTACCGCGAGCGGCAGCGATCAGCTGTACTATAGTAGAGTGCTAAGTAGCAGGTACAGGTACAAAAAGTCGAAGAAGGCTCGAGAAGGGAAAGTGGGTTACACAGTGACTTGCTAGATTTCAAAGCAGAGCATGCATCAAATCCCGACTGACGTCTTCCCTCTAGCTTAGTAGTACCACAGTACTTTGCTTTGTCTTGCTATGGCCCAGGGTGGCATTTAGCAAGGACAAGGGTCAAAGTCAGGGTCGGGATGTCCAATGAGAGAGAGCGCACACTACCTGATGGGGCAGCCAGGGATCTTGGGTCACCTTTTCACTGAGGAAGAAACCGGCAAGGATGGGGGGGGGGGTTTCTTCTTCATGATCCCATTACAGTATTATGCACTATCTAGATTACATAAAATGCAGCCAGTAATCTAGGTATATGATATCCCCCCCCCCAAAGAATAGTGCCCAAATCCTATACTTTGACGGAACTCGGTCCATATCCATTATATATATATATATAGGAACTCGGTCCAGACCCACAATGTTCTTTCACCGCCTCATCATGTCAAGTATTCATCTACATGTGTGTCAGCCGCCATCACCAAATCACGTACAGGCAGGCAGCTTCGTAGCGAATACCAGCATGACTGTTTTCCCCTTACGACGCCGCTGACGAAATGGATGACCGGGTGTCATGAGGGCTGCAGTACCTCTACTTCCTCTTTGACTCTTTCTTGAGCTGCTCTATGTGCTTGTGGAAAGCCTTCAACTTCCGCTTATCGATAGCCTTAATATCCTCTTTGAGGTGTTTCATGCGTTTGCGGAAAGCCTTCCACTTCTGTTTGTCGATGGACTTAATTTCCGTCTTTCTGCTCTGCCCGTCATGATTCTCCAGCCTCGCGAGTGCCTCTGCATTCGACCACAGCGTATTGGGCCGAGATTTGTGATGAGGATCAACGGTACCACATCGACATACTGCGTCACTAGAGTTGGATTCACTACCCCTCATGCTCGTGCTGCTCTCGCCTGCTGCCGGAGACTTGTCAGGCGTGGTCTTCGCATGATGCTCTGCCCCAGCTTCCACATCTTCCGTCGCGGTGGCCTCACCGAGCAAGGTGATCTCTTCAAGGAAGTGGGCAATCCTTTCTTGTTCGATTTGGAAAACAACGCAGGGCTCTGTCTTCATCGGTATGCATGATGATCTCCTGATGGTCCTCAGGAGTCATCATGGTCTCAGAGTCGAAGTGAAAATGCTTCGTTGGCTTCTCGCCTTTCAAGGCTCGAGCGTTGGGTTTCTGGGAAGAATCCGAGGTGCTTGCTTCTGGCTGGGTTGATAGGACGGAGAGACCAGTGTCCTCTGTCTCGGTCCTGATTAGACGACAATTGCTGTTGTTGCCTACCTCCTGGAGTGGCACAACAACTGTCTGGAAGGGAGATGATTTTAGGTTGCAGTTGCTCTTCTGCATTTCGACAGCCTGCTGCTCATGCTGCTCGCTGGTGGAGTTCTCAACCATGTTGCTGATATTTGTGCATGTCATGTTGGCTGACTATGCCTTCTCTGACGACTGTGGCCTGGGAATAGATGTGATTCGTACTTGAGTGTGGTTTGCAAAACAGTAAGTGATGATGACTAGTAGTCTTGTGTTGACTATATTTTAAAAACAGGTTGTCTGTCCTCTTTTAGAGCAGTTACGAGGCAAATGCTGGGATGTCGAAGTATTTTAAGATCTTTTCAATTGAAGTAGGCTTTTCTCTCCCTCTCTTTTTCTGTTCATTTATCCTTATGTGGTACTTTAGCTAAATTCTTAGGCGCAAGAGCTACGTACGAGCCCGCTTTGTTAGATATGGTCGATCAAGGCAACGCCCCTCTTGGAGTCATCCATAGAATGCGCTTGTGCAGAGCACTTTGTCAAAGGCTTTCAAACTTGCGTCCTAGTCCGCCCTCTAGGACACCTCGCCCCTTCACGTGTCGACTAAGCACGGTCTACTCGCAGACTTGTCTTCTTCTTGTGATCAACATTGACCTGACAGAGACCAGACGTTTGGTTGATTGGCCTAGGTAGATTGCTGCGGTCGATATCAGACTGAGGCAGAACTTTGGCTTACCATAATACATCGTCCAGCAATGCGTTTAGCGGTTGCATCCTTAATGAGCTCATTCGGAGCTGGAGCTGGTTTGACCTTGTTGTCCGGGTTGGCGAATTCTGGCCTGAGTTGCTTGCCCGTTGACAGCCTATCCGGTGTTCTATCTGATTATCTGGGCACCTGTGGGAGAGTGGAGGATCGACAAATCTTCCTTTGAAGCCTCCTATACGCAGCAAAACAACCACCAGTCGATGATTACCCACCAGATTCTCACCAAAGCACAGCACGAACACAGTCCACGATGATAGTACAGCTCCTGGAGCACATGCACGGTCAATGAGCCTCTGCAGCCTCCGTTCAGCACAGTGGTGACAGCACAGCAGTGACAGCACAGCCCAGACCAACGGGACTGTGCAAGAAAAGAAAACGTGAGTATCTCACTGCAGGTGCCCCTGAGAGACCATATAAATCTAATCACCGTCTAGAATATGTGTGCTGCACAACATTCACATAGATCTGGACCGGTATCAGCTGTACTGCATCAGTATAGCGCGTTAGTCATCAGCAAAAAAGCCAAGTCCACTTGGAAGATCCAATGGAATTCCGTGCTGGCGATAGGCCTTCAACTGAGCGACACAGGCTATGCGCTTCTATGTGCATGGGGTGATTACAACATGGATGCTGCCATTGGTTGACCACAGCGTCATCATATGGGAACTGTAGTGGGTCATTTCATCGACGTCTCTTACATAGTACGGACGGCGTTGGGCGTGCTGTATTAGAGATACTCCGCTCCGATAGAGTGCTCAACGAATAAGTTTTCCTTCCTTTTTCTATTCGTTGTTTTTTTCTTCTTCTTGTTGACAAACTTATCAGTAGACGCTTGCACAAGGCAGATGACTGCGTCATTAATGAGCTGATGTCGGGACCAAAAAAGGTAAGGCATTTAACATTCGCATCCGGGTCGAGAAGTAATGTGTTCTTGTCGATACAGTAGGTAAGTACTTAAAAAGAGATTCGGACTATGCAGTGGGTAGAGACGGTGGAATTTATCGTCCGAAATACCCGCTAAGCCGCTATTAGCTGCACGCTGATTTTACTCCCCTAATGCAGGCAATGCGAGTGCGATGACCACGGGGTTGGGGCTGAGGCCATCCATCGGACTTAAGGGATTTTATTGCTCTGTTCTCCTGCTTGCGCTCTCGCCGTGGTGGTCACAACCTACAGCCCGTGCTCCGAAAGCAACCCCAATCCAGAGCAGAAGATCCTTTTACTATTAAGCACGTGAAGAAGCCTCTCTCGTAACCCCCTCGTCCACCCTTTTCTTCTTCTCTTTTTCTTTTTTTCTTGGAGAAATGTACTTCAAGTCCTGTCTCTCCCTTCTTCCTCCTCCTCCTCTACAGGCTTGTTGTGTCAGGCGTTTTGGTCTTCTGTCATCCATCTCACGCTCGCCGAAAGCTACTATGTCGTCGTACTCGATATCCGTGGGGAAACCGTCCCTCGGCGCCGTCCCTGACAGCGCTGTTGAGAAGCCTCATCACGTCAAGGCCAAGGATGGCACCACGACCACCCATTTTCAGAACCCTCACCCTTCCGGCCGCAAGACATTCAAAAAGAATCTCAACATCCCGCTCACAATCATCAAGTAAGATACCCACCCATCATCTCGTCTGACGCGCCGCTCTCCCGCCACCTTGTCTGCCCAGCCTTTTTGCTAACGAGGAAACTTTGATTTTTTTTTTTTGGAACTCTCAAGAGGCCAGCTTGATGGCAGCCTGCGTTTTCCGAGCCCCAAGCCAGGGGAGGAGCTCGTGCCTGTCCAGACGCCCTCCTTTCTGAAGACACGCTTTGAGTCGGAGGACCTGCGCACGACCTGGCTAGGCCATGCATGCCACTACACTGAGTTCCCATCTGGACTGCGCGTGCTGTTCGACCCAGTCATGGAGGACCGCTGTTCGCCCTTCACTTTTGCTGGCCCCAAGAGGTATACCAGGAGGGCATGCGGCATCGCTGAGCTGCCCTTTCTGGACGCCGTGGTGATCTCACATAGCCACTATGACCACCTGTCCACGCCAACCGTCAAGGAGATCGTGAGGCTCTTCCCACACGCACACTTCTTTGTCGGTCTGGGTCTGGCGAGCTGGTTTCGGGACTCGGGCGTCACCAACGTCACCGAGATGGACTGGTGGGAGGACGCCGAGCTGTCCGTGCAGCTGGACAGTGCCGATAGCAAGGAGGGTAGTAAAGAAGGCATCAAGGCGACCGTATCGTGTCTTCCCGCGCAGCACACCTCATCCCGCTACGGCCTCGACACAGATCGCACGCTCTGGTGCTCCTGGGCCGTGAGGTCCACCACAGGCTCGCCCTCCTCGCCCTCATCACCACCTGCCACAAAGTCTGTCTACTTTGGCGGCGACACGGGCTACCGAGCTGTACCGCAGATCCCAGAGTCCGAGGATGACTATGGCGAAAAATATGCCGACCTCCCCTCGAACCCGGACTTCAAGAAGATCGGCGAGCTGCGAGGGCCCTTTGATGTCGGCCTGATCCCCATCGGTGCCTACAAGCCGCGCTACTTGTTCTCGTGCATGCACTCGGACCCGCAGGACGCCGTCGAGATTTTCCGCGACACGCGGTGCCAGAGGGCGCTGGCCATCCACTGGGGCACCTGGGCGCTGACGTCTGAGCCGATCATGGAACCGCCTGTTAAACTGAGAGAGGCAATGAAGAGGAGAGGGCTGGAGGAGACGGGCGTGTTTGATGTGGTTGATATTGGCGAGAGTAGATTGTTTTGATGTATCGTCTTCTTTCTTTTTTTCGGTCCGGGCTTTATAGTGGATTTTTCTGTCAAGTCGTCTTTGCATCACAACAGGCGCGAGGTGTTATGGTGGCTACTCATCTGAGGACAGTTTCGTGTCACCGGAAAGACAGGGAAAGGAAGAAAAAAAAGAAAGAATAACGGGCGGATTGGTCATGGCATGAAAGTGGGTGGGGAGTGCGAGCTCGCCAGAAAGCATTGGTTTCTATGTGCCGTTGGTCAATAATTAATTTATAGAGCAAAGAGCAAATCGCCTTCATGATAAGGACACAGAAAAGCAATCAATTGAGTAGATTTTGCAAATGAACTGAAGGTCTCCATGTTCAGATTGAAAATACAAAAGGGGACTTGGTGTTTTTACTCGTCTAGGGATGATGAGAGCAAAGAAGAGAGTGGTGAATGCCGAACAGTAAGTATGTATGGAACCAGGCAGGATACCACGTGTCCACCGCCAAGTTCTGCTACTCCTTTTTGTGTGCGACGAGTGTTGACAACTTCAGGGGGAAAGAAGCTCACGCTATGGATAGTCACTGCCTACAAGAATCGCTTATTCATAGGATGCTGCCAAGGATGGTAGTTTCTGACCTAACGGTCCTAGCACGCGGCGATCTTGGTCTGCTTACACAAAAGAGCTGACGTCGAACTGAGTCCGCTCTCTGATCAGCGCGAGCTATTCGATCCTAGAGGCTATCCAAACATGTCCGGCTATTTTATCAAGAATAAGTGGTCAGTATCTACACCTACTACCAGCCTATATAAATGACATTGGTTTTGACACCAAATTCCTTCCTTTGTGGTTTTCTACGTTCCTTGACACTCAATCATAAAAGGCCCACCTGTCCTCGCCAGATCAAACGCTTGCTACCCAGCTACGAATGCCCAAATCGACCACACACACACAAACACACACACACACACACACACACACACACTCTCTCTCTCTCTCTCTCTCTATCTCTTCCTCTGTGTGTATGTGTGTGTGTGCCTGCCACACAGCCTGGCACCTGGCGGGACGCTAAGCAAACTCAAACAGAACAAACCCACTGACGGACAATTTCGTAACAGAGTTGTACAAATCATCTTGCTAAGCACCTTGCTGTCGGGCTGATCACAACCGTTGGTCATACAGAGCTCTATGATGTAACAGCAGAAGAGGCTGGCAACGATTGATGCCTCTCCTTGTGCGACTATCTAAATGTGGCGGTGGGCATGAGATCAAGTGGTCACACAAAACCAAGCCTGCGACGCGATCTTACATCTACCCTACATTACTGTGAATACTCGGTCGGTGTTGTCTGCAGCAGTGCTGTGATATGCCCGAGTGTCAGCTCACATTGGCCAGTGATGAAGGGCCACGGGGGATCCTCACCGAGTCGCCTCGAGGGGAACACCAGCACCCCAACGACGCCCAAAGCTGAGGCCAACTAGTGGAATGAGCTGAGCCCGCAACCTGGAGATTTTCGTTCAGAGTTTGTGTTAGCCAGAGCTAACGTCTTGCAGGGACCTCATAAGTGACGTGTTCATCACTGAAGCGTTCGCCTCTCAAAATTACCACAGGGATTATTCAATCATCCCAATTATACCATAGGAAACCTGCCTTTTTTCGCCAATGATGAACCTTCGACAGGAGTCTGAGGAGTGCTTGGTCTGCAGCCGTGAGGAGCAGACTTAGTAGCTTAGCAAGACTGAGGCGATTTGGCATCCTAGAGATAACCACAGATTTTGCGTTAGCAAAAGCTAAGCAGGGACCTCATAAGTGAAGCACTCATCACTGAGGCGTTCGCCTCTCAAAGTTACCACACGATCTTAATCATCGAAATTACACCATAGGAAACCTGACTTTTTCGCCAATGGTGAACCTTCGACAGGAATCCGAGTAGTGCTTGGTCTGCGGCCAAAAGGTGCAGGCCCAACAACTCGGGAAGACTGAGGCGACTCAATTAAAGGAGCAGAGCAAGTCTCTTGGGGAAGCAAACGAGAAAGGAGAGTCGAATGAACAGTGGGAACATGAGGATACGAGGGCAATGGGGGCCGAAATACGAGTGTCTTGAGAGCTTCCGGTACCAGCTTAGCATTATTGATCGAAAGAGCCGCAAGGACAGCGAAGGAAAGGGTCAAGCCGGGAAGCAAGTGAACGGATAAGGAAATATGAACGTGAGGTAGAAGAATAGGGACTGGGAAGAGGGATTGTGCGTGAGCGTTGACCATACAGGAGGGACTTGTGAAGAAGTGGTGCGCGAGAGACTGTCGACGAGGATGATGAGAGAAGAAAATAACACCAACGCCTCGAGTGGTAGGGCACCTATAAATACTCCTCTAATCACAGTCTCATCGTGCTTCCCCTTGTCTACATTGTTAATTTGTTTGTCACGGGCTCTTGGAGTAGCTGCGGTCTACATCTGGCCTCATTAGGGAAAGCAAGGCTGTGTTGCGCCTCTCTCGCTCACGTTTCTTATCAAGGGAGCCGGGTGCCTTTCTTTCTTTTGATCTCTAAAATCTCGTGCTGGAAGCCACAACCTAAGGATACCTACAGAGATGGATAGTAGGAAGCAGGAGTGGGGCCAGTAGATGGAAGGGAGGCAGGATGTCGCCTGGCGGCAATGCTATTATCAGAAGGAGATTATATCATAATAACAGGTTCTTCATGTATACATACACATCAATTGCCCCTACAACAGTCGGCAGCTTTCGTAACTGATGATGAAATACCGTCGGCCGAAGCTTCCTACCTATTATGATACTAGGCGACATTATCTCGCTAGTTGCTGCAAGCACTGCCCGCCGAAAGTGACATGAGAAAGCTACTTCCTCATCGACGGCATCTAACGGTGAGTTCCACCACCATCGAAGTAACTACGTAAGTTGATGAATCAAAACTCGTAGTTCAGCTAGCGATATTTGTGCGAAATAGGAGGCGGGGAGCGTGAGTCGTACACTATATGGCGAGGAGCATATAAAGTAATCAAAGACACCATCATAAGCAGAGTAAATCCAATAATGTATGTGATCAAGGATTATATCTACGGAATCTGGCGCGATTCGTTCGGCTGATCACTCCAGGGAACTCCAAGGGCCACTTTACTTCCGTTGAGGAATAATTTCAAGTCGAATATATAGACGCTCTTTTACACGGACTTGTTTATCTTCGTTGCAATTGTGAGTGGAGATGAGAACTATACTATTTAGAATTAGCTCTTTATTTAGTTATCCGTTGATTAGAACCCCCGGAGATGACTTGACAGGACCTACACGTATCTTCGGACAGTACATGGAGACTTCACCATAAGAGTCTTGTGAGCTGCCGTCTTCAACAACCCCAATAAGAAAATGCGCGTCTATGCTTAGTCAGGTCATCTCAGTGAAGGCACAACGACAAGTAGATTCTGAGACGACATGAAATCTTTTCAGGAAATAGAAACAAGCAGCTTAATTTCAAGCTTGTGAAAGGTTATAGTAGACGTGGTCACACCGGCGGCGGTTCCCCGTGATTAAGTGCATAGACGCGAAGGGTCACAGAATTACATCAGAACATCCATAATATATGCAGCGTCAGTGCTGTTATCAAATCGCCAGCCATCAGTGCTTTGGCAGCTCGTAACCCTCTTCGAGCTCGTCTCGTCTGCGTGCAAGAGTGGAGAGATGGTCAGTGAACAATCTGTCTGGGCTGGACGCTTAGACCTCGACCTGTGTGACAAGAGACTTACAGGAATACTCCAAACTCAGAGACATACGCGAGCCAATACTTGATCAACTCGTCCAAGACCTCAGGCTCCTTCTCAGCCAGATCATGGATCTCACCCATATCGTTGTCCAGGTCATAGAGCTGCCACTTGTCGGGCCCCTTGGGTCCCGGTATAAAAACCGCCTTCCACTTGCCCTTGCGGATCGCCTGGTGGAAGAACAGCTCCCAGCCTATGACTGTATCATCACCATGTACCTGGCCCTTTTCGCCCAGCAGGAGAGGCGCCCATGACTTGCCCTTGATCGGCACGACCTCTCGCCCTTGAAACTGAGGCCCAGGCAGTGGGATGCGGGCCAAATCTAAGATGGTCGGCATGATGTCCATGACGGTCGCAAAGGCTGTACTGATGCCTCCTCCAGTGGTGTTGCCGCTCTGGAGGCCGGGCCAGTGCACGACGGCCGGACACCGAATCCCGCCCTCGGTGACATATCCTTTGAACATACGACTCGGCGCGGTGGCAGCCTGTGCCCAGCGCGGGCCATACCAGATGAACGAGTCCTTGTTCCCTAAATTGTCCAGGTCGTTGTTATACTCCTTATCGAGCGCCTTCTTAATGACCTCGCCCGTCATGGGAATCGCCTCGAGCACCGCGCCCTCGGCGCCGTTGTCGCTCATGAACAGCACAAACGTGTTGTCCCACTCGCCTGACTTTTTGATCTGCTCCAGCACACGCCCGATGTTTTCATCCATACGGTCGACCATGCCAGAGTACACCTCCATGGTACGGGCCGACCAGGCCTTCTCCTCGGGGTCCATAGCGTCCCACTCTTTCGTGTCTGCCACGACTGGGTGCGCCTCCACATCATCCGGCAGGAGACCCATCTCTTTCTGCCTCTGCAGCCGGGTCTCCCTCAAGCGGTCTGGGCCAGCATCATAGACACCCTTGTATCTGTCCACATTCTTCCGAGGCGCCTGCAATGGCCAGTGCGGCGCGGTAAAGGGCAAATACGCAAAGAACGGTCTCTCCTTCTTGCTCGGATCCTCCTCCCTCTCCTGTAGGAACTGGACCATCCTGCTCGCGTAGTAGTCGCTGCTGTAGTAGTCCGCAGGCAGCTCTGTCGCGGCGTCCACCCTTTTCTCATCCTCCATGTACAAGCTGGCCCAGTGTTTGAACACCAGCGTCCCGTCCTCCTTCCTGGGGTCATACGCATAATGCGAGGCACCGCCGGGCAGCAGCGCAAAACTGCGCTCAAAACCCCTCGCAGAAGGACTCTGCTCCGGCTTCAGGCCCAGGTGCCATTTCCCGCTCATGCAGGTGAAGTAGCCTGCCTCCCTCAGCACCTCGGGCAGGGCGGCGACCCGGAAGTTCAGGTAGCCCTCGTAGCCCGGACGTCCGGCCCAGGGCACAGGCGGGTCACGGCCACGGCCCCAGAACTCCATCTGCCCCAGTCCTGCGATGTGGTTGTCTGTGCCTGAGAGGAGCATGCTGCGGGTCGGCGAGCACATCGAGGCCGTGTGGAAGTTGGTGAGACGCAGGCCATGGGGGGACGAGGCGAGACTGTCTATGCTGGGGGTACGAATCTCTGACCCGAAACAGCCTGGGTCCGAAAAGCCAAGGTCGTCAGCGACGATGAGCAGGAAGTTGGGGCGTTTGCCCGTTGTGGAGGAGGACATTTTAGTGAAAATGATAGAGATGGACGAGTGGATGTGCTCTGGCTGACTGGTGGACGGTCTGCTGAAACAAAGAGACCAAGAGAATGATGATGTATTCCTATACGCAAAGACGAGACGGGATTCAGAGGACAAATGGATGAGGACAGGTCTGGATGCATGGCACGAAGAAGATCGCAAGATAATCACTCGCAGTCGTGATTATTCGAGCCCACTTCTTTGGGGCCCCCACCATTCTTGCATATTCCACCTTTATTCCCGACAACGCTTCCCCTCCCTGGGTTCCTGTTTTTAATGTTGTAGAGGCTCTAGATTTACTTCATTGTTGAGTCGAAACTGGGCAATCTATTAAGAAAGTTTTGAAGGTAATTATCAAATTTTGATCTCAGGTATGTAATTTATGTTCCAGTTCTAGGAGTGTGAGGTCAACCGTTGGAGGCGTTACGGGACAATTACAAGCGGGGTCTGCTGTCTGTACCTGTATATTTACTATGATAGTTAGCCCTTTCGGGCATGGCATCATCTGCCGTGCGGATGATGAACAGCGCCGGGGTTCATCAAAGCAACACACGACGCCCTAAGCACGAGGGGTTACGCGCATTAACCACTATCATCACACCTGCTACGAATTCAAGACATACTGCATATTAACCTGAATGTAATTCTGAGCCCGATACTTTATCATTCGATACAGATCGACCATATCAAAAGCTGAACCACTGTGTTGGTCCCTATTCTCCCTGGCTGCCCTTATAGCCCATTACCATCATATTCTCTGTCGTTAGAGCTCATTCATCGAACCTCTCTTTAGCATGGCCGACGGGTGGCAAAGACGGGCAATCCATTTTTAGGGCAAAGTGTAAAGGCCGGATCCAACTCCATCACAAACCCATCTTGCAGAGAGAGATCGAACTGGCGGAATAATGTGGCTAGAGTGAGAGAAATCTCAAACATGGCAAGTCCCTGGCCTGCACATTTTGATTGTTGTCTTTAGGTTAGCCAGCTGTTGCCACACGTGCACGTTGTCTTTGTTATTATTAAAAATACGAAGAAGGGGAGAAAAGCAGAGCGAAAAGGTAGTGAGCCGTGACCAATAGCAATATTCTAATTAAACGCTTAACGTACCGAGACAGATCCTTGGACCGTAGGAGAAGGGGAAGTACGAGCCTGGGGGTGGACGGAAATTTGGGTCGAGCCAGCGGGATGGGTCGAAGACGTCGGCCGTTGGACCCCAGATTTTGGGATCACGATGGACTATTTGAGATGTGATCCTTTAGCCATAGTTTTGCCTAGTCAGTTGATTCAAGATCACCTCACCTTGAGGATTCCATAGCACGAGGGTCGTCTTTCCGGGCAGAGTGACGCCACAGACTTCAGTGTCCTTTGCACACGTTCTGAATGTACCAAATCCGGGGCCGTTGTACCGCAGCGTCTCCTTGATCACAGCGTTGAGGTACGGGAGCTTGGAGGCACGATCTACCGAGGGGATCTCATCCAACGAAGGTAACGCCTCAAGCAGCTCTTGTACGAGCGTTGCATGTATAACAGGCTTTCTTAGCTGTGTGTCGTAAAATCTTTTGTCAGTGCTAATTCTTGTGATTGGTATCATGCCCCCTCTCTCCTTTTGTGTTTTTTCTTCGTTCTTCTTTAGATACTAGGCATCCATGGGCAGAAGTACTTACAACTTCGTAGACTGCAAAGCTGAGGGTATGCGCCGTAGGATCACCACCTGCCACAAGAAAAGTGACTATAGTATCAGGCATAGAAGCTATTAGCCTCCCGAGATAAACGCCATGACAGAGAACGCATAATGTCTCGATCTAGTGTTCAGGCTTACCATAATTGTCAACAAGATCCCTGGTGCTGAATGTATACCTGCCATTCGGTTCCTTCTGCCTATTGGATCACATCTCGAATTAGTGAGCGTCCAAAAAGTAAGACAAACTCCCTATAATCATGCAAGTTGTCAAATAACACTTACCGAACTAAGATCTCGAAGATACGCCGAGGAGGCTTGTCTTTGGTACCATTGACCATGTCGGTTCTTCGGGCATCCAATACAGTGCTCTCCGCCATCTTCCTAAGTTCCTTGATTGCCTTGTGCATATCTCGAGTACTCTGGAGAATGGGTATCTTGGCTCGGAGTGGGAAGAGGCCGCATTTCATGAGCTCGGGTAGGATTAACTTGAACAGCTGCAAGATGCGGCAGTTGGGGCCCGTGGCTAGGGCATGCAGCTCGCTACCGAAGGCGATCTCGCCGACAAAGTCCAAAGTGAGGAGAACATGGAGCATAGACAAGTCGATGGATTGTCGGTAGGTCGATGCTGTTGCTATTTGTTGGGTATACTCCTGCAATATGGAAGAACCAGTCCCTTATCAGCGGTTTTCTCATCAATGGGGAGAAGTTGTGTTCATTATGATTCAATTCTCTGAGACGATTGTATACTGACAGTGATATACCTCCTCAACGTGGGATACTGCATCCGGATGACCTGCGGGCCAAAGGCCGGTGACAAGCTTTTCCTCTGGCGCAACCATTTCGTATGGGCTTTGGGCATGAAGAGAGCGTCACCACTGAGAGGCCGGAAGCCTTCGTACTGTGAGCTAGCTTTCTCCCAGTTCTCAGTGGCAATGGTATGGATCATCGCTGGGTCTCCAATATATATAACCCTGGACAAGAGGCTGTTCCACTGTGACAAAGGCCAGTGAGTTCAAGCGCTTATAGCTTAGAGGTTGACCATGGAGAATATAATATTCGAAGCTTACAGTCTGGAAGATTGGTCCGTACTGGCGATGCCAGGTTCTCCACTATACAATATTAGCAAGAACTTCTTCTCCCCTTACCATAAACAGTACGTATATATCCTCCTTCTTGTCTTGTCTTCGAATAGGGGGGGGGGGGCATTACCTTCTTATGAATGTCTGGCATCATCGTTTGATCTAGGTTACCAGTCCAGACATTCTTGACAGTCGGACCTGGGAACTGCAGGCGAGCAGCCCAATATTGCTTGATCCACCATATTGTAAGTACTGCGAGGTGGGCGGCCAATATGAGAAGCACCTCACGGGGTTTGAGCACCACTTTGATAAAATCAATGCGTAGAGAAGTCATGCTGGACGAGAAATAATCAAGAGATGTAGTTTTACGTAGGGGAAAAGGAGAACTTGGTACTGATGAGGTGATTGGAGAATGGTATGGCTGTCCCGAGGAGTGACTTCCATTTTATGTGCTCCTCGACCACCTTTCTCGTAGTACAAGGGACCTCAACTTGTATCATTGAAGATATCCATAAAAGATGATTAAAAAAAGGGCGCTCAGCCTCAAAGAATGGTCATACAGACAGTCTCAATACACCGATATCGTCCCCATTACTGGGTTCCGACGGCAGTCCGGGTGATAGGAATATCATCGTATTCAGCAATGTAGCGAGCCTTTTCGTTAGGCGATAGGGAAATAAAGGTAAGACTGGCGAGGAAAAAAGAAACAAGGGAAGGTATTGAAGGCATTGTTGTTACATTTGTCCGGCAGTGTCTCACAATCTTCAGGCTGGGCGTCACAGAGGCGCTTCTAGCATCATACCTGCGGGGTATTATGGCCGAATAAAGCATTTTCGTGGCTTGCAGATGGGTCACGATTTTCTTTTTCTTTTTCTTGAAAATCTGTTAACGAATCCTGTCGTGTGCAGTGGCCACCTGCATCAGGCGTGTACGTACTATTGGTAGATGTACATTCTCCTTTTGCAAGATTTCGAAGCCCGCAATATTGATTCTCTCAAGAATGCGAGAGCTGTAGGTATGATGCATGATGTTGTGCGTGTTTATGTGTCGGACTGGCTCACAAAGCCTTGTTTAATAAATCTCGACGTCGAACCACGATTGTTACCATGTGAGACCTGAGGGTCATTGTACTAGGATCTCACGCCTTCGTATAGCTCCGTTGGTACCCATTTCGGCCCCTCTCTGTGCGAGGGGCGTACAGGTTCGTAGCACCTAATCCCACGCAAAAGGATTTCAAATCTCTTCCCCTGGGACCTCTCAGACCTTTTCCAGTAGTTTTCCTCCCGTGTACCGAAAACACCAGCCTGGATCCTATCTACTACGCAAGTGGCCCTCCTGCGCCCTTCTCATCTACTCCATCCATCAGTTTACTTTCAAAACAATAATAGACAGTCAGACACCATGGAAGAAGAACGTTATACTCTCTTGGACAATCGACCTAGCCAGAAGCCTTGGGGCCTCCACTTTCGATCGTCAAGAGGCTTCATACTGCTCACTGTCGTTGTTTCCATCTTCACGGTAAGCCCAGCTGCGATGTTTTCCCTTGAGTCTCTTCGAATCAATATGCTAACCAAGGAACCCTAGGATGATGTCCTCTATGGAATAGTAAGTGGATTTCCAAATCTTGACCGTGATGATTTTGCGATGTGTGCCCAGCCAGTTGACCATGAGCATAGATCGTCCCCGTGCTGCCGAACACGATAGGAAAGCAGTTCAACCTCTCTCACGATGAAGGTACGAGCCACAATAGATTCGAGTCTCTCTGTGTTGTCTAGGCTGACAAGGACCCTCAGTGCAAGCTTGGATATCCATCTTTCTCGCTGTCTTTGGGGCAACGGGACTGGTCACCGCGCGTAAGTTCATCTCAAGGTTTTCATTATTTCCCGGCCCTATTTCGTCAGTCATGTAATTATGGCTAACTTTTATGGCTACAAAAGTCATTGCAGGCTACATCACCGACCGCACCGGCTCTCGATCGACCGTCTTCACGTCAGGCCTGATAGGAATTACTGCTGCTACTTTCCTCCTCTATATCGGCTCCTCACTCGCCATGCTCACTATCGCCCGTGCTCTTCAGGGCATGGCAACAGCGATCGTCCACACAGTTGGAATTGCTCTCGTGGTTGACAAGTCTCCTCCCGAGAAGCTTGGGAGGACGCTCGGCATAGTCGGTGCTGGAATGACGGCCGCTGTGATCGTAGGACCCCTTCTGGGTGGCGCCATCTATCGCTTTGCCGGTTATCAGGCTGTTTTCTATGTTTCCTTTGCGCTCCTCATCGTTGACCTCGTTCTGCGTTTCATGATGATCGAGAATCCACCGGCAATAGAGGGGAATGCTTCGAATAATACAAACAGCTCGAGAGACGAGCTAGTGACAAGTCCCATGGGTCAAGGCAACGGTGGCTACGGAACGATCCAGTCAGATGCATCCCATCGACACAGTGGACATCTGAATGGGGAGTTCCCAGTCAATGACCAGTCTTCACCACAGCATCAGCTCGTGAAGCCGGCGAGCTTTGAGGGCAGAGATACCAGGTGGTATATTCCTTCTGGAGTCTATCTGCTGGGTTCGCCACGGGTTGTTACTTGCTTGTTCCTCGCCGTCTTGAATGCCGCAATGCTCACTTGCTTTGACAGCGTAAGACCTCTCTCTCTCTCTTTCTCTCCTTCTCTCCCCCTCTCTCCCCCTCTTTTTCGTCCATTCTTCACTATGTGTATTTGCTAACTAATTTGAAATAATAATAGACTCTGCCTATCTTCACTCGAGATTTATTTGGCTGGGACGCACTGTTCCAAGGCCTTATCTTCCTCACCATTGCGATTCCCAGTCTATTCGCTCCAGTAACAGGTAAAGAACATCCCCTTTAGACATGTCTATTATTTTAAGACTACCACAGCCATCCTAACAGACGTCTTCTCAAAACAGGTCATCTTACTGACAAAGTGGGCGTGCGCCTCCCCATCCTGACTGGTTTCATCCTCGCCACGGCAGCATTCATCCTTCTCAGCTTCATAGACGGACATGCAGACACCCTTCACCAGGGCCTCCTCGTCGGCTTCCTGGTCCTCGTCGGCATTGGGCTGACGCTCATCCATCCGGCCACCATGGCTGAGATCAACCACGCTGTTCGTGAGGAGGCCGAGGCCCACCCAGAGAGATTTGGCAAAGGGGCCACCGGACAAGCCAATGCCTTGCGAAACTGTGCCTTCTCCGCAGGCATTACCTTTGGCCCGCTCGTGGCTGGTTTTGTCAAGGAGAGTTTTGGCTGGGCGACCATGACCCGGGCGTTTGCAGTGGCTGGCGCTGTGGCGTGCGTTAGCACGGTACTCTGGGCTGGAGGGTGGATCCTCAAGAGCAAGGAGGAGGAGGAGGGCGGTGGAGGATGGAGTGAAGATGAGCAAGGGTAAAGTTGCCAACTTTTTTAATTTTCCTTTCTTATCTCTTTTGCTTCACACCCTCTCATCATCCCTTGTACTGAGGCAGCTGACCTGACCGTGTAGACAGGGAGTCAGGACGGCAGCCCAACCGTGGGAGGACTGGGCCTTGACCAGTGATCAGAACCAGGCTTTGATCTGGGCTGCGGCCCCATATTCCCGTCACATGAGCAGGCAATATCTCCCTTGCCATTAGGGATATAGGTTCTCGTTCCTTCTCACAGATCTCGTGGTCACGACTGGACAGAGTATTATTCTAAAACTGAAGAGACTGTCACTGTGTATTTCCAAGTACTGGAATTGAGGAAGACGTCAAGCAGCGAACATATCTATCTCCTAATCAATGTTCTTCGACCTAAATGTTGTTGATTCTGTATGAGCCTGGAGATTATAAGTTGAGAAACCGGACTGGGTTGAAGACTGGAAGTTTAGTAATTGTATTTGCGTCAAAAGTAATGAATTTGCCCATTTTGTCCATCTTGTATAGTTCTTGCTTTGTTTACATGTTCGACCTGCTTTGAAGGCATTCTCAAGCCCGTCTGTAACCACATATACATATTCTCCATTCCGCCTTGAAAAATGCAAATTACATCATTTTATTGTGTGCACTAAGAAGAAAGAAAAGGGGACAGGAGAACAGTAGCTAAAGTGCCATGGTCTCCTGTAGATCTCCTTACTGGACCTTCGAGCCTCGGGCTTCTCATGGACAACCCCCGCAAGTCGATCAAGGTGGCACGTTGCGGCCGCCATGATCATCGGAAGCCCACAGTGAGGGCCATGTCTCTATGCGATCCCTCATGTGGCGCCACCAGAAGAAGAAGAAAAAAAGCAGAGAAAAGTGGTTGCAATGAAGGTGGTTGGGTACTTCCCTCCCCGTTCTGAGTGTAGCACCGAAACCTTGCTTACGGCTGTTGGCGGTGTGTCCTCAATGTTTTGATCGGGTTGGTAATGTGGTCCTCCCGATATCAGACCGACGCAGTGTGACCAGCACTACCCCACTGTGGCGTGGAGTAAGGGATGAATACGTAAGGAATAGGCCGTGGATCAACATGTTGTCTACACCCTACGCCCCCATCTCCATCTCTTTTCAGGTGTGTTCGCTTCAATTGAGCGTCTATTGTTCCCCTTTCTCTGTGTCTCAGATTGGACCGCCTTTCCAAGTCCCCTTGGGTACCCTTTGATGAAATTGTTGTCTCTGTGACGTAGCAAAAGCAGCTTGGGTCTCGGAGGGGGGGGGGGGGGCTCAATGGAGTGATGCGACAGTACACGAGCCGCAGACATGTGAGAGAAGAACTAACCAGGACGAAGTTACACTGCAGAACGCGCGCGGGAATTGTTAGCCCTTGATCAAGTTTGTGTCATGCCTTCATTCGCGCTGTCTTCGCGTCAAACCTCGACCTCAATGTTATTGTTGCCACCAAGAGAAAACTCCAAGCACAATCCACTTTGGCGCAATTCCCGTCTGAGATTCTTGTGTCCTCCTTCAAGTGCTACCGCCAATAAAGAACAAAATATGAGTCTCTCCAGAGAACTCAACTGAACATCTGGGGCAAAAGGTGTGACAAAGGACCCTCCATAATCTCCACCGAGTGTGGGACCAGTGTTGTTTCGAGAGAATCTAACATGAGCCACCTCCGTGTGTGTTATTAGTGCCCGCGTGTAAAATACCACTTTTGTCCGGAATAACACACATATGTGTGCCCGCCCGGCAATTGGGAAATGATCCACCCAGTACGTACATAGATGCACAAGATGATGGAAGGAGAGGCCCTGTCTCGGCTACGGCTCCAGATGCCAGCTGTCGCCGGTGACGCTCTGTCCCCCTCATCGGCCTCAGATTTTCTGGGCCGGAGCAATTGAAGGTCTCAGCCTCCTGAACACAAGGCGCCACGACCGGCCTAAAACTTTTCTCATGGACCCCAATCTACAGGACTCATAGGCTTCGGAATGATTCAAGGTCTCGGAGGGGGAGGTCATGGCAGGTTGCCGACTACTTAATTCGAAATTCAGGCTTCACTCTTCAGACTCGTCAACTCATCAGCTTCCTTCATATGCATCATCCCCTTGGATCAGTGCCGACAGAAAGATAGAGAGAGGATTGGAAGAATGACCAACAAGATGTCAGTGGTTGTGCCCCAACTGGTCGCCACCAACGGCATTACAAACGGAGTCACCAATGGCGTCGTCAATGGCATCACGAATGGCATGACCAACGAGGTCACCAACGAGGTTACCAGTGAAGTCGCCAGCGGCCTTGCCAACGGCGTAATGAACGGGGTTACGAATGGTAACTCGCAATGCAAACAAGTACTCTTCTTGTGAGTCGTACGACCCATCAGTTAGCAGTGCCGACTTTGTGGTCTGACAGTGCTTAGCGATATCGACAATTGTCTCTACCCGAAGAGTATGCAGAACATCTGAGGCCCGAACCATTTTGTACGGCGAGCTAACGAGACCACAGGCGCAAGAGTGCACGACCTCATGGCCGACCGGATCAATGCCTACTTCGAACAGCATCTGAACCTGGCCCGAGAGGAAGCCGTGAGACTCCACAGCCAGTACTATCAAAATTATGGCCTCGCCATCGCTGGGCTCATTCGACACCACAAGATCGATCCTCTGGACTTCAACGCCAAGGTCGACGACGCGCTTCCCCTCGAGGGTGTGATCAGGCCTCGGCCTGGGCTGAAAAAGATGCTCGCGGATATAGACAGAAGCAAGGTCAAGCTGTGGCTCTTCACGAATGCTTACGTAAACCACGCGCGCCGCGTCGTCCGCCTGCTGGGCGTGGAGGAGTTTTTTGATGGCGTCACGTATTGTGACTACGCCTCTGAGCCGTTCGTGTGTAAACCGGACCGGGACATGTACACCAAGGCGATGAGGGAGGCGGGCGTCGAGCGGTGTAAGGATTGCTTCTTTGTTGGTAAGTACCTCTGTAAGATTCTTTTCTACTCGTTACCCCCATGACATGAGTTGTTTGGTCCATGGAAAGGATGATATTTTTGGTGAGCTGACGCAGTGGATGTCACAAAAAGACGACTCATACAGCAACTGCAAGGCGGCGCAGGAGCTTGGGTGGACCGCAGCTCATCTTGTGGAGGACAGTGCGTGCGTGCCCAGGGTGGTTGCTTCCAAGCACCAAATCAATCACATCGAAGAACTGCGGAGTACCTTTCCTCAATTTTTCAGGATGTGTGAGAAGGTTTAGCGGTTGGCGAACCGATTGCGGAGGAAATTATCTGGATCGCCCCGAGGGGCTTCAAATTCCTCGCCATTGTTATGTAGAGGGTTAGACTCAATTGAAGAGATTTCATCTCAGACTGCTGCCATGTAACCTTGAATTCGGAAGAGGGATAAGGATCCGCAAAAGAGGACTTGGTCCTTTGACAGCATCGTTGTGGGGACAGGCCGCTCATCATCAGGTTGTGTCCCTCCAAAGGCCAGCAACGACGCCTTGAGATCGGGGCAATCAGGTAGGCCAAATAATTCATTCCCAGGCACCACAGCATGTCGAGGATGACGACGCTGCAATCGATGTCGAATGTTGCATGGTACAGTATGAGATCGCTGGCAAGAGGCTGGCTGAACTGAAGGTCAGAGCACACACTATTGGTATTGTGCAATCTCCAGGCCGTCCCTACTGAGGATGTAGGTCTCACCGTAGTCTGGCGACAGGAGCCGGCTGGGGAGAATCAAGTGTGAGTATATGAGCACACGGAGGGAGATCCTGCAAGCGGGACAACACCACCGTTGCACATTTGTGGGGAAACCCTGCTCAGCAAGCCACAGTGAGATCTGCGGCTCAGTCAGGACTGAAAATCCATCGCGTGAAGCCGAGTCGTCATCTCAAGGAGAGGTCAAGGGCGGGTGGGGAGAGAAAGAGAGGCAACAGAGGAGGGAGGTGTGGGTTCACTTGAGCGCCACGTTGAAGGCCGCGGCCGCCCCGGGGGCAGGGAAAGAGAGGCGTTGTGGCACGTGAGGACGAGCCGTGGAACTCTGCAATGACAATGTTCAGCAGCGGGAAGAAGTAATTGTGTGCTCAGAAGCCTCACCGTAAGTCTGGCAAGGAGACTCCAAAGCCCTGACACTGACAATCAGCTCAACTTGTCTGGAGGAGTCGTCGTACAGACACGCCACATATTTTGGCGTACTCCTCCTACCGTCGTTCCAAGACCACTGGCCAGCCGCCTCACTAGCAGAGTGCGTGCTTCGCTTCCTCCCGCAACAATTCGCTATACCGCCGGAGCAGATTGTTATGCGGAACGAGGCAGGACGCCACCTGCAAGCCATCTTCCCCTGGCGGACCCTCATGCATAACTGCAGCTCCTCCCGCACATCCCTCTTCACGGACTTTCTGCCAATGATCAGTGTCCCTTTCTCAGATATATGGAGTCGTTGTCCGATATTGTACACCGTATCCACTTTGCCCAGACGGGACACTTGATCAGCTGATCGCATATTGGACGCCATGGACTTGAGGTTCGCGTTCCATACAGGATCATTCTCAGCGCCAATGGCAGTGGCACATCGCTTGGTGTTTCTTGGTAATCGTCTCGTCTGGCCTTGCTTTTCAGGGCAAAATAGACCTTTGCCCAGCTAGTAGAACATCCGGCATCGGGAATAGGAATGAATCCTCCAAGAAGAGGCGCACCGCCCTTCTCTACTGGCCCATAGATGGCGAGGCAGGGCGTCGTCGTGGGAAGCTCACTGCATATGCAGTTCGGTGTATTCTTTAGATTCGGATTGGAGGCAGCTCGTACGAACCACCGATACCGTGCCTTGCATTGAACCAGATGACGATGAAGCTTGCGCAGTGCGTGGGTGGAGATGGCCATGGTCTGCAGGAATTCGCCATCTCTAGCGTTATGAAGGGATCCGTCCTCAACAAGAATGGCGATGGGGCTGCAGCGGGCAGAGCGTGGGATTAGTTCATCGACAAACGGGATGTTGACACTGTCAAGTGATGCGTGAGCTAGGAGGCGAGTCGGACGAGTAGCCGTTGTTGAGATTGGGGACCGAGATGGAGTCTGAACGGTCGCAATAAGCTTCAATATGATTAGTGAGGACGCCCTGCCTTTGAAGCGTGGGCGAGGAGCACGAAGGAGTTGGCGCATGTTGAAAAAATTGGGGAAAAGTCGTGTATCTGATACTCTTGCTGGAAATTTCCTCTGCAGAAGAGGCACAGTTCGAGTACGCGTCGCAACGTGTTTCTCTTTTCAACCGAGGTCAGCTGAATCGATGCGAGATATTTCTTGATGACCCTCTCGACCTCTGTGCCTGTGTGCCTGTGTGGACTGGTGTTTCTATGAAAACCCTGCCTCATCTCTCCATAATCCAAGGTTGGTTTGTTGGTTCATGTTGATAACCTCGTCAGAAGAGGAGGCTTCTGGCTCGTCATGTGGAAGCCTTGATTGTCAATAATCTGCGAGGCCTAGTATTGCCTCGGAGCTGCTTTGGATTTTGCACATTGTTGCTGAGCTGGAGAGGTTCTTTCCTTCCTCCTTTCATTCTTTCCTTCTTCTCGAGCAGACTACTAGCAGAAAGTACTGGAGGAAGGAGAGGCGGAGGAAGAAGAGGAAGAGGAAGGAGCTGGTGGATGACGGTGGTAGACATGACGACAAGACATCGGCTTCAATTCCGCTGCGCTCGGCTTGTGTCGGGTTTGGTCCCACTAACAATACGACGACTTCATCCCCAAAGAATGCTGCTATCAACCTCGACCTCGACCTCGACCAGCACATGTATTCGAACGTCGGTTCGTGGGCGAGCTCACGATTTTAAGGGTTTTCGGAAGATGGCTTCGTTCAAAACATGGGTGCCAGGTGTCGAACCTGACAGCGATTTCTCCCTGGCCAACATCCCCTTTGGCATAATCACTACACCTGACGACGGCGATCCACATGCAGCGACGGCCATCGGCAGTCATATTCTCGATCTCAAGGTTCTCTCCCAGCAGTCAGGCTTTGGCGCGGTCTTCCCCTTCTTGAAAGACCGCACAGATGTCTTCGCCTCGCCTTTTCTCAACTCGCTTGCCGCACTCGGCCGCCCAGTCCATCGAGAACTGAGGAGCACCCTTCAGGATCTCCTTTCCGAGGACACAAGGCATCCAGAGTTCCTCAGAGACAATGCTGCACTGCGTGAGAGGGCCCTCCTTCCTATGGCCAGGGTACAGACCCGCCTGCCCATGGAGATTGGCGACTATACCGACTTTTACGCCGGCTACCACCACGCCTTTGGCGTCGGCAGCATGTGGCGTGGCCCTGCCAATGCCCTGCAGCCCAACTACCTTCACCTTCCCGTCGGCTATCACGGTCGCGCCTCCAGCATTGTTGTTTCGGGATCCCCGATCGTCCGGCCCAAGGGCCAGATCATTGTCGACCCGGCCGCTGAGGGACCTAAGCAGCCTGTGGTCGCGCCCTCCAGAAGGCTGGACATTGAGCTGGAGCTAGGGTGCTTTGTGGGGCGCGGCAATACGATAGGCACGAGCATCGACGTCAACAGGGCGGAGGAGGATCACATCTTTGGCTACGTACTTGTGAACGACTGGAGCGCGAGGGATATCCAGAACTGGGAGTACGTGCCACTTGGCCCGTTCAATGGGAAGAACTTCGCCACTACCATCAGCCCGTGGGTGGTCACACCCGATGCGCTGAAGCCGTTCAGGACTACTGGGATCCACGTGGAGAACAGGCCTGAGGTGCACGAGTATCTGCATGAGGAGAGCAAGGACAACGTGTTCGATATTGAGTGTCATATTGATCTGACTAGTAGGTGTCTTGTCTCCCTTCCTGACCTGTGCTGCATCGTGTTCTTTGTTAATAGCTCCTCTCAGCTCCGGAAGGTGACACTACCAACCTATCCAAGGTGTCATCCAAAAATCTCATATGGTCATTCCCTCAAATGCTGGCCCACCACACCTTGGGCGGCTGTCCCATGCGCACAGGTGACATGATCGCCTCTGGCACCATCAGCGGTACGGGGCCCTCTGAGTACGGCAGCCTGCTTGAGATGAACCAGGGCGGGAAGAAGGAGATCCTGCTCTATGGAATGGACGCCCGCAAGTTCCTCAAGGATGGTGACACCGTCACCTTTAGAGCATCAGCTGGTGAGCCAGGCCAAAAGGTCGGCTTCGGCAAGTGCAGCGGGAGAATCTTTGGCAGAGCTGCCTAGTAATAATAAGATCCCTGACAGAAGGCGCCCAAAGGACTGAGTGGACCTCGACGATCCGTGTTTTTGCCCTGCTTTGATGAAGGAGGCGAGCACAATATAAACTATTTGCATGTGTTTGCACATTCACTACTACGTTTCCTAGCATTTCGCCTGCAGTGCAATGGAAAACAAACGCCATCTAGACACTACTCTGACCTGTCCAGAATTCTAAGAGCCTGTTAATACACCAGGGATTAAGCTCAGCGCTGCGTTGATTCCTTGGAGGGGCCTGAAAGAGCTAAACGTCAGCGACCTTTTAGGCTTCATCGATCCCTATTCTGTCGTAGCCGTCTTGCACGTGCAATAAATACATTGCACGGGCACATGCAGTGGCATATTTATCAAACGAGAACCCGAGACGGGTAACGCGCTGTAGTGACACCCTGAAACACCGGCGACCCGGATTCACACTGATAGCGGAGGAAGAAGAGATAGGGCGTGGGGATTGATCTGCATTTTCTGTAAGTTCACTTTTGTTTCGTGCTAGAGAGTTCGTTCAAATATGAGACACTCTGTGCACTTGATTGTTGAAGAAAAAAGCAAAACCCCCACATCACAAGGCAGCAGTGCTGATCACTTCTCACCGCTGTTTTCAAGCACGCCCTCCAGAAATCAGCAGCCTCAAACCTAAGAGGTGAAGAAGCCGGAGAACGGAGGCTGTTGTACACGCAAAAACTCTCATTATGATCACGGACGTCGACCGTGATCTGTACGAGCGCCAGGGAAAGTCTGGGATGAAGTTGCGAGGAGCCAAGCAGCAGCGCGAGAAGGCAAGATGGGCAGACCATCAGCGCCACCAGGCCTCAGTGGCGACCGCAATGTTTGTCTTTATCGGCCTGTTATTCTTTCGTCTTGGTGTTCTTGAACCATGGGACCTTGGGACCAGCGCTGCGGTCCTGTCGCCAAGCCCTGCGCGGTTGGGGCGCGAGACGAGAGATGGTATCGACGCCCTGGCCGCCAACTCTCAGCCAGACACTCGTGCTGCTAACACAGCCTGGCTGAACATGGCCCGGAGGCAAGCTACTAGCCAGTCTTCCGGCCAGGATAACAAGTCTATTCAGGCATTCCAGGTAGATGTGCCCATTCTTGGCCAGGAGGGCACGGTGGTTGGGGCTGGTACGCGGGATGGGTTCAGTGGCATCCAGACCATGGCAAATACCAGTGTGGTGGCTTGTCAGGTCACGCTGGCAGTAAACGTCTTCAGTAATTCCTTTGGGTCGCCGTTCATTGCGGACTATGTGCCTCCAGCATGCTTGGGCCAGAGCAACACGGCTGTGATGAATTTGACGGTGACGTCTCAGGGGAGACAGTTTGATCGACTCGCCATCCTGTGAGCCTCCTCATATGTGTTAACTACTAAAGAATGAGTTGGAGAGATGAGAACGAGCTGACCATGGCCTTTGGGTAGATATCTTGGTGCCGTGGAGATCTTCCGCACCTCAACAGCGGAGCCCCAAACGCAGGGAATTTCCTGGACGTATATGAAGGATATGTCGCATTACATGGCTCTGTGGAAGCAGCCACAAACAGTCATCTTTGACCTACCAAATATTGTCGATCCTACCACGACACCCCCTCTGACCGGCACTTACAATGCCACCCTCACCGCCAGCTTCTTCAACGCCTCTCAATCCGTCAGCCCCGCAGACACCATCATCCCCATTTCTGCCCGCCAGTCAGACAACGCCAACTCCTCCTCTTCCTCCTCCCAGCCCAGCGTGTTCACCATTCCCTCCCCGGACGTGAGCGCCTCCAACGTGATCACAAACTTCCCACGCAATGTCGCCCGCGCCATCTTCTCCGTGTCTGCGACAGGGCAGGCCAACGAGGAATTCTGGTGGTCCAACGTCCTGCAGTCCGACACACAGACATATAACGCCTCGTCCGTGACATTATTCGGTTATTCACCCTTTAGGGAAGTGCAGGTCCTCATTGACGACCAGTTGGCGGGTGTGCAGTGGCCCTTCCCCGTCATCTTCACCGGTGGTGTCGTCCCGTCCTTGTGGTCACCCTTGGTTGGCATCGATGCCTTCGATCTCAAGGAGGGTGAAATTGACATATCCCCGTGGCTGGGCTTACTCTGCGATGGGCAGCCGCATAATATCTCCATCCGTGTAGTGGGGCTGAATGACGACGGCAGCACAAACGCGATATTGTCACCAAATACTGGCGACGACTGGGAGGTTACGGGCAAGATTTTTGTCTGGCTCGACGCAGACGCCGGCGCCATCACGACAGGCGCACCTCCCACTGTCTCTGGGCAACTTCCCACCATCGCAGTGAGCCAAACACTGGCGACCAATACCACTGGCTACAACGACACACTAAGATACACAACGTCCGTCTCGCGGGACTTCAGTGTCTCGGGATCCATCGTCACATCATCCGGCACGCAGACTTTGTCTTGGACGCAGGCCCTCTCTCATACCGACGACGGGACGCTCTCAAACGTCGGCAGCAACCAGATCGTCACCATTACAACACATGGCACGGATACGTCCACCACTCCCAACAACGGCTTCGTCTCTACGTACACTTACCCTCTTCACGCGAACATAACCTCTGAGGTCCTCACCAACGGAACAACACGCGTCTCTGCCTTGCTCTCCCGCACTAAGAGCGTCAATCGCACCGCAGGGCCCGACGGCGGCGAAGGCTTCGTCTCGCCCAGCGGACTGCAGCTCTTTGCGGAGCTGCCCACGACAGCGGACCTGGTGGGCCGGATCACGGAGACGTCGTTTACCACGACGCAGAGCGGGACTGCGGTGCTGTTGGTGCCTGTGGATGGGAACAGCACGGGCTATGGTGGCCAGAGCCAGATGATGCGGTTTGGCGGTGGGACGGCGGCGGGCGTGCTGGGCGACGAGCCGGATACTGAGTTGTATTTTCGAGATGTCAGTGTGAATAGTACTGGGGCAGTGCTGAGTGATGTTGAGAGGTTGGCTGGAGGGGATGTTGTGGGGATGAGGCTGCCTGCCACAGGCGAGTGAGTGAGACAGAAGATAAATAATGTGATAAGTATGGGATCTTTGCATTGTTATGTGGTGCCACAATCTGTGTGGATATGTGGCAAGGATAATATTAGACAACAGACATGATATTCAATGCGTTTTACAACATAGTCAAGTCCATCCTCATTTGGCAGTCCTTCAGTATCTTGAGGGAATCCTGGTTCATCTATCTAGACATAGACACACATATGATTATGTTCTCTTTGAAAGTTTGAACTCTATACTGATACTGATTGCTATAAATCTTCACAGCCAGCTGGAGATATAATCCACCAGTCTTACAATTCCAAGGCATCATTCTACCCTTCACAATGTTTGAGTGTCTGCCAAGGTACACTGGGCTTATATTCCCATTGTTTGGGCTCTCAGAACATCGCCTGAACTCCTTTGGTCATCCCATTCAGCTTTTTGATCTGGTGGGATAGTCGCTTCGGCAACTGACTTCATGACCAAGCCCTTGAACCAGAGGTTGTAACATTATTCTGCGAACACGTGTTGCCTGTTATTGACGATATTCACAGCACTAATCCACCTTTACCTTTATTTGTTTAATAGAGATCAGCCCAGCCCTTTGAGCCCAGCTTCAAAGCTCTTTCCCTTCCTCCTCCACATTCGAGGCTCTCTTCTCTTTCCCACTTCCACATTCCCCATACCAAACCCGGTTCAGCAATATGGAGGAGATTCAAGATCAGGGCGAGGTAAGAAAGACTGCCTCCTCCCATTTTCACCTCCAGAAGCAGACGGACAATTTCTGACGTGTTTTGTTTGTCCGAGGCAGGCTCAGCCACGCCGTATTGTTCCCGATGAGGAGATCCGTGATATCATCATGAAAGACATCTACACCTTGGACGGAGTAAGCAATCCCATATTTTTGTAGACTTTGTATGTGTCCTTGTGCTAATCGCAGACGGTAATTACAACAAAAACACAGGAGACCTTCACGGCATACATGAATCGGACGATTTTCCAGCACGAGATCCTGAGGGTCTACCTGGGCAGTCTCCGCGACACGATCCAGGACTATCACATGTCCCAGATCCCCTCCATGTACTCGACGCCCGACGGAACCATGAATGTCGTCGACCGAGGCATCCAGGCCATCGCCGCCACGGTGCAGACGATGGAGACGGAGCTCTTCGACATGCGCGACAGCTTCAAGCGCGTCGCTATGGACCCCGCCAGCCAGCGCACCGTCTCCAAGGCCGGCAGCGAGCTCACTGTCGAGGCTCTGCGGGCTGAGCTGGACAAGCCCCGGTTCATTACCCTGCACGGCATTCTCCTGGCCCTGGTCGCCTGCTACATCGTCTGGCGCTGTGAGGCCCTTCTGGCCAAAGTGATGTAGATTTCCCTGGAAGCCTAATTGGCTTTGGAAAGCTGGGAGATGTCTCATCAGATCACTTCTCAAGGGCCTGGGCTTGTTTGGGTTGGGGGTTTGGCGGAAATGTGATGCCCATTGACGGAGGATTACCAAGGAATGACTGTACGAGATACTGCACCTAGGTAATGAGAACTCTAGTCAAAGAATCGATCAACCAATAATACCTCATGATGCTATTCCTTGGCTGCTTTCTATTTGATCCTCCATTCGTTGTCCTGGTGTAGTGTAGGGTATGGTAGGGTAGGGAAACAGCAAACTGCCTCGATAACACAGACCGACCTTGCATAATGTTTGCACAACTTGCAGGACTAGTGGGATGCTTACTGGCGAGAAACGAAGACATGATACGAAAGATGTCTAGCGGTTATCAGGCTTGGCTTCCAGGAATTCTAGGATCACGATCCTACACTTGCTTGCTGAATTCATGATCTCTTCCCTCTTCTTGTCTCCCTGTCCTCCCTCCTCCTACCAAACCTCTGGCAGCCGTTTGGAAAGGAAGATCAGTGGCAATAACTACTGTGCAGGCCTGCTGGTTCTCGGTAGTCTATCACAACTACCAAAAAAAAAAAAAAAAAAGCATAGCTGACGTCGATGACAGATGTTCGCCAGCTGCTCTCAGCTGCCATGCTCTCTCTTTATGTGGAACAGCACCAAAGTCCAATCGCATGGCTGCTTCACATGTGCAGCGCGTCATCATACATGCAAGGTTTAGATTGCAGAAAAACCAATAGTTCATGCATGCATGCATGCAGGCTGAGATGAAGAAACGTACAAGATGAGGAGTGACGAGGGGGGGGGGGGCACTTTGGGGTGGTGTTTCCCCAAAGGAAAAAACCAGGTCCACAAATGGAATGGAGTTGGTACTATGAAAATGTCACCACGATGCTGCTCAGTGAGGTGCTTCATGGGATTAAGCACGCAGTATACTCGTAGCACGACCATCTTGGCGCAACACTGGCAAGCAATTGGTGGGCTATTGACCAGGACAACGGATTGATGGCATTGTTATTCATTTCAATAAGTAAGAAAAAAAGGGGGAAATGGATGAGACGGCATCTAGATGCTGCACTAAGCCTTGTATCCACCAGCTGACACGGTGGGACCAAGATTCCCACTCTGTGGCGCTACACACTTGGATTCGTTTTGTAATTTGTACTTGTGGTTATCAGTGAAGGCTCTGGTCTTCCATTGGGTAGCTACGTGCTATGGAAGTATTTTGTACACAGCTATTAAGGAAGAAAAGAAAAGAAAAGAATACAAAGTAGGCGCAACAACAATGCTGCTCAGAATGTCTTGCTTCTGCCTACGGAAGAACTACTTTTGATGTATACGTCAAACAGGCCATCTATGTATGTGGTGACCACTAGTTCAGCCACGCCGTTGCAGCATTATCGTTCCCGTAATGAATCACAAATAGTACTACTGTACGACGTATCATCACAGTGAGTAGCCATATCTTACTCGCCATGAACCCAAGTGGGCGCATTGGGCGCCTGGTCCGTCCGGCGGTCACCGGCATCTGACCAGAACACTCAGATATCTTTTATTGCACGTACCACCTCCAACATGAAAAGTATCCACTTGCTGAGTGACTGGCTGTAGGAAGGTGAGGCGTAATAAGTAGCGGGGTAGCATTAGTGTGCCTCCATCCGTCCACACATGCATGGGGACCAAAAAGCTTATCACTTTGTCTCCATCACACCCTGTTCCTTGTACAGCTGGGCCAAGGGAGGAGGGAGACGAAAGCCAGTCACTCTGCAACACTGAGCACAGGCATGGATACTACATGGTAATTTACTTTTTCCATCTTTGCATCCCTTCTCCTCCTCCTTCCCTTTCATCATCCATGGATTGCTGTCGTGAGTGTGTGTGTGTGTGTGTGTGTGTGGAAACATGGAAGCTGGGCGGGTGACCTGCCAGATTTGTGACAAGCCCCGTTGCCCCAATACCATATTGTCGGCGTTGTCGGCTCGCAATCTTGCACCGTTGACTGCGCGCGGCCCTCTTCCCGTCTTGTCTCCTGCCGCAATCCTACAGGACCAAGATCGACGGTGCAGCAGGGGTACGGGCTCGACCTTCCGGGATGATGAGCTATAATCCTTTTGGTCTGCCCTGTATTCGCAACTACGCATGGACACGAGGATAGTTAGAGTTCCTAATGCGCGTGTGCTGCTCCTCTCTGGTCGCTAATTCAGGATGGTGGTGGGGTTGTCCGTATGAAATGACGCAACAGAGTAAGAAGAAAGACGGAAAAGAGAGGGGGAGAGAGAGAGAGAGAGAGAGAGAGAGGAAAAAGAGGATAGATGGAGATATGTGCAGGGAGGTATACAGTATCCACTTCACTTTTGAGGATGAAGATATAAAAGGCCACCTGGGTGCCTGTCTATGAACTCCCCATAACCACACTCGTTCTTTCTTCCTTTTACCCTTCCTTGCCCTTGTTACCGCATTGTCCTCCTCATACTTTGTTTCTCGTCAAAAGTCATGAAGGGCACCGGACTCCTCCTGGCGTTCAGCCTCCTGGCGGGCTCTGCTCTTGCGAAGCCGGTCAAGCAGCGGTCTGGCTTCGCAGTCAAGGACACTCACTACGTCCCGCGAAAATGGACGCAAGTGGGCTACCCAGAGGCCGACCACACCATCTCTCTTCGTATTGGCCTCAAGCAGGGTAGCTTTTCCGAGCTCGAGCGTCACCTGTGTAAGTCATGAGCTGCTCAGCCAGTTATTATGAGTACTGCCCAAGGAATCACCCCAACAACTAACAATTCGACAGATGAGGTTTCGGACCCTGACCACTCGCGCTGGGGCAAGCACCTCAAGTCCCACGAGGTGGCATCCCTCCTGGAGCCGGCAGACGAGACGTTTGATCTTGTGCACGAGTGGCTGGCCGACAATGGCATCGCCACGGATGGCCTCCGATACAGCCCAGCCAAAGACTGGATCACGGTGGCCGTCCCCGTCGAGCAGGTTGAGCAGATGCTCGACACCAAGTATGCCGTGTACCGACACGAAGACGGCACCGAGCTGGTGCGCACGCCCAAGTGGTCGCTCCCTGCCCACCTGCACGACCACATCGACACCATCCAGCCCACCAACTCGTGGTTCCGCGCCAAGCCCAAGGCTGTGGGTGTCAAGGTCACCAGCAAGCCTTTCCTGGAGCAGCCCGCCATGGAGTACTACACCGACGCCAACGTGTCGGATGTGTGTGTGTCGGACGCCGTCACGCCCACCTGTATCCGCACCCTGTACGGAACCATCGACTACCAGGTCCAGGCCGCCGACAAGAACAGCATGGGTCTCTGCGATTTCCTGAACGAGACCAACAACCGCAACGACACGTATAACTTCCTCAAGACGTACAGGCCCGAGGCAGCCGATGAGGCATGGACGTTCACGTTCGACTCCATCGCCAACGGAACCACCACCCAGATCTACACCGAGGAGGCCTTCGAGGACGAGACAGGCATCGAGGGCAACCTGGACGTGCAGAACTTGATCAGCGTGGGCTGGCCAACGCCCCTCATCGCTTACACAACCGGAGGAAGCCCGCCTTTCGACCCCGATGACGAGACCACCACCGACAGCAACGAGCCCTACCTCGTCTGGCTGGAGAGCGTCCTGGCCGAGTCCGACGACGACATCGCCAAGGTCATCAGCACCTCGTACGACGACGACGAGCAGACGGTTCCCCTGTCCTACGCCACCCGTGTCTGCAACGACATGGCCCAGCTGGGCGCCCGCGGCGTCAGCCTGTTCTACGCCTCTGGCGACGGCGGCGTCGGCCCCAGCGGTGCCTGCTACAGCAACGACGGCAAGAACACGAGCATCTTCCTGCCCGAGTTCCCCTCCACGTGCCCTTACATCACCTCCGTCGGCGCCACCGGCAACTTCACCCCCGAGATCGTCGCCTACGTGCCCGACGAGGACTATGCCAGCGGCGGCGGCTTCTCCAACTACTTTGCCCGCCCGTCGTACCAGGACGCCGTTGTCGAGCAGTACATTGCGTCCCTCGACGGTCAATACGCCCAGTACTACAACCAGTCTGGCCGTGCCTACCCGGACATCGCCGCCCAGGGCCTGTTCGACATCATCGTCTGGGACGGCTATACCTTCCCCGTCGGCGGCACCTCTGCTGCGACCCCGACCGCTGCTGCCATCTTTGCCCTTGTCAACGACGCCCTGCTTGCGGCTGGCAAGAGCACCATCGGCTTCCTGAACCCGTGGCTGTACAAGACGGGTTACAAGGCCTTTACTGATGTCACGATCGGAAGTGCTGTTGGTTGCGAGGGTCTTGGGGATGGCCTTGGTTTCCCTGCGGAGGTGGGCTGGGATGCAGTCTCCGGGTGGGGAACACCGCAGTTCAAGAGCATCCTGGCGAGCCTCGGGGTGGGCAATGGCTCCTTCACTGGTAAGGTGGAGGGCTGGAGTCTGGCTCGCACCGAGTAACTGTCAATACTGTAGTTCAAGGGACGTAAATAAAGTTGTTCTTGAGCATTGAATAGTGCATAGCTGTAAATAGTATATTATAGTTCAAGACATGACCGTTTCTGCCCAGACTAACTGACTGGTGATGCTTTCTTTGAAGTATATTTATTGTATGCTTGTGTCAAGATGCCTGTGTCAAGAGCCTCTCAGACCCAGTCAAGAAGCTTTTCAAACTGGTCAAGACACACTTCTTGAGGTCGTATTCTGCCCAGCTAGCACTGAGGTACTGGACTGGTCTGATATGCACTTCTTCTCACAGACATATATCAAGCAGGACGAACAACTAGTGAAGTGGAGTAAAATTAGTATCAAAGCTGAGCAAGGACTCGTCTAAGATAACTCAATAATACAGTTATATTCAATCTGAAACACTGCAAAACAATGCCAGCTGGGCTCTCTTTACAACAATCAGTCAACAGCAATGAATGTTGGTATCAGCCTATGATCTGGGTTATCGCAGATGCCTAATGGATCAACTTCATAGCCATACAGATCACAGGTATTCAAGGCTGAGACAGCCAATTATGGAGCTTCGATGGGAGTTCAAGGATGGCCGTTTACTGGAACACATGTCTTGGGCTTGGAAGAGGCGGAACTAAGACTCCTGACTTGGCATCTCAATGACTTCATTGGGACGAAATACTGGGCAAGTGTTACCTGATTCATCTGCAATGCACTCTTTGTCTTGGGGCATTATACAATCATCTCCAGTCCGTTCCAGACCACATGACTTGCAACATGTCGCTGTATAATCACCTTTATAGGGACAATATCATATGTAGGCATGAAGTATGGCAATGATTTGTTAGACATAAACAATAGTCCATATAGTTGAGACTGCAACAACATCAGAGCCTCATCAGTCAGCATTGAGGACTTCAAGCACTATGATGAAAGATGATTTACGATAGAACACTGAAACCCTAGAAACAATCATTGCCTGGTGATTGAAAGCACACGTACAGCTGATAGTGAAGGTGAGGGCCAGGTGAGAAGTTCAATCATCAATATTATGCCTAATTCTCTCCTATCAAGCATCTGTCATGTTTACTTGCTGTTCCTCAGCCAACTTGTTGGTGCCCCTCTTTACCCCCCCACACCCATTCAGTACGCGTTTTGACTGCATCCAGACTTTCTTTTTCTTTTTTGACTACTGTGCTGCACCTTTTGACAATCTGTGGCTGCACCCAACTATCGACCCACCCCAAACAGACGTCCCGTGTCTGTCCTACACCATCTTCATACCATCTCAGCACTGCTTTCTGAGCAACACAGCAACCTCGATACAGCTGAGTAAACAAGTCCCAACACACACACACACACACACACAATGGCTCCAGGTAAAGTAATGGATGCTGAGTATGTTGGTCCCATCAGCCACACATTTGTCCAGTCAGCTAACATCCTGCAGGGACCTTGCTGCCCTCGCCTTCAAAGCAATCACAGCTGCCGCCTACTATCACCTAGACGATACCACCATGTAAACCAAGACTCGCTTTCGCACTACAATGTTGTCTATTACTATTTGATACTAACAAAATGCATTGTAGGGCCAAGAGCAATTACTACCGAGAGATAGTGACTAAAGCTGTCAACGACACATTCCACCTTCGCGACGAAGCCCAAGACATCAACATTGCGCACTTAGAGATCGCCTGTGATGCAGCTGTTGAGTTCGCCCACAGATTCAATGAGCACAATCCAGAGTAAGTCAGCCAAAGGAAAACAATAAGCTTGGTTAGCACTGTAATAAGGCAGATGACTGATGTCAGGGTACCTGAGCAGCAAGAAATTCAACCCACGATGGCTGTACCACTGTGTACAGAGCATTCTCAGCATCTACTTCAAGCCTGAGCTCATGCTTGACGGCAAAATTGAACGACTGACTGCTGCTGCTGCTGCTGCTGCTACTCATGCAGCCCAACAAGACAGCCAGGAGGAGGAAGAGTGCGCTGACACGGCAGAGCCCAGTGCTCCCCAGCATGCCCATGTTGTGGACCTGTCGGCCTCGCCAGATGATACAGCTCCTCAGAAGGATGCTGCTGCAGCAGTCTTTCGACGACCTGCTGTTCCTGCCCCCCCTGTCAGAGAGGGCAGCCTGGCATGGACTGAGGACGACATCAAGCAGATGGTCCAGCTGAAGGCCTCGGGCCTTACACACAAGGAGGTTGCAGTACGTGACCCAATCCGCCTTCCCCCCCCCCCCCCCCCAACCCAACCCAAAGCCCCCCTCCTCCTTTTAATCACCAAGATCTGCTCCTTTGAATCAGGGTCCTTGAAGAAGGGAAGCAAGAAAAAGTACTGACTTTTTACAAAAATAAACAGCACCGCATGGGACGAGGTGTAAGCTCCGTCGAGAACAAATTCGGTCGTGTGATGAAAGACGGCGACTGGGCTGCCTTCATCGCCGAGTGTGGCCTGCGAAACCCCACCGGCATCAAGCGCAAGACACACGACAAGACATACAAAGAGGACAGTGACGGTGACCTGGAGGACGATGAGGATGCAAGGCCTCCCCCTTTCAAAAAAGCGCGTTCGGCTCCCAAGATACCGCACAAGTCTCGCCAGCAGTGCAGGGCTCAGTAGTGATGGTTTTGTACATACAACCAAGACTGGAATTTTGTTGGGGAGGGGTCGAGGGGGCCTTGATGTGATGATTGGACTTGGGGGACTGGGCTCAGGTGCTGCGCTGCCTGGTTGCCTGCGTAACTTGCAGGAGGTTGATTCTTGCTGTAACTTGAAGAGGCTGGAACATTGCCGTCATCAGTGGCTACTGAGGCTGTCACTGTGGCTTAGGTCTTTGCGTTGTCAACACTGCTAGGAACTAGCCAGGAGGAAGTGGCCATCACTGCCCAATGAAGTAATTACAAAACAATGAGATTAATCACACCAAATCACGACTGAATTACCTCTTTACATACTCTGGCAAGCCAGGAACCCTTCTTGACTAAACCGTCTGTCATCTCTGTCGGATCGTCTATTGTCTATTGTCTATGAGTATGACCTACGAGGTCCAACTCTAGAGTCTATCTTGTCCTAGCTGTAGTCTATCCTGTCTTTCCTTTTTTGTCTATCGTCGTCATGAGAGCGTCTTGAATACCAGCCCTGCTGCTGTACATCCGACAATGTTTTCGTAACGTTACCCCGGTTTGTCTATCATCCGTGTAGTCTATTCCCAGAAGATTTTACAGTCCTGTCTCTCAGAGACATACACATACACACACATACACGCACACAAGATTCGAGCAATCCATTTACTCGCTCTTGGCGTTGTTGGCCCAGCGCATGGCACCTGGGACGTCAGGGTCCTTCTCGACGTACCGGCACGTCGTGAAGACAGACCACAGCTGGCCCAGGAACGAGCGGTCGTCACGATGGTACAGCTTGCCCAGCTTGGGGCGGATGGCCTCGGTGGCCTCCTTGGCCTTGTAGAAGGGGATGCGGCTGTGTTGTGTCTCGTCAGCTTGCGTCCTCTTATCCAATTCTTCAAAAATAGCAAAGACTTACGGGAAGAGATGGTGCACAACGTGATCGTCAATGATGTTGTGGAACAGAACGCGTCCGACCCAGCCAAAGTCACGGTCGACAGTGGCGAGGGCGCCCTTGACGTAGGTCCAGGCCTCGGGCTCGTAGTGGTGCACCTCAGGATGGTTGTGGTGGAGGTAGGTGATGGCGACTATTGAATAGCGAAGGGTTAGTTTCATCAATCTCTCTCGGTCTCTCTCTCTCTCTCTCTCTCCTTCTACATAGAGAGTGTGTGGAGCATTCACTTACCCAGCCAGTGGTGAACCCACATGTAGGGAACAATGTAGAGCAGGAAGACAGTCTGCCAGCCGACGTAGGTAGACCCGACGTAGAGAGCGGAAGCGGTGAGAGCCAGACCCAGGTCGGAGAGGGCGATGAAGAGGGCCTCGTTGGGGCGGAAGACGGCCGAGGTGGGCTCGAAGTGGCTCACGCGGAACCAGCTCTTGTTGTCGCGCTGGAGGCTACCCTTGCCGGCGGAGGCGTTGATCAGGAGGTAGGTTTGCCAGCCGACCAGCTGGTGGAAGAAGAGCTTGGTGGCCTGGACGATGGGGGTGTCCTCGAACATCTCGGGGTCCATGTAGAAGTTGGCCAGGCGCTTCTTGCCGCGGTCCTCGACGGTCCTGGGGACAAAGGCCATGTCCTTCTCCATGTGGCCGGTGTAGTTGTGGTGGCGGTGGTGGCTGAACTTCCAGCTAAAGTAGGGCACAAGGAGCGACGAGTGGAGGATCCAGCCCATCACGTCGTTGAACTTCCTGTGCGTAGAGAAGGCGCCGTGGCCGCACTCGTGGCCCAGAATCCAGATGCCCACGCAGATGAGGCCCTGTACGTAGCCATACACGATCCAGGCTGCAGTGCGCAGCAGGGAGTCCTGGATCTGAGGGATGTAGGTCAGGGCCGCCCATCCCAGGCCAAAAGCCAAGACGTAGTCGCGGACGACATAGCTCATGGAGGTGACCACAGACGGCTGGAAGCAGTGTGCTGGAATCCAGGACTTGATGGTCTTCACATCGGGAAAGTCCTGGTCCTTTGCCTCAAGCTGAATAGTAGGAGCAGGATCGGCCTTTACGAGGGTGTGAGAAACATGGTCAGCAGTCTATCCCTATGTGTATGCATGTCTGAAGGTCTGGGGGTTTTTTTTTCTCTTTCTCTTTCTTCTTTTCTTTTCTCTTCTCCTCTCTTTGTCGTCATCACGGGTTTAAATTTACCTGCTGCTTGGCCACCCTGCTCCTGGTCTGTATCGTCGACGTGACGGTGGCCATGATTTCACGCACAAGAACCTTTACAATATCGAAGGACAATACTGAAAGGTGATATCGTGTCGAGGTTGGTAGGAGAGGAAGGAAGGAAGGGGAAGAAGGGGGGCGGGGGCTAAGATAAAGGAAGGGCAGGGTAGGGGGAAAAACAAAAAGAGATTTAAGATTTTTCCCAATCGTGGCCAATTCACATGTGAAAAGGGGAAAAATAACACAGAGAGGACACGACACAAAGCGAGAGACGACACGACACAACACGGCACGACACACGACCAAAGATATCTCAACAATTTTCCCTGGGCAGACCGCCCCCCCCCCCCCCCGGCCCCCCAGACGATATCAACAAGAGCCATCCTTGCAGGGTGGGTTTCGCAATTCGGGACAGCTGGCTTTGGACCTCAACCGTTCTTTGCACCCGTGGGGCCCCAAGCGAGCGACCGAGCGAGCCCCTGAGACTGAGACCGAGACCAAGAGGAGGACGCAGCGCTGACTGGGACCTTGGGGAGGGGAAATGGAATCCATTCCTTGGCGGTCAAAAGGGGACGCCGGTTGCCACCGCATCCAATCACCTTGGACCAGAGGTATTTGATATCGTGGGGGACTGACTGGGCCGGGCCTCCATCTTGTGGTGCTGGTACAGGCATGGTGGTAGTTTCACAAAAGCTAGCCCGAGATGCCAGGCCTTTTTTTTCTTGTTGACTCCAGAAGGGTTGACACTCTCCTCTTGGGGCTAGGTCAAGGGATCATCGAGTCAAGATTATGCCATCTTGTGAAAATTTCCTAGCCGTTGTTGCTGATTGGTTGGCCTTGGGAATGAAGTAAGCGCACGTTGGCTCGCTCAAGAAAAAGAGCACTCTCTCTCTCTCTCTCTCTCTCTCTCTCTCTCTCTCTCTCTCTCTCTCTCTCTCTCTCTCTCTCTTTCTGTGCCAGGTATTAAACCCCAGCATCTTTCCCCCCTCTTTCTCTCTTCCTCTTTTCGCCCCATTCCCCTCTTTTTTTCCTTCCTTTTTGTTGATCAGGGGTTACACAGACAGCACGCACACCCGCAGGGACTCAGGGTCCTCTTCAGGGTCCTCCTGGGAGGGTCCGAAAGAGAAACGTTGTCCGGATCCACTTCAATCGTAGCTAATGCTGCTAGTTTTGCCCCTTGACAAGGCGACACGGACGACTCGAGACAACGACAGGGGTCAGACTTTTGTTCTTCCTTTTCTGGAGCGGGAAGATCGCTCGCTCCAAAAAAAAAAGGGTCGAGCACGATCCGATACGCGGCCCTGTCTTGTTGTAGGCTAGTCAGGCCGTCCGAGGTCGTCCAGTCTCCTGAACTGATGGATCCCGGTTCCGTGTTTAGCTTGTGAACTGCCGAGAGGCCGTTGATCCCTCACTGCCACACAAGAGTTGATGTTCCTGAAGTGGAGGGAGACCAGGAGAGGGAGGAGGATCGATCGTGAGGTGGTCGTGGCGGCTTGGAGGCATTGTCAAGCAAAAAAAAAAAAGAAGAAGAAAAGGGGGAGGGGTGTGTTTTGGTAGACGACCTGAGCCATGGTCACAGCCAGACCTCAGCATCGTCTCTCAAAAAGGATGGAAACGTATTGAGGGTTTCCTCATCATCATGAGGAGGTCCTGGCTCAAGGTCTCCCATAGACAAATCATCTTGTCCATTAGGTGCAGAACCATAAATTCACATAGAATGGACTGGCGAGGTGCGGACGGCTCAACTATATAGCACCAACCTGGACACCGGTTGAGCCTGGGTTCATGGCTATATAACTTGGGCAGACGGGGCTTTTCTAAAGTCCGAGATTCCGATATAGATAATCAACAAGCCATTGCCATTCTCTCCAAGTTGTGGATACTGCGGGGGAATGGTCGTCGAGTAAGTAAGTACCTAGGTAGATGTTGAATCCAACCTGGCAAGGCCCATTCTCGTTCAGGGCCAGGCTTACTTATGGCTTGCCTGGTAAGTCAAGAATTATTTTACATGTTGAAGGTTAAAGCAGACTTTCTTGCGCATGATCCCGTCTCCTGGACCTCAAGCTCCAATATAGAGACCTGTGAGCTTGCGACCTGGACCGAGATAATTAAGTCCCTTGACATGTCCTGACATAACATGACCTCGCTTACCTCTATTTCCTCAACGACGTTAGAATTTCCGACTCGTATGATACTAAACTTGATTCTATCAAGGAGTGTGCAGTCTGGACACTCAAGACCCATCATCATTCTCACATCTGTCTGCTTCATGCCTCGAGAAGCCTACCCATTCTGAATCTTCAACACTGAGAAACTATAATTACAATCTCACAGCACAGGGTTGTATTCGTTTTTAATTATGTAGGACTTTGATACTAGACACTTAGAGACTTGCATTGAGGTCGAGTCCATTCTTGTTCATCACAAAAGACTTCTTTGTCCTGAGCACGAAGGCCAATATCCCCACATAACGACCAAGCCTTTAGAGCCCCTAGCACCATAAGAATAATCCCATTGTTCAGGTATGAACCTATATAGTTAATTCAATCACCGCTAGACTTCGGGACTCGAGACACCAAAGACGAATACAAAATACTTCTTGCTCTTTGGGATTATCACTGGGCCGGATTTAGTAGGACGCTTTTTTTTGCGAGTATCAAAACTTCAGGTAGGTCAAGATGCCTCGAGGTAAGAGACATGACAAAAAGAAGGCCGTACTCTCTGGAGCCATCAATGCCTTTGAGCCCATTGACGATCTACTTGCAGACTTGAAGGGAGAAAGCCAAGCGTCTCCTGGTACTGCCAGCACAGGCCACAAGAATCAAACTCGTGGTGGTGAGTCGGCCGTCAACAACCGGAAGACTACCTCCAAGACCTCTAGGACTTCTGCCGAGCCAACAGATCGCATCTCCAGTCACCAAAAGGGCACACAAGCCGTGACAGACCATCGTCATCATCACCACCACCATCACCACACCCGACGAAAGGCAGAACACCTCCGGGTCCGCATGCGACCCCTGCCACGACTCCCCATCGATCTCCCTACTGAGGACTACGCCGCCATCATCCAGACGCCCGGTTTCCCCCACTACCTCGACTACCCTGCACGAACTCACCACCTCAAATACCCCTCAACAACCCCATCTTCCTCCTCCCTCTCCTCATGGGAGGACACGCACCTCCACCAGCGCGTCTCCCAGCCCCGCATCAACATCCGCTGGACGCGCCCCATCGAAGACGCCGACCGCCGCGCCATGGCCCACTTCTTCCGCTTTGCCGCGCCCGACGGCCAGCCCCTTCTAGGGTTCCGCCCGTACCGGGACATCCTCTTCCTCGACGCCTCCTACCTCGCCGCCCACGCCGCGGCCCGCACAGCCACGCATAGGCGCCTGGGTGCGCCGCCCGACCTGGTCCCGTTCATCCTGCCCAGGGACCGGGCCAAGGTCCCGCTTCTCGCGGTTGCGGCGGGCGCCTTCGCCTCCTCGGCGTCTGGTGCAGAGCTCGCGTCGCTGTGCGGCGTCCTGGCCAGAGAGTTTCCGAAGCTGCAGAGGCTGCTGGTGACGTCTATTGCCGTTGTGGATCGGCCTGTGAATGCGCGTTGGGATCTCGAGACGGATTTTGCGTACTGGGGCTGCTTTGACGCCGACGGGACATTGCATGGCTGGGAGACTTCGGCTGTCACCGGGCCTGGGGTGGGTTACGCAACCAAGTCTGCCGAGGGCGGGGTGTCCTCGCTGGTTAAGAGTGTGGAGGAGGCCTTTGCGCGGGCGGGGAGAGATGTCGCGACGAGAAGAGAAAAGGGCGATAAGGTCAGGCACGGGACAGAGATTCCTGCTGCGGGGCGAGGGCGCGGGAAGAGTGAGAGAAGGTATACGGGAAGACATATTGGCGCAGTGAGCGAGTATGAGTCTGCATCTTCTTCCCTGTCTGGCACAGGAGACGTGGTAAGGACTGACACCAGGACATCCAAGGCTGGTGGTGATAAGTGTATGAAGGACTTGAAGATCGAGCCGTATGTTCTGCTGTATTTCCGCGATGCTTTCCATCGTGCTGTCGAGAACGGATGGGAGCCAGGTGATCTCATTTCACTAGATAACATGACTGTGAAAATGCACTAGACACGGCCAGCCTCAGTATACAGACAAGCCTCGTAGAATTGAATAGGACGATACTCGCCCGCAGTGCTGTTGATCGGCACATGAGCGAAAAATTGCGAGCTGGTCTCATTTATATTGGAACCTACTGCAAGCAGTATGCACACAGTATCCGTTGGTCCTCGATAGATGATGCAGACGTTAGTTTTATCTCCTTTTCCCTCTCCCCTCAGAACATTTCTTTCATGTGCTGATAAACGCCGTCGTTGTCCCCGGCCATTCCAAGAGGACCTCCATTGGCAGAAAAGACTCCCATGTGACTACTCAAGAAATCATCAGCCTCAGCTAATTGGCCGTTGTGGGCAGTGCTGTTCGCGAAGCCTTCAAATATTCTTGACATCTCCGTCTGCAGCCGCAGGCCGTTGTCTGGGTCTTCCGGTTGGGACACTGGATGACCCGGGTTCTGCATCTGTCCACCTGCTGACCGCAGCGGGTTCCTTCCATTGTGAGGCGTCAGACTTCCCATTCTGCTTGCAGACTGCTGCTGCCCGTAGTTTGGCGTCAACCCTGGACTTGATGTTGACTGAGGACCGGCACTGCTCACGGAGCTTCGATGAGATGTGCTCGATATGCCGATCTGATTGTGACCACCGTATGCCATGCCGCTCATCATGGACGACCCATTCTCTGGCCTTTTCGGATCCTCATCCTGCTGCAAGCCGAGGCGAGGCGCATAAGCCTTGAGGCTCTTTACTGTTCGCCACAGCCGCTGGCTGACCCAGCTCTTGGACGACAGGTCTTTGACGAGCTCAAGAGCCATGTGGAACTCCTGCCGACACTGGGAGCTGAAGGCAACGGGTGCATGTGTTGATGCGAGAAAGAGGACGGCAATCGAGGAGGTCAAGAAATGATGGTAAAAGACCTGTATACGGTTGTATACGATGCTATTATTGTTCAGCATGGTGAGAAACTGGATGGTCTCCTTGGCGAGGTCAACAACGCGCTGCGCAAAATCTCTGTTTTGTGAGATGCTGGACGCGGTGTGCAATACCGGCGTGTAAAGCCAGATTCGAATCTGTCGCAAAGATGAGTACTTGAACAGTGTGGTCTTGGGGGCGGGGGGAGGTGGTTGGAACAGAGAGGTAGGATGTGTGGTCAGAATTTACCTGATTCAGCCGCAAGCGAGTCCAGATCTGGAGGCGCTCAACATTGTATGCTTCAGAACCGGGTACCGGTATGAGGTTGCCCAGACTGCGGATCTTTATTTGTTCCGGCACGGTCTCGTACCACTCCAGGATTTCTTCATCCATTTTCTGGAAGTCCTCCCGCTTCAGGTCCCGAATGAGGACGTCATCAAAATAATCCACCAGCCGCCAAATTTTGGAGCTGAGTTTCGCGAAGGCGATCAGAGAAGTCAAGTAAGGGTAGTCCTCCTACGTGGCAAGTCAGCACTTCCATACCGCAATGTAGTTGACGAACAAGGAAGAGAGAGAAAAACAGGAACCATTCTCAACTTACAGGCCATGGCAGATGCGGGTCAATCTTGTCGTCATGAACGACAAAGGGAAACCCAGTGCCGAAACTCCACCGACGGTCAAGCACATATGCAGACCAAAACGTATTGATGGCATTCCTGCGGTCCTTGGCCCCTGCGATCTTTGCAATGCCGTCTCTTCGGTGCAGGCCCATCTCTAGGCATAGGCGAGCAACCTGACCCATAACCCTCCAGGCAAGCACCTCCTCATTCTCCAAAAACCTGAAGCCCCCGACCAGGGCGAGAAAGGGCAGCTTCGCAACATCACTAGGATCGCTCATGAGCAGCCTGTCCGCGATGGGCTGTATGCTGGACCACAGCCTGGTGGCCTTGGCACTATAGCCATTCTCCTCCACCACCAGGGCGCAGCACATGATGATCTTGAGCTCCAGCGTCTTGATATCGTTGAAGCCTTCGAACTGGCCCGCGCCTTGCTTCCTGGTTGACTCCATCCAATCTGCAATGATATGGGCGTGGGCGATTACGTCGTTGATGCTTACGACCGGGTACATGATGCCGACTTCGTCTTCGTGGAGCCTGCACAGCCGTATCATTTCATCCTTGTCGTAATCCCAAAGAGGATCCACGAGCCTCCTCGTGACATCCTGTGACGTAGGTGGTAGAGGGGATTGCGCAGGGCTGTCGTCCAGGATGATGGCATTGTCATCGCTACCTTCGGCGCCACTATATCCCATATTTTGCAGCGTGGCCTTGGCGACGTTGACGTGGGACGACGCACTGGTCGGGCCACGGAAGAGGAGCGGCGGTCGAAAGGACGGCAGGTCTGCCTTATGCATGGAGGAGGTGGAGGTAGAAGGAGAAGGGCCGACGTTGGTACCGGCGGTGGGCAACGGCAGGACTCGGTCGTGGAGGGGGGCCAGGCGCTGCGTCTCTTGTTGCAATTCGCTCACCTTGCGCTGGAGGGTATCCATCTGCTCTTGGAGGAGATTCAAGGTGTCATTCATGTGTTTGAACTCGTCCGATTCCTTGAAGCTGTTGGAGCAGCAGTTTGGGGCGTAGAGACACTGCAGGTTGAGGTTGCCACACCTCTGGCAGGGCGTCTCGCCATTGCACTTGATCTTCCGACGCTTGCATTCGTTACTGTAGGAAGAGAGGAACAAAAGGTTAGTGACTCAATCGGCCAGTCACCTATGCCCAGAGTTTAAAAGGAGGAGCAAGCAATAATACAACAGGTCGACCGGTTGTTTAGCCCTCTGCTGGGGCGCTGCTGGCGTGCACTGGCCCTGACGAGACCGTTGTAGGCGGGGCAGGAAAGGTCTTGGTGGCTACATACCAAGCTATCGAGATGTACTATAAACATTATCGAGATGATAATCATGTCAGCCTCTAACTAGACACAATTTCTCGGCCCCTCCTCGACATTTTGGCGAGGAGGAGGGCGGCGAGTGGGAATGATAGGCGAGTGAGGGAGAGAGGCTCTTACCCTATTCCTCCTGCTTCTCTGCTGCTTCTGTGAGCTTTCGTCGGGGGACGCGTCAGGCTTACGCTTCATGCCTGCACCGGCAAAGGCGTTAGCCCCTCCAGCGCCGCCGCCAGATGAATGGACAGGGTGAGAATAGATATTGGTGGCAGCGAAGTGAGCAGTCGTTGGTGATGGGAGTGCGGAATTACCTCCGAGGGCGGAACCGGGCGACTGCTGGCTGCTGGGGTGACGTGGAGTCGAGTAGCTGTTGGATGTGCTCGCGTGTGCGTGTGCGTGGCCGTGACCATCTCCTACACCTCCTCCTCCTGTGCCTGAGGGTGATGTTGTCGCTGGGCCAGCGCCTGGACCTGAACCTGCACCCGGACCTGAATTTGAACCTCCTGCGCCTGAGGCTCCCGACAGCGAGCCTGGGCCCGGGCCTGACCTCGCCGCAGCAAGAGTCCCTGGCAGGAAGGATCTCAAGTCGCTGACCTGCGTCTCAAGGTGCTCCATTATCCCTGAGTCTGCGTCTGAGCCCGAAAGGTATGGCTGGGTAAAGATCTCATTGTCGTTGTTGTCCTCGTCGCCAAGTCTTGGGATCTTTCTCCCTTGGGGAACGAGGAAACTCCGCTGAGAGACTGGGAATGCTGGGAGCCTGGGCCAAACTCCTTCCACCCCCCCCCCCCCCCTGCAGGCTGGACAGGGCTGGCTGGCCGAGTATTTCGGAGGGGCGGCTGGCGACTGGCTTTGGCCTGGATGGGCAGGCTTTCGAGACTGAGGACACCCGCGTATGGTAACTGGACGGAGGAAACGAACGGGGGAAGACCCGAAGGCGCGCCAAGAGTGGAAAGCGGGAACGTGTGGCGTCGGAGGAGCGAGCTGGCACAGGAATTGCTCGCTTGGGGCCTGTAACCCTGCTGGAAAGGGAACGCTGTGGGGGCCCATGCTCCTCTAAAGTTTGGGGCCATTGGCCCTATCATAGGTGGACTTGACCCGCTGAAACCCTCACCATTCACACTATGGTACACTGAAAGTTCAACACCAGCTCCTATGCAGTAACCCCTCCACACCCATTATCTCTCAGCGTTACAGTACTGTCAGCACATGCTATGTATGTAGTACCACCACCCCGGCCCCCACATTCAGGTGTCAGGTGTCTCGGATGTCAACCTCCTGCCGCGATCCCGCCGACGCAGAGAGCCTCTTCAGACGAAGTCCTGCTTGATTCATTGGTCAGTCCGTTGTTCTGTTTGTTACCCAAGACTCGATACGAATCTCGAGGGAAAGCAATCAATTCAGACAACAACATCTCGGTAAGTTCTCTTTCCGTTTTTTTTCTTCTTCATGTATCAATTATATTCCTTATCTCCAGGTAAGAAGTCCGTTGTTTTAGCCAAAACCACAATGAGGCTCACAATATCGACCAAAGATCGAGGCAGATACAATGAAATGATATCTCGGCTCGTGTTGAACATCAGCATGGTTTGACTCCCATCCAAATTTTCAGGATTGCGAATCCCCAATCCCATAATAAATCCTCCATTTCCCGACGGCACCAAGGACGCGCGCACCAGGCCGCTATCGCATGAGATCCCGAGCATTACCCACACTGTGGAACATATCGGGTCCTTGATATCACTCCCTAAATTATCACATATCGAGCAAGGTTCCACTAGGCAGCTAACGTTGTCGAAGAGGGTGTGAGGCTTCAAGTCTGAGTCTATCCTAACTCTACTCCTCGTACAGCGTACTACACAGAAATTGTACAAAGGACTTCTCTGATTTCACATCGAGAATCGTTGGTCACACCTTGATCCCATCCGTTCAGGTAATACTGCATCACCACTCAAGACCCTTTCCTTTTGGTGTTACTCAAGCTGCCAACTTTTTTTATTACTTCTGCCTCGTTGTCCTACTGTCAAACCTGGCAAACAAACAAGTGTCGCTGAATAGCTAGGTGCAGGCATCATCGCCAAGCAACCTTTTGGGGAGTGATTGAACTTTCGGTCTCCTGGTTTCGACATTATGCCATGGACTTTGATACAAGACTCATGCAAGACAAGATCATATGTCCGTCGAGGGCTAGCAGTATTGCTCCGCGCCTTCATCTCGATTCTCAGTAGTTGGAGTAGGTTCGAACTGCCTGTATCTCCAGATGATACACGGCAAACGTCGGATGTGTCAAGACTGAGGACGGCTGAGGAAGGAAGGAAGCGGCAAATTATGGCAATGAAAACATTAGAACGACAACTATTAATCATAGACTATTTTTTAAACCGGAAATGAATGCTGATATGAGTCAGTCCCTCCCGACGACAATGAAGAATACGATGAATTAGTCGGAGAATTGCACCACATGTCGTGCGATAGCCAGGGTTACTCCTTTCGTACGAGATATACATATAGCCTACAAGAATGACATGGATGGGCCCAGAGTCGATCAAGTATCAATAGACAACCACACTCTGCTTTCCCCTGATCGAACTTAGAGGGTGGACGTCGTAAACCAGACTGTATTTGTTCTCGTTCTCATCGTAAAAATCTATCAGGAATAGCCTTGGACTATACGAGATGCCATCGTTGCCTCGCGGAACGGCGAACTTGCCACCGAACCTCCCGTTTTCGATAGATAAACAGACAAACTCCCGGGCGTCTCGTAGACGGGTCCCCTTTGAGGGATACCGTCGTCGATGTACGCACCAGGGGCGTGTCACTAGAGCTCCACCGCGTATCACAAGCAATCTTGTCTGACTACATCCTCGGCAGAGCGCCAAAGACAGTGAGTGACAGGATGCCATCGATCCTCCCGTGGACGAACAATACCACCACCTCCTTTTCGCAAAACTCAAGATCCGAGTCAACTCCACACTCCCCTATTCTCGGCGCGGCCCTGATCCCATTGCATCAAGCCCCGCCTGTGTGTCCAAGCGGGTGGGAAAGTCTCTAGATCTTCTCGCCATCGAGGATGGGCTTCGCCTCCTCACTCTTCCACCAGCTCACGCCCTCCTCTCCAGGGAAGGTGAACTTGTCCATGCTGTCCGGCTTCATCTCGACACTGTAGCCTGGCTCGACCGGCGTCTGGTAGTAGCCATCCTTGATGACACTCGGGTGCAAGAAGTGCTCGTGCAGGTGATCGACGTATTCTAGGACTGACAGCTTGCCACTGACCACGACGTAGTCAATGGTGCTCAGGTGCTGCGTGTACTCGGGCAGGCCCACACCTCCCGAGTGCGGCACGATAGGCACGCCATACTTCTTGGCCATGAGCAGCACGGCAAGCACCTCGTTGACACCGCCCATGCGGCACGCGTCGATCTGGCAGACATCGATGGCGCCGCTCATGAGGAGCTGCTTGAAGACGACGCGGTTCTGGCACATCTCACCGGTGGCGACGCCGATGCCGTACGGCTTGAGGGCGTCGCGGACGGCCTTGTGGCCCAGGATGTCGTCGGGCGACGTGGGCTCCTCGATGAACCACGGTTTGAACTCCTTCAGCTTCTCCATGTAGGAGATGGCCTCAGGGACGGACCACACCTGGTTGGCGTCGACCATCAGAACGTTGCCCTTATCGTAGCCGATGATCTCGCGCGCGATGGACAGCCGGTGCCGGTCCTGCTCCACACTGCCGCCCACCTTGAGCTTGAAGTGCTTATAGCCCTTGGCCAGCGTCTCGCGGAGGAGAGCCTTCATCTTGTCCTCGCCATAGCCCAGCCACCCGGCTGAGGTGGTATAAGCTGGTACAGCTCTCGAGTTCTCTGCGTCCTTGATCCGCGCGGCCTTGCCGCCTTCGTTCTCCTTCAGCAATGCAATCGCCTCCTCGGGCGTGATCGCATCAGTGATGTACCTGAAGTCGATACACGCCACAAACTCCTCGGGCGACATCTCTGCCACGATCCGCCAGACGGGCTTACCCAGGACCTTGGCCCAGAGATCCCACACGGCGTTGACCACAGCACCCAGAGCGAGGTGGATGACACCCTTCTCAGGACCAATCCAGCGCAGCTGGCTGTCGTTGACGAGATGCCGCCACGTTTTGCCCCAATTGGTGCCGACGAGGTCGGACAGCTTCCTGCCCTTGATGCGGTCCGCGACATGGTTGATGGCGGCGCAGACGATGTCGTTGCCACGACCGATGGTGAAGGTCATGCCATGGCCCGTGAAGTTTGGGTCAGAGGTCGATAGGATGCAGTAGGCTGAGGAGTAGTCGCCGGCAGCGTTCATAGCATCACTGCCGGTCTTGTCAAGAGAGGTCGGGAAACGGACATCTCTGGTGGTCCAGCCCGTGATGGTGATGTCTGTAGACGCCATGTTGCCAGCCAGCCAGGTATGTTCTAAGTTTTTTTAGTTTTTTTTTAGAGGAGGGAGGGGAGAAGGATATGATGTGTGAAGGACAGAGGGGCGGAGGAGAGGATGGAGAGAAGGAGGGCGAGAGAAAGAAAGAGACGATGACGGTATTTACAAGGCTAAGAGAGGCAATTAATATCTACTTGAGACCGAGGATAAAGTGCTCTTATACGAAGGGAAAATTGTCACGCTACCGGCCTTCTATCACCCGTTTCACCTAACACGATAGGCTGACATTTTTGCCGCCATATTGCTGCGAACGCCAGACCTGGACTCGACTTACCACCCGAAGAAGGCATCGTCGCCAAGGGTGACAGACTGGGGAGTCGCAGCTGCGGAGGAGGGGTAATGGTGGGGGTTCCCTGCCTAGATATAGCGCGCTCTAATTGGTGGAAAATCTCTTGGCGGACAAATGTACTCACGATCCACCCTGGCGCCTTCTGTCAACTCGGGTCGAATTCATGATCATGAGATGTGGTGAAGGTTTTCCCTTGTTTCTTCTAGAACATGATCTTCCCCCATCCATACCGTCCATCCATCCATTCCACCGGGTCAACGGCAGTCGGCCTGTTCCCTGCTGCTAGTATTATGCAGAGCCAGCTGGTTACAGTCGCCGCCGGCTGGCATCAACGTTCTTTATTCAATTGCTTCCCATGAGCTGAGATTGTAACGGAATCGTATGCTTAGATGATTCATCTGTTGAGTATTCGTACAGTGCTTGAGTGATAAAAGTACAGGAGGTATTATGAATACGCTCCAAAAAAAAAAATCCAAACCCCCCCCCCCCGCCATGAGCCCTCAACGCCAAACGCTGACAATGCATAGGTATCTCAAAACAATTCCCTGTCCCAAGATGTTAACCAGATAGTCCACCAACGCCTCGAGTGATATGCCAATTCCTCCTTCGTCCCAGTTCATATCTTGATACTTTCCAGCTTGCGAATCACTCTCTCTCCGAACTCAAGCTGGAGCCGGGCATCATAGTTCGTCTGACGGTCATCAATCCCATCGAACCCATCGAAGCCAAAATCACCAGACAGACAGCTCGTCACCGCCGCCATATAGACATCGCCGACGTCCGCCGCCAGGTTCATCAGCCCTTCCTGGCTGAGCAGCCGCGTCTGCGCATCCCTCACGTCTTCCACTCGGATGCCTTGCGCAGCGTTCATGCCCAAGATGACATCGACGGGCTTCCACATGCCTATTTCATACAGCACTACGCCGAGGCTGTATATGTCATGGATCTTGGTGAAGCCTTGCGGCCCATCGCGCGGTACATTGAACTGCGTGGCGGGATGGCGGTACAAGTCGTGGTGTGTGGCTGGTCTCTCCGACGCCTCCTCGTTCGAGTTCGCAGGGCGCGCGTAGTCAAACCCAGCAAGATATGGCCCTGCCGAGGTACTGAAGGGGAACATGATGTTCTCGCTCCGCAGCCCCTTGTGGGTCCAGCTCGTCGCGTGAAGGTACCAGATCGACGTGGCCACCGCCCGAGCCATCTGTAGCCTGGACGTCAGGGACGGCTTTTGGCGCCGCGAGCTGATCATATCAGACAGGCGGGGTGGCAGGTACGCGCCTTCTCCCCGAAAGGCGAAGCCGAATCGACGTTCCTCTGGTTCGTACAAGTATCCCAAACAGTCTGGAACCCGGAAGCCGTCGGGCTTCTGCTCGTCCCTGAGAACTGTTGCAAGCTTAGCTATACGATCTTCAAGATAGGAAGGCGGCTTCCCTTGATAGTTGACCGGCTGGTCTGCCACGGTGTGTGTCAGCTTAACCATCTCCTTGACGAATATGGGGCATCTGGCCCAGGACCGAGATCCTCCAGACAACGCCCCCGCAGCTTCGTGCAGAAAAAAAAAAAATTTCTCCCAGGTCACCCTTAGGCAGAAATCGAGAGGGACAGGACGTACAGTATCTCCATTCTACCCACACGGGAATATCCTCATAGATGCCCCATGCTCCAGAAGGCGAGCCTTCGAGGTTATCTTCCCCCATAATCAGCAGTTTTGTGCTATCAAGACGTATCGGGCGTGGAGGCCTGTGCGTGTCTCCCAGGTGAGACTTGATGAGGGCCTCGTCAGAAGCATCGTCCGCTCCCTCCATGGCGATATTGAAAGCCTTGAAGCGCGTGAGTCGTAACAGTCGTTGTTCATGGGCCGGCATAATCTTGTATTTGGTCGTTGCCTTCAATGAAGCCATCAGGTCGACCAGTTGCTCGAACTTGTCGCTTGCCTGCAGGATCGATGTGAAAGAATCCTGCTGCATCTGCAGATGATTATCCTGTTGACGCCTGTCAAAGAAGTACACCATGTTCTCGTTCAGAGCGCTCAGTTTCGCCAATAGCAGCTCGAACTCGACCCTGTCGAAGGAGGCCCATCTTAATCGCCGAGGGAAGGCTCGCGTCTTTTTGACAAAAGACATTGCTTTGCGCTGGAGCGTAAGATTGGACCGTATAGAGGCAGCCTCAGACCCCTCATCCGCGCTCCCATAGTCGCTGTCGATACCTGACCGGTCCAGCTCGACCTCGTAAGACCCGCTCAGCTTGACAAGCTCGAGCAGCACCAGCCTGACGTCCTGGAGCGAACCGTTGACCTTTTGCTTATTGAGCCGAAGCCCAGAGCTCATTGCTCTCTCATCCTCGGAGAGATTGGCCAGGACTGCCCAGTCTACAAGCTTGTCTCGTTCTATTCGGAGTCGGACCTGGAGATATCGACTATTTTGCGGCATGTCAGAGGCCTCTAACAGCAGTTGGTAGACTGCATTCTCTCGGTCAGTAATGAGGCGTGCAGGATCTTGGCGCTATGCGGCGCGATAAATGCACTCCTTGGGATATATCATCTCGATTGGATCCTCAGGGGTACTCACCTTTGACGCATATTGCGAAGAGCTCGAAGCTCAAAGATGTGGCGTCCATTTCCAATCATAGTCCTATCGTGTCGAGCGGTACATCCCAGACGGCATCAATTTTCGAGAAGCGTATCAATACTGTAGTGGAGTCAAATTTGTGGCAAAATTCCTCAGAAAAGGCCAGGAGGATCACATCGGATTGAAATGGAAAGGTTATAAGTCATATAGATCCATTCATTTTACCTTTGTTACGTGAGGAACTTGTTCAAAAGGATATGCATGTCATCTTCAGTCAGCCCGCCCTCAGCCCTACCCACAAGCATGTACTACAGTAATCCTGTTTCCAGTCGGTCGAGTTCCCTGGCCGCGACCCGCTGTCTGCCTTGATACACGGTCGAACATGCTGCGACCGTGAAAGACATGTGGGCAGGTCGCCTGTCTCTAGACCGCGAGTTCGCCAAATCTGCAGAGCGAAGTCTTGCTCGGATCGTACAGTACACTTTCATCGCCTGTCCCGGGGGACGTCAGCAGTGTAGGCATCCCATTGGCGTTCGCTTAGTAGACTAATTGTGGGCGTGGTCGGTGCTGAGAACCTTAGTAACCAACAATTCCCTCCCCGAGAAACGTACGGCATCTTCTGATCGACAAATTCATTCTGTAAATTAAGCACCTTTTCAACTTCCCCATCCGCCTTCATTCAAGTGCGGGCTAAAGCATCGTTCCTTCAATGAGAGTACCAACCCAACCCTAACCCACAGCAACGTTCTAGAAGGTGTGAGAGCGAGAGAGAAGTCCATGAACGAAACGATATTTAGAAGATTGGCGGCCCATCTCACCTCAGCTCGCTGAGCCGCGCTGCAAGGAACTTTACATGTAGACTTACCTCAGCTCATCATTTCTCAACATTGAGACCCTACGTTTCGAATGTGAAATTCCCTCGGACTACTGTGCCTCTCTCTGCGCTCTGCTCGCACATACTTACCCGCTGCGCCCACTCTACTTTCTTGGCGTTACACCTCTCTCAAACCGTTGAGGCCCAGGAAAAGCATCCAGGGGGCCACCGATTTTCAGCAGTTTTTATCCGCAAATCAGGCACCCCCAAAAAGGGTAGAGAAGGGGGGGGGGGAGCGGGCAAAATAAAAGAGGAAAGTTACACGAGACGTCGTCTCAAAAGCGAGCAAAGGCGCCATGTCACCCATAGGCACTCTTGCCCTCGCCATCACCTTCGGCACCCACCTCGTTGGCGGCTTCACGCGCCTGACCCACGGCCGCTACACCCCGTCCTTTTACGCCTACCAGCTCGACCGCGCGCCCAATGACGCATCCCCGTGGTTCGTTCCCTACATCGACCTCGTCTTCTGCGCGATGATGGTGGCGGGTCCTGGCACGCGGATGCTGGGCTTGTCTCTGTCTGCGTTGACGCAGTTCTTTGGTATCTTCAAACGTGTGCGCGAGGACAAGGAGGCTGCGGTGGATCTGGCGCTCGTGTGCTGTGCGATTGTAGCCACGCTGGACTGTCTGTTCGCGGGGTCGTGACGTGGGAGGTGTGTTTTGCGTTGCGGACTGAAACGGATTGCGCATGCGATGTGCGTCATGATGCCCTCAATTTCAGCCACATACGTGGTGCGACGGGAGCGGATTGAGGGCAAGGGACCTCAGAAAGGGAAGACCAACAGCAGATGCATTTTTGGGATCTAGTCCTCTTTCAAAGCATCCTTTGCTGAAGATCGAATTCGCTAGTAGAGGCTGAGGCCGTTACGTCCCGAGCTGACTTAAGTACCATGGCCAAAATTATATATAGACAGGGCACGGCTGTCATTCTACACATCAATCCTCTTTGCTAAGATGTATTTCTCGAGTATATGCCATCCGTCTCTCCGTATCTATCACGCAAGGAGATGATATAGAATTTGCGCCCGCGAACCACCGAGCTCGTTCTCAACTCTGGACAATGCAAATGATTCTAAGAGGCTGGATGAAGCCCTGCCTTATCCGCAGACTTCATCGCATCATTGTCCATTGACCTGCTTTCATAATTTTCCTCAGGAAGAGCCAGGGAGAGAGCTGAAATCAAGCCTGTGGGTGCTCCCTGGGTGCATAATCGTCGGATCGATCGAAGAGCCGTCCCCAAGTCTCTGCTGCTCTCAAAGCAAATGGGCCTGACAGATCAGCGCCTGAAGCAGCGATTCGTCTTGAGTCCCTCAACATCGACTTGTTCGATTCTCGGTCAGTGACTGCACATGATTTTCTCGGCAACAACGGCAATGCTGTAAGGCTTGATTGGGAGGGACGAGACTTTCGTTCCGGCTCCGCCCTTGTTTTCGACTTGCTGCCTCGATGAGAGTCCCGCTTGGAATCCGAGTAAACGCAGAAGTTCTCCGGGGTAAAGCTAGCCGCAAGGTGTCTCAGCAGGCTGAGACATATATCGAATGCCTTGTTGACGCTGTACCATAACGTAGTCCGAGTACAGTTGCGCTCAAGCACGGAGTGCTTATGCGTGTAGCAAACCTGCCTATGACACATGCCCGGCCTTCGCAACTTTCAAAATCGCCTCCTCCATTCCGGCAACATGCTGGAACCGCACGCCTGCCCGTTCAAGGGCCTCGCGGCCCGTATTCTCCTGTACAAACTCCTTGGGCTCCATAACGCCCACATAGACCACGTTAATAACACCGGCGAGCCGCAGGATCCTCTCCGCGCAGGGGAGATTGCCGCTCAGCCGTTTCGAGCAGGGCTCCACCGTCGTGTAGAGGGCCAGATTCCTTGGTAGGACGTCTTTCAGCTGTTCCTCGGGGACGCCGTGCTGTTGCGAGAGTTTTATGAGGCAGCATTGCTCCGCGTGCGTGTTGCCCTCGAGCTCGAGAGTGTAGCCATCTGCCAGTATCGTGTTGGTGGACTGGTCTACCAACACTGCGCCGACACAGAAATTTGTGGGCTTCGGAGGGGATTTTTTGGCTAGACTGAGGGCGTATTGCATATAAGCATGATGATCATTGGCTTTGATGTCTGCCATATTGTCATGTCAAGAAGGAGTACGGAGTTGAGGTGTTCAATATCTGGCAAGTATGAGTAAGGTAAGGACTTTAAATCGAAATGAAGTGACGTTGTCAGAGAGCTGCCCCCACAGTGGAAGCTGCCGCTAAGGGCCAGCACACTGAAGGGGCGTTACTGAGGTACAGTAGCTAAATTTATGGCCTGGAACACACTGCCTGTCCAGCGTGTGACCCCACCTCCACAGCAGCTGTACCTAGAGCTTGACGCGTCTAGGCCTGGCCAAACGTCGCGTCTCCAACTTTGACTTCAACACAAGCGCCGTCCCCAACGTTACCCTTCACTCACATTTATTTCTTGCCCTAAAGAGTTCAAGAACAACATCATACATTATGTCTGACATCGAGGAGAATCTGGATCCCGAGCCGCCGGTCATCGATCCCTATGAGGTCCTTGGACTGGAGCGCGATGCGTCCCCCGATCAGGTCAAGTCTGCCTACCGCAAAGCGGCGCTGAAGCACCACCCAGGTACGTCCACTTAGTGGCTTTGTATATTTCGGTGTGAACTGGATATTCCTAACTTTTGACGGCACAGACAAGGTCCCCGAGTCGCAAAAGGCAGAGGCACATAGCACTTTCCAGCGCATCGCCCTCGCCAACGCGATCCTATCAGACCCGCTGCGGCGCAAACGCTACGACACAACCGGCTCCACCTCAGAAGCCATCCTCGACGCCGACGGCTTTAACTGGACCGAGTACTACCGCGAGGCGTACGCAGACTCCATCAATGCTGACGCCATCAACAAGTTCGCCCAGAAGTACAAGGGCAGCGACGAGGAGAAGGACGACGTCCTTGTCGCGTACGAGAAGTTCAAGGGGAACATGGACATGCTGTACGAGACCGTCATGCTCAGCAACGTGCTGGAGGACGACGAGCGGTTCCGCGAGATCATTGACAAGGCCATCGAGACCGGTGACGTCAAGGCGTTCAAGGCTTACACCAAGGAGAGCACGGTGTCGAAGGAGGCACGGAAGCGTGCGGCCAGAGACGAAGGACTCGAGGCAGAGGAGTATGCGAAGGAGCTGGGCGTACATGACAAGCTCTTTGGGAGCAAGAAAGGTGCCGGCTCCAAGGGAAAGGGCAAGGGCAAGGCGAAGGGAAAGGATAGTTCCGAGGACGCGCTCGCGGCGCTCATCAGGAGCAGGCAGAAAGAGCGTGGCGATGCGTTCCTGGATTCACTGACGGAGAAGTACGGTGTGACTGCGAGCTCGGCAAAGAAGGGCAGGAAGAAGCACGTTGAGGAGGAGGAGGAGCCGGACGAGGAAGCCTTCCAAGCCGCTGCTGCCAGGCTCGGCAGGAAAAAGAAGGCCAGCGAGGACCCCGCGCCCAAGGCGAGTAAGAAGACACGGCGTTGAAGTTCTTGCGTGGTCTGCTTCCTGTTTGCATTTTACAGCATGGCGTTGGGGTCTCGTCACGGAAAGGGCAAAGAGTCAATGGAATTGAATAATAGTCAGAGTTAATATGTTGCTGACGAGGTACTTATCTGATGTTGCCAACCTACGGTTACTCTGGGTACTCAAGGGAAGAGTGATAACGAAGTGAGTGAGGCATTCTCAATGCCTGATATCCTATGCGCCAAAGGTGTACTCTGCCCAAGACTGTTTACAACTGAGCCGCTTAAATCCTGTTATACAATGCAGTATCAGTAAGACTGAAGTTAACTTACAACAGCATGTTCTGCATCACCTCAACCCCATGCAAAAAGTACCAGGGGCCTAAACATAAGTTGTCAGAGTCTCAAGGCTTAGACTTCAACCCTCTGAGCTCTCAGGTTCAGCAAAGGACTGTTGTGATTAGCACTCATGAAGGTGAGAGTCTTGCCCTCACAGCCAGAGATAAAGGATCGAATAGTTGGAACCATCTTTACAACTAAGATAAATGATCTCATTGCGAGCCACTTGTCTGACACTGCTTCTGGCGATGCATTTCAATATTTTCACACTTCACCGGATTCTCTGATGGTACGCTTCTCGAACCTCTTGGAACGGCTTGTAAATAGTGTATTGTATATGTGAGTGTTTCCTTCATGCATGCTGGCCGGCCACGTAGCTGGGTTTCCAAAGTAAATCAAGGTGTACAACATCTGCCATCATACATGTAGTTAGGCAGCCACACAGCCACGCTGATGATTGCAGCGCCCGTGGCTTTGCCTGGAAAAGTGTAGAAAGACGACAGTTCCTGCAAATCATTTGCTCGTATGGACGCCAAAGGTGTGTCACCCCACTGCAACCTTACTTCCCCCGCAGCTTGCCTGAAGCTGACCGCACACTCGAAAAGCATTGCCATTCCTGCCTCACGAAGGTGGCTCTATGCATATACACTTGTTCATTGTTGATGATACAACCTTGTTGACGTCTTTTTGAAATATGCCCCTGCTCCCCAATTACCAGGCACTAAGTACAAGTTCGTCTTCTCATGCTATTCTCTAGGCGTAAGGGCCGTGTGCCAGTTCCCCCTCCCCAGCTCAAGCCGGCACGCAAGCTGCTAGGAAAATCACGACCGCCTCTGTTCACTGCGTCCGATGAGGCGGAGAGCGAGCATGCTGTGACCCATGGTCACCCAGCTGCTCCCGTGAACCCTCATGGTAGCTTTGTCACTTCGAGGGAGAAGCTGCGGGCCGCATCCAGCGAGCTCGACAAGAATCAGGACGAGGCCGGGATATCGTCTCTGGAGCACTCAAGCCATGTGCTGGCGAACGGAGAGCCATCGGGCCCAAGGGACTCTGACTACCAAGGCCTCAACGACCCAGGCAAGTTGGTCGCCGGGATGCTAGACATCAAGAAAGAATTACAATCATAGAAACTGATCCCGGGGTGCATTCACTCAGTGCAAGCAGCTTTATCTCCTCAGCAGGCGTCTTCGCCACCGTCCTCGCGCGTATCTGGGGCTATAGTTCCGAGCCCAACCAAGCCACCACCACGGCCCTCAGTGATTCCTGACGACCCCCTCCCAACCCTACGGATCAACTTCAGAGACGAGGCTCTCACAGAGGACGGCTACTTTAACCTCCTCTCACGGTATTACGTCTTCCGCTTCGAACCAACTGTGAAGTACAAGGTCAATGGAGGCAAGATCAAGACGACCTGGGCTGAGTGCACACGCTGGCGCCTGCCCGAAAATGATCATGCTACTACCCTCAGCCAGGTTCGGCTTCTGAACCAGCAGGATAGAGATCCCAGGACAGGGAAGTGGCCCACTATCATGAAGAAGCAGTCATCGCTCAATTTCAACGCCCAGATACAGATTGCGAAAACACATGAAGATCTCTCGTCAGAGATCCGCGATGATCGTTTTCATATCGTGCTTGACCAGATTGATTGGGTAGAGAGGCGTCGTGTTAGTAGAAACAGCAAAATCAAGCAGCTGATCTTGGATAGTAAGAGAGAGGAAGAAGACTATAGGTCTATCACCGCATACTTCAAATCATGCCCACGTCCAGAACATGCTCCAAGCGAGCTGTATTTTCAGCTGCAGCGTGAAGGAGTCGAGAGGCAGGCTCGCAAAGACAGCAACCGGGAGGACTGGAAGCAGCCTGTCTATCGGCAATATTCTTTCGGCCAGCTGGTCTACCACCCTCCGCAGGCTCAGAAGGCTCAGCAGGGACCATTGCAACCCACCTTTTCGCTACCTCAGAGTAGCTCCTCAGGGCCACATAGCAGTGTCAATGCAGATTCCTCTGATGGAAGCACCGGATGCAGTACTCTGGAAACGCCTCGCATACAATCCACAGATCCTAGCTCGTGGGGCGGTGGTTTGTCCTCAGATCGAATTCCCAAAGACCGTCCTATCTCTAAATCTAACAATCGCGAAAACCGTTGTTTGGGTACGGTCGACGATGGTATCGAGTCAATTGCAAGCATTGCGGACTCGATTAGTTCAACGGATTCAAGCGGAGAAAGAGCCGTCGGACCGGTTAGCATCGAATATCTCGCGGCAAAGTTCACCGGGAGTGACTCGGAGCTCCTGGAATTATATACGGAGGTTTGCCAGAAGCTATCTCAGGCTCAGTTTGTCGCTTATAATCGTCGTTTGCTGAAGACATTCTACCTGGAGATTTCTTGCGAGGAGCATACCCCTTCACAAAAAGAGTCTGTAGCTTTTCTGAAGTCTAAGGGAAGACGGGCTGCTATCTCTTTGGGCATCTTCGAGAGAGTCATTCCTGACAAGGAGGTCGCTCCATCAGTTAAAGAGCGTACAGAAGAGCTCGCGAAACTGAATGAGCACTTGAGGACTCTTGATGCCGCAGGCAAGTCAGCTACCTTTGCCCTTGGTGTCTGAAACTACTAACTGGAGAAGATGTGAATATAGAGGGAAATGACGACTCTGATGCTGAGGATGATGAGAAAGCGAGACTTGACAGTCTTCATGCTACATGGGAGTACTTTGTGTGGAGCCGAGCCTTCGCACAGTATAAGCAGCGACTTCGCCAATTCATTCGTCCCGAGCTTGCAAGGAGACGTGGATCAGCCAACTATCAAATCGCAAATCACGACCAAGAGAGCAGCCAAGAACATACGGATATGTCGGAAGCAGTGAAATCTAAGAATGCCCCCAATTCAGACGGGAAGCGGTGGCTAAATGACGATCAAGAAGTGCAAGGGCAGCAAAGTCCCGCTGAAAAAAGCTTAGTCGAAAGCAGTATGGGCGACGACGTCCCACGAGATCTACCCACAGAGCATGCCCAACAACCGTCTTCCTCTCACGCCCACAGTGACGATATTCATGAGGCTCATGGAAACGATCCATTCGTGACTTGGCTTGCGAAATGGCTGAATGACAAACTGTGGCCACCCCGAAGGGGCTCTCAAAGAATATGGTACCTATGCGTAAGTACTTCCCAGCACGAGTACTTGTGAATATGGACAATAGATGACTCACACAGCACGATCGTAATGTCTAGGGGTGTGGTCAACATGCCTATATCGATGTCAGGGAACTGCAGACCGGAGGCGTGGAAAGTGAGCGGCAAAACATAACCAGAAGCGCTGCCGCAATCAGAAGACAAACCCAATCACCGCAAAATACTGAATCTTCTGGCGGGGGGCCAATGTTGACACCACCTGCGGCTCACCTATCCCCCAGTTCCTCCACATTCACATCACATCCGAACGCAGCTCCTCCAGGGATCACATCATGCACGACCTCTGATACTGGATTGATAAACTTAACCTCCTCTGCCTCTTCCAGAAATCCACAATCGGAGCCACTTTATCTGCTGGTATGTATCAATGGGAGGGCATACAAAACCTTGGCAGAGCTTCGTCATCTCGATGTCTACAATTGCTGGAACGACGAGCTACTCATGAGAGGGATTCTCGAGCAGTATGAGCAAGCGAGCAAGGAACGCCATTTGACAATAGCTATGCTCATCTCGATACTGCCAGCCAGTTTCATTAAATGCCTTCGAGCTACGTGGGAAAACATACCGATCTCCATTCGGAACCCGCATTTCAGCCTGAACTCGTCATTGGCGTTGTCGATATCGGAGTGGTGGAGTACATTAGTGCCTCATATCAGTATATGGGCGCCGCTATATATCATAGACACCGCTGACTTTGTTGAAGTAAGTTTTGTCCTGAACGCTTCCCTGCTGCTAGTATGCCACCGCGTTTGCTAACTAACTTTGGCAGTTTGAACTTGTCCCCCATCCTGAGGGCAAAGATGCGTTTCCGGACTACTTCACATCCGGCTGCTGGCCTCCGCCAGACAACAGGCAGTACCGCTACAACCCAGTTCCCATGAAGTGTGCAAAGACGATCAACCTGTGGCATATGCGCCAGCCAGGTCCCCACACGGAGTTCTACTGGCACAATACCGTGCCGAAGAAACTGGACGGTCCGCTTCACCGGCCACCGGGAACCTTAGAGAATGTCGTGGGCTACGGGGTGCGTATCAACGAGAGGCTAAATGATGTGTTGATTCTCTGGTGGTCTTTGGTTCTCATTCTACTCACTGGCCTATTCATATTCGTGTACTCCAAGTGCACAGGCGATAATTCCTCAGCATTCGGATTGGGTGCGTACCTGGTGGCGGCACTCACAATTTACGTACAGCTGCAGTATGCTTGGTGGAAGAGGATATGAGGTAGATATTGCGAGATGAAAGTTGATATGTGAGCAAGTAAAAATGAAAGACGATGATTCTCCTGCCTCTTAAATGTGTAGAACGGTAGGGTAAGGGTTAGGGTAAAAATGCTTCTCGTCGCTCCTTCTGCTCCGTCCTCGGCACCGTTGCCAAGTAACTTCCTGACCGGAGTGACAAACTGAAAGTGAACTGAAAGAGGAGTAAAAAGACACATTCATCCTGTCTCATACCCGACATTCTTGTACAAGCAGCAGACAAGATGGCGCCCGATCTCTCATCCCAGAACATCTGCTTCATCGGTATGTAAAAAAGGCCCACCAGCTAGATTGAGCAACAACCCCATCTCCCGCTCTTCCTCTCTTTTTTCTTCTTCTCCAGATATATACACAGGCTAACATCGTATTAGGAGGAGGCAACATGGCGGCAGCCATCATCTCAGGCCTGGTCGCCACATCCTTCTCGTCCTCCAAGTCCCAGATCCACGTCTCAGAGCCCTGGGACGTGAACCGCAACAAGATGGCCGCCCTCGGCGTCCGCACCACCTCCTCCAACGCCGAGGCCGCCACGGGCGCCAACATCCTCATCCTGGCCGTGAAGCCACAGGTCGCCAAGGAAGTGTGCCAGGAGCTCGCGGGCGTGTGGTCCGGCGCATCCTCAGCGGACAAGGGCGCCGAGGAGCCGCAGGCCAAGAGGGCCAAGGTCGAGGGCGAGGGCGAGCTGCCCCTGGTCGTGAGCATCGCGGCTGGCATCACGGCCGAGAGCCTGCGCAAGTGGTGCACCACCTCGGACGGCCGGACGCCTCCCGTGGTCAGGGTGATGCCCAACACGCCTGCGCTGCTGGGCGAGGGCGCCTCGGGCCTCTTTGCCGGGGCCGAGGTCAGCTCTGAGCAAAAGGACCAGGTCACGGCGCTGTTGGGCAGTGTGAGCAAGACGACTGAGTGGGTCGAGAAGGAGGAGTTGTTGGATGTCGTCACGGGTCTGTCTGGTATGTGTGGCCCCCTCTTACCCTCTCGGCACTTTTTTTTTTGTTTATTGCAACCACTTGAAAACTGAACAATGAACGTAGGCTCCGGCCCCGCCTATTTTTTCGCCATGGTAGAGCACCTCATCACCGCCGCAACCAAGCTCGGTCTGTCAGAAGAACAGGCCACCCGCCTGGCCAAGCAGACGTGTCTCGGCGCAGGCAAGATGCTCGTCGAGGCAGATGCCGAGACTACACCGTCGCAACTGCGCAGGAACGTCACGAGTCCCAAGGGCACGACCGAGGCGGCGCTCAAGAGTTTTGAGGCGTCAGGGTTCGAGGCGATCGTGGACAAGGCTGTGAAGGCTGCTACGGACAGGGGGGAGGAGCTCGGCAGAACGCTGGGGGAGATGTGAGCAGTCGGGTGATGAGAGGATGTGAAAAGGTTGAAATGACTCCGTATCTTGACTTGGACGAGGTCGTGTGCTTCGTCCAGCCTAATATCTTGGGTGTGGAGCAAAAATGGTACAAAGAGGAAAAGGAGCGGCTAGTCAGATTGCGCATCCGGTCAGGAGTCATTGAGATTGACAGCATTCAACGAATAAATACAGAAGACTCGTATTGATACCAAGGCCCCAAAGCGCCTGAGCTGTGATGGTACAGAAACTTACTCACCAAAGTCCCCTAAATTTTGTATAATACAACAAGACTACAATCGCGCCCAAGAATTTTGATGCGCAAGGCTGTCCCTTCTTTTGCTATTCCGCCGAGAAACCCACTCAACCCTTCCACAACAACTAAAAAGCACAAAAATCCCTGTTAAGGAGGTTAGGGGTGCAGAGACGGCGTTTGAAAGTTGAACCTGCTCTGTTGTTGCCGGTGCTTCCTGCACGAAGGTATCGGTTCCGATCAATGTCATTGGACGTAGAATCGCAAACTCTGAGCTCTGGTTAAGAGATCTAGCGCAGCCTCAAGAGCGAGAGGAGCGGGTTTGCCACATCACGATCGAGCGCGTCGCTAGGAGTAGCATAAAACGCGAGAGCGATGATGATATAGAGACCGAACAGCATTGCTCCCTCCAGGTAGTTCGATCTGCCGTCCTGAACCACGTACGTGACGACCAGTACGGAGATGAAGAAGGCGACAGTCTCGAAGGTCTCGAACTGGAAGTCCATCTCTTTGCCCATCGCCCAGCCCAAAAGCACGAGGAAGGGTGTGACGAGCAGAGCGATCTGGATGCTGGATCCGACTGCGACTCCCATAGCCTATAATTATTGTACATCAGCTTGAGCCTCTCGCGTAAAGGTTACTTAGTGCATGCCGAGAAGGGAAGTAACTCACGAGGTCCATCTTGTCCCTGATGGCAACGACACAGGCCGTTACATGTTCCGCCGCGTTACCCACGATGGGGATCAAAATCAACCCAATGAAGTTCTTGCTAATCTTCCCAGTAGCGACAATATCGTCAATGCTGTCCACAAGGTAGTCCGCGCAGAAGGAGATGACAACTGTCACGCCGATGAGGACCGCGGCGGCAGACCACGCGCTTATGGAAGCCTCCTCTGGCTCTTCGCCTTCCTGAGCGTCCGAACCCTGCGGCGCCTCGGGATTGAACAGGTTCTTATGTGTCCGGAGCTGGAAGTAGAGATAGAGCACGTAGAGGAGGAGCAAGATAATGGCTGTCCCACGCGAGAGGATGAGGATGCTCTCGGTCGCAGCGTCTGGGTTCTTTCCTTTCTCAATGACCATGGCGAGGGTGGCGGGGATCACCATAGATGCTGCCGACAGCGCCATCAAGGAGCAGGCGGTCTGCGCCGTGCCAGATGCAAATTGCTGTTCTGATCCAGAGCCACTGCCATCTCTCATGTTGTTGCAGACACCTCCCAGGAAGAAGCACATGCCCATGACGAGAAGCAGATTGGACAGAATCGAACCCAACATAGACGACTTCACGACTTCAATCTGGTCGTTCTGGAGAGCAATGATGCTCACCTATCCCCCAAATATGTCAGCACGTCACGCCACAAATAGCGGCCGGATGGCGTCGTCACTTACAATCAGCTCGACGGCATTGCCAAAGGTGGCATTGAGCAGACCGCCAAGGGTCTCACCAAGCCTGACTGAGATTTCTTCGGTCGCGAAGGAGAGAATGGAGGCGAGAGGAATGATGGCAAAGAAGTTGAGAGTAAAGACAGCCGTGGAGCCCCACTCCAGAGCACCGGCGATCAGACCGAGCGGCACAAAGACGAGGAGGAAGTTCACATAATCTGATGAGTGATGAGCGCGTGCAATAACTTGGGGAGGAAGTCCGGCTCATGCGGGCAAGGCCTCACACACAAGGCGGACATGAGATAACATACTGCTGAGGAGAGTAACCTTGAAGACGTTGAAGCAGTGCACCGGCCATCTGATGAATGGGTTTGGATGGTCGAGGCCGGGGGTCTTCTTCGGGTTAAGGAAGACCTGCCGCCAGAAGACCTTACGGCTGTCGTTGTCGGCGCCGGCGCCGTTCGCTAGAAGAGGTGAACCCTCATGGGCGGTATGGGATGCGCCCTCGCCGGAATTGGGGTTGCCATTAGGCCTGAAGCCAGGTATAGGGTTGGTGCCCATTTTCTTGATCGTTCTTTTGAAGGGGACGGTGACTGTGTTGCGACAAGCCGCATGGCTATTTGATTAGCGCTCCTGCTTGAGTCTCGACCACTTAAGCACCGGATAGCTCGAGATGGAGCTGACGGCTGCCGGGCCTGGGCGAGGGACGGGGAGCTGAGCTGGACGCCGTAGATGAGGAAGATAATGAGGCAGCGAGGTTGGGCATGAACTCAAATATGGTCGGTGGGTAGATAGTGGTGGCATGGGGTAAATGGAAGAGAGTGGAGGAGAATGATGGGGCGATTAAGAGGAGAAAAGATAGTGAGTGTGCTTGGCCTGTGAAACAAGCACAATGCGTAGTGTGGGAGGCTGTGCAGAATGAAGGAGGATGCCGTGTGGGCGGTCTGGTTTGGTTAGATTGCTACTCACCATAAACCATATTCACAGGCAGACCAACTCTTCTCGGGTCGTCGCTGCAGTGGTGGAGGCAGATTGGCTAGGTCCAGGTGGATTTTGATGCCAAGGCTCTACGACGACTGGGCAGAGGCAGTACCAAGTCTCGGCAGGCGTTCCTAGGTCCGGCGCAAGAATCGCAGGTGATCAACTTGGTATTGTGAGGAGAAATACCAGAAGCAACCAAGTGCTGAAAATATGCCGTGAGCGACACAGAGACGTTATACCTAAAACGTGGATGCTAGCTCTGGCGATTGTCCCTTTCTTGCAGCGAATGGGTGAGCGGGTACAGATTTCTAAGTTGTCGATGACGGCCTTGCTGGGCTTAGCCCGCTGGGGCTGTGGCTGGAACCAGGCGGGTGGAACTATGCGGTCGAGTTCGGAGATTTCTGGTGTTGCTCAAGGGTCCTGGAAGATCCCGAGCAATGACGACAAGATTATCAGAGCTGTGTTGCGTGTACGAAAGAGATGAGCTTCGCTGATGAGTGGATTTGCTTGCTCACGAGGGCTGGCAGCAAAATTTATCGAGAACGTGGTGGAAGGTGGCTGTGATTGCTTGGATGTGGATTATGTGTGGGTGGTACTGGACGATGATGTCGAGAAAAGGACGGAGAGAGGGAAAAGAGAAGTAGGACCGAGCTCACCTTGAAGCTATCAAGTCCCGGAATAATTGTACACGCACAACAAAAGGGAAAGCTTCAGCTAACCCCTGCCCTACAATGACAGCTCACCTACGTATCCGTCCTGCAGAACTGATACCGCAAGTTGAGAGGTAGATAGACAGTTGGCGGACGAAGTCCTTCCACGTCACCGTGCCTCAAGCTTAAATACAGACACCAATGGAGAAGGGAAACAAAGTAGAGGAGGGACGAGGACGAGGAGCAAGAAGAGGAAGAAGATGTCTCGATGTTCGATGGGAAATGTACGATCTTTTACAACAATGCGTGTTTTAACAACCAGGAAGCACGCGTGGCTCGCCAAACGCTACGTCAGATTGGCCAATGGATAGAATCAGGATACTATGACACTTGAGAGTAAATGAATAGGTAGGTCATTAAACTTTTGGCCATCTCCACATTTCCACCTGCAATCTTGCACTTGGCACGGTGGGCGGCCTCCCCTGCTCTAAGAAAAGCAGTCGGGGTGGGTCGGTCGTGCCTGTCAGCAACTTATCGTACCTGCTGACTTATCGATAAAGCACTTCACGTCATGTCAGACGAAAGACGGTAGAGTTCCTGAGACGGGTCTCGCCGTGCAGCACTCTTCGACAAAAACAACAACAACCACTAAACTGACATAACCTTGGGACAGGTCTGAGTTGAGCCGCCGCAACCTATGGACGCCACAAACGACGACAACCACGACTCCCCGGTGTCATGAACTGGGCCACGGCGTCCACCACGCCCTGCATGACATTTGGCTGGGTGCCGGACGGAGATATATTTTCTCCCAAGCACACGATGCGGCATGTTGCCTGAGACAACACACGACCTCTCATCTTTGACGCGGTTCTGCTGAACCGGGCAGTCCTGAAAAGATGGCCACAAAGACGAGCAGGCCGCTGCCCGGGAGGCGCGAGGACATCGAGCACAGAGACGGTCTCCCATTTTACCCTCAGTACTGTTTTAGGCTCTCTCCGACCATCAACACCTACTGCCATCTTCGAGCCCACGACATTGATGCCCTCACGATTCATTCAGGATTTCGAGGTATGTATTCGACACATGGCCTCTCTGCAAGCGATCATAACGCTCATATATCATACAGGGCAGAATGTCTTCTTCCATCTCAACCACCCAGTCCAATGGGTCCGCATCGCAGGCATGGTTGTCGCTATCGATGAATATGTTGGACGCCGAATCTATACCGTCGACGACAGCAGTGGCGTGTGTATCGAGTGCACAGTCAACACTCCCAAGCCTGACGCTATCGGCAAGCTTGATACTGAATCTACTCGGCCCGAGCAACCGAGGAATTCTAAGACTACGAGCACGATTACAACTACGACTACGACCACCACTGACACAATACCCAAGGTCACGGTCCCAGCAGATGTCGACGTCGGTACGATTGTCGACATCAAGGGTGGTCTGGCGCTATACAGGGGTTACAAGCAGGTCAAGGCGCTCAAGGTGACCATCCTACGCTCAACGGAGCAGGAAGTGGCTTTCTGGGAGAAGATCAAGCAGTTCCGGGAAAACGTACTGGAAACGCCATGGAAGCTCACCGAAAAGGAGGTCAGAAAATGTCGCAAGGACGAGGAGAGGCGGAGATAGGCCGGCGTATCTCTCTCTGGAGCGCGTTGAACAGCAACAGTGGTCCCCTGGTCCAATGCGCCATCAACACTGAGAGACTGGGACACGTCAATGTCACCCCAATACCCAAGGATGCAACGAAGAAGGCCACTCGAGCAACGCCACAAAGCCAACTGAAGAAGAAACAAGAATAGGAAGACCACTCGCAGACCAGCCGAGCACCTCATACCCTCGTGTAAGGTACGCATCCGCTGCTGAGATTCGGCGCAGCTCTGTTCTGATCCATGCACGAGGACGAGCTGGCTCCCCCCAGAGACTACTGTGCCAGAGGCACGTAGGTTGCCCATGGACATCATTCTTTCTCCTTTTGTCAACTCAAAGAACATTACCAGCGTGAAAGCAGTCGAGAGTCGCCGCTGCCTTTGCTCAACGCGGCACGACTAAAAGCGCCACTTGGGGTTTCACCCACTTATGAATGGACATCCGTCGCCTTTTGAACTACAACTCCTTATTTGGGATGTCTGGGTTGCGATTTGGATCCGGTCAAGGCTGGACTGCATGTACTTTGGTTAAACTGGGATGGCTCTTGGGAGCGGTCGCAACGCTGGAGATGTGATCTGCCAGCTTACCGCCTCATACATTGAAGACCTGTCATCATGAACATGAAGGTCACCGGCGACTTTACTTCTGGGCTAGTAGACGCTGCCTCACTGGACAGGTCTGTGCGCCACCATGTGACGGCACTCACTCAGCCGTTGCAGTTCCGAAGGGAGCAGTCGAGAAGGAGTGCTGGCCGTTCTGGAAACACGGGAGTTCCCCCTTCCTCCCCGTCCCCTTCCCCCGGGGAGTTGTTCAAGAACACAGAGTGCATTCCCTTAAGAGATTGAACAACGACCTTCCCGCTCGGGCTACCCGATGTCGTACGTATAAATACACCCCCGGTCACGCGAAGGATTGGGTAAGCAAATAGGGCGCCTCGCATGTGTACCCACCGCGCACGACTTCCCGGATGACTTCTGCATACCACGCAATATTGGAGGTTCTGGCGTGCACGAAACCTTCTCTTACTTCCCCATTCTGGTCGTATCCCGATCCTCTGTGTTTGACACGGAATCCTGCCTTTGTGGAGGCCGTGCTGTTCAAGTAGGACACATGAACTTTGGTATCGGGCCGGCCGTGATTAGAAACATCAGCAGTGGTTGGTCTGGCCGAGAGAAGGAACGGGAATAAATAGCATCGGTTGGCTTCTCTCGTGTTACACAATCGCAGCAGGTGGCTGTCGTAAAAGGTTAGGGTTGTTGACGGTAAGCGGGAGAGTGAACAACCTGCATGAGAGAAAGAGAGCTCTCTCATCACCGGCTGCGTGACCAGGAAGCCCGCAGTGCGTGATACCCATCGACGGCCAGGTTGCATACTGATGAGAAAAGGGGAGGGCTCCAGACTTACCTCTACGGAATGTTCCGTACACGAAGGTCCACGTATGGCGAGTGCGAAGGGGATCTGAGTGTGAGTGGCAACCGATAGAGCATGGGGGGCCTCGGGTGGCGCTGCTAATGAATTGGGGCTGTTCCGGCATGTCTCAGCCGGGGCGGACACCCAGCAGCTCTTGATCTGGGTCTCCGGGTGCTTGTGTTGGCTTATACGACATAACCACGTGGATTGCTCGTGTCTTTTTTGCCGTCATGTTGCAGTGGTCCAGTTAGAAACGTGCCCAGTTGTGCTGTGGGAACCCGGCATTGCACGTCAAGCCTTTTCCTGCTTCTCCTTCCTTTGCTTTTCCCACTTTTCCCTCCCTCGCTACCGTCCGGTCACTCACTGCGTATCTGAATTACCTCTTCTGTTTTCAGGTGGTGCTCCCAGAGAGCAAAGAATCCAAGCCCATCCATGAACGTGGTCAGACCTTTTAAAGAAGATGATGCATTTCTGACAAAGCAATACGAACAGTGGCAAATAGTTCCCGCTTATGCGGAACGGTAACAGGGTTAAGCGATGCGAACGAGATGTAGACGGAGGTGCGACTGGTTTGCAGGCTAGAAGACGTATAGAGCTTCTAGAAAAGTGATGTATCAGGAACAATTTCCACCGGCCAGCGAATGCGGCTTGATGCAGGGGGAAGGTCAGCGACATGTGGTGGCACCTGTGTTCAGGGTTGCTACCATAGTTATTAGATAATAATAATCAGAATCTGTCCGTCCTATTCCTTCCCGTGTCCTGTCTGAGGAGATTTAAACGTGACTTTGCAACAAGTCTTGGGCTGGAGGTGGCACAGCTGAAAATGGGTGGTCTGTCCCTTTGTGTAAGCTTGTGGCAGATAGACAATTTTAGGTAAGAAGTTGTGGGTAAGAAAAGGGTGGTACAGCAGTGAAGACAGAGAGACAGCGAGTGCCAAGTGGATTACGGAGGATTCAATTACAACCGTAAAAGGAGGTGTGATGAGTGGCCAAAGAAAAGACAGTGTCCATGTGTCCATGTGTCCGTGTCTGTCTGTGCCTGTGTCTGTGTCATCGTCATCATCCACTGGTCACCGCAGGAGGGAGTGGGTGTGACACATGATATGGTGGGTTGGATGCTACAGAGACACGTGTCGAGCAGGTTGGGGAAGCTGCAGGAAGCAAGCACCGGCGATATGAACCTTAGAGGAGGAGCAGGTAAGTTTTTCAGAGAGTCATGTTGCAGGCGGCAGCAACGATAGATTCTGATCTCGAAAGTTCACTGAACATGCACGAGGGAGAGGAAGAAGCACAGAGAAAAGACAGAGGAGACAGAAGAGAGCTGTAGAGTAGAGGGAGGGTGTTGAAGACGTGGTCAAGAAAATAAAGGAGAGAATCACAACAGCCGACTAATTTATCAGGACCTGTGTATCTCTGATGACTACGGTATCCTCTTACGATGTGACCCATCACAAGTTGTAATCAATGACTACTAGCATACACACACACACACACACACACACACACACACACACACACACACACACACACACACACACACACACACATCTCTGAGGCAAGCCACAACCGAGGTGGAAGTGTGGAAATCTGAGAGAAGATAGGTGAAAGGAGGGAGAGAGAGGCATAGAAGAGAGAAAGAGGGTGACGGGAAGGATTAGTCGAAGCTGGGATTTGCGCCCATGGACCTCCGCTGCAATCCACTGATTGACCCTGAGTGCCCTGCTAGTTCCGTGCCGCCTCCTCCACATCTGGGCACCCTCCGCTGCTCTGGTGACACCCCCCCCCCTCCTGTCTGATCCCATCTGCAACCTCCCTCTCCTACCCAATCACCTCTACCTTGACTCGTAACCCTCAAGGCCTGTCTGGTGCTGTGGGGGGGCAGCGCTGCAATCTGGGCTTTGATGTTGCTTCTTCATCTTGTGTACTGTGGTGCAGGGCCGGTCTGGTCTCTTGGCCGGATGGTTTTGGGTAAAGGCAAAGTGGGTGTAGAGGGATGGATGGAAAAAGGGAGAGAAGAGGGGTGCATTTCTAGTGATAATGAACTGGTGATGGCCCACCCCTTCACACCTGCGCCGAGGCCAAGGGAAGATGTCAATTCAATGAAGCATTGATCAGCACAGCGAACCCCAGCGAATGACCCTAACCATACAGCATTTGGGGGCCTTACCCGGGAGATGGGGGGAAGGAGGGAAGGGGCAAGAGGGGGTGGGAAGGTGGAGGGGTTCGATAGATTGCACAGGTGGTGCCGCTTCCCCGTGCCCCCCCAATGGCCCTTGCCTGCGTGTGCGCTGTACTGACCTGTAATTTTTCTCTCTTTTGTTAAGATAAACCGGTTGTCAGCAGGATGGGATGGGCCTACTAGCTCTAAAAGGTGCTAGGGGATCTCATTGCGGCTGCATTGCTATGGGACCACCTGCATCTGCACATTGAGAGCGAGAGAAGAAGGATTGGTGCCCAGAAAATGCGAGGGAAGGGTTGAGAGATTTCCATCGACGGAGAGTCCTACAGAGACATGTACCTTCAACACAGCAGAGGGGCTGTACTTTTATTCTATATAAGGTTGGTCTAACCAAAAGGAAATTTGCTGACCCTACCACAAAGTACATGGCATGACTGGATTCCTTTAGCCTCCTACAAGAATCTTCTTCGTGATATAGTTACCTACATAGCAGCATCTTAGCATACCATGTAAATCTACGAACGTGCGTAAGTACTTACGTGGTAATTGGTAGTAGCAGGAGCAGGAGCAGGAGCAGCAGGAGGAGGGTATAGTAATACGGAGAACATGATCCAGGTAAACACATAAGCACCGCAGCACCCCTGCCTTGTCTTCCCGCAACCTGCGCTACAGGTCTTGTCCACTTATGTATCAGGCATACTCCTGCTGGCCACCTCTACAGTCGAACTTTTGAACCTTTGCTGCATTTCATAGAAACAATAAAAAGATAATACGAAGAAGAAGAGTATTCTATTTTCAAAGAAAAGAAAGAAGAAGAGAAAAAGGGGCTAGGCGGAGAAGAGGAGGAGGCTGGTTCAAGGTGAACGAATGAGAGTGACCTGGCTTAGGATCTGTGGTGGTTTGGAACGCCATCTGCGTGGCAGGCCGGGCCCAGGCCAGTTCAGGCAAGGTGCTCCTCTCTGGGCATGCTGCATCCTTCCATTTCCATTTCCATTTCCATCTCCATCTGTGCAATGCTTCGTAGGTCATGCCTTCTGCTTTGCTTTCAGCCTTTCAATCCAATCTGGTTTATCCTGTCATCTCTTCGTCAACCACCAAAATAAAGCCATATCCAACACGATCCAGCCCACGCTCCACTCCCACTCCAGTGCAGATCAGGCTGCCGAGGGAGGTGTGGCAGCTTATCCCTCCCTTCTTGACCTCTTCCTGCTTCTCGTCCTCTCCACATCAAACATCCATTTCGATCCATACTTACCAACCAACCCCCTAACTGCCAACGCCCACGACCAGAAACAAACGCGCGCGCGCACACGCACACGCCATCTCATCCCATCCATCCCCTCTGACGGCCCTGTAGCTTGTCACCTTTCCCTTGTGACTGGCTCCCTGGAGACCTGGACCTGGACCCGGACCAGGACCCGCTGACTGTGGTCTGCTACCCTTGTACCCTTCCCTCCTATACTCCGTTACTTACTCTACCATACTTTCTTGTCCCCTCCGTACCAAGCGAGTACTTGCTCGCTCGCGTTTGCACCTTCTGCTTGCTCTGCTGCACAGGTACCCCCGTTCCATATCCTGTTGTAGGTACGCTCTTCATTCCGTCTCAAGCACTCTGTCATCTGTCTCTTTTTTCTTTACTCTTATTTTTCTTCTTCTTTTTCATTTAGCTACTTGTTTCCTTTTTTGCCATCCCGCTTTGACCCAGTCTTTTGTATCTCCACCCTCAAATCTCCTTGTCCTGGTGCCGGCCCTTCATACTCGCTCGGCAATCTTGCCTTTGTCCTTCACCAAACTCTAACCATCCAACAAGACAGACACGACACCACCATCCTATCGCTCCCCCCTTCGACTTCCTCCTTCCGTCCCTCGATCCATATCCGGCCTGCCATCGATCTTGCTCGAAACTTGACAACTTCGAGTCCGAGTCGAATGTTCGCAGAGATTGACAATCGGGCAGGTCGCTCCAATGGGTAATAGCCAGGGCAAACCCGTCGAGTTTGACGGCGAAGGTACCGATACCATCCCGCCTTGAGCCGCCCCCCCCCCCTCCTCCTCCGCCGTCCAGGCCGCCAATTCCCTTCTCGATCGGCTCAAATTGGTTGTGCAGTGGAATACAGTCTTGGGATGTTGACTGACGAATGTTATCTGGAGCATAGTCAACCTCAATCACTTCCGGTTGCTGCGGGTCGTCGGCCGAGGTGCATTTGGCAAGGTCAGAATCGTCGAGCGAAAAGACACCGGCCTCTCCTTCGCCCTCAAGTACATCCGCAAAGATGAAGGTGCGGAAGACCAATCCCCTTACCTGTTTCCCAGCGGCTATATGTTCGCTGTCTTAGTGTCGGTATGACTGACGTCTTGCGATGCTCCGCCACAGTCGTTCGATCCGAAAGCGTGCGAAATATCATCCGGGAGCGCCGTATGCTCGAACATGTCAACCACCCCTTCATATGCAATCTGCGCTACAGCTTTCAGGATATAGAATATATGTATGCATATCTGGTCTACGTGGCCTTCAGGCTCAAGGGTCCTGGGGTCATAAATCGTTACTGATGCGGCGCGCTCCAGGTACCTCGTTGTCGACCTCATGAGCGGTGGCGATCTCCGCTTTCATATATCCAGGAAGACCTTCACAGAAGATGCCGTCAGGTTCTGGATATCCGAGCTGGGCTGTGCTTTAAGATACATACATGGCCAAGGCATCATACATCGTGACGTGAAGCCAGACAATGTTCTGCTTGATGCCGATGGGCACGTCCATCTGACAGACTTTGTACGTTCCCCCCCCCCCCCTAACCATGGGCTCCTTTGTTCTTATGCTGTGTGTGTGTGCGTGTTTGTGTGTGTCTATCCGTTTCTTGCGGATGTGGTTATTAAACAAGGTTCTGACGAATCTGCAAACAGAATGTCGCATCGGATATTATACCTGGGAAAGTTCTCACGAGCAAATCCGGAACTCTGGCATACCTTGCCCCTGAGGTCTACGCCGGCAAGGGCTATGATCGACGAGCAGATTGGTGGTCACTTGGTGTCTTGTTTTACGAGTGCATCTACAATAAGGTTCGTATTATTTCTATTATCGGTGTGTTTGTGCTTTTGTGGCTGGTTGGTTGGCGTTGCGGGAGGGGGGGGGGGGGATTTCTTGTTCTGCCCTGGATGACCGGTGACAACTGGACCTACTCTGGTGTGGGTCAAAAGCTAATGCACTGCGCAGAGACCCTTCGAGGGTAACTCCGAAAACGCCCTGGGCACTGTCATACAAGCAGCTAATCCGAAATACCCAATCACGCAACCACCCGTCTCCCTGCTTTGTCTTTATGCTATCAAGGACGCCCTGAGCCTGGACCCGAACAAGCGTCTCGGTCACACATGGGAAAGCTTCACCCACCACGATTTCTTTAGGCCCATTAATTTCGAGGCTCTCGAGAGGAAGGAGATTGAGCCAGTATTCGTGCCATCATCCGAGAAGACGAACTTTGACGCGACATACGACCTGGAAGAGTTATTACTGGAGGAGGCTCCACTGGAGGCCAGGGCTCGGAGGCAGAAGCCGCGCGAGAAGCTGAAGGACGACGCGACAGACAAGGAGATTAGGGAAGATGAGTTGTACCGGATGATCGAAAACGACTTCCGGCCCTTCGACTATACCGTGGCTGCCTATAAAAAGTCGGTTGCGATAGCCCTCCAGAATGGCTGTAGGCCATGTGCTGACTATAATGACAGGATCACGGAAGCATGTGCAGACGACGAGCCAGCCGCCGGCGCATCGTCGAGACCGAATGGCGCTACAAATACACAGCACGGACAGGCATTCACCTCGGACGATGCTCGGCCCCTCTCCCAGGCGACGACAGCGACGAATGGCTATCAAGGGCAGTCAGGACAGCAAGGGCCGCCACTTACGCCCTCAAGATCCAGTGAGGCAAATCCGGGGCATTCGAAGAGCCACAGCAGAGGCAAAGGTACCCATCGACCATCCCCACTACCGCCGTATCCGAATTCGTATACGACGAGCCCGAAGCATAGCAAGGGTGGCCCCAAAGGCATCTTCGTGGAGAGCCCTACTGGAGGCGTGCAGGTGACGCTCGACGGCGGCGGCAGCTGGTCGGATTTGGCTCGTCAAGACGCAACACTGCCAGCAGACGCAGCCGGTGCAGGTCAGGAAGCTGGCAAGGTCGAGGCTGGGTCTGGTGGCGTGTTTGGGTTCCTGAACAGGAAGAAGGGGCGCGGTAATAGCCCCAAACCGAAGGAGAGAGGTGTTCTGGGGAAGGAGGGCGCAAGAGTCGTAATTGGTTAGGGGCGATTAGGGTCTCTACGCAACTGGCGTCAAGACAATGTCTGGATGAGTTCGACCTTGAGTTTTCTCGACAACGATGCTTTGACTATATCCGACCAAAGCTGCGCAGAACGAGGAAGAGTGGCGGTCCCGGAGTGTAATGAAACGGCTAACAATTGAGAGAAGGGCCAGCCTGGCGACACCAGGGGGGGGGGGGGTGCACGATCAGTGCGTTCGGTGAGTTGCTGCATGATGACGAGGATCTCGTTGATCATGGTGCAGTGCTCGATACCTCAACCGGAGTGTCCCGACGCGACCAGACATTCTATACCCTCAGCGGTGACGAACCCGACCCATCACAGACCGACGTCACATTTACATGGTGCTTTTCTGTCTGCACAACATATGATCATTTCAGACAAGCGATCTGGGACGCGCGATCCCATCTTCACGACCTTGGCAGCCTCGTCGAAAACATGATACCAACTCCCTTGTCGGTGGCGCGAGGTGGAGCTCGACCCTACTCGCGCTGGCTTCATCAGTGTCTTTTGATGTGCATCTCCGTCATGGGTTGCTTTTTTCTTACTTGGCGTCAAAATGATAGACTTGGTGCGCGGCGGTCTTGCTCAGAGCACTTCAGACAACATCGCATCAAACCCCGGGGTTGGGAAAACTGGGAGGGACGCATTTTCTATTTAATGGAGTCAGCGAGTGTATGCTGCACGAGGCGAGGGCGGGTGAGGTAGCCATATGTACCAACGATGAACGGAAACATCCTGCATCTCCATTCCCTCTTTCCCTCTTTTCCCAATCAGTCCCTATTCCTCTTATTTTTGCTTGGTATCGTTCCTGGGGGAGGCATCATTCACACATTTTGGGCATCGTTCACATCACTCAGCATAAAAGCGGTCGCTTGAAACGGCCGATGAGCACACAAACATATACGGCCTCTCTGTTCTTGTAGTTTAGGTAGTGAGGGCAGGTGAGCCTGGGCTTTGCGATACCCAATCAACGCAGGTAGTAAAGCCAAAGTCTTGTGTCTCTCGTCTGCATCCAATCGCGTCTCTTGATCCGTAATTGACTCCGTCATCATGGTGCTCAAGGCACGTCTACTACCGTAAGTTCACCTGGTAACGCGCAAACAGCACTGGAGGCTCGGCCACGAATAGCCAGCATCTTAAAGACGAGAAATGGAGCTTCTACTTGGATGGAAGGAGGGTTCATATGTTAACTACTGATCATCTGGCCGCTGAATCGAGGCCGTCTCAAGAGAGGATGTCCAAGACGGTTGGACAAGACGAACCAAAACAGTGCAGTTCCTGCCTTTTTTATCTTATTCGATGTAGGATAACCCTGATGACCGATTTTTTCGATTGAATGCTATGTCCATCATGAGCGAGGTGTTTGAGGAGTTGTAGACGGAGGATAAGACGGAAGGAAAGAAGGAAAGAAGCAGGAAAAGAAATGAGGGATAGAAGAAGAAGAAGAAGAAGAAGAAGAAGAAGAAGAAGAAGAAGAAGAAGAAGAAGAAGAAGAAGAAGAAGAAGAAGAAGAAGAAGAAGAAGAAGAAGAAGAAGAAGAAGAAGAAGAAAAAGAAAGACAAAAATATGCAACACCGGGTATTCGCCAATGGTCACCCACTTGAGTACTGATCCAGTCCCTTGGCGGCTTATTTAGGGAAGAGTGGGCAAGATCCTAAGTTTCTCACTGGGTATGGTCCCATGTGCTTGAGTTTGTTGTGATTGTGATTATGGCTCAAGGTGTAGAGTGAGTGAAGTGAGAGGCGCTGATTTGATGCTGTGAGTTTAGGAAGAGAAGTAAAAGGCCAGCCACCAGCCATTAAAAAGGAGGAAAAAGAAACAAGAAAAAAAGGAAAGAAAAGAAAAGGAAAAGTCATGCGAACGCAAATATAGTAGAATGTATATAGCCTGTACCATTCAACCCAAATTGTACACTCTTTTCCAGATTCGATGACTATGATGGATTTACATTTCAGAGCAATATCAGAGCAATTGTTCGTGTAATGAAATAGTGTATATTTGACTATATTTGACGTCTTGGGTGGTTTTCTGGTAGATTGGTAGTTTGACAGCGCTTATGTAAGCACAATGGCCCCTCCACTACACAACACAAGGGAGGCTTGTGATGCAACTGCAGTGGCACCAACCGCGAACGGTCAACACATGCTATGACCATTCTGTCTCATCAGCACACGAAACCAACGTCCCCTTCCCTCCGACGCTACCTGAGGCTCCACCCAACTGCGAGACCACTTCGCTACCTACTCATCCCATCCGATCGCAATATCTGCCTTTTTCTGAGAGAGAAGAATAGGGCATCATTCGAAAATGGATCTAGCCTACGACCACATTGTCGAGGAATCCCTCCCTAAGGAGGACGACGGCAAGCGCGTCGCGGGCGGCACCGGCGCCGAGCAGACGCAGAACAGCCTGAACGCCGAAATTCAGGATGCCTACAAGGCCTTCTCGGCCAGCCCTTGGGGTGCGAAGATTGGCGGTTTCTTTGGAAATGTTGTGAAGCAGGTACGCGCGGCGTTTCTGATCCCGGCCCTCCCCCGCCCCTCCAATACCATTCATTGCTGCCAACCGGTCGGAACTATCGTCTTGCGTGCCGTTGGTAGCACGTGTTGATACACTGTGCAATACGCAAGAGGCTATCACTACGAAGAAGAAGAGTTGGTTGGGCTGACTACTGGATGACAGGGCGAGACCGTCTACCAGGAAGCTCAGAAAGAGCTCACCGACCTCGGCAGTGAGGCCCAGCGCGGCTTCTCGGGCCTCTCGAGCGCCCTCATCAACCGGACCCGTGGCCTGTCCCTTACCACCCCAGGCCCCTCCTCCACATCTTCCTCGTCCACCGCTCAGCAGACGGGCAGCGTCACCCCGACCGAGGGCACCAAGAAAGACATGACCACCGACGAGGCTCTGCAGGAATCTGAGACCGTGCTCTCCCGCCTGCGCTCCGAGGCCGCCAAGCGCCTCAAGGATATTCAGAAGGCAGAGGACGCTGCGGACGAGGCGCTCCTGCGCTTTGGGACCAATATCCGTGACTTTCTGAAGGACGCCGTCTCCATCACGCCTGGGTCCGGGTCGACGGATGCCAGCGGGCAGACTGCCGAGGTCCTGTTTGAGAGCAAGGACGCCACCGGCAAGAGGGTCATCCACACTAGCCGCTTCGACGCACAGCTGCACGTCATCCATACCTCTACGGAGAGCTTCACGAAAGACCCTGCGACGGGTGACTGGGAGACCTGGGGCCAGGAGTTTGATATTGCCAGCAAGACGGAGGATATCTCCAAGGATCTGGAGAAGTATCCGGAGCTGAGGGCTACCATGGAGAAGTTGGTACCCGAGAAGATCCCCTACGAGGACTTCTGGAAGAGATACTACTTCCTGAGGCACGGCATCGACATTGCGGAAGCAAGGAGGCGGGACCTCCTGAAGGGTACGTTTGTTTCCTGAGCCTGACCGTTCAAGCGTGGAGGATTGTCTGGAAATTACTGTGTGATTTTCGATGATGCTAACCTGTTCTGTTCTGCCCTGCAGCCGCCTCCGCCGAGGAGGAAGTCGGCTGGGACGAGGACTCAGATGACGAGACCACCGCCGCGGCGAGTCCCAAGAAGACTTCCGACAGGCGCCCCGGCTCGACCGAATCCTCGACCACCATCCACCCGCCCCCAGTTGCTGAATCATCGTCCTCGTCCTCCCACCTGCTGAAGCCGTCCGAACCCCGCAAGTCCAATGATGAGCGGTCACAGCCCGACAGCGACACGAGCTACGACCTGGTAGGGGCCAGCTCCGGCAACCCCAGCCATGCGCCGAACAGCCCCAAGGAGGCGCGCAAGGAGGACGATAGCGACGAGGACTGGGAGTAGTGAAGCCCCGTCAGAATTTCTGAAACCCTGTTCTGCTTTTGGGTGATGGTGTTTCTGGCGCTGTAGGTGATTTGAACCGGAGGAAGGGATGGATGATTGGGTAGTTGGATGTACAGACCGCCGCAGTGGGTCTCTGCACGTCTGTCCCTTTTGTGTGGATGTCGCAGGTGCGACCTTAATCTCTTGGAGTCCCTGGGTATCTTCTTGTATAGCCATAGCCCCCCTGTCCGCAATATAATTGCTTTCTCTTTTTCCTGCTCGCCTTTTCATCACTTCCTTGCAAGATCGGATGCTTACAAGATGGAAAAGACACGTGGTTGGTTCCCTTTCTGAACCCGAAAGAGAGCGATTCATCCACCTCCCAGTACTGCCCCGTCTCCTGGCCGTGTGAAGTGAATCACCTCTTCCTTGTGACCTTGGTGAACCCGTCCTCATCCACCTCTGGCGCAGCCTTCTCTTTCTTGGGGGCAGCAACCAGAGGCGGAGCATCGGTCATATCCTCATCACCGCTCTCGTCGTCATCGTCATCATCCCCATCGGTATCATCCCAGTCCGTATCGCCGTCCTGGTCCTCGCCCTTCTTGAAGAGGGCACCTTCGACCTTGGCGCCCTTGCCGGACTGCCACCGCGCCAGCAGCTTGTCGACCTCCTCGAAGCTGCCCTTGGCGCACTGGCCGCGCAGGCGGATGATCTCGACGGCGACGTCGAAGCCGGAGTCATCGTCTACGTTGACCTCGAACTCGTCGAGCATGACCTGGAGGAGGAGCTCCTCTATGTACTCGGCGTCGGGCTCGTCGTCGTCCTCCTCTTTCTTCTGCTTCTGCTTCTGTTGTTGTTGTTGTTGTGGTGGTGGTGGTGGTGGTGGTGGTGCTTGTTGTGAGGATGTGGAGGAGGTGAAGGCGGGGAACTGGCTGGCGACTTCGCCTGCGAACCAGTCGCGCTTGTCGGCGCTGTCGGGGCCGCCCCAGTTGTTCTGGACGGCAAGGGTGAGGGCGGGCCAGAGGTTGAGGGAGAGGGCTACGGCCTGTTCGAAGCGGGACTGGCGGATCTCTGTATGGGAGGCAAGATTAGTCAGTGGGAAGTTTGTTCTGGCGTTCAATGGAGGAGGAGGAGGAGGAGGGGTGACGGACCAGCCGAGGGGATTTGCTGGGTTGAGGAGGCCATCTTGTTGTGGAATGTGATGCCTGGTGGTTGGGAAGGGAGAACGTTATATGAATAGACGGAAAAGGTATGTAGAGTCGTCGACGTGCTGTTACAATCAACGTGAGGGAGGTTTTGAAGCTGGGCGCAGTCGCGATACTTTTTTTCTTTTTTTCTTTCTGTTTAGCAGCAGCCCAAAAAATTTCCCAGGGTCTCTGGTGAGCGAAGCCCCCCCCCCCCCCCCGGCCGCCACGGCGATAAGGCGATAAGGCTCTGGTGCGGGTCGCGGCTTTCATCGGTCCCGTTGCGGCCACTGGCTTGAGGATATATCCTCATGTCTTGATTATGCTGGGCTAGGTAGACGCAACTTAGGGCAGCCGACTTTGGGCAATATAGAGCAATGAAGCACAATTACTAGCTCTACTGTCGCATGTTTTTTTCTTCTTCTTTTTGTAGCTTCGTATGACTGCGCTTCTACTACTACTTGTATTCATCAGCGATGTGATTCGAAAATTATAGATACACTATTTAAAGCATAGGTTATAGCAGATATAGGAAGACTGATCAATGGCATAGTTCCTTTCTCTTGAGGCGCGATATCCATACTACTATATGTATTCAAGTCACCTATGAGCAGCGGGCAAAACAGCCTGCACGACGTCAACATTCTTGTCCTATGCCAGGAAGAGTAAATGGACCCCTCTTCTTAGTGTCTCAGGGACGAGATCAACAGGGAGCGGCCAGAACATGTCTGAATGGCCACCTACCCTAAGCCCGTGTCGGAAGGCCTTCATCTTATCAGATACCCGAGGCAATCTCGCCTCGCAGGAAGGGGCTGATTGAAAGCTTATAGATCGGACTCTTGGAGCCTCACCTGATCAGCGTCACCACCCCTTGGGCCAGGTATATACAGACACACGTCATTGGAAGACCCGACGTCGATTGGCTCATGCAGATAAGCACCAGCTGTGGTGTGTGTGGATGGGACCTGAGCACAGTCTGAGAAATAAGGACACAAGGCGGTGTCACGGTGAGCATGAGTGGGTGTGGGTGTGTGTGTGTGTGGTGTGTGAGACAAGAGAACCTTCAATCTACCTCGCGTATGAGGGACCAGACGAAGGGAGCACCCTGTATAGTGTTTGCATGTGCACTAGTAACTTTGTATTCCTACAACTACCGTGTACAGACTCACGGTGAGTCGAAAACTATGCTACATATGTACTATGTAGGATGTGGAATCATCGGAGTGGATCTCCGAGGCTGGCTCGCTCACACCCGGCCCAAATCCTCTCTAACTTCTGTCTTCCGTCTCCCTTTCTTCACCACCACTACTACTACGGCCAGGGGAGGCCCTAGACGATGGTACCCTATCCTGGGGTAACGCTGGACGGGACTACCAACTAGGACTTACACAATCTACCGCGTAGAGTCACGCCGGAGACTTGCTGCCACGGGACGGATGGATCGATGTGCCGCAGGTGAGAGACATGGGGGGGGGGGGTTGGAACAGTGAGTGGATGGGAACTGGGCCGTAGGAGCAGGCTCGAGTGGGCTGACCACGGTACCTAGGCCGACGTCTGTTTCGGGGAAAGATGACCTCGAAAGTAAAGCAGGGGGGAAAAGCCCGCCGCAGTCCCGAAAGGTCCGATCCCACTTGACAGAGAGACCAGAGAGCAGAGAGAAGTCTGTCTTTTCGCATGATGAGCGAGGGCCAAAGAGCCAGAGTGCCAGTTGGTGGGAAAGTGTGATACAGTCCGACCAGCAGACAAGAGAATTTGGTGCGGCCTATTCCCCAAATGGCTCGTCCAGCAGAGGCTTTGTCCAGCTTTGCCTCAGGGAATCGGATCCAAGTATGAGAGTATGTGTTAGTGCAGCCGTTGACGGGGGGTGGGGAGAGGCGCTTTTGGAGATCCGGTGAGGGGGCTTCCTTTCCTGCCAAGTCCTTCAAGTAGGTACGTACCACGTAGTCCGTCTGCCTGGCTGGGACATTCATATACGCCCTCTCATCCACGACCCCCTGTCCGCCCTCAGCAGCCCTTTCATCCCTGGCCAGACCTGCTACCGCTGGCGTGCACTGGCCAGGCCGGTTCTTGTCTTTTGACTTCTCGCCACCCTGCACCAGCGGGGCATGGCGGGGTCAGCCGTCCCTGAAGGGAGTGGAGGACAGGGAGTGAGGATCTCCAACTCACATCTGAGGCGTAGCTGACAAATTGACATTCGAGGTTGCAATTCCAACAGATTCCCAAATCCGATCTCCCCTTCCCCGCCTCTTTGGAGCCTGCCCATCCGCCCCCCATCCCACCTTTTGCTCTCAACAACCACCACCGCCGCCAACTGACTGCATCTCTTTTCTTCTCCCCCCCCAGTAACCACACCACACCTCGAGGCCTGCAGCAAAGCTCCTGGTCTTTTGCTCTGAGCACGCGATTGTCAGGACAATCTACAGTCTGACAAGTGGACATTCTCGTATGACGATACCCTGCCGGTAACCCCGGCCTGGACCTTCGTCACAGCTGTTTGGCCCTGCAGCAGCAGCACCACCACCCGCCAGATCAACAGGCTCAGAACACAGTTCAGTTTCAGTTCAGTTCAATTCTACATCATCCCTCACTGAACGTCTCTCTCCTTTTGCACTTCCATCCGCGCACACACACCCACACCCACACTTTTTCACACGGCTCATTGTTCACCTCCGTCGGCGTAACTGGACTGGTTTCTCCTTTTTGTCCTATTCTCCGACGCATTGTCCACCCTCAACACCCTTTCTCTCAATTTTTCGAACCCGCCGCCCTCCACCCTCACGTCATTTCTTGTTGTTTGTCTATCCAGAACCAAGAAGATCCGCAAGGCTGCCACTTTTGTCAACCTCAGGATCTCTGGATATCGAATTCAGCTTCAGAACACTGGATCCTCGATCCGCTTTTCCAATTCCTATCAACGTTTCTGTCTCGACTAGACCGTCCCCCGCATCGGTCTAGCTTCATACGCCAGGCGGACCGGGCACCAGTGGCAAAGATAGGGGTTTGAGGAGGAAGAGGAGTAGCGAGAGAGCGAGAAGAGAACGTCTTGAGAGATCGACCTACCACTCCGCAAGGACATCACTCTCACCCTCCACCCTCACCCCACTCCACATTACTACCATCGACTGGCCGTCTTCATCATCCGCTATGGCCTCGACAGGAAACCCTCTCGCCGATTTCATCCTTACCCCTCAGCAGCAGAGTCTGCTCTTCGCCGCCCTCAACTCTAACAGGCAGTCCACCGACTCTCCTGTCAGTGGAGGCGCTGCCAACATGTCTCCCACGTCCCTCACCACCTCGCCTGCCCAGAGGAACGGCCTGGGCGGCTTCCAGAACGAGAGCCCTTTTCTCGACTACGATTACGATTTCAGTGGCGACACCAGCTATGACTTTAGCTTTGCCGACAACTCCCAGCCCAAGATGATTGGCGATCTGCCTGGTGGCTCCAACAGCAGCCCAGATCCCTCAGCCAAGGCTGGCTCAGACAACAACGACACCGAGAAGCGGAGTCATCCGGATGAGGACAATGAGGAGGACGAGGGAAATGCGAAGAGGCAGGAGACTGGTGACAAGGCCCCCAAGAAGCCTGGTCGCAAGCCCCTCACAACAGAGCCGACCTCGGTAAGTATAATGGTCTCCGACCGCTACTCATCCATCGCCAGTGGATCGGGTGCTGACCATCCATTGTTTCGACAGAAACGGAAGGCACAGAACAGAGCCGCTCAGCGGGCATTCCGGGAGCGCAAGGAGAAGCACCTCAAGGATCTCGAGGACAAGGTCGCAGAGCTGGAGAAGGCCTCCCAGTCGGCGAACCAGGAGAACTCGCAGCTGCGTGCTCAAGTCGAGAAGATGACCACCGAGCTGAACCAGTATAAGAAAAAGTTGTCTGTCATGGCCACCCACCGCAATTCCAATCCCTCCGGCGGCGGCCGTCCTCTCTTTGGAAATGCTGTCATCAGCAACCTGAACGATGTCAATTTCCAGTTCGAGTTCCCCAAGTTTGGTCAGCTGCCTGGTCCTACACCGTCACCCAGCACCAAGGCCTCCTTGAATGGACGCCCCTCCGCTTCGCCACGGTCTACTCGGAGCCCAAGCGAGCACGTCAGTCCCTTGGATAATTCTGGCAGGCAGGGTTCCATGGTTGGCGCCAGCCAGACCAGCGGCAGCGGTCTAGACGCGCAGACGAAGGAGGATCTGGCCAAGTTCTCGGGCATCTTCAGCCCTCCACTAACCAACAACAATGTGGCCTCAGCGGCCAGGGGCAGTACGGATTCGCACACCAGCGGGGCTGCCACGAACGAATCATCACCGTCGAGCTCCTCTAACTCGAACGGCGGTCCGAGCTCCTCGTGTGGCACGTCTCCTGAACCTAGCACCAATAACCAGTCGCCTACGGGCTTCAAGCTAGACATCATGTCGACCATTGGTGAGGAGAGCCATCCTTCTCTTGCCAACACAAACCAAGGTAGGGACAATCCAATATTTTATAAGAGATACGTTTTCCTATGTGTGCGTTGCTGATCCTTTTTGACAGATTTTGGTCACTTTGCAAACATCGACATGAACGACATGAATTTCCTTGCAAACACGAATAATTTCCAATTTGACCCACAGCTCTTTGGAAACTACCGTGAGCCTCAGGATAACGTCCTTAGCACCGGCTTTGACGACAGCTTCTTCAATGACGCCTTTGACATTGACTTTACGACGCCGTATTTTGCGCCTAGCCCGAACCCACCAAAGAAGGATCTTATGGCCCGGATCGATGCTGCGAAGAATGATGATCGGACCGAACTGGTGCAGACACAGGACGGTCAGTTCTTGACCTGTAATAAGATATGGTACGTACCTCCAGCAGCAGCAGGAGCAGCAGCAATCTGGCAGAGATACCCCCTTGGGACATCCGCTAACGTATGCCACAGGGAGAAATTGCAAAATTGTCCCAGCGTCCAGAGCGGCGACTTTGATCTGGACGGTCTTTGCTCTGACCTGCAGAAGAAGGCCAGATGCTCAGGGTCTGGTGCCGTGGTCGATGAAACGACGTTCAAGGATGTCATGAAGAAATACTTGGGCAATAGCGGCAACTGTCCTGAGGAGGCGGCCAGGGCGCAGCAGGCAGAGGCTGCTGCCCAGACCTCGTGAGAGCCAGGAGAAGTCATGGTCTCTATTTGCATTTTAAGCAACATACGACAACTGCGCAGGACTTGGGTTGGACTGCAACAGATCAGATCAGATCTTGGGGTTTCTAAGCCAGATGGGCGCAACCGGGAATGCTCGAAAGTACCAGAGCACAACACGGGATCCATGAAAATAGCATTGGAATTTCACTCACACAGGCAAGGACGGGGCGTTTTTCTCTCTTGTTTCTCTTGTTCTCCTTGGGAAGGCATCAACATGACCTGCCTTCACTGCTGGCACGGAACTTTAGGATGACACGGATGACCAGACTCCAGTCTGGCATCCTCAAAGGAGTGCCCGCTCGATGGACAGAAATCACGGGAAGAGCTTGTTTTATCGATCAGAGGAACGAGAAATAGTGGGCGGACGAGGGACGGTCGAGAATTCGATGTTTTGTGTGCCGAGTCATTGGTCAAGTCTAACTATTCAGTGCAATACCTAACGTCTGAATGTGCTTCAAAGTTGTCAGTGGATTGTCCACTCCCACACATGAATTCTTCACCAAGATTCTTGCAAGTAAAATGACGTGTGGGTGTTGACCTCGTCCTGGATGGCGGGGAGGAAAAAGTCGTTAACGGCGTGAGAGACTGGCGGCCAGGCCGTGTAAAGAGAACCTGGAGAGCAGCAGAACAGTGAGGCCATCGCCAGTGCCCCCATCGCAGCACACACTCGGTATAGTTTATGAAGGATGAACAAGGAGGAAGAGGTCATCCTAAGAGTGCCACTCAAGGTGAGATGGAACACGAGAAAGAGGGCGGGAACCCCTCCCCCCCGGCCTGGGGGGCCGGCTCTCGACCTCCAACAACGTCCTCGGTTTGAGTATTAAAAATGCTAGGAGGGGGATACTAGACCATGGGACGAGGTGTAGGGGAGGCACATATGTTGAGACACTCGAGGGCAGAGCAGATGATGAACCAGGTGGAGGTCTTGAATAATTCTCGGGGAATTGAAGGATCAATGGTCAATATGGGCATGGGAACTTGACATGAAAGGGGGGGGGGGAGAAGGAAGAGGAGAAGGAGGTTGTCACAAGGCTACCAGGTTGCAGGCCAGGAACTCTCTCGGGTGTCATGCTAGACATACGCATCGGTGAATCACACAATTCACCACCCATCTTGGTCTCTCCTCTGTAGCTCAAGGTCATGTCCACAGCCAGGTCTTGCATACCTCGAGGAGCGGTGAGATGGAGGTTGTCTCGGTTTGGGAAGAAAAAAAAAAGGCAGACCCAAAGGAGGGGGGTTTGTTTCAAAGGGGACAGACCAGGCTGCAACCACGTTGCTTTGACTTGCCCCCCCCCCCCCCCCCAACAAAGCTTGTGAGGAGTCTAGATCTGCAGTGTAACTACTCGCACATGTATATCATGTAGATGAGCCACGAAGACAACCCCGTGACCTCGTATTCTCGGGTATCACAAGTATCACAGGCCCTTGGACGAGGGGGAAAAAAGAAACTACATGCACACATATCCTCCTCTTTCATCATTTATCACATGCAGACAGAACCGTTACATGTATTAGTAGTAGTAAATGTAGCAACGACCCTCCTCCGGAACGTCCAGCCTGCATGCGCCGCTGTCCGGCACCTCATCCGCCCTCCCCGGAATCAGAAAAGAGTGGAGGAGAAGGGGGAGGGATTGCATATTTCTTTCGTTTTTTTTTTCTTATGCTGAGGAGAATTATTGGGGGTTGGGTTGGGTCGTACACGCTGCTGATTGATGTAGGATTTTGTGTGGCCGGCCATGGGTGGGAGACATGCATTTTGATTCTGGCCTTGGCTGCGTCTTGGAGGCGTTTGATGGATGTACTTGTGTGACCGACGGCTTGGGTGGTGGTCGTTGTCGTGATAAGACGTCTTAGATTTTTCTTTTTCTTACCTTTCTCCTTTCTGGTGCTCACTATGGACAACCCTCCCACCTTCCCCCCCCCCCCCCACGTCTGATTTTTTTTGGTGGGGAACGAGAAGATTGAGAGGGAGAGTTGCATCGAGAGGATTTCTTCTTTCTTCCTTTCGAACAAGGGCCCCATGAGTGTTGGGGTGAAATCAATGTATTACATACACGGCAATTATCCTCTATCTTTCTGCATACGATAGTAACGACGCTCGAATTGATGGACTCGGGGCAGTGACCAAGTCGGGCTGGTATACAAATATGGGGTCCCCAGTTCCTGTTGATACCTCTTCCTTTTCTCTTTTTTTCTTTCTTCCTTGTAAACTTCGCAAAAATCTCCTCTTTTTTGATGGTTAGGCCGTCAGTGATTGTTTGATTCACTGCTCTTGAGAGCGTACGTTGCCTCTTTCCCACTTTTAGGTGGACGACAAGGCACAACAGCAACAACCCTCTTCCTCCTCGTCACCATCATAACTCTCCTCCTTCATGTATTGAAAAGAAGCCGTCAAAGGGGGAAAAAACCACTTCCAAAAGACCGCCAGCCTATTATTCCCACTTTTAGGTGGATGAGAAAATAGGCAATTCCTTAACCACCCCCCCCCCCTGAATATTCTATTCTTCTTATTCAGGACCATTCATTCATTCATTCATTCAGCCATCCATCACATCTCACGTACATATAATACCGCTCACGTTTCACAACGGGAGGAAAAAAGAAGAAAAAAAGAAGAAAAAAAAACAATGTGCCTCCAGGTCAACAACCTCTACGCCTGCGGCCACCGCTGCTTCAAGCGGTTCGACAACTGCGCGCAGTTCGGCCAGACGTGCTACGGCCCCGGGCCGGACCACAAGAACGAAAAGGTCGGGGACGTGTGCAAGGACTGCAAGTTCCGGAACAGCCCGAACGGGGCTGGGAGGAGGAAGGATCCTTGGGGCGAGGGGGACCCGTTCAGGAAGCCTAGGAAGCCTTGAGTGTGTGAGTATATATATATATATATGTGTGTGTGTGTGTGTGTGTATGTGTGTGTTCGCTGGAAGAGAGACAGATGGATGTTCTTGCATCCTGGGTAATTTGAGACTGGATGGGATGGGATGGGGTGGCGGGGAATGGTGGATGTGAGTGAGAGTGGCTTGAGGAGGCTTTTTCTTCAGGTCTAATTGGGGGGAGAGAGGGAGGCTGGTGGCGGGCAGCCTTGGATCATTGGTCATCAGCGTTAATGAGGAGGTGGGTGAGTGTGCGGAGGAGGTGGAGGAGGAGGATAGGATGAGGGTCGACAACCAGACTGACACAAAATAGGAGGAAATAAAAACGTAATGGACCTCTCAGACGTAGAAACAAACTGAGCTTCTTGAATTTTGCATCTGCTGTATATGTGTTGTGTAATTCCCATATCCAACCCAAAAGAGAAAACCACACAGACAGACACCTCACTTCACTTCCTACGACGCAGAATTGTCCTCCAGACATGCTTCTCCTCTGACCACCGATAGTTGATAGGCGACTCACTCCCCACAAACACCACCGCATCATACAGACAGCACCCAATAACGGCCCCGGACACAGTGCCCGCCCAGGGCCCATAGAACCACCAGCCGCTCGCCCACAGCGCCTCGATCCTGTACCCAGCAGCATACGCCACCAGCCGCGGGCCCAGGTCCGACGCCGGGCTGAGGGCCGCGCCCGTGTTATACCCCAGCGTCATCTTGAGCACCGTCACCAGCAGGCCGAGGATGAAGGCGTGCATGCCCGCGCCGGGCGGGTTGTTCTGGTCGTCGCCGAGCGACAGCACCGCGATCATGATGACGGCGCCGCACAGAAACTCGGTGAAGAAGGCCGTGGCCGGCGAGACCCACGGCTTCGGCACGGTGAAGAAGCTCGTGTACGTCTCGGTCAGGGCCGGGTCGACGTTGCGGATGGCGTCGGCGTAGAGCGCGTACGCGAGCGCGCCACCGGCCAACGCCGCGACGGTCTGGACTGCAATGTAGAGACAGCAGCGCCGCCAGGGAAAACCCCGGAAGACGGACAGCGAGATGGAGATGGCCGGGTTCATGTGCGCGCCCGACACGCCGCCGCCCAGGTAGATGCCAAACATGAACGCCAGCCCCCACGCCCAGCACGCCGTCTCGTACGACCCGTACTGCTGCGACTGGTTCTGCGACAGGTTGACGCTCAGCGTGCCCGTGAGGCCCAGGAACACGCTCATCGCCGTGCAGAGGAACTCTGCGAGCGGCTCTGGGTACTTGGCGCGGATCCGAGCCCACTTGTTGCGCATCGCATTCGGGTCCACGCGCCCGTCCTCCACGGCGTCGCCTTCTCGCTGGCCACCCACTGTGTCGGCGTCAATCTGGAACCGTCGTGCCATGTCGGTCCCCTCGTCCTGCTCGCCCAGCTGGCGTCTTTGCGATTGGGTTGTCGTCTTCTGCGGCGGCTCCGAGAGCGTCTCGTCTGAACCCTCCGAGTCTAGTTCACCTTGGGTCTTCTTCCAAGATGGATTTCTTTTCCGCAGCCCTTGCTCGACATCCTCCTCCTCCTGCTGCTGCTGCTGCTGCTGCTGCTGCTGCTCCTCCTCCTCTTGAGACAAAGCCGATGCGCCCGTGTTGTTCCTGCGGACCCGCCGTGGCAGCGGTTCACCCAAGCTGTACACAGCCTGCTCCTTGAGGCTGGCGTGCCAAGGGTCAACCTCCTGGTTGTGTTTTCGTTGAGACGCAATCCGAGGCAGCGGCTCGCCCAGGCTAAACAGCGGCCTGTCCTTGGGCTGATCATGCCACGGGTTCTGTTCGCGGTACGCCTGTTCTTGCGCGATGTGCGCCTTGCGCCTCGTGCCTGAGGCGATCCTGGCTGCCAGGCCCGACATATCTGCCTTGCCCTGGTCGTCAAGCTGCGTCAAGACCCGTTCCATCCTCTGCGCTATCTCGGGGTCTGCTTGAATGCTGCCCAGTGCGCTGGACGTCGTGCGGGTGCGGTCTTGCTGTGGCCGGCTCTCTCGCTGTCCATCGTTCCTGGACGCGCCCGGGATGACTCCTTCTGGGCCTTGTTTGGGCTCACCCTGGCCCTCTCTTGTTGCTGTCATGTTGCTGTTCCAAACCTCAGAGGGACTGCGAAGAGGGCTGCTTGTGGTTGTTGATAGTATCTTGGGAAATTGAGTGTTCAAGTAGTGATGGTACTGGTACAAAAGGCCTGATTCCCACAAGAAAAGTGGCAGTCATCTATCCATCAATGCTTGAGAAATAGATGCCTGCTGAGTGATAGATTGGCCACCCATGCTCTCCCCCTATAATAATATGAGCATACATAGTCTGCATCACCAGTGCACGCGGCTCGGAAGGTCCACATTTCCTCCATTCTGACGTAGGCAAGGTTGAGATTGAGCCCGAAGAGGTGCAAAAAAAAGACGTCTAGGTTAGACTCGCTGTCACGGAGGTTCTCCGCGGGCGCGACCCCCAAGTACAAGTTTTCTCGTTTTAAAGAACAAGAATAGTAGGCCGGCGGAGGTTGATCCGACGGGAATACCCGTAGTGCCAACAACAAACTTGTGGTATTCGTAAGTGATCGCAGCAAGGCCCATCTTTTGGAAGGAAGACGTGGAAGGCTATGCAGTCAGTTCCTTTTGACTACCACAACACTCCACAAAAGCCCACTTACTGTACATGAATATCCATAGTACAAGACCTTGATTTTGCCATGTGTAGTTTACCAGAATCGGACGAAACGCTCCATGGCTGTCACAAGAGGAGAAACGATCTGCGAACGAGCCGTTCAACAAAAGGCGGCTCAGAGATTTTGTGGAGACGTCATGGTGGAGCTTGGGAAAATCTTCTCAGTCCCTTTGTCGCAGAAGCGCGATCTGTAAAGACAGGTTTTGTGACTGGAGTCGTTTTGCGCGTTAAAAGACGGAGGAAGAGGTCCGGGGGGGCGAAAGGTAGAAAACGGACGTAAGGGCGCTGTGGACACAACAGCCTTACACCAAACCCACCATTCACTTGCTGTGTACTGATCGAGGGGTACTAGTATTGATTTTCACATGGAACACACGGCGTAAAGCGAAGTGTCGAAAATAGCTTTCTCCCAAACCTCGTCGTTCTGAATTCTGGCAGTGATATGGTGAATATTGGAGGATGTAAAGATTCATGGCGTTACGCCGCAAACTGTTTCACTGGTGTATTAATCTTATTAAGATGTGTACATACACCTCTGAATTTGTAAGATTCTCTGATCAAGACCTTCTCTCTGTGCTGTGAGAGATGCATCTAGATGGTAGGCTTGGCCATAGGCGCAATGATGCCCTGCTTGACAATGACCCTCGGCTTTGTCGCCTGTTGGAACGACTCCTTGGTCATCCACTCGGGGCCAACAGGTAAGCGTAGAGACCTCTCGTACTGCTGTCTGGACTCGAAGGGATGCGGTAGCTGAGAAGCGAGATATTTCTCGTTCTGTTTGTAACACTTGGGATCAGCATCATTCATCCTCTCAGATCCGGAAGCTGGTCTGTGTGGCCAGACAAAAGAACAAAAAAAAAAGGCAAACACCGGCATGGACACATACCTTTCGGACTCTCTTCTCGTTGAGGATGACCTTTTCCAGCTTGGCGTCCTTGCGGTCCTTCTTCTTGATTCCAGCCTTTTTGGTCATCACCTTGCCCTTGTTGCGTTTCTGTGCCCGCTTGCTGATCCCCTCGCCCGCCCAGCTGCCCCAGCCCGGCATGGTCTGGTCGATCATCTTCTCGTCGTCCTCGGACATGACAGCCTCCTTCTCGGCTTCAAACTCAGCCACCACGTCCTCGCCCGCAAAGGCGCGGCTGACAAGCTCATGGTCACGGAGAGCGAGAGGCAGGTGGATGTCGTCGTCGTCGGAAGAATCCTCCTCGCCCTCATGAGCAGCTGCTTTGGCAATGGCACCGGCGTCGGCTTTGGAAGCGCTCTTGGCTTTCGAGGGCTTCTTTGCCACGGATGCCTTGCTTGCGAGGGCCTCGGCGCCGACCAGATCCAGTTCCGCGACCTCTGCACTGCTGATGGCCTTCCTGCCTTTCTTCCGCTCGGCGACTGCAGATTTTCCAGCTTGGGCCCAAGAACCTGCAGCACCAGGCGCTGACGGTCCACTGGTGACTGGTACGGAAAAGTCGTACTGAGGTGTCCCTGATGCCTGTGCTGACGACTTGCTCTTCGTCCCGTTGCTGATTGTTCCGTTCGAGAGCGCAGATGTCTTGGCCGCTTTGGAGGGCTTCTTGCCCTGGCCTGCGCCGAACGTTCTGCGTCCCACTTGCACTTCCGTGTCGTCTGCCTCCTCTGCATCAGAACCTGACTCCAGGTCTCGGCGGATTTGTGCTACCATGTCATCGTTCGCCTGCTTGCGCTGTGCCTCGGCTCGCTGCATGAACGCGAGCTTCATGAGGCCAGAGTGTGGGTGATCGTCGTCGCTCTCTGCGTCGTCTGCAGCGTCTAGCTGCCTGAGGAGCCTCGAATTTCCAGTCTCGTCCCCTGCCGAGCTTCCATTATCCGACTCGTCGTCATCGTCATCATCATCATGACCGTCACCCCTCGACGTCTCGCCCTCAACCCGCTTCCTCAGCTCCTCATTCCTCCTCGCCATATCCGTAAGACCCGCGCGGTAGTCATCGTCCCACACGGCTCTGCCAGCCTTGGAGCCCATCTTGGCCCACTTGCTGTCCTTGTGCCTCGCCCCAACCCGTTCCAGTGCCCTCCTCCGATGCGCCGCCTCACGCTCCTCTTCGGAGTCGATCTCGCCATTTTCCCGCATCAGCTCTAGCTCCTGGGCCTCGTCGCCCAGCCTCTCCTTTCGGTGGATCTTGCGGTACGTCTTGGACTTGATCTTCTTGATGCGTTTGGCGCGGGCCTGCTCGCGAGACTGGAGCTCACGCTCCCTTCGGCGCTGCGCCCAGAGCTCCTTGAGATCTGCGCGAGAGATGGTCTGCTCCTCGCCATCTCTGTACTTCTTGTCCTCCTTTTGGTCCTTTGACTTGGCGCTTGGACCCAACCCGGACTCCTCCATGATGGACATGATGGTCTGTTCAAGTTCCGTACCGGCGGTCTTCTGAGTCAGTGGTAGGAGCTCGCTGTTGTCGAGACCAGCATCGGGGAGAGTGTGAGCAAGCGGGAACATGAGGTGGTCGGCGCGACGATTGTGCTTGACGGTCTCGTTCCACCGGTCTAATGTCTCGTTGGTTTTCTCATAGGCTGCAGCCCGGAGGAGTTGGTCTTGTTGCCGTCTTGGGAGGGGAACGTCGAGTTTCTTGGAAGTGCTCTTCTTTGTGAAATCTGGCTTCCCCTCCTTCTTCATCAATTTGACCGACTTCCTGATCAGAGGATCTTTGATACCATCTAGCCCGAGGTCTTCCAGGCTGATGGCCTGCTTCGTAGATGGTGCCGTGCCCGCTTCTGCGTTCTTGTCGTTGTCCGCAAACCCCTTGATGAGGTTTCGTAGCTCGCCCAGTCTCGAGGGATCGACCTCGTTATCGTCGTCATCATCTTCGGACTCTGAGCTCGCCTCCTCCTCCTCTGACCCAGACTCCGTATCTCCTGCCGAGCCCTCGTCTTCATCGTCGGAAGACTGATCCAACGCATCCGCAAGATCAATAGCCTCCGAGCCAAGAGACTCGCCGTCATCACCGTCATCACCGTCATCGTCGTCGCCATCCTCCACCTCTTTCTTCGAGCGGCTCCCACGGAACGTATACCCTTCGAACCTCTCCTCGTCGCTGTCCCCAAACGCCTCGTCGCTGTCGAGCTCCGAATCGTCATCATCCCCATTCACACCGACATGCCACTCGTTTCCCTCGCTATCACTCCCTCCTTCTCCACCACTGCTTTCGTCGTCGTCATCCCCCTCACTGAAGGCAGCAGACTGCCTGGCCCGTTTCTTCCGCGGCCCCTCATCCTCGTCCTCCTCGCTGTCCGCCTCGTCATCTTCCTCGTCTCGTCTGTGTTTGCCACCGCCCCCTCCTCTTGGCTCTCTCTCGGGGTCAAGCTCGAGGTCTCTCCCGCGCCGCGTGGGCCGCTCCGTATCGACCTGCTTGGCGGCGATAGCAAAGGCGTCGAGGGCGTGCGCGCGGGCTTTCGCTTTCGACTTTTGGGGCTTTTTCGACTTCACACTCGAATTTGATCCGCTGTTGCCCAGCAGGGAACGGCCGTGGGATTGGCGGCCAGGCATTTTGGGTGAAGGTAAAGAAAGGTATGGATCCTTTCAAAGGACCTGAAAATTCGCTGGGCGAGTTTGGAGTGAGTAAATAAATGGACTTACTTCTAGGTTCAGAGAATAATCGAAATTCTTTTTTGGAGGGTCCTTATCGATAGCGATAGAGTACATATACCCCTGTTGGTGTGTTGCTGCGGGCAGGCATGCAGCGCTAAACCTTGGCTGCTACTGGAAAATCGACAGGCGACATCAGGCTTAAACCGCCACCGCATCGACCTCAACGGCAACACCTGACATTGAACGCAGGATTGACGGCCATTGGGGTTTCTGGCAGCCTACACGCGAATCCAGACCTCCAATCAATTTCCACATTCTCATCCTTTCAGCAAAGCTCAAGCTCCCTACGCATTGCGGACTCCATACCACGCCGGCCAACATCCTCCCCCCCAAAAATGTTTAAACCAACCCAGGCGCTCTGCCGCCGCTACCGAAAGCTGCGCCTGACGACCAAGGACATCAACAAGGGCTACTACAAGGGCACAGGTACAGGTCGCATGGGCACGCACGACAGGTGGGGCGGGTTCTCGGTTGACTACAGCCTGGTGCGGACATACGTCGTGCCAAAGGACCTGAACACATTCAAGGTGCGCCTGCTTCTTCTTCCTCTTTTGTTCGTCTCTAGCCCGTGTGAACTCTGCTGACTTTTTGGGTCGCCAATTATAGCTCACCCCCTTCGTCACAAACAATGTCCGAGTCCGTTCCGGACTAGAATCATACCGCGATTACGGCGCCGAGGGCCCCAGGAGTCCAAAGCTCTACCTCGACAAGTGGAAAGAAGAGAACGGTCAAGAATGAAGAAAGGTGTGTTGCTAGCCCGGCCTGCCACCAGAGCCAGAAGCGGGGAATGCGATAGATGGATAGTTTCAATAAAAAAAAATAAAAGGCAATTTTTCCTGGTCACCATGAGGAACTGCTCAAGAAAGGGCCGTCGCAGTCCTGCTGTAACAGTTTATGGAGGGGTTTAGAGCTTCATCTTGGCGTGAAGCCAGATAGATGTATATGTATATATTTTAGATCACTGGGTCATCGTAGGACTAAGAAGACTGTCAGGATGCTTTACTCTTTGTGCTCGGCTCCAGGGCCAGGTGACCACCAGGCTGCGACGTCGACCAGCTCTATGGGCTTGAATGTTCGGTATACGACAATGATACTACATGTAACACATCTCAGTTCGAAAATTGAACACGAGCTTGGTGCCCAAAACTCAAGATCCAGAATGGGAGGAAGAGGCGTACTTTAGCAAGAGGTCATGATGAATGCCACTCCAGGATCATACTCTTCCTGATCATTGTCATCCTATGCTTTGACTAGCCCTTTTAGCCGGCATTGGTAGTGACACTGTACAGAGGATGAACAATTCGCTTGGGTCATTCAAAGTATATTCACATATTGTGAATACCCATTCCGCCACTTATCATCTCTGCCCTAAAGAAGCAACGTTCAGCCATGACCTAACTGTACGCAAATGAGATACACTCGTAAAGAAAGTACCGGCCGAGACGATTCCTGTGAAGAACCGTGTGCCATCGTGAAATGTATACATAACGATGCAATTTCCTCCCGCTCGATATGGTGGAACTGTGTCGCTGTCATGACAAGAGAGCTCTTCAGATCCAGAACATTGAGTTCTTGAGATCATCATGGACCTTCATCTCCCTGATGCGCCGGAGCTCCTCGTCCTCGGCAGCCCCCACCGTCCTTGTCCTGATACCGAGCATGTCCTTGAATGGTTCGTGGGCTATGGCAGACTCGTATGCCCGAGCTCTGGTGCATAGAATGTCGGCATAGTACGCCGGGGTGCACAGGCTGACTGCTCTGGTCGCCCGCCCGAAGAGATAGCACACCTTGTGGGTGAACTCCTCCAACTTGTTGACAGCCTCTGTGAAGTCGTGACCCTTGACCAACCCATCTTTCTTGTATTTTGTCCTGAAGATATCATCGCGGAGGACAACATAGCGCGCGGGCCGCGCTGTCCCCTGGATCGCCTCGTGAGCTGTGAGGAAGAACTCCCAGTACCGTGCCTCAGTGATGCCACGGTCGACAATAGTACCACTTCTCATGTTGCCAGATTTTGTCATGTGGGTTGGATCGGATGGGTAGAAGCGGGTGGAATGCCTCTTGACCGCGACTACGAGGGTGATCTTTGGCTCCTCCCCCTGGAACTGGTCGCGATAGGCGGCCTCGATCTGGGGCAGCTCGTCTTTCATGACCGCCTCATACTGAGAATCGGAAACACCGTCTCGGTAGATGATGATGCGTTCGGGCCGTCGGCGCCTCTCTTTCATCCACAATTCAAGTCTGCTCTTCATGTGCTGCTTCAGGTTTGTCGCATCGGCAATCTCCTGTCGACGCTTCTGTGTCCAGTAGCAGCCACTCCACTGCCCCAGGCCCTCGTCGACGCTGGCTACCAGCGCCATGTGACTCGGAAGATCCTCCTTCTCCACCGCTGTTGGATGGACTGCGTCGTAGCCCACGACCATTGTGCCTCTGAACAGCTCCGGGGGGTGGGTAAGCTGGTGATTGGTGCCTCCAAGCTTGAGGTTGATCTTGAGGGACACATTAGCAAAGTATTCTCTTTGAGTCTGACCATTCTTGACAAATTTCCTGCCGATGACACAGACTGTGTGAAGTCCATGCACGACATCGCCGAGGAACTTGATCTTGTTGTAGACCCCGCTTGGCTGCTGGTATGGGAAAACGATGAGCGCAAGAGTCGCGCCCCTCGCTTTGCTTTCCTTGAGGAAACTGTGGAAGCCCGTTATGATATGCTTTTCTCCACCTTCTTTGATGTTAAAGGTCATTAGTGCATTACCCATCTTCATGCCCAACCTCAACATCTCCATCTTGAAGTCCTGGATGGCCGGCAGAGTGGTGGCGGGCTGTGGTTGAAGAGTTATCAACACCCAACTTCTGGCCTGAGGAGAGCAGAAGCTGACATCTTTGAGGTTCCATAAGCCACCTACACCTGGCACGTTTGATTGCCTGTATGCCAGTAATGGAGCATCCAGCTCACGACCTTGGACCTTGAGCAGGTCATTTCCGACAGACAACCCAAAATGCTGTAGAGTCTGGTTGGAAGAGCCCAGATGCAGCACGGCATGACCAACGTTGCATATCTTGGTCGCATTGTCAAAGGGTCGCTGGCATGCAAATCTAATCATTTCAGCCGCGTCATCCTGCTCAATTTTGGCGAGGCGGGCCTGTCCGAAGTCCAGCCAGCATCTCTCAGCGGGGATGTAATCTGGAGCCTCGGGTGTGCCACGATTGATTAAAGGCAGCTCCGGGTGTTTGAGCGCGATCTTGTAGTCTTGAGGATGAATGGTCAGTCTTGTCTCAGGGTGTGACGTGTGTAGTTGGAAAGACAACAAGACGCACTTACACTTCTCAAAGTATTGCTTGACTGTAATGTCGTCATCCCCGTCCTTGCATCTGGCCTGCTCCCAGTTCGGGAAGTCTGTCTGTTTACCTTGACCCGAGTCCTTCCTCCGGGCAAAGCCAGCAATGGTGATCCTGTTAACGAAGTCGTCTGGACCTCCTGGGTGGCTCTGATCTGTGCAGACCGAACTTCGGTTCGGCTGCGCATCCGTGGGCTTTCCCTTCTTCTTTGGTGGCTTGTAGAGAATCTTGGTCCTCTGAATGATCCCGTGCAGCTTCTCGAGATCCCCAAGTCGCTGTTTCTCGTCGCTGCCCCAGATCAACGCCGCCCTCGGCCACAACAACCGCCCTAGGTTGATCTTGGGCCGGAAGATTCCATACGTGACATTGACATTCAACAAAAATTTGCCAGTGGCTGGACGCACATTCTGAACGAATCCTCTGAGGATCGTCATCAACTTGGGTATGTCTGGGTTGCTCATGCACACAAGATCTTGGCGCTCCTCCCTGGAGTCTTTGAAATACCTGCCTGCTCCAAGGACTCTGGTCTTCGCGTCTCGCAGAGGTGCATACCCAAAGATCACCGAAAGTGCCTTGACAAACCCTTCCGGGGGCGGATTTCCGTTACTCAGATCCTTGAATAATGCACCGAGGTCCATTTCCTCGTCAAGTTGAAAGCGAACGTCGTATCTGCGGTCCTCTTTGTAGACTTGGGACGGTGGAAAATGAACCTGAACAGTCGCAGTCTCGCGACAGACTGTCAGCAGTGGCAGCGCCTCTGTATCCTTGAAGTCCAGAGGCTGTTGCAACACGAGGGTCTCTTTGTAGTCTGTTGCCCACACTTGTCCCATTGTGAGAGCGTCTTGGGCTGTTGCAAATATGGCCCCGATGCGTTTGCCTGTGATCTTCTCGTCTGTGTCGGTATCGGCCAACACAGAGAATGACCCAGATTGTCCTGCCTGCGCGCCATGCCCATCGGAGGCGTTGCGGGTTTCCCGTCTCTGGCTTGTGTCGGCAACTTTTTGTTGACCCGCCGTCTTCTTTTCCTGCACCGGGTATACAGCGAAACTGTAACGGTACAGCTTTTTGGGCGACCCAAGCGTCTTGATAGGGAAGTAATTGGCCCAGAGCTCGACTCCCTGACCACCAGTTCCAAAGGCTGGGCGGTAAGGGCGTTTCTCGGCCTCGGCCGCCTCCGCGTCTCGCTTGACAGAGTTCAGTCTATACTCGTCGATCTTTTTATTCTCAAGTGCTTTGGGTTCAGCAAGCACAGGCCCAGATGACCTGAGATTGTCAGAATGTGGAATTCCGCACGGCTGGATGGATTTCAGACTTACTTCCAGACTTTGCCGCCAGATGAATTGGATGAACCGCCGCCACCGCGGTAGTTTCCACGAGAGCTGCTGTAGCCTCTGCCGCCAGAAGCCTGATGGGAAGGGCCTCCAGACTGGTAACCACCTGGGGATGGTCTACACGAGTGAATTCAGCAGCCATATGAGCACGTAAAGCTATATGGAAGTGCGGCCGGCTTACCTGACAGACAAGTTGTACTGACCACCACCTTGAGAGTATCCACCTCGACCGCCTGAAGCGCCACTGTACCCACCATGACCTCCTGAAGATGAAGAACCTCGGCCCCTGCGATTATTCCTTCGGCCGGAGGCGGACTGCTAGTCCTCACCACCGCCGTTGCCCTGATGCGAGCTAGACATCGTTATGAGGTGATCTTAAGCACACAGCAAGGGCTCATTGTTGACGACGAGTGCTAGATGGTGCGTGGATGTCGGTTGGGTAACTAGTTGAGTACGAGTGTGTGAAGTGTGCATGTAGCGATGCAAGTGTCGAGTAAAGCGATCACAGCGAGCGGAGGGGGGCTAGAATGATACAAGTAAAGACAATTCTAAATCATCCAAAAATCCTAGAGAGTGAATAATCGATGGTCCTCGGACGGCGCGGCCAAGCTGGTGAGAGAAACGATGCTACTTGGGGGGATGCTGAAGATAGAAAACAAGAAAATCGGGGAGGGAAAAGGCGGGAATTGCATGTCCCTTTATTGATTTGTTTTGAGAAGAGAAAATAACAATAAGGTCAGGAGGCAGCATCGAGTCAACATTGACTGGGTTCCTTCCTTCCTCGTTGTGTTTGGTCAAATAACATTACGAGGTCAGAGCTGCGTCTTGCTGCGGATTGCTGCATCTTGCACCCTAGGGGAGGAGGTGAGCTGAGGCGAGGAAGGTGGTGAGAATTTGTTCCAGATTTAGATGTGATTGACTTCAAGATCTCGATGGCCCGCAAGACTTGGGGAACCAGCAACCCGCGAGACTTGACGCCATTGCATACTAGAGAAGAAATACAAACACAGAGTCTGTCAGGATAGAGGCAGCAGCGGTAGTAGAAGTAATGAACAGCAGGAACGATGAGTCCTGCATCTGTTTCTCCCTGCCAGATAATTTTAACAAGTACACAGGCCGCATATGAGAGGTCGGTCCACAGAGAAGAGAGCAACCTGGTGGCTTATGGATTGATCCATTCCGGAGGTCCTCACCCGAGGCCCTGGTTGCAGCTGCCCGGATGTTGTTGCGCAGGAAGACGAGATTGAATCTTGTTGCTGGTGCACTCCATGTTCGAATGTTTGCCACAAAATTGAATGCATTCGCGCAGTATCAAGTCTGATAATGACTACGAAATTATGGCCAATTCTAAATACACAAGTCATCAGCTCACGAGCCAGAGAGCCAAACTGAGGGGACAAGAAGGTTTGAGATAAACCTCACGCAAAAGGCGTCTTCCTTGCAGCAGAACCAACAACTCATCCTGCGATTGATTGATCTGCCCCAAAATGTCGACGTTGTCGATAATCCCAAAAGACACACTCTCCCGTTCCCGGCGCGGTGGGAAGTACCCATCTATGATATCATTTGAAGTGGATCTGCTGGGTCTGGGGTAGACGTCCCGGGGATCTGGGGGAGGCTCCGAAGAGGAGACACGGGGGCCGGACACACACAAAAGAGGTCCCTGACGAATGGCCGATGCAACCGATCATGTTGATGTAACCAATCATGCTGATGTAGCCGATCCTGCTGATATGCCAAAAGGGATGTACAGCAATGATGTGTGCCTGAGGTCATATTAGGAGGACAACGTCAATGGTGCCACAGATGGAGCAGGGCCAGGTCTGACGCCACACATGCGCTTGGGTACTGGACACAGAGAAGATGTGCAATAGATGAGGTCAGGGCCGTCATCTAGATCGTCGATGAGATGTGGCGGCACAGAGTCCTCGGTCGCGCTCCATGTACCTTCTGGCGTAAAGTCAGCATGTGGCAGTGAAGGGATCGTCTGTGGATCTCTATGGTAGTCGCCTGTGTGAATCGAGCCGCGCGACTGTGTGGAGAGGGGTTTGTGTCTTTGTCATCCCCCCCCTTCGCAAAAGTGCCAATGCCAGCACGAGGCAGAGGTCAAACAGAGCTCCTGCTTGGCTGTCTGAGGCTCAAGACCCCTGGTGATGTCTTGGGAAAAGCGGTCCTGCTGCGGAGATTGTCAACCATGGAGATCATTGGTAGGTGATGCGGAAAACGTTCGCTCGTGACCATCCATAGTATAGAAATGGGATTCGACAATGATGGGCAATTCGGCACGACTCGGTCAGAAGGTCTTGGCGACCGTACTACGCCAGTACTATGCACAGACCTGAGGTTCACGGCGATTTCATATTAGTACTATACACGAGGAGGATATTCATATGGTGCATAGTAAAACCACCTAACTACTATAGACTAGAGTAGTAGTACGAGCTCAAAGCTTTGCCAGCGTCTGACTCTTGGTAGGACTGTCCCAGAAGAGATGGCAGTGGGATACTGAAAGTAATGATTGGTGCAGATGGTGAGTCAGGGACGACGAGCAGAAAAGGAAGAGAAATGATGATAGTGAGGGACAATCGAGAAGAGAGAATGAAGAGGGAGAGAGAAAGGGTGCGTGGGTTGACAGAGAATGGGGGGCACTCGAGTGCGAAAGATTTCATCGTCGGACCCCCTTGCCCCTTCCCCCTTCGCCCGGCAAAGCAAATAGGTCAAGCAATACGAGGCGGGCGCAGAGAGAGGGTTGAGGAAGAGAAAAGATCGTCGACCTTCTAGAACGGTCGCATAAGCCGATAGGATTTGAGAGGACGTAATTTGTCCCAAGGAGGAGCGGGGTTGTCTTGGTCACGATGATTTCCAGCCCCGTCAAAAAGTGTTGAAGCCCAAGAGTGGACCGCCACTTGTTCCGGAAAGGCTATCTCTTGGGGCCGCGGGATACCCCAGCAAAGCAACGATCGAGTCGAGAGAGCAGTCATCTCCGCGGCACAGCAGGCCACCCTCCGTTTGTCTGTCGGCTGGGGCCAGGATTGGGGGCCACTTTTTCCAGTCCAAGAGGTGCGATCGTGACTGTCTGATAAGGGCATGTACATTGTCGATCTTAAGTTGTCCTCCCGGTGAAGTGAAATTTGTGTGAGCACGCGGAACACATGCACCGAGCGCGAGGGCGAAGGCATCCAGATCACTCGCCTCTCCCCCTCTCCACCTTTCTTCTTGTCTGGGGTCTTGACCGTATATCGGCGCCCGCCTCTGTCCTAGTCGAAAACATCCTCATGCACGAGCATTGCTTTCCGCCCTTCTTTTTTTCCTTTTTTCTCCTTCGGGGGGTTTTTTCTCTCTCTCTCTTTCCCTCGTTAGCCGCAATATGATGTGTCAACATTTGCGCTGCATAAGGTCGTGATGCTTCCCGTGTTTCCGACTCTCCAACCAGACAGACAAGACAGTCTGGCAGAACCGCTTTCATCCGACGGACGACGCAGGAGGGGTGGAGAAAGGAAAGAAAAGGCGAGGGCCGGCTTCTTTTGGGTGTGCGGGTACCCAATAGCATAATATGCCGATACGGCCAACAACGGTCTTTTCGTGTGTTGATAAGATTAGTACATAGTAGTTAGTTGTCGTGAAAATGCGACGGTGTTGTTCCAGACCCGGGGTGAGAGTGTCCGTGGACCACAGTCTGCAAATCTTTTGGAATTATGGGTCTGCATCCCTCTCTTCAGGGCCAAGCGCACTCAATAACTCCTCGAGATCGTCTCTCTTTCTGGTAGTGGACCTGTAGTCCAGGCCACGGATGTAAATTGCAAAATTGCATCTTGTGAAGTTGGTGGTGGCCGTTATTATAGGAAAGAAGTCGTCGGTTGGTCGGTAGGTTGGTCGTGCACGATGCGACAGAAAGAAGGTTCCAGGAGCAGAAAGATCGAGATGCGTTTCCCCCACCAAGAACTGCCAAGGTTTCTCTCCGCGCTGAACCCAGACTTGCCAGGCCTCTCTGTCTCTTGGAAAGTTGGGGGTGGCTGTGGGGTGTTTTCCATGGCATTCCTTGTAATGGGTCCAGGCGGCCGGGGGGGGGTAGGAGAACTCCAGGAGAGTTCTGCATGTGCTGTGCAAGAGTAGTCAGCAAATTTTGAATGGTAGCCCCCTGTTCCACCCCCCCCCCCCCGGCCAGCACGGTTCCAATTCTTCTCTGGGCTTCTCTGCAGTGGCCCTGCATCGCTCCTGCAGCGTCCTGCAGAAGGCCCAAGCCTAGACCGACCCCCTCTGAGTGCCAGAGACTGTGCAGAAACAGTTGCCCCTCTAATCTTCCGCGAATCAGAGGGCGGGAACCCCTCCATGGTCTCCTCCCCGACCCCACCAAAACTGCGTGCTACAGATCATCGAGTGACATGGCAGGGATTGCTGAGCCCGTTTGTCCCCCATGACGTGCCTCGCCATTCGGATCGCTGTCGCCCGCCAGGAACTTTGTCTCCCTTGTCGCGCAACGACTATCACTCTCGCCCACACTTACACGATGCACACGCGCGCATACGCACACAGCCCATGCATGCGTGCCCCTTGCGATCGATCGCCCTCTCAACCCCCCCCTAGCAAGCACGCACGTACCAAAGGACACAATTCAACCGCACAAGCCAACTGACCAGAGGCAGAAACCTTGAATGCCCCGGTCTTGACCCGTTGTGGTAATCCGTCCATCCCATCCTTGAGCCGCAGCACCCCGTCTTTCCCTATCCGACCCAAATTGATTGAAATACGGCCTCCCCTTCTGCCTTTGAGCCGAGGCAGAGATTCTCTTCGACCATGCCATACCCTCCCTCTTCGACCTATTACACCACATTCGCATCATCAACACTCAAGCACACAAGGGCACTTACCTCGAGACTCTTGTCGTTCGCCTCTAGACATTTTCACCACTGCCACCAGGACCACAACGACGTCCTCCTCCACCACCGTCCTCCTCCTCCTACCGTCTGCTTCGCCTTGGCAGAGCCTAACAGCACTTCTTATCCTTTCTCCTCCTCTTCCTCCCCTCCTCCCACCTCCTTCAGCTAGGATCAAGGGCTGCTTGCCGTACCAAACAATCACCCCCACGCAAGCCGCCCTGTCACTTTGGACCATCCTCGGAACGCTTCTCGTCCCGTTCCTGCACTAGCGTATCTTGCTTTGTGCCACTATCTCCCCCATTCCTTCCATCACTACCATCACCCTTATCAGTCTTGTCCCAGATCCTTCGGGAACTTTCCCAAGATGATTACCACAACAACAAACGCCAGGCCTAGGCCAGTCACCACCATGGCCGACATAAGGGAGTCTAAGAGGCTTCGGCTCGACGAGGAGCTTGGCACCATCAGCCTCATCACACCTGTCGAGGAGAAGCCAGATGCCATTGCCGTCGAGTTCGTGGAGAACCGTGATGAGCCTGCGCCGGCCCTCCTCACACCTGAGCCAGAGCATCATGTCCGTGACGAGTTTCTGCCAGAAGGCATCAAGGAGACCGATGACGAGGTGCGCGAACACTGGTTCGTCGGCAGCATCGACCAAGGCACAACCTCCACCCGCTTCCTCATCTTCAATGGCGAGGGCGAGCCTGTTGCCAACCATCAGATAGAGTTTGAGAACCACTATCCCGAGTCAGGGTAAGCTTTCCCTCCTTCCTCACCTGATCTGACATCTCCCCTTCCTTTGGCGATCCGCAACGACAGGCGTGGCTAACAAATACATTCTCTAACCGCAGATGGCATGAGCATGACCCGCTTGAGCTGCTCAGCTCGGTCGAGGAGTGCATCGAGGGTGCCATGGCTCAGTTCGCAGACAAAGGCTACTCCGCCAAGAACATCCGCTCAATAGGAATCACAAACCAGCGGGAAACCACAGTCGTGTGGGACAAGACCACTGGTGAGCCCCTCTACAACGCCGTTGCGTGGCCCGACACTCGTACCACAAATCTCGTGCGGGAGCTCAAGAGCCGTCCCGGCGCTGGCGACCTGGCCCAGGCCTGTGGTCTGCCCCTGAGCACCTACCCCAGCAGCGTCAAGCTGATGTGGCTTATCAACAATGTCCCCGCCGTCAAGGAGGCCTATGAGGAAAGCCGCTTGGCCTTTGGCACTGTCGACTCATGGCTCATCTTCAGGCTGAACGGTGGTGTCGACGCCGAGAAGCCGGTGCACGTCACTGACAGCACCAACGCCAGCCGGACCATGTTCATGAACCTGCGGTCCATGAAGTACGACGAGAAGCTGCTGTCCTTTTTCGGTATTGATCCCACCAAGTGCGCGCTGCCTCGCATCGTGCCGTCTTCGGATGCCACCGCCTTCGGCAAGCTCGTCAGGGGCCCGCTCGCAGGCACGCCCATTGCCGGCTGCCTTGGTGATCAGTCCAGTGCCCTAGTTGGCCAGTGCGGCTTCCAACCCGGCCAGGCCAAGAATACATACGGCACCGGGTCCTTCATTCTGTACAATGTCGGTACTGAGCCCGTCATCTCCAAGTCTGGCCTGCTGGCGACAGTGGCCTATGACTTTGGGGCAGGCCGCAAGCCCGTCTACGCCCTGGAGGGCAGCATCGCCGTCGCAGGCTCAGGCGTCAAGTTCCTCATCAACAACCTTGGCTTCTTCGAGACGTCTGACAAGATTGAGGAGGTTGCCCAGAGTGTTCCCGACAGTGGTGGTGTCATCTTCGTCACCGCCTTCTCGGGTCTCTTCGCACCCTACTGGATCGATTCGGCCAAGGGCACCATCTTCGGCATAACACAGCACACCAAGAAGGGTCACATCGCCCGCGCCACCCTCGAGGCCACTTGCTTCCAGACCAAGGCCATCCTGGACGCAATGGAACAGGACTCTGGCAAGAAGCTGCAAGTGATGGCTGTCGATGGTGGGCTCTCCAACTCGGATCTCTGCATGCAGACGCAAGCGGACGTCAGCGGTATCCCCGTTGATAGGCCCGCGATGCGTGAGACCACGGCGCTTGGCGCGGCCATCGCGGCTGGCCTGGCGACTGGGGTCTGGGCCGAGCTGGAGGACCTGTCCCAGGTGAACCGCAGGGACAGGAAGGTCTTTGAGCCGCAGATCTCCAAGGAGAAGAGCGCCAAGATGTTCAAGAAGTGGAATCAGGCGGTCGAGATGAGTGCAGGGTGGATAAGAGACAACTCTGATGATGAGTAGTGGTGGGTCTTCTGACCACTCTCATTGCATGCATGCTGGCGGGTAATGTGGTGTTCCAAACTTTCATTGATATTATAATCCGGCGAACATGATGACACCGGAAATGGGACGGGCGAGCGAAATGATTAAATACCATGGATTGATTGCGTTGGAGTTTTGGGGGGGGGGGGGGGTTTAAAGGAAATACCAACTGGGCTGGGGCTGGGCTGGTGGACATCTGGAGCCCCTATTTCTGGCTATATACATTTACCTCACTACGAGGTTCGTCCTAACAGGACCTGCACAATATAAAATTTCCACGAACAAGATTCCAACGAGCTAGGATGATGAGACCCCGAGCGTACTCGCGCATGATTGAACTCCAAAGTGGCCTGCTTCTTGGGTACGTACTATTGGGGTCGAGAAGGGTGGGTGGTGGTGTGATGCACGAGGGGACCATCTGGGCTTTGGACCTGGGCCTGGGCCTGGGCCTGGGGCCTGGCCTGCGCTTGACCACCTGGCGTTCTAGGATTGGGGTTGGTTTGAGTGTGTGTGGTGTCAAAACAACTCTGGGGTAACAACAGTAGGCAAAGAGAGGGGATTGAATCCTGGTTGTACCGTCCTACCGTTGCAGTGATGCTCAATTGTCGACGAACCACTGGGGGCCCTGCTAGATCCATCACACCCACCATTACTCAAGTACTCCTTTCGCCCCTTGCTGAATTCGAACCCCTCCCCCACACTCCTCCTGGGATGCATATGGATGTAACTTGATATGTGACTTGGGAGTATAATGGTACTTCCTTTGTACGTTTGAAAATCCTGTTGGGGGAAAAAAAGAACACGAAGGAAAAAAAGGCTGTATTATGCATACTCTATCTTATTCCACCTTGTGTTTTTAGGCGTTTGATTGCTTGTGGTGTACAAGGTGCTGTTTCTGTCGAATTGGTATATTTTGTCTTGCAGAAGATACAAGCAAGTCTTATACCATCCCTGCCTGGAAGTGAAGGGGGCGGGGAGGGCAAGGCAACAGAAATGTGAGGTTAAGAAATCAAGATCACCGTCATCATTTCTTTCCTCTTTCTTTATTTCCCAATTCTTTCATTGATTTGTCCCTCAAATTTATTTCTTCTGATTCTCACGATGTCTGTCTATCCCAACTTGGAGAAAGAGGTGTGCTTCTCAAGTGCTGGAAGAAATGCAGCAAACGTATCTATACTATTCATCCGTGTAACAACAAACCAGAAAGTTTCCAGCTCGCCTGGTGATAAGATGAAGTCTCATGAATGCAAATCATTGTCTGTTCTAGATGCGCTATGGTGCAGAGTCATCATTAATTACCGTTCAAGACATGACGAGGAGGGGCCTCCTTAGTCCAACGACCACAGGCCCTGTACTAGAGACCAGCGAGCGCTGGAAATGTATATGTTAGCAACCGCATACTTCCTCTCAGAAAGAAGCAAAAATGAATAGACTGGAGAACTTACCAGCCGAATAGGCCAGATACCACGTCAAGCTCGCCCCACCATCCAGCCAGCTCGGATCAAAGTCCGCCTGGCTGAAGAAATCCCACGCGTGTTGCGGCCGTATCGTCGCCAGGTTCCCGTATAGGATCCCCTTCCAGCCTCCCGTGACATTACCAGCCACCCCGTTCGAGAAGTACTGCTCCCACTCCTCATGCACAAAGTGCCTACGCCGGATGTACGCCGTGCTGGGAAGCAGCGGCAGCATGTGTATGCCCTGTATATACTCGATATTCGTTCCAAAGTACGTTGTGTGGTCGATCTTGTTCTCAAAAAGAATCCCCGCGACCCGATTGCCGATGAAGTCTGCCGGCTGCACGTCGTTGTCCTGCGTGTAGAGGTAGTACATCCCCATGGCCCGCCTCTGCACGGCGAGCATCAGATTGCCGCGCGCGGCCATGTTGGCGTCGCCTGTGACCGTGCCCCACATCTTGAGCGCGTACGCCGCCATGACGTCCTCGGAGCTGGATTCCTGGTCGCGCCCGTCCGCGGACTCGAACAGACCGTGGGCGAACGAGTGTCCGTGGTACCAGTCGAACATGCGGCTGACGGGAAAATAGGGGTCGGAGGGGCTGGGGTTGGCGTAGTCGCGGATGAGGGCGGTGACCCAGGCGCTTTTTTGGCCCTCGGCGAGCCAGGAGGGATCGAGGTGGGCGATCACGGCAGCGGTGAGGACATGATAGCCGTAGTGAAAGTCTGTGAGAAGAGTGAGCAAGTGGTCAGTCAAGAATGATCAGTGTCGGCAGAGAAGTATGAGCCGCACTTACGATGGTCGTTATAGTATGTGTTGCCAAAATCTACTCCTGAGTCCCCTGTTGCGTATGTGGCAGAAGAGACGACACCGCCCCAGGCAGCTGAAGAGAGAACATTAGTATTGTACACATGGTAGGATAGATACAGCTCATAGTTGGATGTGTCATCTTTTGGAAAGCCAGTGAGATACATACACTCATATACCAGAGGATATATCTGGGTGTTGTTAGTGAACAGTGAAAAGGCCTCCTTGAGCTGCTGCAGACCGGCGGCAGCAAGGGCAGTCTCGCCCAGCATGTCGTTAACCACGACGAGTATCATAGCAAACTTTGCTAAAGCCTGAACATCTTGTGTTAGCAGCAACCGACTCATCCCCATGCACACACGTTCTTGACTTGGATGGAGACTTACCTTGCCACTGTAGTACATGGAATTCAGGTTTGTCTGCGCCGACATGTCCTGACTGAGCTCTGATTGAGCAACCTCAAGAATCTGGGCCTGCGCCGCAGAATTTAATGACTTTTGACTCCCTACACTCGGAGTCCATGGCACAAACCCCATGTGCACTGGAAGTTTGTGCTCTACCATCGTCCAGGAATCAGCAGTGATAGCAGTCGCAATCCCCTTTGTCGTCGTTTGCAGCTGAAGCGCAGCCTGCAGAAACGTGTTGGTTGTATCATCAAAAGACTGCACATGGTGCGGCAGCGCAAACATCAGCAGAGGATTGCCATCCAGCCCGGCCCGTTGAAAAGTAAATGTGTACGTTCCAACCGACCTCGTTGTAGAACCCGAGACCGTCACACCCGTTGCATAAGAACCACACGCGGCATCGTACAGCGCCTCGCCCGCACCATCTGGATCCTTGGCCACTTGAATCGTCCCGCTGAACGTCGAGTTGGAGCGCATAAGGCCGTTGTTCACGACCTGCAGGTCCAGAGACGAGCCATCTGAGCTGGTGGCGTACAAGAACCAGATCTTGCCGTCGTTGAGAGCGATCTTGTACTTGGTCACACCAGGCCGGGGCTGTGTGTTGATCTTAGTCACGTTGAGGAAGAAGACGCCTGTCTGGATTATGGGGGTGACACCGTGGTAGACCGCGGTCACGAAGCCGGCGCCCTGTGTGAGGGGGAACTCGATCGCCGGTGCGGCTGCGACAGAAGACTGGAGCTGGATGGTGGCCGACATGTCTGTCAGATTGGCGCTGGTGAGCGTCGTGTCAGGCCCGAGTTCCGCGGCAGAGAGGATGAGCGACTGGATGCCGATGGGGTTGATGAAGTAGTTGACGGCGCCGTACGAGTTGACAGGTCCCAGAGCGAGCTGGTCCGCGTCGATGTGAGAGATGGTCAGGCCCCAGGACTGGGCGACCCCTTGGCCCTTGGCCCAAGCAACCGAATATGGATGGAGGAAGGTAGTTGATGCCTGTGTGCCGAGGAAGAAGTTTTGGTAGAACTTGTTGGTGGAAATAGGTGCTGCCTGCTGGACCCCCAGCCTGGGAACCGGATGGTCGCTCCTCTGCCCGATCTGTGGCGGTGGCGCATCAGTCGCAATAGGCTCAAAGATGTTGGAGGATGGTGCGGCCATAGAGCCAGACGAGTTCCTCATGTTCATGGTCGGGGCTGCCGCGATCAGGCTGGTTGGAGAAGGAATGCAGTTGGTCAACAGAGGGTTCTGTTTTCCCTGTCCGACAGTCTCGAGCTGTGTGTGGATCTGGCCGACAGTGTCTGGACGGACTCTGGGTTGCGGTAGGATCTGGACAGTCCCCGTGGGCACTGCTGCCGTGATCACTGGAACAGTTGCTCCTGATATCAAGCTCTGGATGGCGGGAGTATTCTGCTCATGATGGGTAAGCAAATCGTCCCTTCCTCGTCCTTTCCCCTCCGCCAAAAGGAAGGGGGGGAGGGGTACTTTGGAACCTACCACAACAGAAGAGGGTTCTATCGGCACGACCAGGCCTCCTCCATTGACAGGAACAGAAATTATTATGTCGTCCTTCTTGTGCACATGGGGATGATTATTATGGGGCTCGCTTGAACCGTGAGGAACCGGGCTTCCCTGACAGGAGAACACCTGCAGTGCTGTCAGCAGCAGGAACCATCTCATGTTGTTATTGGCCCTGATCTTGGTGAGGACCATCTTGGAAGCACGATGAGGCTGGAGGGAGTGAAAATGGACAAGAGAACGGGACTATCTCTTCAACGTGACCACAGCTCTGCATTCTCACTCCCTCCCTCCCCTCCCCTTATTATAGCACCAACCCTCATCCTACCAGTACCACAGCTGAAGAGCTCGGCGGCCATGGTGAAGGGGGTCGGTCATGCGTGGGGCAACAATCGTGAAGGAGGCTAGGGTGTGGTAGCGTCAAGGGGCTGACGTGAAGAATCATGCCTAGAAACGTGATCCGAGGTTCTGGGAGGAAGGGAGCGTATAGTGCCAGAGCCCAGAGAAGAGAGGGAGAGGGCGGTGCGTGGCTGGGTCATGTACTACCTTTGGCTGGAATGTTGGACGGCGGCTCTTAGAGTCTTGTCTTAGGGCAGATTGAACGTGGCCCCGACTTGGTCACAAGGGTTGGAAGAATGAGAGAAATAGTCAGGATGGCGAGTCAAAAAGACTCCGGGACGGGATATCTTCATGCTCTCATGATTAAAGAATCGAATGGGGACCGAGAACAGGGAGGTCGGCGTTTGGAGGAGAGAAGGTGGGACCTGGGTTGAGGTCGAGGATCTATGTACACATATAGCGCGACCTATTTAAGTGGTGCCAAGCATGTGACGAGGCAGGGAATGGATGTGACCTCTCTCCCCCAAAACATTTCTGGATTGATTCATATATGCTTTTTGTTGGACATGGATAACTCAACTACCACAGTGACAATGGGAATATATGAGAGGCAGAGAGAGACACAAGATCTGTTAGATCTGTTGTGGTTGCGGGTAGATTAGTTGCATCGGACCTATCACTGCTAGATTGGGCATGATTTCGGCCGAGGACAGGACATGTTTCGGACATGAACCTGCTGACTTTTTGGTTCGGAAGCAAAAGAATAGAAAAGGGAAGGAAAGGGAAAAAAAAAAAAAAAAAAAAAAAAAAAAAAAAAAAAAAAAAAAAAAAAAAAAAAAAAAGAGAGAGAAATGATTAATGAAGAAGGGCGAGAGAGAGGAACAATGTAGAGCCAAGATTTTCGAGTCTGATTTGCTGATGTAAACAACATCGCTATTCCAACCTCTGACGGGGCTGTGCAAATGGAGTACAGTACTGGAAGGAGGTGTAAGGTATTTTCATATCTCCTTAAGATGGATTTACACGCCTGAATTGTTACGCAGTACACACCCTGGACGGGGTAGGTCATGCTTTTCGAGAGGTAGACGCGCTGGTCCAGGGTCCCGTGGTCTGTACTACTTAGGACCCCATGCGCTAAAACGCGCTCTCCATCTCAGGCGCGTACTTTATGTACTGAATGAATTCGCCCAACTCCAATCTTTGTACGCTTGTGCAGTGCGATTACGGCCTTCCGCCCTACTTTTTGCTTGCAGACCAGTCAACCGATTGCATCGTCCGAAATAGCTTTACATGGCGGTGGCCCCCACCCGACAACATTGAATTTATTGTTTCGTCATCTACATCCTCGTCTCTTCGCGGACGCAAACTGTTCTCCCCACCAACTCGACGCGTCGACAGAGTACGTCTCCCTCAACAGAACATCTTGACGGCTTGATCCATCATGGCCGCGCCAGTGGATGATAAGGGGAAGGAGAATGGTTTTCTCGACCAGTGCGCCATGTATTTTGTCCGCAGCGACAGGCTCTCAGAGTCCATGATCAAGGCGGTGGGTCGACGGTCCTTGGCTTCCTTCTCGTGTTGCTGCTGTTACTGATATTCAGAGCTGCAGTTGAAAGACACGGTCCAAAAATATGATGCCCAGGTCATTGAGACGGAGGATGACGGTTCTATACCTGTACCCTCCTGTACACATATTATTGCCGAGACCATCGACTTCCCCCAGTATGACGAGGCTATGGCTATGATGGTCCCCGTCGTGAGACCGGCTTGGATCAACGCGTCACTGCGGAGGGGTCGACAGGCCCAGATCCGTCCATACTCCCCAGACCCGCGGTTGTTCTTCTCCAATGTGGTATTGGCCTGCGACGAACTCCCAGTCACGGACAAGGAGTCCATCATTGGTGCGGTCCTGGCTTTGGGCGGCACACAATCCAAAGATGTCGGCCGACTGACTACTCACATCTGCGCCCTGTCGACCGACGGACCCAAGGCGCGCATGGCAAAGGAGCGCCGCTGGGCCTGCAAGATCGTTCTGCCACACTGGTTCGTCAACACCACCCGTTTGTCCCTCGTGCTATACCATGTCTCATATTATGCCACAGGTTTGATGACTGCTTCCGCCTTGGAAAGAGAATCGACGAGGGCCCATACTTGCTCCCTGATCCCGAGATCCTCCGCGCAAATCCCGACGATGCCGTTGAGATACCCGAAAACAGACACCTCGAGGGAGCCACATCTGCCCGACCCGACCGGCCACCACACAGACCAGCCAACGCCAGACAGAAGCTGACTGTCTTCGAGAACAAGAAGGTTGCGTTGTCTTGGGATCTCCAACTGAGCGACGGCCTGCGCAGCACCCTTCAAGACCTCATCACGAACGGTGGAGGAGACGTTGTGGACAGCACACAAGACTGTGATTGGTTTGTGTGCCAGTACCGTGACGGGCCCGAATACATCAGAGCCGCCCAGCATGGCAAGGATGTTGGTAGTCTTGCCTGGCTGTACCACGTCATTTTTAGAAACCAGTGGTCAAACCCTCTGCACCGCCTCTTGCACTACCCCGTGCCTCGAGGCGGCATGGATGGGTTCAAGGGCCTACGCATCACCATCTCCAACTACGGTGGCGAAGCGCGCACGTACCTGATGAACCTGCTCAGCGCTGCAGGAGCCGACGTCACAGGAGCCATGAGACAGGATAACACACACCTCATCACCGCACGCAAGGCCGGTGACAAGTGTGATGCTGCTGGGGACTGGAACATCCCCATGGTGAATCACCTCTGGGTCGAGGAGAGCTACGCCAAGTGCGAAGTGCAAGCACTGACCGACCCTCGGTACTCGCAATTCCCTCCGCGGACGAATCTGAGCGAGGTTATCGGCCAGACCTGGTTTGACGAGTCACGACTCCATGCCGTGTACTACCCTGGCGGAGATGACGATTTGGATACCGCGGCACGTCGCAAGAGGACGGTCAAGAACATGGTCCAGAATAATGCGCGGAGACATGGCCCCGGGGCTGGTCTTGTCGTCGGACGACAGAAACATCCCGAGTTCGACATTCTGAAGGATGACGAGGTGGAGTATGCGGACAAGACAGCTTGTAAATTCGGCGTCCCGGCACCGCCCAAAGCAAACGCACAACCTGATTCAACCACGCCTGTTCGCGCGCAACACCTACGCACCGGCAAGGAAAACGACACTTCGTCGGTCTACTCGAGTGGTAGTCGCAGCGCCAAGGCCTCAGCGCTTAGCAAGTTGCAGAATATGGCACCTGACATTGCGTTGTACGAAAAAGAACGAAAAAGGAAGTCGACCGGCAACACGCCTTTTGGCGGCAAGCGAGCGGCGGACCGCATTGAGCAGGAGCGGGAAAAGGAACGAGAGAAGAAGGCCCAGGAGAAGGGCCGGTCCAAGAGTCCTTCGCACGAGCGCGCCGATGAAGAAGGAGAAGATGAGGATGATGCGGAAGAACAGCGGCCAGCCAAGCGACAGAAGTCATCTCTGCCTCCGGTGGACATGCGCATCGTTCTGACCGGCTACAAGAGGTGGACTGACAATGCAAAGAAGGAAGACGCAGATAGGGTGAGTCTCCATTTCCGACGTCTGATTGGAAGACGTTGTTCTTCTCTTTAGCTAACGAAAGATGACAGCGAAAACTGCGGGCCATGGGCATCCAGATTGTGCAAGAGTCGGCACAATGTGACTACCTGGCCGCACCGCAATTGCTCCGCACTGTTAAATTCGTCCGCACGCTGGCCCAAGGGCCAGAGGTAATCAGCTCCACCTTCATTGACGACTGCCTCGACCAGGGCGAGCGTCAGCGCGTCGAGCGCTACAAGCTCAAGGACAAGGAAAGGGAGAAGTCGCTCGGCGTCAACTTAGAGAAGTCCATCAGACGAGCGCGCCAGAACAAAGGCCAGCTAATGTGGGGCGTCCCAATATACTGCACTGCCTCGATCAAGAGCGGGCCTGAGAGCTACCGGCCCATTGCCGAAGCCAACGGTGCCATCTTCAAGACATACAACGGTCGCACGTCGACCATCAAGGTCACGCCCCCAGAGGAGGACAGCCAGGGCCCGGAGCCTGTGTACCTGTTGACAACCAACAGCAAGGCGGAGCAGAACTTGTGGCCGAGGTTTGAGAAGATGGCCAGGGACGGCAACATGTTGCCAAGGATCGTGTGCGTGGACTGGCTGCTCTGGGTCGCCATGAACCAGGAGCTGGCCTTTCATGAGAAATATCTGGCTGAGAACTTCTACAAGGGCAAGCCATGAGGATGCTGTCGTGAGGAGCGGCGTGTGCGTGTGTGTGTCCCTTGTGCGTACTACTATAGTACGTCTTGCGGTCGTAGAGATCGTCTCGGCGAAGGGCGCCTTTTGGACAACGAAACAGGCGATCGATACGCTACTTTGAGAGTGTATTCCTTCAGCCTTGGATTATGCCGTACGTGCATCTTGTTGCGATCACAAGGTCCAGATAAGTACCTAGGTCGGCTAATGTTTTAGTACCATAGTTGTGGCATTGATTACAATCGTAAATCTCATACCCAGTACTCTTCGTCTTGTGTTGAAAATTGGCCGTTACCCCTATGCGGGTGCAAATGGATGGATCAAAAGAACTTGACGCCTTGCGAATCCTCCTGTCCAAAGATCTGCGCTTTCCCTCTCTTGACGAGCACATTCAAGGCTTTCTGCAGGAGATCTTGGTCGAGGCCGTGGAACTCTGTTATGTTTCAGTCCAGTGAGTCAGTACTGTGCATCCCTGACCAAACAAAGAAAGAAACGGCTGATCTTTTCTTCTCTTTCCTATTTCTTCTTCTTCATCTTCTTCATCTTCTCCTTACCGGTTCCTATGGTCGCGTCCCCCTGCGTCAGCTCATACAACGTCAACACAGTCCCCTTCTGCCCCGTCTCATCCACCCACCCTTCCACCAGCGCCGCCCACTCCTCCGGCGTGCGCCAGTAGATCCAGACGAGATCACCGCCGCCGCCACCGCCGCCGCTACTACCGTCTCCTGCCCCCTCGGAAGAGGAAGACGAGGAGACGTACTCGGCCCGCCCATCCCTGCGCATGAAGTCGATGACCTCGCGGATGTCGGAGAGGGCGAGGCGGCGGTTGAGGCGGCGGTTGTGGAAGAGCTCGTCGGTGTTTGGCGGGGAGGAGGAGGGTGCTGCGTCGGTGGTTGCGGCGGCGGCGGAGGAGGAGGAGGACGTTGTCGCGAGGGAGAGCGGGAGCTTGAAGATGCGGTAGTGGCGGCAGTAGGAGAGGACGAGGGAGGACCACTTGACGAGCTGGGCGTGGAGGGTGTTGAGGTTGGTTTGGCGGGTGTAGAAGGCTGGGAAGTAGTACTCGCGGGGGAAGGTGAAGGGGGGTTGTTGGTGGGGTGGGGCGGTTGTTGTCGCCATTGTGATGTGAAGGAAAGAAAGACGAAGAAGCGAAAGAAGAGAAGAATAACAAAAAGGTCGAAGCAGGGTTTTTATAGAGGGATTGAAGGTGGTGATGAAGAGTAGTTGTTGACTTGGGAGTCGACAAGTATATATGATGAGGGAGGAGCTTATGAACAAGCAGTACCCCGCGGCTCAACATCTTGCAGTGTCATCTCTTATCTCCAGTTAGTGGGGCCCAGGGCAAGTCGCAGCGTCTGAAGCTACTATAGCGTAGCGTTTGGCAGCGGGTGGTCAGCACCTTACCAATTACTCGGGTCGACCATCTCACAGCACAGCACACAGCAGAAGTAACATTAGCTGACTAGGATCAGATGAAATTGAAATGTCTTGAGAATCTCTCATTACTACCATCATCATTATCGTCATCCATGGAGAGAGCAAAAAGAGACAGGATTAGTCAACCTATACCCATATAGAAAAGAAAGCCTCCTGGTGGAGGAAACGTGCGTGGTATTATCATCATCAATTCGACCTGAACCAATCCAAAGGTTTCCCTTTCCCATGCGCGTGAACAAAATTTGGAGCCCTCGTACTCCGTGACACCACCCAACACCGCCTGCTCATGCTCGGGTATGGACAAGAAATCGACAGAAAACAAAATCTAAAATGAGACAGAAGTGCAGAATGATTCGAACCAATCAGTCCTCGTCCATCGCCGCATCGCCGGCCGGCTCCTCGGTCGCAAGCTCCTTCTCCAGCTCATCAGCGACGAAGCCCTCGTAGTCCTCAAGACTCTTCTGGACGTGCATCTTGAACTTGATGGTGTCGTTCAGCATGCGCATGATCTCAGTGTGCAGCTCCTCTCGGAGCGCATTCGCCCGGATCGTCAGCTGCTCGTACCTGGTCGAGAAGTATTAGCATCAAACTCTCTTCCTACCACAACAATACACCGATTCTGGTGGGAGAGGGCGGACTCACTCGATGTTCACGTTCATCTCTCTCTGCTCCATGAGCTGCACGCTCTCGCTAAGGCTCGCCCGCATCTTGGCAAGCTCCTTCTCCATCTTCTCGATTTGCGCGTCCGACGCCATGCGCTGCGCATTGGTGACCTCCTTGGTCTTCTCGTGCTCCTCCTCAGCCGCACGCACCCGGTGCTCCAGGGCCTCGACCTCATTGCGCTTGTCCTCCATGGCCTCCTTGATGTTGTCCAGCAGCTCGTAGTCCTTCATCATGGTGTCCATCGACGCGCTGCGGCGCTCCGAGATCTCCTTGCGCAGCGCTGCGAAGGCGTTCTTAACCTGGCCCCGCAGGTCTAGGTTCAGGATGTGCGCCGGCTGGTAGCCTGTGTGTGGGTCGGCCAGGAGCCGCTCGTTCTCGAAACCGTCCGCGTAGGAGCCCTTGAGCTGCGAGGCCGTGAAGTTGGGGCCCTCGTTCACCGTCACCCGCAGCTCGTAGTCCTTGCCCTTGGCGTTGGCCGCTGTCGCCGGCATCAGGCCAATCTGGTACGCCAGCGTGTTGTACCGGTCCACCATGCGCTCGAGGTCGTCGAGTTTCCTGCTGGCTTCCATCTCCTTGTCCGCCACCTTCTTCTTGACCTCGTCCAGCCGCTGGCTCGCGGACTCGATGCCTTTTTGTAGCCGTTCGCGCTCCGAGGTCATGCGGTCGATATCCGCCATACTGATCCCCTGGTCGTCGACCACCTTCTGCAGGCCCCGCCGCTCCTCCTCGGCCTCGTGCAGCTCTTGCGACATCTTCTCCAGCTCCTCCAGCAGCACCTGTATCCTGCTCTCGTACTTTTCCGACCTCTGCACGGCCAGGGTGTTGTATTCTTCGAACTTGACCCTGTCCTCCTCCATAATCTGGTGGTGGTTGTCGAGCACGGCGGGGTCCGGCGTCATCTTCTCCAGATCCTCGATTTCTTGCAGCAGCCGCGCGTTTTCGGCCTCCAGCATCTGCAACTCCTGTTGGTACTTGCCATTGGATGCCTCGAACTGCTCCGCCATGTGCTCCACGTGAGGAGCCAGCGCCTTTTTGGCGTGCTCCTCGCTCGAATCTTCAGGCATGCCGAGCCAGTCGTCGTATGCCCTGCCCAGAAAATCGAATGTGATGTGGTCCCCGATAACATCGACACCGGCCTCGAGACAAGCATCCTCGTAGCGGTTGAGCGAGTATGCCTCGAGCATCTGGGCCAGCTGCATCATCCAGTGCAGGACGCCCAGGAACATGTACCAGTTCTGGCCTCCGACGGCGGCGATCTGGCTCTTGGTGATGCCCTTCTCGTACGGATAGCGGAGCTGTTTCAGCAGGGGCGGGACCTCCTGGTCGATGTTCTTCAGGAAGCGATAGCTCGGGTCGATGCGGTGATAGAGCCACTGGAACATGTAGTTGAAGTCCTTCTGGGTCGGCGACTTGATCACGTTCTGCGAGAGGACGTGCTTCATCTCCAGCTCGAAGTTGTTTTGGGCCAGGTAGTCCAGCAGTTCCTGCCCTATCCTGGTCTGGTAGGCGCGGTCTTTGAGGGGCCGCGGGTCACGAGGCACGCCGGCAGGCTGAGGAGCCTGCTGGAAGAAGCTCTGGTGGCCGCCCATATGGGCGTGGGTCGAGGTTCGCGCGCGGTAGACACTGCTCCTACGATCGCCTTCTGTAGATATGCGGCCGGGCATACTGCCAGGAGTGTAGGACTTGAGAGTGGACGTGCTGTTGGGTTGGTAGGACATGCGCTTGATAGAGGACGGACCGGCCATGTCTGCTGCGAGGTTGCCGCCGAAGGAGGAGCGGGTAAACATGGGCTGCGGCGGCCTCGACATCGCCAGGGACTGCCTAGATCCCGAGACGGAGCGGGTATGGCTCGATGAGTAGGGGGCGCCCGCGCCGCCCATGGACGAAGAGTGCGAACGCTTCATGGCGGAGGGAGGCTGCGGGATGGCGGACGAGTTGTAGCTGATGCCTCCGAGGGTCTGCGCAGGGGTTCACGACATTAGCACCGCGTATACTATAGATTTGATTATAATAATAATAAAAGAGAAAGACAGCAATGAGGCTGGCGTCAAGTGTTTAATTGTGTGTATTCTGTGTTGTCAATGACGACGGTGTGGTGGAGGGTTGGGTGGGTTGTCAAAGTCGAGGTTGGGCGCAGAACGCGATTGAACAAAGACTTGGCGCAGAGGACGCCAGCACTTGCTCGAGGTGCCACCACTCTGCCTTAACTTACCTCTCTGGGCCGCCTTACACTCCACAGGCCCGTGTCTTGTGACATTGTTGCTCTGCTGGTGATTCTCTTGGGGGATGAAAGTAATCGAAAATAAGATGAGAATATCACGCAAGGTCGGCGACCACGATGATTAGCAATTGCAGAGGTTTTTTCGTGGCCACTCTTGCGTGTAGGTTGTGATGAGGAAACGGGTTTGAAAGGTGCTGCGCTGCCCAAGTAAATCGCCGTTGCTGTGGAGGGAGTAAACAAAGACTTGATGCAGCCAATCAGCGCTGGGTCGCAGAGCTGCTCTCCACCGGGATGTGAGGTGGACGTGCTGGGGGTGGGGTGACTCAGTAGCTCTGTATCGCGCTAGGCCTAAAACGGGAGTTTCCTTCTTTTTTGCTTGCCGCAGGGGTTCTTGGGGATGAACAGCCGCTTGAGTGAACCTCGGCTCTAGGCTATAGTACAAAGTAAATCCGTACGTGGATTACGGCTCATCACAAGCAAAAGCCATTCATCGACAACCCACACTCTTCTCAACTGCTGCGATTCACTCACCACACCCAGTCCTCCTAACATCCCCATCGCCATGCAGCAGACCTGAACAGACTGCCCAGCATGCCCATTCGCGAGGAGCTTGTGGCCTCTGCGGTAAGTCCACACTACGATCTCTCGAGTCCATTTCGTTCAGGTTGCTAACGACGTCACGCAGGCCCAGTGTAGGTTTCCCATCCACCACCAGCTCACGAGCAAACGTGTTCCCCTTTTGCCTCCATAGCTGACTCTTTTCAACTCGTATTTACCTGGCGTACAGTTCTGCAGGATCCTAGCGTCGCGGCATCGCCCGTCGAGAACAGGATAGCGTTTCTCAAGGCGAAGAACCTGACCGAAGAAGAGATCCAGGCCTCTCTGGCCAGAGCTGCCGGCGAGGTCGCACCTGTGGCAACCTATGCAGCAGTAGCACCGCCTCCAGCTGGCCACATACCGGGACAACCACCAGCATACTATGGAGGAGGGTATCCGCCTTACGGCTGGCAGCCACCGCCTCCCGAGGTGCCCAGGAGGGACTGGCGGGACTGGTTCATCATGGCCACCGTAGTGGGAGGTGTAGGGTACGGTTTGTATGCACTGGGAAAGGTAAATCTTTTTGACTTCCTGTACTGATAATAAGGAAACCAAAACCATGCTGACTGTCCCATAGCGCTACGTCTACCCTCTGATCGCGCCACCCACCCCCGAGCAGCTCGAGACCGACAAGAAGTCCATCGACGAGCAGTTTGAGAAGGCCTTCACCCTGGTGGACCAGCTGTCCAAGGACACAGAAGCCCTCAAGACCGCAGAGCAGCAGAGGACGGAGAAGCTGGACAGCGCGCTGGCAGAGCTGGAGACGGTCATCAACGACCTCAAGTCTGCCAGCAGGAGGAGGGAGGACGAGACACAGCGGGTCCGGGACGACGTCTCGAACCTCAAGGACTCAATCCCCAAGGCTCTGGACGCGCAGAAGAGCCTGACCGACACCAGGCTGCAGGAGGTCAACGCCGAGCTCAAGAGTCTGAAGACCATCATCAGCCAGCGGATGACCAGCGGGGCCTCTTCGGGTGCCGCCAACAGCTACGGGTCGCGAGGCACCATGTCACCTGCCCCTGCGCCTACGCCTGCGCCTGCCTCCACACCGATTCCCGCTCTTGGACACGACAGCAGCAGCAATGGAACGACTGATAGCCATGCTGCCGCGGACAAGGCCGCGAAGCCGACCAACGCGGCACCCTCCTCCCCATACCAGGAACCGGGCGCCAGCAACGGACGCGCATCGCCTTTCAGCAGCGGTATCACAGCGGCTGCTGTCAAGATCCCAGAGTGGCAGAGAGCGATGGCGAGTAAGAGGAGCAACTCGTCATCCTTGAACAACAACACAGCGGATGCTGGCGGCAGTGCGCAGCAGGCGGAGGCAGGAAGCAGCGAATCGTGAGACTCTTGAGTTCTGTGGTGGAGATTACACCATCTCTGACCAAGCGTTGGCATTGGTTGTCTAATAGATGATGAAACAATCATGGACCTAAAATTTTGGGAAACGTATCGAAGGCGCCTGGGAATTGGACATTTTCTTATTTACACATTCTAGCCAAATATGTTTGTTTATGGATTCTGGCTATTCAATATGTCCTCGGCATACTCATCTCGCCTGACAGAAACAACCACGATGCATATCATGTCATGGAGAAGTTTATGCTTTCAAGAAATTGTAATGCTGGAGGTACCAGTGCTCTCGTATCCCTCAGTAGCCATGATCTGGTAATTGTACGCGCCAAGAGTCTACAAGAGTCATCATTAGTATTTTTTTTAATTTTTTTTCCCCCCTTCTTGTCCCTCTTCATCTTCCAACCACTCATCATCATCATCATCGTCGACTCAACAACAAAGGGGGTCGCAACACTCACCAGTCCAACATTTGCCCACGCAGCAATGTGGTTCGCAAAGGTAATGGTTCCGCTCGTCCTCTTGCTCTGGCGGATGCTCAGGTACTGGTTGAACGTCTGGGTGCCCTGGATGGACGGGGCGTTGCTGCGGACGACCTCGTAGATGTCGTAGGTTGCGCCGTCCGAGGTGACGGTGCCCTTGTGGGTTCCAGCGGACCCGGGGTTGTAGGTTCCGTAGGTCTCGATCACGTCTACATAGAAGGGTTGTGTTGGTTAATCTGAGGGTCATGGGGAAAAGGAACTGAGCTGCTGCCCTGCTCGGGGTTTGGGTACTTACAGTACTCGACAAGGGGCGAGGTCGTCCAGCCGTAGAGGGCGAGGAGGGAGTCGCCGCCGGCGTTGAGGCTGCCGGTGTAGGTGACAGTGCTGAAGAAGGGGGGGTGGTACATTGTCAGCCATTATAAGGTTCTTTTTTTTCTATTTCATGTCTCGCTCCCTCCCTCTATTCTTCCTTCAAAACGTACCGAGCACTTCCAGTCGACCAGCCAATGCCAGAGACGACATCCGTGTTGGAAGACGACCAAGACAGCGAGTACGTCCCCGTTCCCAGCGTCAGGGTGTCAGAACCAGTCTCGACGTAGTTGGAAAAATAGTATCCCCCATACGTGCCAGTGGTCGAGGCGGTGATGACCTCGCTGCGCTCCTCGAGCTTCTGGCCCGTGGGTGCGGCGGAAGAGAGGGTGGCTGCGCTGAGGCACGCCGTGAGGAGGCTCTTGATGCCGATCATGTCTGCTACTGGTGCTGGATGAAGAGACTTATGGGTTTCAGGAAAGAAAGTGTAGTAGAACAAGAAGAGAAGGGAAGGGATTGGATCGGTGGTGAATGGCTACAACGCATCTTTGAAGACGGGGTATGGAACGGATGTTGTTGAATTTATACCTGGACTCAGGAGAAGTCGTCATGACCGCAGTCCTGCCCTAACATGATACTTACTATGAGAAACCCAAACCAAGCAAGCGAGCGGTCCAACGGCCATCATCTCCTTTACGGCGACCCCCTGCTCCAGACCAAATGTGACACTGCGTTCCCGCTTAAGCTTATTTACTTGCGGGAAGGATATTCTAGCTGAAGGTTAAGGGGCAGGCGGCTCATGGGAGCTGCAGCGAGTCGAGTCCGGGTAAAAGTGAATGCATGTTTGTTTGGTCTGGGGGGCTCCCATGTCCTTTCAAGGTTGCATTCACTTTCATGATGGCACATCACCATTATGTAAAACAACCGGGCGAAAAAGGGAGAGAGGGGAAAAGGAGAAAAAAAAAAGGGTGGCGGTTTGATGTAAATTAGGCAGGGTGTGCTCTGGAGTCTTTGGTGCCGAAGCCCGGATGATTATGGCTTGGCACGAGTAGAACAAATTTACTTCAGCAAGTTTCATATATCCAGAATGGCACCAAACGTCAAAATTTGGTACGGGTAAAACACTCGGCGAGATCTAGCCATCACAAGCGACTCTATAGCACTGCATAGTACATAGGAACTTAAATCATTTGTCCGGACGCATGGTCATTATGGGAAAAGATGCGAGACTAGGATGTCCACGTGCGTGCGGAAAAAAGTGGTGGAGATGCTGCTGTCGAGCATAATTGGGAAGAGATTAGCCTATGCATCATGCGGCCCAGCTATTCGGGTTGTCCCCAGTCGAGCAGGTCTTTCTGAGAAGTTTAATGAGAGCAACAAAGCCTATCTGTCAACCGGTCTGTAGGTCTTGTCTCCTTTGCTCCGGGCGGCTGGAATCAAATCGATCTGTTACTGCGTATACGGAGTCTTATACTATGCTTATACAGAGACTTGGCATAGCTCATCCAGGCGTAAGCAATGTATATGCTGGCTCTTGATTATTCAAGTGTCCACAGACCTGTCTGTGTGCTGGCTTGATTCCGCTGGAGGTCCATCACAGTCCTCCGAGAGAGGACCTTGCATGTGTTGCATGTTTTCGAAGGCACGCTGAAAGACCCCTTTGGATGACTTCAACCACTCATTGACTCTTCGACATGTGAATAGTTTCAGAAAAGGCTGAGGCTAGATCCTTCGGACTACCCTGTTAAGCTTTGATCGTACCAGGGATGGCAGGATGATCATCGTTTGCACAGACGGTTCCCATTGTTTATCAAAAGCAATATGTTTTGTTTTAGCATAGACTACTATGCACGCGCTGGAGGTACCGCCCTTCAAATGGCAAGGAGCTGGAGCCCCTTCATTTTGCGGCCATGCATGAACCGGACTCTCATCACGGGTGAATATGTTGATATCAACTTCAAACATTCTAGCCCGCTTCCTTGTGTGGTCCGGTCGACCGGATTTTGCCCCTCTCCCTTGGACTGAAAGATGGGCCTAGGATGAGGACCTCGCGGGTTCCTGATCAAGTTGATAAATATATCGGGGTGGTCTGCTCATGATCACTGCTGCTCATGTGGCCTCAGAGTCCAACAACACATTCTCATATTTCCTCCCATATCCCTGTGCTTCAACATCATCACAAATACCTTGTACATTTCTTCAAACTTGTCAATATGTTCAGCAAGACCACCGCCCTCACCCTCACCGTGCTCCTCGCCACCGGCGCCCTCGCCTCCCCAGTCGACAACACTGCGGCGGCAGGAGAGAAGCGCCAGAGCTGCCCCGGCGTACACGTCTTCGGGGCGCGCGAGACGACAGCCAGCCCAGGCTACGGCACAGCGGCATCGGTGGTCAGCGCCATCGTGGCGGCGCATTCGGGCGCCACTTCGGAGGCCATCTCGTACCCGGCGTGCGGTGGTCAGGCGTCGTGCGGTGGCATCAGCTATGCCGACTCTGTATCGCAGGGCACGAGTGCTGTTGTCACTGCCGTGAGCAATTATGCGAAACAGTGCCCTAGCACGGAGCTTGTGCTTGTTGGATACTCCCAGGTGCGTTTGTTTTGAAGAATTGCCCATGCCAGAGCCTTGTCCTCCTAGCCCAAATGTTGGAATCCACAGAGAGAGAGAGGGGGGGGGGGGGTGTGAGACATAGAGAGAGCTGACATATGCAAAAGGGTGCTGAGATCTTTGATGCGGCCCTGTGTGGCGCCACGGGCAGTGGTGGCTCCATCGCCTCGTACAACATCAAGGCAGCCATCTTCATGGGCGATCCGCGGTTCAAGGCCGGCGCTCCCTACAACGTCGGCACTTGCACGGCGGGCGGGTTCGACCAGCGCTCTGGATCTTGTGGCAACTATAACGCTCAAATTCAGTCTTATTGCGATTCTGCTGATCCTTACTGCTGCAATGGGAATAATGCTGCTGTTCACCAGGGCTACGCGAGCGAGTATGGTTCCCAGGCCGAGTCTTTTGTCAATAGCAAGCTGTAGGAGGTTGAAAGCTGTTCAAGAGGGAGGAGGGAAAAGGGGGAAAAGTGGACAAAAAAGACTAGGACTGGAAGTAGTGCGATAGACCCAAAGGGGTTTGAGAGACAGAGGAGGGGAAGAAAAGGGAAGAAGGAGAGAAGGGGGAGGATTAATAAGGATATGCCCACCTGGTACTTGTGATGAGTGAGAATTACCATGTACTATAGTATACTTTAAGTACGTACATACTTACCAACAAAATAGTGAAGCCGTTCGTGCCTTCTCACGAACACAGCAGAGAAACGTCTGACGAAATAACCTGGTGTGGTTTCAAATGGCAGGCGCGCTGGTGGTCTTTGAGGCTGATGCCACCCTTGTGTGGCTGGTCCCACAGGCCGGCCCCAGTACCAGTTTCCAGGTCCACCCTTGGCGGCGTCAGCCTGGATTTGACGCGGTAGAGGCGGTCGCAAGATGGAGTAACGTACGTATTATAGTATAGTGACCCAGTACCAGTATTATACTATAGTAGCAAGGAATCAAATGGGACGCGGCTCCATACAGCAGAGAGCACCTGTCATGAATCCTCATGAGACGAACCACCATGTACCACCAACCCATAGACGCGCAGCCACGAAAACAAAACCAAAACAAATAATGGATAAAAACAATAAATCAAATGAATAATACAACAACACAACATGTGAATAGCGGTGATGGTGTGGATTCCAACCCCTTCTTCCCCCATCCAACCATTCAACAGTAGTAGCGGTACACCATCCCCCATCCGGGTCGCGCGGTGGGTTGGCAAGGCTGGTGGTTTTTCGGGTGGCTGGGAAGGGGGAAAAAAAAGTGTGGGATCTTCAACAGGACGCGCCTAATCGAATGGACTTTCTCGGCAAATTCCCCTATGAGATCATGTTCCTGGTCAAAGAAAAGATCCATTGTGACAGGATGTTGATCTCGCAACGGATCAACGGGTCGGCAAAATTATTGATTGACAAATCTGCAACATATGATACTTCTTTTATGAATGCTGGCTGGAGGAGAAGAAGAAGAAGGAAGAGGAGCCCATCGCCAACAGCCACAGACACAACAACCCGAAAAGGCGGGAAGAGGAGCACGATGAGGTCAGAGTCAGGGAAGCGCTGCAAATCGGCTCGGCCCCGCGAGGATCGGAGATCAAATCAAATTGCTCGTAGACAGCAAAAGTGTTCCAAAAGGCGAGCCGATTCAAGGTCGAGAGGCCGTGGCGGTGGGCCCGAGGTGGCCTGTGAGACCCCAGCCGCAGGAACAGGCGTGGGGTACACATTACCACCATACCAGTAGTGCATACGGGACAGTACTTGTAGTAGTCTCTTTTTTTTCTTCTTTTCTTTCTCTGCTTCTCTTTTGGTCCCTACGGAGAACTCCATGGACTTGGTATCTTGAGGCTCCACCTGGCTGAGCAAGTTAGGTTGAACAAGGGCTGGGGACCAAGCAGGCCTATAGCGCTTTCGAGCACTATGTATTATGTAGTGTGTGTGTAGTGGTGATGGTAAGCCAGCCACTCGCACCCAGCATTTGCTGCGTTGTCTTATCATCTGAAAGGGGAGAGCGGGGGAAACTGATAAGGAAACATCACCGTGGCAACGGGTGCCCTGAAAGTGACCTCAAGATTGCCCTACTCATAGTACTAGTACAGTACTTGTTAAGTGACAGTGCCTTGTCTTAAGTGGTTGTAGTCAACGTTGGGCACCTCGGTTGCCTGAGCCGGATCTAAACCTCTTTCCCCCTCTCCTCCTTCTAGGGCATCCCCTCAAGAGACGGCCCCCCCCAATCCCAGGCCCTGCACCTGCTGCAGCCCATGCTGGTAAGTGACCCACTAGCCCACTAAAATGCAGTGCCTGTGTCCCCCTGTCCCTCGCTTCTCTCTTTCCAGCCCGCCTGCCCTGGTACACATTCTCTTGCCTCTCACTTTCACAAACGCTGAGAAAAGAGACCAGAATTGGGACCTGACACGCCCTCCCCCCCCCAAAGTGAACAATCAATGCATTAGCAGCCCTCTCTGTACCTGGCTGGACGTTGCTGGGCTCCTCCACATTTTTGTTTTTGGTCTGGTCTACAGTGGGCCCAATCTGTACTGTACCATTGTATATCCCGTCTCGCTTGCATCCTCTGGCAATCCTTCCCACCCGTGCCCAATACTTAGCATTTACATCCATTCATCCACCATCCACTCTGGTTCCCATCCTCAACCATCCGCTGCACCGCATGTCCTTTTTCGACAACACCAGTCTGTCGTCTCCAGTTTGCCAGCTCAGAGAGTCAGGACTGACTGTCTTGGATCTAGCATCTGTCAAATCTCACAATGACAGCAATAGCATGAGATGACCAACCCCACAAACCATTGGCATGAGGCATCATCACAGCAGCAATACCATACCAGCTTACTCATGAATTGATTGCATCACATTCCACTCTGTTTACTGTCGTTCCCACAGCAATTGACAGTACTGCACCACCTGCTCCCCTCTCCCTACCCTCCCCCCTCCTAACCACCGCCACCACCACCAACTCCTCCTCCGTCTCTACGGCAGCCCAACATGGCGGCGATACATAAATCACCCTTCAACTTTTCAGAGACACGACAGCAGTTTGAACAACAACAACAACAACAACAGTCACAACAGAACAAACCAGCTGGTGGCGGCCTGAGATCATTCATCCACAGGAGGAACAACTCGGATGGCGGCAACCTTCCCTCGTCCTTCTCCCCTTCGAAGTCAACATCTACCACTGCCACCACCAACGCCACAGCCACCTCCACGCCCTCTTCCCCCTTCTTGCCATCACCACCGGCTGCTACTGCTGCCGCCCTCACTGGCCAGCCTGACCAACCACAGCAGGACAACAGTATAGCCATCAGCAGCAGCCGTCGTCCACTCAGCATGGCCTGCCCCAGACTCCAGCTCGAGACTCATGCTCTGGGCCAGTGGCAGCAGACAGGCCCTGTTGCCATCGACAGCCCTCGCTCCCCAACCAAGGCATTGCGCGATGATCCCAACAGCCACAATGTCGACAGCAACCCGAGCAGGGCTTCCTCCAAGCCCAACCTGACCACTCTCTCTGCCAGATTCTCCAACAACAGCTCCCCCTCCAAGGACAAGCCTCCTGCCACCAAGGACAACAACCAAGACAAGACCAACAAGGCCAGGTCCTCGACCAACCTCAAGGGCCTGCTGCTCTCCCGCCCCAAGTCTGACAAGACCATCGATCTCTCCCTGGAGAAAGAGAGCCAGCGGGGCAAGAACAAAGAGAATAGGAAGCCATCAGATCCCAACTCACCCGCAATAACGCCCATCTACGCGCAGTTCTGCAAGGGCTCCTCTCTGGGCAGCGCCGTCTCTGTCCCCAGCTCACCCTTCGACATGCCCGCCGACCCCTTCACCCAGGCGGGCCTGCTCAACCTTCACAGCTCGTTCCGCCCTGCCGCAGCATCCAACGGGACCTCTGGCCCAAAGCAGAGGCCCAAGTCGTTTCAGCCCCAGCACATCCCAAAGTCCGACACCGCCGGCGTGGAGCAGCAGCAGAGGGTTACACGTGGGAGGCTCAAGACCGACGACGAGCATGCCGAGGGCCAGAAGTCGTCCACTTGGGCCAAGACGCGGTCTGGTTCGCGTGCCAGGGTCATATCGGCCCTCTCCAATCTGGGAGGTCAAAAGTCCAAGTCCTCTTCGCCCACCCCCGAGCCCGAGTCGAGCGAGCCCCAGATCGATCCCAAGGATGTCGATAGGCACCTGGAGGCCATGTTGGACCGGCGCAACATCCCAGAGAACCAGAGGTACAAGATGCGCAACTTGAACAGCACCATCAAGATGGAGTTCATCCGCCAGGACTGGGCCGAGGCCGACGCCAAGAAGCTGGGCCGCCGTCCCACGAACGAGAGCGACGACTCCGCCGTGGCCGTCGGCCAGACCTCGGTACGCGGCGATGCAGGCGCCGACAAGAGGCACACCCGCGGCAGGAGCTTCACGTTCTCGCGCAACAGCTGGAAGATCGGGGCCTCCCCGTCCAAGGGCAAGAAGAAGGATGCGCCCGCCAAGGGCCACAGCAGGAACAAGTCGACAGACAGCGTCATCATGGACAGGCCTCCCTCGGCGGGCTCGCACGCCGGGAGCGGCATCATTGCCAAGGTCACGGGCCAGCAGCCATCTGACTTTGTCAACTACCTGCGCAAGGTGCAGAAGCCAGAGGCCGTCGAGGTCGGCAAGCTCCACAAGCTGCGGCTTCTGCTCCGCAACGAGCGTGTCGCCTGGACCGAGGACTTTATCAAGCAGGGCGGCATGAAGGAGATTGTTGGTCTGCTGCGGCGGATCATGGATGTCGAGTGGAGGTAAGTCTGGCCACAGATGCACACAACCCAACACATTATGGCGACCTGAATCTAACGTATGTTCTTGTTGCTGTTATAGGGAAGAACATGAAGATGCGCTGCTACACGAAGATCTGCTCTGCCTAAAGGCCCTGTGCACGACAGCTCTGGCCCTGCAGTACCTACACGAGATCCAGGACACACTCCTCCCCGCCCTGATCCACCTGATTTTCGATCCCGAGAGGAAAGGCCCCAGCGAGTTCACGACACGCAACATCATCACCTCGGTGCTTCTCACCTACATCCAGAGTAGTGCCGAGCAGGAGCGCGTGGCCAGAGCCCAGACCGTCCTCTCCTACCTCCGCGACCCGGCGCCCAAGGAGGAAGAGCGACCAGTCGAGTTTGTCCTAGAGATGAGGCGGGAGCGACCCTACCGCGTCTGGAACAAGGAGGTGGTCAGTGTCACCAAGGAGGTCTTCTGGATCTTCCTGCACCATCTCAACGTGGTCGCCTTGCCTGCAGGGCGCGACAGGTCTGCGGAGGACATCCGTAAGACGGCGACCAACGACACATCAGCAACGCGGCACAGTGACCGTGTAGTGACCACCAGCAGATCATGGGCCGACGACAAGTATGCTTACATGCACCGGCACTTCCCGCAGGAGCGCCCGCCGGTGCCCGCCGCTCCATATGTGGGCGGTGTCGAGTGGGATGCGACCAACTACCTCGCCTCGCACCTGGACCTGTTGAACGCGATTATTGCCTGTACGCCCACACAGGCGGAGCGAAACTCGCTGCGGGAGCAGTTCCGCATGTCAGGCTGGGAACGCTGTCTGGGCGGCAGCCTACGGCTGTGCAAGGAGAAGTTCTATCCAGGTGTGCACGACGCACTTCGCACTTGGGTGGCTGCGGCCGCCGACGATGGCTGGAACGTCCGAGACGTGCGGTTTGGACCGCCACAGGAATCCCGGAGCGCGTCGCCCAAAAAGGCGGCTGCTGCCGGTGCGTCGCCCAAGAAGGAGCCGCCGCCACGGCTGGAGATGCCCAAGCTGGATTTCGTTCTGGACGGGCCCCTGTCCGCTGCCCCTTAGTGGGAGGAGGACAAGTGGGCGAGAATGTTTGACGGTCCGAAGAAACAGATGATAAAGAGGAGCTTAACGACGGCAATATAGCCTGGGATTCTGCCAAAACATCGCTGCTCAATAAACCAAAGAGGAAGAGGCGGCAGTACGACTGTCGCTAGCAGAGAAGGAAACATCAGCATGAGCCAGGATTCTCAAACCCGTACATAACATACATGATCATTTTTTTGGGGGCTCGAGGAGTTTGGACAAAAAGGAGGGTAACATAACAAGCATGGCAAGACTTGTATAAAGTTTCTATTGGTTTTCCTTTCTGATTTCATTTCCAGGGGTCCTGACGACCACAGGCGCAGGACATTGCAGGCAAGGATGGGATTGCTTTTTCCGACTGTTACTACTTTCTTTCCTCTCTCTCTCTCGGAGTTACTGTTCTGCAGCACCTTCAACTGGGCGCATTCTCGTCTTCCCCGAGGCCACCATCAGGACGAATCGCAGAGGGCTATTTGCACGATTGCATGGAAGTCGAGCATTGGTTGGCCTGGTCTCTTTCTTTTGGGAGGAGGCCAGGCTCAGGGAAACGGCACTATGAAGGATACACAAGAGGGCCGGCTGCGACTGTTGTTCTTCAACATTATACATGCTGGTTCTTGTCAGAAAGTTCCAGGGAACGGCTCTTGGATCGACAGCAGCAACTCATGATGATCATGTGTAATGAATCAATGAATGTCTCATATTACCAATTTCCGTTCTTGTTGCTCTTGTTTTGTGAGTGAGTGCGTGCGTTTCAAATTCAATAAAAGCTTTCGTGAACTAATTCGATGCGAATACCTTGAGCATTTATACATTTTGGTGGGGGGAGGGGGTTTCGTTCGCCTCTCTCTCTCTCTCTCTCTCTCTCTCTCTCTCTCCCTGCTCCGACCACGACCTCGACCTCACTCGATCTCATCCAGCCTCGCCCACAGCAGTTTATCGTCCTCGTTGAGCTCCAAATCCCAGAATTTTCGAGCTTTCCCAGCCGCCAATTTCCCTTTGTCCCTAGTCCGATACACAGAATCGATCAGCCTCACGTCAGGATGATTTCTCAGCAGCCGCGACACGCCATTCATGCCGATGAAAACGGCATACGGCACACCCTCAGCCATCTGGCCCTGGCCAGCATAAAACCGCAAGTAATTCGCCTCCAAGGCCCGCCGCACCCGCAGGGAACACGTGCCCCCACCACCACCGCTCCTCCCCAAGCCTTCCTCGCCCTCGCCAGACCCCACCACGCGCGACGCCTCGAACCCGACCAGCGACGACGACGGAGACACCACGGCATCTCGCAGCTGCTCCAGGCCGTCCGGTGAGAACAGCACATAGCCCAGGTGCAGGAACCGCAGCGAGGAGCTCGTGGTCACCAGGCTGGCGAGGGCGGCGATGGCGTCGTCGGTGACGTGATTGAACCGCTGGCCCAGGTCGGCGGTGCTGAAGCGGGAGGCGAGGTCGAGGTGGCGGATGCGCGGGTGTCGGGCCAGGGCGGTGCAGACTGCGGACACGCCGTGGGAGGAGAAGCCGCAGGAGGCGAGGGTGAGGACCTCGAGGGTTGTGTTGTCTCTGATGCCGGCGGCGAGGGCTTGTGCGCCGGCGTCGCCTAGTGGGTTGTTGGACATCATGAGGTAGCGGAGCCTGCAGGCTGGGCTGGCTAGGAAGGTGGCGATGGCCTCTGCCGCGGCGGTGCTGGCTCCGTTGGCGTTGATGTAGATGGCTTCCAGGCTGTTGGTGCTGCTGCTGGTGCTGGTGCTGCTGCTATCGGCCAACGTGCGCGCGAGGCCGTCGAACAGCGCCGCGATGCCGGCGTCGCCCAGCTCACAGGTCTCGAGGTCCAGCACGCGCAGACGTGGAGCAGAGGCGAGGAGGGCGAGGAGGTCGGCCACGCAAGCAGGGCCCAGCGGGTTTCGCTTCAGCCAGAGGCTGCCGAGGACGTCGCTCCCGCGCAGCGCCGAGGCCAGCGCGTGGAAGCCGGCGGGTTTGATGTGGTTCCCTGCCAGGTACCAGGTCTGCATCCTGTGCGGGTGGTCTCTTGCGAACTGGGCGATGCGGCGGGCGCCGTGGTTGGTGATGACGTTGTTGCCCAGGAGGAAGTGGCGGATGTGGGTGTTGGACTCGAGGGCGTCCATCAGGGCGTCGATGTGGTCTGGGCCCACGACCATTTTGCAGAGGTCGAGGCGGCCGTCCTCGTAGATTACGCCGCGCTTGAACTCGAGGAGGCGGGTGGCGTGGCCTGGCTCTTTGCCGATGGTGATGCCTTTTGAGAGGGGGGAAGAGGTGGTGGGTGTGTGGTTTAGCAGGGCCTCGACCCGTCCTTCACACCCTTTGTTGACGTCGTCGTCGTCGTCGTCGTCGTCGTCGTCGTCGCCACCCTTCAAGAACGCAAAGCAGTCTGCGAAATCCGCCGTGTCGCCAACCTGCACAGGCATCGGCCTCGCCCGAGGAAGCTCAACAGGATCCAGCACCGGATCCCAAGCCCCGCGGCCCATGTCCGGCCGCGCCCGCTCCAGCAAGAGCCTCCACCTCTCCTCCTCCTCGGTCTTCGCAGCAGCCTCCGCGGCCCGTCGCGCAGCCACGGCGCGCTTGCGCTGCTCCTCGTAGCGGATGATGGCTTTCTCGGGGCTGGCATTGGGGAAGAGGAGGGTGGCGGTCTGCTGGGCTTTCGGGCGCTGGGCGTGGGGACGTCTTTTGGGGAGGGCGAAGACGGTGGGTGGGGGGTTTTGGTAGTTGGTTTCTTGGGTGGCTTTAAGGAGGGCGGCGCAGGCTTGGGCATCCATTTCTTGGGTCGGGAACGACATGATTGTGGGTGGGGAGATGTTGATGTTTGCGAGCTTGAAGTAGTTCAAGGGACCAGTGAGGCTGCTCATAGGATCTCAGATGTGTTGTAAAGTGGTCTGCTAATATCAATTGTTCCAATGTGAAGCAAACAAGGTTGATCCTTTTCGATGGTATCTAAACTGAAGAATGTGAATATCACGCGCTCATCAGGAGAAGGAAGTAAGAAGTGCTCTGATGCACGGTTTATACATGTGTCTGAGCAGAGGTGTTATTCACAAACACAAGTACACACATACGTACTTATATACAAGTATGCAAGTATGTAAGGATGTATATACAGGGTACAACTGCACTCGTAACGTAGTTGCGCATGGACAACGAGTAAGTCCTCGGAACTAAACAGTCGAACCCACTTTAGGCACACTACCTCCAACACCAGCGGGCTGCCAGTGACTCAAGCCGGATATATATCTACAGTGAAAACCATACAGACATTAACTTTCATAATTACTGTGTGGGCCCTTGGGACCAGTCATTCTCTCTAGCCTTTGCTTGAGCCTTGGGAGATCCTATAATGAGAAATCACGGGCTGACGCTGAGGATCCAAGGAGGGTGCAGCAGGTCTATGCGCATTTGCGCACACATCAAACGCGAGCATGTCATGACACCTCATGCAGTCTTTGATGGCCAGTGCTTGTAGCCAGGTTCAATCTGCATAGATATTTAAAAACATAGCCTTGAACAATCGAGTTATTGGTATGTCAGCTAGAATTTAGATGCTAGACTCTCCGTGACGCTCTTGCGAGGCAGACGTGGATGCCCTTCGAGGTGCTCCCGTATAAGGAAGGTCGATCAACAAATTGTTTAGAGAAACAATAATACGAAAAGAGTGAGAGCGTACAGAAATTGTCTAGTGCTATGCTAAATCCTTTCCAGCTATAATAATCCTTATTGCCAAATCAGCCGTGTGCGAAGATCTTTATAGTCTACAACCTCGTCCGCAAAACGGGCCACCAACACTTAGTTCATACGAGTATCGGTGCAGATCTGACCATTCTCTTTAGCCGATGGTGATGTTCCTCGATTTGCTAAGACTATTCGGCAGCTACAGCTGATCTGCCGGACTTACACTGGTTCGTTTTGTTGCAGCGCTCGTAGTCAAATATAATATTTACGATGCCAATATCGTGCTGACTCTATGCAAAACTGAGAAAAGATGATAGCTTACTGTTACTGCTTACTCATCTTGATATTCAACATTAACCAGACATCAATATAAGCGCGGTCAGGCTCTAATTCAACCTTATAATTCCTTCAAGGTTTGAACGGAGACATCTGTTCACATTTGAGTAATAACAGCAGTATGAAACATGCTCAAGGTAAGTACTCAAGAGATTTAGCTTCCAAGTAAGTACTTCGCAATCATAGAAAAACGGCTGCAACCCCCGAACCTACGAATTCGGAATATATTTCCCACCCTCTGCCTGCAACATCCTCGCAAAGTCATCATCCTCAGTCTGCCCTCGCCCACCCACAATGCCATAGTAAGTCGGCATGAGCACCGCCTCGTCAATCTCCTTGACCTTGCCCTTGGCCACATACAGCAGCTCGCCATGCCTCTTCTCGTCGGCCATGAGCAGTGCCGCGGCCCGCGCCACCACCTCGGCCGGCTGCGTCTCGATGCCCAGGTCGTACATGGCCTTTGGAGGCATCCCCGTGCGCGTCCATGACGGCGCCAGGCCGTTGATGCGGATGGGGATGTCATTCCGGATGAGCTGTTGGCGCATGGCGCGCATGAACCCGAACACACCGTGTTTCGAGGCACCTGGGATGGTGTCTTTCTTTCAGCACGTCCAACCAGGACAAGCAAAATGAAAGGAAGGGGGAAAAGGAAAGCAAGAGAATAGAAGAGAGAGCTTTTGGCCAGACTTACAGTAATCCACGCCTCCGAAGCGCTGCAGACTTGCGATCGAACAAGTGATGACCACACTGCCCTTGCTGCCCGTCTCCGTCTCTGCGGCCACTTCATTCATCCTCAGGTAGTAGATCCCCAGCGTGGCAGTGTTGATGGCGCCGTTTAGGTTGAGATTGTACAGCTTCTGGCTGGGCTCCAGCGGGTCGCCGTTCTCGTCGTGCTCATCGTCACCAGGCTTCCCGTCCGGGTTGGGAAAGTAGTTGGCCGCGGGTCCGATGCCAGCATTGGCAAAGACATGGTCGATGCGGCCGTGGCGTGCCTTGATGGCCTTGAAGAGGGCCAACAGGTCGGCCCAGGAGGAGGCGTCAGTCTCGTGGTGGGTGTAGGAGGGGCTCGAGAGGGGCTTCTTGGGCGGGGAGACATCTGCTCCGACCACCTTGGCGCCGAGGGAGAGGAGGAGCTGTGTTGTTGCTAGGCCAATACCTGAGGAGCTGCCTGTGGTACTGGGTGAGCTGGAAGGAACCTTTGGTCTATCGAACCCAAAATAACGAACGTCCCGAGCGGTTGGCATGACCAAGGGACACTAGATCTTACGATTACATGGCGGGCGGTCTCTGATGATTGATGAAAGACCGGCTTACCTGTGACAATTACGACTTTGTCTTTGAGACCAACCAGGTCCTGGTCCTGGATGACAAAGTCGCTCATGATGCTGGATTTGTTAATGTCACTTGCATTGCCCCTTTTCCCACCCGAGGCTTGAGCGAAGATAGACAGTTTTGGACAAATAATGATGTCGAGACAAGGCTAACATATCGATAATCAGAATTGATAGTAATTATAGTCTTCTCCTATTAATCAAGTAGATCATACCACAAGACACGTAGGCATTGCTCGTAGCGTTAAGCTGGACCTGGCCGAGATCTGTCAAGCACTGAATTTGGCTTGTAGCCGCCTGGTCATGTGCACAGGCTATAATTCATGAGATAACGAACGTTGGATCCGCCCTGCCAGTAATGTGCCAACGACCCATGGCGAGGACCCATCTTGAGATACCGCAATGCGGACACCGTGACAGCAAGGCCTCGAGCTTGATTCTGCGCAGCTGCAGGGCTTCTGTATGCTTGATGGGCAGAGCGATGACTGTGTTTGATGTATCGCAGATACACAGATAAGATTCCATTTAGACACAATGAAATGGTGCTTGATTTCTTTGTCTTTGTGTATAGATGCTCAATTTTCAAAGCATTCACAATGTGAAAACTGATCTTGGTATCAACCGAGACAGCTGGTCGCGAGCAAGAATATTAATATTGGGGAAAGTGGGCCGTTTTGCCCCTAACCCTGCAACTTTCTTGCCATGTAACCCGTTCACGAGGCTGAGATACAAAATACTCATGTACTTCAGTACTCAAATCCTTTCTTTGGTTCTGCAGATGACAACCTTACCACTGTTCATACCTATCTTATCCTTCAAGGCTATTGCTTCACCTCAATGGAAAGTCTACTTGTTGATCTGGCATAAATTCAACCAGGTGTCTCACATAGTTTTCTTGCGTTCCACATGAGCATGTCACCTAAAATCAAATAGACTTGCCTATGTTGCTCTCGAAACGTCGTATTGCAGCTGGCTGTAGGCTACAGGGCAGTGCAGCCTGAGTGTAAGCGCTTCTGCCGCGATTATCCACTCTCTGTTGGTCCGACTGATCAGCCAATGCTATCGTTTAGAGGCACCAGCCACGAGGACTTGCATGAGCTGAAAGACGCAGTGCTTCCGCTCGCTCATTGCAACATATAAACAGACATTTTGCGTGAAAAATTTTCCAGAATTTCCTCATCTGCAAGTTACTGAACTTCCATAAGTCATACAGAATCAGTAACTGACCTACGGCTTGCGAACAAACATCCTCTCCCTTGATTACTCCACCAATTCCCTCTGTGCTCATGGCCTGTCGTTTAAGCCTTTCTGTTCTACTACTCGCGTGGCTCATCACAGCTGTCAACGCCCAAGATCTCGCCGACAATTCCACGACCAACGTCCTCGTAGGCTGGCAAACCGGACCCGATACACGAAGCACACTCGGGCTTATCTGGAGTTGCCTGGGCACTATTTTCGCCTGCACGTGGACTGTGTTGCACCTCAATTTGCCTGGCCTTGACGACACGACGTGGGAGAAGACGTTGCGGAAAGTCAAATGGTTGGCAATCAATATCCTCTTCCCTGAATTCATCTTCTCCAAGGCCGTCTGCGATCTCCGGCTGGCCCTCGAGGAGCTGCGGGAGTTCGACGAGAATCTACGGGAAAACGGTCCCTTTACGTGGATCATTGTTGACAGAGATAATAATGGGCAAAAATGGCTTTGGGCTGTCGAGTACCCACGAGGGTACAGACTTCTCTATCGTCTGCTGGGACTAAAGACGCCTCCAGCGCCCTCTGATTCCGAAACTCAGCAGGATGTTGGAAGAGGGGCTCTTTCTCCAACACCATCGTCGTTAGATTCTCAAAACCCAAGTCCAGCACGCCTTACTATCGCTGTAGGCTCCGACCCTACAACGAGACCGATGGCCGAAAAAAGTACATCATCACAGGAGCAAGCAAGCAATCAGAAACAGCCCGCAATCAAGCCCCCACGAATCAGATCGGAGACGGAACAAAAATGGACTGCCGTGCACTCGTACTACGCTCAGATGGGAGGCCTTTTAAAACTCCATTACATTTTACATGGGCCGGCGTATTCAGTCTTCACCGCGTGCATGTTGACTCCGCAATACAAGTGGAACAAGAACTCCGACCACCCCCTTGTACACCTCGTCCTGAGTAAGGATGATATACAAGACAAGAGCAAGGCAGACTGGCTGCTGAAGGGCATTGCGGTCCTGCAGATCACGTGGCTCATCGTCAGCGTAGCTGCTCGCCACACCACGAAGCTACCTATCACCCAGTTAGAGATTGCCACCGTTGCTTTCGCAATCATGGCAGTTGCTATTTATCTGGCCAGCTGGTGGAAGCCAAAGGACGTCTCGAGACCGACTGTTTTGCAAGGTGGCTATGATGGGTACTTTGCAGAAGGAGTAATCCACCGCACACAGCGGCTCACACTACGGCTACTGTCACCGACTCGGGCTGCAGACGAATCGAAAAGTAGAGAGGAAAGTTACTGCGAGCGAGTGCAGAATGATGTTGTTTGGATGGGAGGGAATAATCCTCCCATGTTCGTTTTAATGGCCATTTCGTCGATGGTTTTTGGCGGTTTGCACTGCCTTGCATGGAACTTTGATTTTCCTACGCGGGTCGAGCTCATCTGCTGGAGGGTTGCAAGCCTAACCTCGGCCATCCTGCCTGTCATAACGCTGTTCTTCAACGGCCTCCTCGGCTATATAGCAGACAGTCTATTGGAGTCCCGCTTTCTTCGGACATGTCCCGCAAAGCTCGAGTCCCTGAGAAAACTGCCTCAGGCATGGTGGTCAAAGGTCACATATCCCACATTCATGGGCTGGAGCAGCGAAGAAATAACCACTCTCATATCACAATCAACGGGCGACAGGAATTGGAAAGTGCCACCGTCAGCAGAAATCATCGCCAACGCCCGGGCTAGTGAGAGGTGGCGTGATTGGGATCACATACATGTGGAATCCAAGAGATCCCACAGAATCTTTAAGCTTTTCGGAGTGTGGTGGCACATGTTTATGATAGACGACAGCCTGAGAGGACATATGAGCTATGCGCCGTCCGACCTCAATCGAACTGTCTCGGAAATATCACGATCATCTCCCACAACTCAACTTGTACCCCACGAAGTCCTGAAATTCTGGCACAACTACGAGGAGTTCATCTTTCGGGAACTCGATATTCCTACCACTGATAGACCCAACCACTCTTTCTTGGAACTCAGTCTTCATGATTTCAAGCAGTTCCAAGAGGCAGTGAGGGCATATAGGGCATCGCATGACATGTGCAATCGCATATCGACCTTTCTCACTATATTCAGCGGCATCCTCTACACATCTGCCCGCCTCGCCATTATTGTTCTCCTGTTTACGTGTCTCAGGTCAACACCAGTGGGCGTCTATCAGAATGTCTCCTGGACGCAGTTCCTGCCGAACATTTCATAAGCAACACAATAGCACGCACAAATACCGCAGGGATATTGAGAAACAGCAGGCTAGTCAAGTCGGTTAACTGACATTCGAATATGTGTTGTAGCTTCTTGCAACTTGCCTCGCGATGTACTGTCTTCGAAAGACAGCACAGCGAGAGCGAAAGCACGCCTCTTTTTCTCCGTCAAAACCAGAAAAGTGGAAAAACTGGAAAAGTAGTGGAGAGACCTCCAACGGGGAGGCCTGGTGCTGAAACGAAAAGGGTTTTCCATTTCGAGAATTCGCATGTAGATGCGTACAATAGCGATTTTCATCTGATGTCGGGATTCCGACCTCTAACTAGGATCTGTCCACACGTATTCAACAAGTCTACTCAAGTCAATGGGATTTCGAATGGGTATTTCGAAAGGGCTTGATCGTGTTCGCCGTCATGGTAAAAGTTTATCCACATGAAGTAGCACATATGTTGTAGACTAATTAATTATTCCATACAAATCTCAGTTTCCGTAGCTAGATCACATAGTCCCAGGAACATGCACAGTAAGATGGGCTCGTGAATATTCTATACTCAAGGCGCCGGCGAATGTGCCATGAGCATCGGCCGTAAAGCACTCCATCAACTGTCCGCATAGAGTCAGATTCATCAGAAGGCAATTGCCACTATTTGTGCGAGGGCCAGTGAGTGCACGGCCCCAGCCAGCCAACAGCCAGACCTGTTGATAGCCTCAGATAGCTGGTCTCGTGGCGTTTTTCTTCCTTTCTCTTTTCTTCTTCAGCGCACAGCAATGCAATCCTTTTGCCCTCACACACTATTACCTTTCCAGTCATGTTATACAGAAATGTAGTCACTAAAAATCAGTATCCAATTGTCCATCGGGTGTTTCAATAGGTTGATCACCCAGGCTAAAGAGTTGATTCGGGAAGTGGGGGGGGGGGGGAGAGAAGAGGAAGCAGAAACGGCCAAGGTGTGACGATGACATGAACAACTCCCTCGAGTCAACCCCAGGTGAACATTGTGTTATGATTGGTCAAAAGGGTGGCACGTGGGTAAGGTATGTCTGCTATTATAATTACTCTAGCAAATAGGGTCACAACTTCCGCAAACATCTACACTTGTACTAACACCGATTGTCTCAAGTCTGCGGTTCGCCTCTTCGTCGGCGCTTGTTTCGGGAAAGCAGTTTTAAGAGCTACAAATGAAACTGGCACATGACTATTGACCGAGGTATGGCCGACCTCGCCGTAGAATAGTGATGCTATGATAATTGTAAGTTGTCCAGTGAAACAATTTTCACTGATGAACGCGGAAGGATTCACTGTCCTTCTTCACTCAAACGTAGCGCAAGGAAAATTATTATTTGTCATGATCTTGATGTCAAGTGACGCTCAAATGGCGGCTGGTGGGATATCTTTATTTCAAATACTCCGTAATCATGATTCTTCAGATAATAACTCTTAGCGATCGTGGAGTTGCAGATGTCCTAGAAGTGGGAGATGTCACTCCTCTCCAAGAAGGACATCTCCACTCTGAGGGCCAAGGTTTTTTCAAAAAGAGTAAGCAGCTCAAAGAACAATTTCTCAAGGCTGAGAATAGCGATTAGCTACTTTGATAAAAGGGGAGAAAGAGACAAAAGAGGTGTGACCCATCAAGGTGCCACACCACACGCGGACAGTTTAAATCCTCTAGACCTCGTGTCCTGTCGTCGTTTTTTCCTAGTTATCCTCCTCTTATTCCTCACTCGAATCGGACGAGGAATCCTTCTCGATGATTGGGGGTGGCTTGGGGATGTTTCTTCGGAAGATGTGGCGCTTGATGAAGTAAGGCAGCCAGACCTTGAGCTCGTAGCCGATGAACTGCTTGGTGGGTACGGAGAAGACCTCTGTGGACGGTGTGTTAGCGAAGGGAAAGCTCACATGTGAGAGGTGTGCGAAGGAGGGTCTGCACTTACGGTCCAGCTCTTCCAGGGTGAGCTGTTTTGTTTCTCTCACGAAACAGAAGATCATGAACCAGGCAATCAGGTTGAGACCGGCGTAGAATCCGACTGTAACGACACGAGTCAGCTGCAAGTTGCTCTTTCATGGATGAGTTTAGATAGAAGCTTTAATTAGCACTTACAAGCTCCCGTTGGGGTCATGACGGTCCGCATCCGAGGGAATGTCAAACTCAGGATACCAGCTGCAGACGACGAGGTTAGCCAAAAGCCATCAATTATCGTACGGCGTGCTCATGAACAACCGAGCAAGACTCACCAAAGGTGTTGTTAATGCACACAGCCCAGGCCATTCCCTGCTCACGCTGAATCGTGGGGAACACCTCTGCAGAGTACTGGAATGCGACAGGTCCTTCGCCCAAGGAATAGCAAATGGTAAACAGGTAGACGAATCTGAGTTTTGCGCCAAAGAGGTCAGTATTCTATGCTCGAATCTAGAATCATTTTCAAGAGTATGTTTTTTCTTTCTTCTCCTCTGTAGTTGGTACTTACAAAACGACTGGGCCAATCTGTGCGCCTTTGGAACCTGTGGTGTTCAGGAGAGAGAGACCGCCAGCCAAAAGGAAAATACACATGAGTGGGAATGTCTGCGCAGAGAAGGAAACAAGACGTGTGAGCTGTGTAGTTCATATAAGCGTGTTTTGGGGGCTTTGAGACTTACAATCAAGGTCAGGGTCCTTCGGCCCTTGGTGTCGATGAGGAACAGTGTAGGGATTGTGAACACGACCTGGACGGCACCGTAGCCCAGAGAGGCGTACAGGGCCTGGGTGGCCGTGTAGCCGACATTTTCGAAGATGGTCGAGCTGTAGAAAGAGATGACTGTGGGGTTGAAGCGTGAGCACGTCTGAACATCACATTTTTTCCCACCCATACACGCGATGGTGGAGGGCGAGGACGGTAGACTTACTGTTGATGCCACACATCTGCTGAGCAATCATGACGGTCGAGGCACCATAGTTTGCGCGCCTGATGCGAGGCACAGTGAAGCAGTCCTTGAGACGAGAGAAGTAGCCGGCGCCACGTGCCTCCTTGAGTTCCTCCTCATAGATGATCCACGAGTAGTAGAAGTCCCGTGCGGCGATGATGGGATGCGCTCGGAGGCGGTTCATCGATCTAAAGCCCTTTGCGTGATGGCCATGCTTCATGAGCCAACGGGGCGACTCTGGGCAGAACCAGATTCCGCAGGCGAGAATGAAGGACGGGATGAAGGCGGAGCCGAGCTGGAGACGCCAGGCAATTCTGCCGGTGTCCTTGACGATGACGTTGGCGCAGAAGCCGAGGAAGATGCCTGTTATTTGGCGTAACGAGGAAACAAGTCAGCGGTGTTCTAAAAGCTAAAGAGACTACAAACCCAAAGAGACAATCAATGTGTTTGAGGCACAAACTTACCTATCACAACCCAAAGCTGCCAGAACATGACAAGGGCACCTCGAATCCGAGCCGGAGCCATCTCAGCAGAGTAGATGGGTACAGTAGCATTCTTTGCACCAATACCAATTCCCAGAACGAAACGCGCAGCGAACAGACCCTGCCAGGACTTTGCGAAAGCGGAACCGATGGGAGTGGCAGTCAGACAGAGGGCTGTGACGAAAATTTCACCTCTTCGGCCCAGGTAGTGGTTCAGAGGATCGACAATGAAAGCACCACTATCAAAAGCGACACACAGTTAGCTCTACACACCACTAGATTTATCGACAGGTAAAGAGAGGAAGAGAGAGGGGCGAAGAGAAACAAAATATGGGTACGAACATGAGACCGGCAGTCAAGAAGATGATGGCGTTGATAAGACCCACAATCCACTCGTCCTTCCCCGTGCCATTAATGTTGAACTCCTCCGGAAACGACAGGTTGGCGCCATTGGAACCAGTCTGGTCCCAGCCCTGCGTGGCCGCACCGATGGCACAGAGGGCGATGGAGTACCAGAGCATCGTGGGTCCATGCCACTTGTGGTCCTTCTCGTAGGCAAGCGCGGCGCGCTCCTGTTCGTCAAGGCTGGCGATCGAGTCCAAACGGTGTGGGTCGCGGGCAACGAGGGCGGCCCGGCCGAACAGCTCGGCGTGCTCGCTCATGCCATGCGACTCGGCGAAGGCCCTGGCATCGCTGACGACTTTGTCTGGTGTACTCCGCTGTAGACGTGATTCTCAAAAGGTTAATACTTGGATCACTCCTCTCGAGGCCACAACATGTTGTTACAAGTGGCAAAAGTGTCTAGAGTCGATAAGACAAAAAACTCACCTTCAGCGGGTTCTCGACGAGGTTGAGGGCGACTGCTCTGTGGTGACCAGGTGTTTCAAGATCTGGACTGGCGATGGCGGTCTTCTCATCATGAGATACGTCGGCGACGCCGGCGGCTGACTTCTCGGCCATGATGTTGATGTGTGTCTCTGTATTGTGTGTGTGTGTGTCTTTGTCTGTGTATGTGTGTATCTCTTGCAAGAACTCTGCTACTACAGCTTCGAGATCATCACATGCAATCCGAGTCTGAAGAAAAAGGAACCTCAGCTCTCTTTTTTTTTTTTTTGGGCGTTACGACATTATCGGAACTGTCTTGGGGAGGTGGGCGCGCGTGCGGCTTATAAACCCCCCGACCGCAGCGAATTCAACCGGATCCGAGCATGCATCCAGCATCCAAAGCATCCAGCCATCCATCTCTCTTCCATCCAGGTGCCCAACAAGCTTAGGAAGGGCCCCCATGTTCGCCTCCCTCCTCGAGCTCGACCCGGGAACTGTTTGGTCAGACCTAGCCGTCTGCGTCTAAGGAACCACTCGTGACCGCTTTCTTAATCACCGAAGGACAAAAGAGACAAGGACGAATAGAGCAGGGATCAGCAGCAAGCCAAGGTTGCTAGGTGTTGCTGGGAGTACTGCTCGCTGATGACGGTCCACCCTTTGCTTGGGGCCCCGCGGGGTGGTGAAGATACGAGAGCCACATCTTTTGATCCTTGGCGCATCCGGCGTGTGGGGAGGTGGGGAGGCGAGAGCAACCTTGGAGGGGGAAGGACAAAAAGAGTGCTAACGGTTTCATAGTGCTATTGTACAGTATCTACTGTAGGAAAGGGCACTAAAACTCACGCTTTCACGCGAGCGAAAAAAGGCCCGCAACCGGGGGGGGTGCGGAGGGCTTAATTAGCACACTACTTACTCAGGAAAGGGGATTTTTCGTTCCCTGTTATTCCCCGGGGCCCATTCAAGCCGTTACAACAAAAGAGCCCAACGCGGTGTCTCCTCAGCGGGCGCACGCGGGTAGGCCAGTGTCCATTCGCCTTAGTTACCCTTCTATAGTCGTTCACTATGGCAGCCTCATTCTCTAGTCTCGACGCCTTTTTTCCTGTCTTTACAATAGTACAAACGGTCACAGGGTTGGACGGAACAAAGCCAAGTAGACCAAGGCGACACGGGCCTGCCCGTCTTGTCCCTCTCCTTTATCGAGAAAGGGGGGGGGGGGGGACAAAAAGTCGAAACAAAAGCAAAAAAACCACCAAGAAGTCTTGGCCAGTGCTCCAGTCAGGCCATGCACGGGGATGGGAATGCAACAATAGACCCACCGTGGCGATCCAGCTTGGATCCTGCATGCACAATAAACCATGCTCGTGTCATGGTTGTTTGTACATGCTAGGTTAGGTTGTAGAAGTCTCCATCACCCTCTCAAAGACGAAGGTTTTCGCTGTCTTTCCATTGAATCGCAGGATTTCACACAGGTGGGCTTGGCTTACGTCTTGGCTTAAGGAGGAAGTTTGTTTTGCATGATGGCTGGCGGCAACCACGCTTCGGCCGTCGCCTAGCCAAGACATGATACATCAACTGTGTACTTCAACACGTACTGTCTCGTGCTACTATGGCGTGTGCAGTAGCTGGTAAAAAAGAAGAAAAAAAGATATGAGCCTCCTATCTACCTCACTCTATCCCTCTGTGGTTTTTCTCTGTGCAGGTATCCAGCGTGCCGGCCCATCGGCTATGTGGTCAAGCTCAAGCTGCCGGTGGCTCGATATCATTGGAAGCATCGCGTGAGATCGTCCAGCCGAGCCCGGTGGTGTTGCTGGGAAGGGGGGTGGGCCTCTAGGGCATGCAGCAAAGCATGCAGACAATTGTTATCGACATGCATTAGAGTAAAATTGAGCCCCTCCTTGGACGATCCTGCCCACCGAACTGGCCAGGCTCGACCTTGGCGAGCCTTGCCGATCTTTCCCGCCTGGTCTCGATGTCCTGAGCGAGGTTTCGAGGCCTGATCCCTTCCAGCCTTCTTGTACTGTAGATACACGGACAGACCTGCCAGGGGGGTTATGTCTCTGAAACTGAGCAGTGTTTTCCTTTCCTTTTTATCTTTTTTTCATACTTTTCGGTGTCAGCAGATCAAGAGAAATTCAATCAAGGCCGCATCCGTTGTGGACATCGTCGCTTCCTGCTGCATGTGCCATCATCCTCTCTTGCTGTTCGTCTACGAATCAGGTAAATTTGCTCGTTCGAACGGATCCGTAGAGGGTACATGCACTAAATCCAAAAGCAACGCGCAGAGCTGTAAACTCCACACCGCCTTCAGCCTTGTCTTCCCGATCCCCCATCCCCCAGCCACTAATTGCCAGAAGCGTCCAGCATCACATTCCAGATCGATTTTCCAGGAACGCCCTCCCCCCCTTCCCCAAAGCCCACGAGAGAAAAGGGGGAAGGAGAAGAAAAAAGAGGAAGCAAAGCATACATGTACTCGCATAATATAACGAACTTGTCTCAGCCATTGACAATCACAATCGATCTCGCGCTTAAATGGAGATGTTTCCGAAACACGTGCATGGTACCGTACTACGCTGAGATGAACATGTGCTTACTAATCTGCATGACACAGACGACATACCATGCCATGTGCTCTGCACTTTGGCGGTTCAGATATATCACATACATACTATGGAACACACATGCAACCCTTGCATACGTCTATAGTACGGGGTAGCACGAGAAACGCCGGTCTTACATGCCATTAATCATCTTTCAGAGCTTTCTTTTGATGCAGACAGAAAGAAAAAAAAAGAGGGGGGGAAGGGGCTAGGGGTTTTCTTCTCATGTACCATGTACTCTGCAGCTTACTTGCAGATTGTTCTGACCAATTATTAGTGTTTTATACTGTAAGAGTATCCATCTTTTGATGACCATTTGTGCCGTAGTGGTGCAAGGCGTAGGGAGCCCATGGCCGGTACCCGAAGGCTCGATGCTGCACAAGGTGACACTGAGAGAGAAAAGACCAGGTACTACTGATCACAGCTGGAGGATTCGTGTAGGGATGGTGGTCTCAGCTCGTGTGACCTACCAAAAAGTGGGAAAACAAGCGGGGGTACAGTAGAACAGTCCCTTTGTAGGATTTCAACTCATTCATATCCCGTCTGTTTGTTGGATGACTAGTTCATGATCCTAGTGTGCTGCTGGTAGCCATCTGCATGAGAACAATGCTTTGCCTCTTGTTTTTTTGTTGAGAGAATTGCCTTCTTGGGGTAGTCGAAGCTTCGGCTACTCTTGCCTAGCAGAGACTTCCGATCCCAGCTCCAAAGGAAGTACCACCACGTTCCTCAGCTTAGCGTAGAGCACTTTACACATGGTATTTGAAATCTTGGGCAAGCGCTTGTCAGCACTTGCATCGTAAGTGGCGCTCGAGCCAAAGGAAAGGGTCTGAGGCTGTATGCAGTATGCGAGGCATGTAGGGCTTTGATTACATGCAAGCTCAGAGGTGAGGGGCTCAAGACCCCTCTTTTTACTCTATGACGCTTTCTTTGTGGAGAGAATCCAATACAGGAAGACGAGCGAAGGGGAGAATTGGAAAGAGTGGAGGGGGAGCCGCTTTATAAGCTTTGTGGACTTGTCATTATGGGACTAAGATTCCACGTGCATTATATGAATTCAGCATATAATGCACAATGTTGTGTGACGCGGTTTGCATAGGTGCATTCTCGAGCTGATGTTGAGACACCCTCTCATATATGAGGGGAGTATCAACAAAAAGGGTTTTCTATGTTCTAATACAAATCCCATGATTTCTGAGACATCATGGGTCTTGTTCTACCATCTTTCTTTTGAGGGCTTTCTTTTTCCTGCTTATATTGAAAACAATAACCACATCAGGTCGTGGCGCGCCACGGCCCCGGATGTGAGTCCTCTGCGTATGACGGCGCTCAAGCCCTAGTTCGGCACTTAATTGTTTTGTTTGGATCAAATATGTATCTTTCCTAGTTCCCATTAGTTGAGCACAGTTTCAACCTTTTAAGTCTCTCCAGCTGAATATTCTCTCGGCTCTGCTGATCCACTTTTCATACACCACACACGTTTACTAATACAGCATGTCTTTGACTTCCAACGTCCCGGTGGAGCTTCCTCTGACGAGACGATATAGATCCCGTTGTGTCTTGTATTTTCAACAGAGGTGCCTGCAAGTCCGAAGGCTTCCATGACTCAGAGCGTCACGACGTCCGCTATGAGGCTGTCCGTGACAGGGTATACTCAGCCTCGAGACAGCAGAAGACAAAGCAAGAGGTGTGCCTCAGCACAGAAAGTTCTACAACAAGATGTAGAACACCAGGAATGCCCCTTCATGTAACATTATAGTTTGCCGCAGGAACACCATGCTCCGAACTCCTGTGGCTCATCTCCCCACTCTACCTTCCCTCACGTTCTATTGCCGCCCTATCGGATTACAGTTTCGATCCGAAAGAAAAGCACTCATCGTGCGAGTTGGGGGTTGGCCGGTAAGCTCTTCAGCAGCATATAGAACTGCAGGCTTGTCTGATGATCTAAAAAGAAGTCAAATATGGCCTTATCGATGGCTTGGCCAAGCAGACCGTGTGCCTCGATGAGTAGATCCCGTGCCTCCTCATGGGTGAGATTGGTGGCTTCTGACCTGACAAGGACGGGGAGCCACTCATTGATCACGAGTCGGGAATACTCAGAGGAGGATTCGTCCGCCAGTCCCGCTGCCTCTGGGAGCGAAAGCTTGTTGCTGAAAAGGACAGCCCGGGTTGTCGACACAGGGTTGAAGTATCGGGCCAAGATATTCCCGCCGCCCCCGTCATCGCCTTTCCGACCCTTTAGTCTCCCACCGAAGACAAACAGAGGTCCGAACATGGCCAGCTTCTGCTTCAGTGTCGATGAGGAAAGTGAGAACCTGTCCGAGGGTGATGCTTCCAGCACACGTCGCGTACCCATCCTCAATTCCAGCGCCGAGTTCGCAATCAGGGAGCAGGGCCCGCTCTGGGCAATGTTATGACCGAGCGCCGATATGAGAAGGTGCGAACTCGTACGATGGTCGGTGATATTGCGGCTGTACTGGCCGCCATAAGGCCTGTATCTCAATTTCAGATTGGTACCAGCAAGAACTCGATATAGATTCGATGTAGGTCTCTCGTACAACGGTCTCTCGTACACGACGAGACCGACATCCATCAGAGTGTTCTCAATCTTTGAAGCAAAGGCATCGATTGAAGATAGAGTCTTCACGTCGTATTGACGCAAGAACACGGACGTCTGCGGGTCCACTTCGGCCCCAACTCTGATGAAGTTCCGAAGACTTTGAAAAGCCAAGATGAGGCCAGACTGGTCGCCTTCTACGGATCTATAAGGCTTCGCCGCACCATTTGCCGTCTTCGCCGATGTCTTGGGTTTAGGAAGTTTTGCCGCATGTTGCTCGAGTGCCACATATAGAATGGCAGACTCCAGGGTGCCCGTGATGGCGCCCAATACGAGAGCACGAGCATGGAGCGGAGGGAAAGGCAGATCTTTTAGACAAGAAGCGAGAGACGACTCCTTGCAAGCACCGGTGTCGCCTGAGGTCTTGTGTAGGAGGTAGGCGCGGGCTTTTTTGATAAAATGGCGGAACAAGTCGGCATGGGTGTTCTGGAGCAAGATTTTGGGTTGAAAGGGATTCCCAAGACCCGGTGGATAGAGATCGGGGTGGCCTGTTGCGACGCGCTGCGCTGCAGCCAAGTGGCTGACCTGGATAGCGACTGATTTTGCCGCAAAAGTCGTGGGTTGATCAAGGGGCTTTTCCCTGCATACGAGCTGAGATGTGAAGGCCCATTGGGTTTCATCGTGCGAGGTGACAGAGGCCAGCTTGCCCGGACGGGCTCCGCCAGATCCAGCCACCACCTGACAGTAAGACGCTGCTATTTCTTTGGCGTTGGAACGATTGATGTTTATGCGCGGTAGGGACTGCAACTTGGCCAGAGTCTCGGGCCTGCTGATCATACTATCAGCCCGTACGGCGGCTGCTGCCTCAGCGTTGAGCCTCTTAGTGCCTTGTGCAGAAACAGACACATCGAGCTCGTCCACAGAGATAGTCGCGGTCCAGATCTTCCCCATAGGGCTCCTCTTGCCTGGAGAGCACTCGACGACAACCTTGGGCAACAGACCGTGTTGGACCACACGTTCGTATAGACCCAGCATCGAGGCTTTGAGGTTTGGAGGCTTCTCAGGCGTCGCGTCAACTGTTTGCACCAACTTTGAGGACGTATCTTGCTCGAGTTCGGATCTCGTTTCCAAAGGAGGCTCTGCTTCAGCTGGCTGCACAGGTGGTGCTGGCGTGTCTGCCTCAGAGTCAGACCTCATTTCCGAGGAGACTACTGGATCTTTGAGACGCTCCGCCTCAGCTAGCGGAATGGGTAACGAGGGCGCATCTGGTTCAGGCTCAGACTTGCTTTCTGGAGGAGGTGTTGAATCCGAGTGCTGCTCTGCTTCAACTAGGTGCAAGGGTGATGACGGCGGATCTGGCTCAGATTTGGACTTGATATCCGAAGTGGTGCTGTATGCTCGTTGACCGACGCGGGTCGTACAGCCGGAGCTCCAAGCATCGTGGTAGACGGACCACCCAGACGGACGTCCTCGAGGGGTGATTGACGATGACGGGCGACAAGTGAGAAGGGAACGCCAGCGGCGGCCAGCAGACATGCGTGTTGTACCATTGTCAAGGTGACTGGACAGAGCCAAGGCGACCCTGTGAGGACTCTTCACATTCTTATGAACGATCTATGTATGGTCATTCACTATCAGCAAGTTGACAAGCTGGCAAAGAATTCTAACGGGGCAACAAATCGTACCATATTTATGCACGGGATCGTGTCGGTTTAGGGATGCTAAATAATGCATGTACATCCAGAACCACAGCAGTATCATGGGTCAAATAGGTCCTGGACGGTAAGTAGCAAGCAGAAGAGAAGGCTCCAGTAACTCAGTACCCCAATGAAGACGTTGGAAATTTTGGACAGGGGTTGTAGCAGGGATCTAGGCTGATCCCTGCATAACCCCCTGCCATAGCTCTCAGGGACTAAGCGTACAAGCGTCGTTAGAGCCTATCAGGCAATACGTAAAAAAGACGACCGAGGCGTCTATGACCTGATCGACTCAGAAAAAGAATTACGAGCAGACCACTCTGCTCGACTTTTTATACACACCCACGCCTGCACTCGACTCCTCGGCTCGATCTACACCTCAATATTGTCAACACATAACCACAGGCCTTTGTCACGCAGATCAATTCCTTGCTTTGAGCACAACATATTTGTGGACGCTGTGGGGGCCCATGGCTTTCTTCCAGCCTGCGCCCATGGTGGGCAGGGCCGCCTTCAAGAGGCTGGCCCGCCAGGTAACGCAGATATCAAGACCAATATCAGCGCCTCTTGCATACTCGACCTCGACTGCGGCAAACTTGTCGCCTTTTGTCTGTCGGCAGTGCTCAAGGACGACGTCGAGAAGGTCGGCACCAGGGTTCTCCATTGTGTCTGCCCTGACCAAGACACGCACTGCACGCCAGTCACGGAAACTCTCGTCCTCGGCCTCCTCTCCGTCTCTCGCGCGCTGTCTCAGCAGTAGCACAAGCAACAAGACGGCTGCCACTGCCTCGACAATCGATGCCAAACTCAGTGGCGACTCAGATGCCTCCTCCTCCTCCTCTGGAGCAGGGCAGAAGGCAAAGAGCAGCTCTTTCCCGGAAAACAGCTCCAAGACGGTGGCATACTGGTTGATCGGAAGCGCCGCCAGTGTCTTTGGTATCGTCGTCTTTGGCGGCCTGACACGGCTGACGGAGTCTGGGTATGTTTTTCCCAGAAATAAAGGAAGAAACGAAAATGTACAAGCCAATGCTGACCTCTTCACCCCTTCCAACAGCCTCAGCATCACCGAATGGCGCCCCGTGACCGGGTCCCTGCCGCCCATGTCCCCCGAGGACTGGGAATCCGAATTCGCCAAATACCGCGCCTCGCCCGAGTACGTCAAGCTGAACCCGCACATGGATCTGGACGAGTTCAAGAAGATCTACTTCATGGAGTGGACCCACCGCCTCTGGGGGCGCGTCATCGGCCTGAGCTTTGTTATCCCCACGGTCTACTTCATCGCCCGCCGCCGCGTTTCGTCGCGCATGGCCTGGAACCTCGTTGGTATCTCCGGCCTCATCGGGTTCCAGGGCGCCATCGGCTGGTGGATGGTCGCCTCGGGCCTCAAGGATGATCTCTTCGCCGAGGGCGCCCACCCGCGCGTCTCCCAGTACCGCCTGACCACCCACCTGGGCACCGCTTTCGTCTGCTACAGCTGGATGCTCCTCTCGGGCCTGTCCATCCTGCGCGCCCGCCGCCTCTCTGCCGACCCGGCCGCCGCCACCAGGCTCGCCCAAAACCTCTACGGCCCCGCCCTCGCCCCCTTCCGGCGCTACGCCACCGCCCTCACCGCGCTCATCTTCGTGACTGTCCTGACCGGCGCCCTCGTCGCCGGCCTCGACGCCGGCCTGATCTACAACGAGTTCCCCATGATGGGCCTCGGCCTGACCCCGCCCAAGTCCGAGCTGTGGGACGGCTTCTACGCCCGCAAGGAGGACGGCTCCGACCTCTGGTGGCGCAACATGCTCGAGAACCCCAGCCTCGTCCAGCTCGACCACCGCATCATGGCCATGACCGTGTGCGCCTCCGTGATCGCCTTCTTTGCGTACAGCCGCACCGGCCGCGTCAAGGCCGTCCTGCCCCCGGATGCCAGGAAGGCCACCATGGGCCTGCTGCACCTCATGTTCCTGCAGGTCACGCTGGGCATCTCCACGCTGATCTACATGGTCCCCACGCACCTGGCAGCGACTCACCAGGCCGGCGCGCTGGCCCTGCTGACGGGTGCCCTGGTGCTGGGATCGAGGTTGAGGGTCCCCAGGTCGACTCTTGCGCTGCTGCAGCGGAGGATCAAGACCATGCAGCACAAGTAGATAGAGATGGCCTATCATCTTATCAATCCCTCCTGCTCCTCCTCTTTAAAAGAAAAACATAAATAATGTTGCCCTCTTCTCTGCTTTCCTATTAATAAGACCACAAGGAATGGTGTGATTGACCGACCTTGGAATGATACCTAGACATGCTTAGTATCGACACTCATCGGCAGCATCGAGCGAGCATCACGGTGAATTGCACGCATATGATTCGTAAGCATGATGTTAGAACGAGGAATATCTTTTTTTCTTATTTTTTTCTTAAAAAGGCTTGTATTTCGTATCTCGCATGAATCGATGGACGACGACTGCCGTCCTGTCCAGTTCTCTTTGAAGAACCCCGCCTGCTCCAGAGGGAGCATACTACATATATTGTATGTATATGATGGCCTAGACATGCAGACAGATAGGACAGACAGATGAACTACATCTCTCTGTTCTAACCCTTCTATGCAAGGATGCATCCAGTCACCAGGTGTCCATCCCCACTGAGGGGCCGCCAGATGGGGCGGATTGAATCAAGGGCCATGCGGGGCCGTCTCTTGAGAATCTACCTAACGCACTTGTATTTGTTGTATTTTTTCCTTCTTTCTATTTGTGAGCTGTGTGAGACAAGAATAAGTCAGCCAGTCTGGTTCATGTCATAAAGGTGTGTCATCTCTCTCATCCTTTGGCATTACTCACCAATACCCTCGACAGGGAGAGGCTCCACACCGACGACCTCGGCAGCCAGCTTCTCCTTGGTAGGCGCCCCGGCCTTGTCATCGCGCATGAAGGGGAAGGCCTGGACCTCCCTGATGGCGTAGTTGTCGGTCAGGAACATGACGAGGCGATCGATACCCAGGCCCCAGCCGCCTGTGGGAGGCAGGCCGTACTCGAGGGCGCTGAGGAAGTTCTCGTCGACGGGCTGGGCCTCGTCGTCGCCCTGGGCCTTCTGGCGGGCCTGCTCCTCGAAGCGCAGGCGCTGGTCGAAGGGGTTGTTCAACTCGGTGTAGGCGTTGGCGATCTCCTTCTTGCAGACAAAGGCCTCGAAGCGCTCGCACAGGCCCTTCTTTTCGCGGTGGTACTTGGCCAGCGGGGACATCATCTGGGGGTGCTCCATGATGAAGGTCGGGTTGACGCACGTCTCTTCGATGAACTCGCCGACCAGCTTGTCGAGCATGCGGGCGTTGGTCAGTGGCGGCGCGCAGTCGACGTTCATCTTCTTGAGGATCTTCTTGAGGAACTCGCCGCTGGCCTCGGTGTGCATCTCGTCGTAGGCAGGGAACTTCTCGCCGCATACGCGCTCCAGCTCGGGGAGCATCTCGACACGTCGCCAGGGCGCCTCCCAGTTGACATCGTAGGTCTCGCCGTGCTGGTTGGTGAACTTGGTCTTGTAGCCGCCGGTGAGGGACTTGACCAGGCCCGCGACGAGCTCCTCGGTGATGTTCATGACATCGTAGACGTCGGCGTACGCCCAGTAGAACTCGACCGAGGTGAACTCGGGGTTGTGCGTCAAGTCGATGCCCTCATTCCGGAAGTTCTTGCCCAGCTCGAAGACCTTGCCGAACTGGCCGACGATCAGCATCTTGAGGAAGAGCTCGGGCGCGATACGCATGTACATGTCCATGTCCAGGTCGTTGTGGTGTGTTATGAAGGGCAGGGCGGTGGCACCACCCGGGATGGCCGTCATCATCGGGGTCTCGACCTCGAGGAAGCGGCGGTCGTTGAAGAAGTCTCTGATGTAGCGGATGATCTTGGAGCGGGTCCACATGGTCTGGCGGGAGGCGTCGTTGAACAGGAGATCCAGATACCGCTGGCGGAAGCGCTGCTCGTGGTCCTTGAAGCCGTAGTGCTGGGTGGGCAGCATGTGCAGCGAGGGCGCCAGCAGGATGACCTCGGAGGCGAAGATGGACAGCTCGCCCTGCTTGCCCTGCTCGATGAGCTTCTTGGGCGCGGTCCGGCCCGGGTAGCCGACGATACCGATCACGTCGCCTCTCCGCAGGTGCTCATGCTGCTTCTCGAAGGGGGTGCTCACGGCCTCTGGCACGTTCTCGGCCTGGCACACGATCTGGATGCTGGTGCCGATAGAGATGGTGTCGGCGGAGGTCTTGATGTCGTAGAAGATCAGCTTGCCGAGCGATCTCCGGCTGTAGATCCTGCCAGCAATCCGGAGCTCCTTGGTGCGGTCGACATCGCCCGACTTGAGGTGCTCGTAGTCCTTGACGAACTGCTTGTCGTCGTACGTGACGTGGAACTTGTGCGGGTAAGGGTTAGGCTGGTTGGAGTCGAGGAGGGCCTTGACGGCCTTGGATCGGTTCTCGTAGTACATGCGAGGGTCCATCTCCTCCTCGTCATCCTTCTTCTTGGAGGCGGAGGCCGCCTTGGGAGGGGCGGCGGCGGCCTTCTTGGCCTTCCCCTCTTCCCTCTGCCGCTGCTTCTGGCGTCTCTTGAGCTCTGACTTGGAGACCTGTACATCCGGCAGAAACCTAGTCAGTGCCAATCATGCCACTGCGAGCAGGAAGCCGCCACAACACAACACAGCACGTACCTTCTCGCCCGTCACCTCGTCGAGCTGCAGGTTCTCAAGCTGCTCTGTAGGCGCCGCAGCAGCCTTTTCAGCAGAAGGTTCGCCAGCCATTTCGATTTCTTCTGCTGCAGACTGGATATCAATTGATGCTTTCTCTCAAGAGGTGATCTGTTGCCAATGGTGTAGGATCAAGGTCCTTGTCTGGTTGTTGTTGTTTTTTGGATTTTTTCCTCTCTCCCCCTTTGAGCAAAGAGAGCGCACTTGACTCAATACCCAAAAAAGGGCTACGCGGGGTATGGCTCAGAAATTTCCCAAGGTTCCTGAGTCACTCTGCTGCAACACCGCGGGGCTTATCGTTATCGTTTCTTCAGGGGCAGGGGGTGGGCTCGCCCTACTGACTTCTCAGCTGTTCTCCGTTGTAAATCCATGGGTCAAGAGGCGCCTAACCCCACTATGTACCGCCTTCCAATAGCATGTACTACTTTATGTGGGCGTTTACAATGCCATTTAGGAAGGATGAGGACGAGGCAAAGATTCTACCTAAATGCTCACAATATCGTATCCAATGTTTTAGACTGGATGCGGGATAAATGAAATAGTAGCTACATCATTCAAGGATGAAAAAAACACAGTTACCGTAAAAACAAAAAAACAAAAAAAAAAAGGGGGGGGGGCACTCTCTTTCTCTAATTTACTTAATGAGTCTTGAAGTCATGCAGATATTATAGTATCTATGTTACAGGACTACTCAATGATGCATGATTCCTCAGTGCGGAGAGAAACGGCTCGTAGAGCCTGGGCAAGAGTCTTTCCCTGACTGAGGGATCAACAGATATTGGGACCAGCCACCAACAACTCTGCAACCCGCGCTGCCACCAGCTCGTGCACCGGATCCGTTGGGTGGAGAGAATTCGACCACAAGTATTCATTGGCACGTATGCCACAGGCCGGATCAAAGTAGTCCGGGTCAGGTGTGCCGCTGTGAGTAAAATTGGTCATCGTTAGCAAGAGAAAGAGAGCTCCCCATCTTGACATCTGTTCTTGTTTTCAGGCCAGGGCAACAACTCACTTCTGGTACGCATCACAGAAATCCTCCGTGTTCTTGTACCCACTCGTCTGCGGAAACGCTCCCGGGTTGTCCATGACCGTGGCAAAGTCGGCATACGAATCATACACCCACACATTAGCATCCTGGTGCTCCGCCCTGAGCCCCCTCGCCATGTCCCCGATCAAGCTGTTGAACTGGGCCAGGTCAGCCCCCTCCAGCCTTACCGCCTCCTCGCCCTGGTCCCTGGTGAGGGGGCTGCGCTCGATAGCAGGCACATTCAGAAACACAAAGTTCCGCGCCCCGCGCCCGTACAGCGTCCTCACCAGCTCGGCGTACTCCTTAAACACCCGCTGGTTGATGGCATCCGTGCCGTCGGGTCCGGCAGGGCCCTTTGCAAAAGCTCCGTTGACGTCGTTTATGCCCATCCAGACGGCAAAGAGGGTCTCCTCGGCCGCCCACGCCGGAGCTCCGGGTGCCTGGCGCTCTGCGTAGCCCGGGACGAACTCGTCTAGAACCTGGCCTTTCAGGCTGAGCACGCTGGGGAGATAAGGGGGAACGATGCTCGAGTCTACTGTGGCGCCGCCGTAGGCGAGGTTGTAGGTCTGCAGGGTGGAGTGGTTGTAGCGGACAGTGAAGTAGTCGATCCAGTTGGGGCCGTTGGCCGAGGTGCGACCTGGGTACGGCGGATTGCCGAGTGGGTGGCTGGGGGACGGGTAAGGGAGCTGCTTGTGCTTGAACTCGGTGGTCGTGTAGCTGTCGCCGAAGGAAAATACATATTTGATGCCAGAGAAGCCGTGCCACCACTGGCTGGCTATGCAGGAGGAGGGGGTGATGGTGGTGGGCGCAGGAGCAGTGTGGCCTGCGGACGAGCACCAGGCTCCTGCTGCCATAGACAGTAAAGGGCGGACGAGCTTCATGGTATGGCCCAGGAGCGCAGATGATGTCGACGATGGTGTTGTAGAAAAGGATTCCTGCCCAGAATAACGCCCATATGCCGGCGTGGTGAAGGACGAGCGACAGCAAAGATCAAGCAGCCCACGGCAACCTTCACGAGCTGCAACGCCCTCGAGACTTCCTCTGCCCGGCCCCTCGACATGAATAACAACCTCCTCGCCATCGTTTCGGGTGGGACTTGCCTGCACTGGCAGAGAATGCAGCAGGAAAAGTAGAAAGAGTGGGAGGAGCAGGCGAGCAGCTCTGCTGTTGCCGAGGTCATCGCGCGACCTCGCGCCCGAATCTGTACGGCGGCCCATGAGCAGCGGGAGAAGAAGAACAATCAATGAAGCTCGGAAGTTATGTGCAGTACAGAAACAACTAAGGCAATCCACCTCGTCAACGGCGCAGAGGTCAGGATGCTATTATAGTGTAATCTGCCCAGCCGTCATGAAACCACACTGCTAAGAAATAAGGAGGCTTTCCTCGAGAAGCTCAATTCGTTGGTAGTCTGTGAGAGGCAGTTTGTGGTCGCCTACCTTTACCTTTTCTTGATCGATTTATTTTTCTTTAATTTTTACTTCTTCTTTTATCTTGTCTTTTCTTTTCTTTCTTTTTTGCCGTCTCCCTTCTTTTCTGTCTGGACTCCAGGCCTTTGACTTTCGAGGTGGTTGGTGTGAGTTGTAGGAAAGGAGTGTGTCAAGTCACATGGGATGAATGCGTGGAGAAGCGCATCCTTGCCTGACCCAATAACAAATAGCAAGGGTTAAGTAAGCCGCCCCCCTCCCTGGGGAAAGGGGACTTGAGGCAGTTTAAGCTTTTCCCCTCTTCCTTCTTTCTTGATTAAAAAGAAAAGCATGCCATGAAAATCATGAAGGCTCAGTCCATCAGGCATAATCATGGGTTTTCTGCTCGCAAAAGTCCCAAAACTCTCTCGCTCTACTGGATCCTCCATCTTCTAGCGACCTGGTAGCATCAACCAAGTCCTGTCTTAAATTCTTCGCGACTCTTCCCCATGGTACAACGTAGCAACCTTGCTGCGCGGAAGAAATCTCTCCAGAAAGCCCTGCGAAGAGCTGCGTATAGGCACACAGCTTCGGCTTGTGCATCAGCGGCCACGCAAGATAGGGCAGCCAGGGCGTATGGCGAAAGAGGCTCGTAGAAGCGGCACCCGGGTTCAGGGCGACGCTTACGATGCCGTTCTGCTCGTGGCGGCGCATGAGCTCGGCCGACAGGAAGTAGTTGCCCGTCTTGGAGTTGACGTAGTTCCTTGTCTTGTCCTTGGGAGGGTCGGTGAGCTCCGACATGACAATCCCTTGTGCGGGAGCGGAGAGCTCCATGACCTGGCTGCTCGTCCACACCACGCGCACGAAGCCTTTTGTAGTCTCGGCAGCTGCCGTGGCTTCCAGTACTGGCAAGAGAAGTTGTGTCAGGAGGAAAGGACCCAGGCAGTTGGTTGCGAGCTGCAGTTCGATGCCCTGCTTCGAAACGCTGCCCAGTGGTGGCTTTGAAACGCCAGCATTGTTCCTACTCCCCACAGCTCTGGTCAGCATGGCGGGGCTTGATTGATGATGAAGTTTAGGTGAATGAGGATGGGGTGGGACTGCAGTGGTCACACAAAGATACTTACCAGAGAACGTGTAACTTGGTCTCCTTGGCCTTGAAAGCGTCAACCCGTGCTCTTGATGCTAGCCAAGTCATCCAACTCGAGGTGTAGAAACTCCAGAGTCCCAGTAGCCGAAGGCGCTGCGCCTTGGACCTGCTGGATCGCCCGACGAGCCTTCTCCTCCGAGCGGCCAGCAATATAAACCCGGGCGTTCTTGGCGTACAAGGTCTTGACGAGCTCAAGTCCGATACCAGATGCACCTCCTGTCACAAGATACACTTTGCCTTCCTGCGAGCCCACGTCCGCCTCTGTGAAGGCGGGCGACGGTGGGAAGAATTGAGACCACTGTGCCCCCATGATTCTCGTCCTTTGAGAGATAGGAATAAACACTTCAAACGGCCTGCTGTGGCAGTCCAAGTAGACAGTGGGAGTAAAGTACAGCAGAGAAAGAACTGGCAGGCCGGCGGGAGCTGTCTGTCGTAGACGCGTGGTAAAATAGACATCTGACCCAGATCCGGAAAGGACCCATCAGAAAAACTTACCACGCACGGTACCAGACTTCTCATGTAGTGAATAGTTAACAAGAGACAAAAATGGGTAAGGGGCAATGGTTGTTGGTTTGAACACTCAACCAACGGCCCCCAAGTGACGGCGCTAGAAGAGCAGCGGATTGGACAGACCGGACCAGGGCACAGGCCTGGGTACCTTTGTCTTGCTGTGCTGTACTCATAATTTACCTTGTGGGTGATACCAGGGTTTCATCGCATTTGACTTGGAAAAAGATCTGGAAAGGCCTACGATTTATTGCCGTAGACGCGATGCGGGTGTTGATATGGTTAGTTGATACCTTCGCAGTAGTGTGGTAGTTCGGTAGAGATGTCTGAAGAACTGTACAATCTACATGCATTGACTTCCCTCTATTTCTTCAGTTTTATATGTCACACTGAGCACATCTGTTGGAACACTGGACTAGCTAGAAGCAGGTCAGAAGCTTTCACATCCGAAATCCACATGCATCTCCAGCTGGGACCTCCTACTGCTGACCGGTCTCCATGTCGCGAGCAGGGATCTCCTGTTGGCCAGGGCAGGTCCACATCTGCCTGCTCTTTTGGTATATATATCTAGGTCTTTTCTTTTGCCTTTTTCATTTCTCCTTATACAATAGATCAGGAGACAATGCCGATTTCTCTCAACCATTGCCTCGCACTGCTCGTCTCACTCCATGATATCATCAGTATTTCTCATGTGCATCAGATGCGAAATCATTATCGTGTAACAAGCCCATGGGTCTGCATAAATCACTGCCCCAGCCTGCTTGAAATGCTGTTGTTTGTATATTTTCCAGTATTGTTGATTTCTTTCTTCAATAACCACTCATCGACACAAGACTCTTTTGAACAGAATACTGCCTTTCACAGCAGTATCTACCAAAATCTTGACTTGGATTGACCTCGACATAGCGGACAAAGTATCCAAGCCATGATGCATTTCAATGAGCAGCAGAGTTGGCCTTTACACACCCTTCGACTAGCAGTGACCGTCTTAGTGGCATTTCTATCCATAAGAATGCAATCATTCTCACTGATTCTTACAAGTCAAGTCTGGAAAAAGAGAACTAAGTTATGCATGATATTGATATTCCCCAGTATTCGTTTTGCCGAGCCATCTACAACATCTACTTCCATCCACTTTCCGGCATTCCAGGGCCCCGTGCTTGGTCTGCCACGCGGTTGCCATTCATATGGGCACTTCTCCAGGGCACTATCGTACACGACATCCAGAGATTACACGAGAAGTACGGACCCATCCTGCGCATTGCTCCTAACGAAGTCACATTCGCCCAAGAAGAAGCCTGGGCCGACATCTTCCAATCTCGACCTGATACGCCGCAGTTTCTGAAGGATCCAACCTGGTGGAAAAGGCAACCAGGCCAATCGCAATCTCTCCTCAGTGCCATCGATCCAGAAGAGCATGCGCAAATTCGCAGGCTTCTAGCTCCCACTTTCACTACGCGCGCGCTTGCAGCCCAGGCGACCGTACTAGAGCGATATGTTGATCTCCTCGTTGAACAGCTGCGCAGACTTGTTTCTCCCGGGGCAGGCATTGATCTCACTCCCTGGCTCAACTTCACTACGTTCGATATCTTCGGCGATTTAGGATTTGGTGAATCTTTCAACTGCCTCGAGACCTCGCGATACCACCCGTGGATTGCTCTCTTGTTCAACAGCGTGAAAGCCGCATCATTTGTCGCTGCAGTACGTTACTATCCTGTTCTGGAATGGTTACTTATGAAATGTATTCCTGCGTCTTTGAAAGAAATGCAGCGACAACATTTCGACCAGATTGCGGACAAGGTAAATCGGCGACTGAATTGGGAACTCGAGCGAGTAGATATCATGTCCCACGTGATCAAAGGAAGGAAAAGGGAAACATTGGATATTGGAGTTATCAACGCTACCTTTATGGTCCTGACAACTGCTGGAAGCGAAACAACAGCCACAGTATTAAGCAGGACTTTGAATTATCTCGTGAATAACCCGGACAAACTCACTATACTTGCCAATGAAATTCTCCAGAAATTCCAGGACCCGGACGATATTAAGCTTGATGCTTTGCAACATCTCGACTATCTGGACGCATGTATCAGTGAAGGCCTGAGGCTCTGTGTGCCGATCCCATGGGTGCTTCCCAGGCTAGTACCACCAAAGGGTGCGATTGTTTGTGGAAAATGGCTTCCAGGCAAGGTAACACAGAGCAGCACCTCTACGCAGTTCGAAACAGAATCAATGCTAACGATCTGTATTTTGATGCTAGACTCCTGTTTCTATCTAAGCATATACCCTGAACCGGAGGGACGACTATTTTCATGCTGCTTCGTCTTTTTGCCCAGAACGTTGGCTTCCTGATGCGAAAACGGACAGCGAATCACCATTCTACAAAGACCGTCGCCAGGCTATGCAGCCCTTCTATATTGGCAAAGCTCGTCTGGAATTTCGACATGAAAGCCGTGCCAACTGCAAGATTGCGGTGGGAAGACCTGCGAACATTCTTATTAGGTGAGAAAAAGCCTGTCATGGTTGACATGAGTCTGAGAGCTAGGGATGTAGCTGGCCAGCAGAGAAAGTGATAAGCGGGTGAAAGTATGGCTCAGCTGAATACTTGGGCCCCCCGACTCACCACAGAGTAGACATGTACGAAGGCATCTCGCTCAAACAAGACCCAGGCGACGGGGAAAACATGGAAGAGGCTGAGAGAGCCTGGTCGCATTAGTTCATGCAGAACATCTGGGTCCATATTTGCCGCCTCCAATATATGCAAGTTACATCTGCAGTGTCAGGAAGCACAGATAGTTGGGGTCTGACTAGTATCTGATGTAATCCAGGAGTCTCACAGGTGCCTTCGTTTTGGTTTGTTGGTTGTTGGCGTTAAATCCCATAGCCCTGAGCACCCGCTCTTTGACGGTGTAATTATAGACTTGAAAGGACTTTCCGATTCATGGTGGGTGTGAGAGTGATCCCTGGTGAAAGCTTTGGTACAGAGAGGCGCCAGTATATTCTCGAGTAGATTGTCAGTTGTTCCACAACATCCACATCATATGTCTCGATCCGTCTCCAAACGATCTACCATTGCTAGCACTTCACATTACAATGGACGAAATCCCCACAACGGTTTATCAGGGGCCGTGAGCTTTGAGGTCACGAGCATTCTCTAGACGCAGGGCGATTGTACCCTCACCCTTGCGGCCCTTAAGGAGAGCATAACAACGATGGATGATTCTGGAGAGGAATAAAGGCAATGTTGCAGACGGGATGGAGGTGTTGACATGATTAGTTGCCTTTATCCTGGTAATTTGGTAGGCCCCTTGGCCGTAACCGAACTGCTAGACGAAGTGTTTCTGTCCCTTCTTGACCTTGTCAAAAGTGTGTGTTGTCTAACGTACTGCGCACTCTACGTAATTTGACCTCCCTCTATTTTTTCAGTTTTATGTCATATTGAGCACATTCGTTAGAACATCCCATATTTTACCATGTTCATTCATCAATCATCGCACCGCTAAGCCTGACCACAAATTCTCTCAAGAAACCCCTCCTCGCAGTTGCTGATTCTATTCAAATTCGTAGATGAGGGGGTCAGAATATCGTCATATCGTCGTGAGAGCTCCATGATATTAAAGAGGAAAAAGAAGAAAACATTGGAAAACCAATAACAAAAAACTGCCTTAGATAGTAGCAAGTAGCAATGTGTATGCAGAATTGAAAATCCAGAGATGTATCCTCCTGTCCTGTATCGTTCGATTTCTCCTAGCGATATAATATAAGTTGATGGCTGGGAAACGCCGAGACACCGGCTTTTGACAGCAACAATTCTCACGTCAGAGTGGCCAGCATGGCCCTGACAAGACCGGGTGGCGGACCTGCAAGAAAGGAAATCGTTTTGTCAGCTACTGTGTCTCCAATCCCATGTTTGGCCGAAGATGTATAGGCAGGAGAAATTGGAGGATGGGAAGGACGACGCGCACCGCACCTTTAACGATACTTCGGCACGCTGATGGACATCCTACCTTTCTTGTCCTTCTCAATGCGCACCCCGCGCCGCGGCTCCTCGATCTTCTCCACCTCCTCCTCGTAGAGCACCAGCTCCCCGCTGCTGAGCCGCTCCGCCTTGATCAACTCGCGCTCGCCTTCCCGGTGGCGCCTCTTCTCGAGCTGCTGCTGCAGGTCTCTGATCTCAGAGCGGATCTCCCGATGCGACCGGGACCGGGACCGGGATCGGTGTCGTTCCGACTGGACGATGGCCAGGGGGCCCACGGGGATCTCGTCCGAGACCTCCTCGTGCCGCCGAACATCGACGATATAGGGGGTGGCCGAGGTGGATGTGGTCCCAGACGCGCTGGTCGTGTACGACCGGGCGGGAGATACATCTCGGATCACGGTTCTCTTCTCCATGAACTCGACAGGACCCTGCTGTGGCGGAGGATGGTTCACAAAGAAGGGTGGTGGCGGCGGTTGTTGGGCGATGGGAGGGGGCGGTAGTGCCATCGGGGGCGGGCGCTGGGCCGGCACCTCGATGATGGTCTCTTCCCTCCTCTCCTCGATGATGTTGCCGGCTTCGGACCTGGCAGCGTTGACCTCGAGCTCGCCTGTGATTTTGATTCATGTCAGCCTCAGGGGAAACAGAACATAGAAGAGGTGGTGGCGGCGGCGGCGGCGGCAGCAGCAGCAGTGGCAGCGGTAGGCACTCACTCTTCTTATAGTCCTCGCTCAGCTTGAGCAGGTCGTCAATATTGTCCTGGCCCAGAGCCTTCAACACCACAACAGTGTTTCCCTGTGAAGTTTTGTTAGCAAAGCGAGACAACAAAAATCAATAGACTCTCCTGAATTTGGTCCAGAAACGTACCTCCTCAACAAACGGGTAACCGAGGTCAATGAGAGCACGCTTGGAGACCAGGCGAGCGGGGACACGAGTCTTGCCCTTTTTGGGGTACTCGCTCTTGACGGTGACGGTAGTGCCCCCGCTGCTGCTGGCAGAGCTGCTCGTGGTGGTGGAAGAGCGCGAGCTGCTGCGAACGGTACTGGCGCGGTGGCTGCGGGTGCGGCCAGACCTAACAGAAGGGCTGTGGTCCCTCTTCTTGGTGCGGATGATCTCCCTCTCGCGGATGCGCTCGGGGTAGGAGCGGTATTCGTCGTCGCCATAAAAATCGGGCTCGCTCACGCGAATGTCGTCGTACCCTTCGTAGCCCCGTGGAGGAGGCAGAGCACGGGTGCGTGGGAGCGGAATGGGCTCGTAAGGCCGCGGTCTGAAGTCCTCGCGGCGTGCTGGGGGGCCATACCTCTCCTCCTCGTGGTGGAAGCCCCTCCGCCTGTCGAAGGTGTCGAGGCTGGACTGGCGACGGAGGAAGGCGGGCCTGTTGGGCGGAGAGGGGCTGCGGCGCCTCTCGCGCTCGACCACCACGCGGCGGTCACGCTCGACCTCGGCCGGAGGGGAGCGGTGGCGGACAGAGCGAGAAGGCTCGTCATCGTAATAGACCCGACGGGAGTCGCGGATGACGATATCGTCGTCGATGGGGCGGCTGTATCTGCGCTCATAACGGTCGTCGGCAGAGTGCTCTCTGTATTTCGAGGTGGAAGAGCCGCCACGGTAGTAACGGTCGTCCTCCTCATAGCGGACACGCTCATCGCCGTAGCGATCACGGTCGCGCTCGTACATGAATCGCTCGCGGTCCCAGGTGTTGCGTGACATGATTGCGGGGGAAGCGGGCGAGAGAGACGGGACGGGTCGGGTAGCGGTCGACGGGTCAACCAACGGTTACAGCGGCAGAACTTAGACTTAAGAAGCAAGCTGGGGAAACCCGACGTGCCAAAAAGGTGGTTGGCGTTTTGAGAAGACGTATGGCAACGTAGTGTAGGCGGGTCAGGTAGAAAAGACAAAACTTGCTATGACGCAAGTTGCCCGCAAAAGTCGGTGGTAGTAGAATGAATCGATCTCGAGACGCACAAGGTGTAAGATGTGTCTCTTATCTCCTCTTTGTCTCCTCTTCTGGAGGAGCGAGAGAGAGAGAGAGAGGAAGATTTGTTGAGGATGGACACACAGAGAGGGAGATGTAGTGTGTTTGGGTGAAAGTTGGCAAAGAGAGAGAAATGGAAGAGGGTTCCGGGAGTTGGCGCAGATGACGACAGAAAATGGAGGGGCCCGCCTGGTGGTCCCTTTTTCTGCTGGTCCCTCTTTCCTCTGCTGCGGCAGCTTCTGGGCTGGTCTCTGGCAGGGGTTGTTCTCGTGCCTCGCCCTCGGATTGGCTGGGGTGGGGATGGAAGGTGGTTGACCTTGTGCTTGGGGGGAGCAGTGGACAAGCAGGAGACTAAGTGGCGGCTGCAGGTGAGCTGGCCTAGTGGGCAGTGATGACCACAAAACTGAGACTCGACACCTAATCAGAACCCTCCCCTCTCGATGCGCGTGGCTACAAACCGCCCTCGCGTCGATGTTCGAGAGTTGTGGACGAATTGTTCGAGGCCTTGTTCGAGTTCCAGAACGTAGAGAAAAAGAGGGTCTGAAAAATCCTCTTGCTCTTCTTCTTATTCCCGCTTCTTCTCCTCGTCCTCAATACAGAAGGGAAGCGTGCAAAGCCACGGGGGCTCGAAAGAGGAGTGGAAGTGGTGGGGTCGTCCTCCTTCGGAACTATTCCTGTTGTCTGACGAGGTATATTTATATGGGAATGCAGGTCGCTCAGCAGGCCGCCAGGCACAAAATTGCCGGAAGGTCTGTCTGTGAATAGGAACACACCTAATCGTATATTCTCTCCTGGGCTAGGGATGCTATTGTCGATGTTGCTGTCGTGCCACCACGGAGAAAGTTCCGTTGCCTCGAGACACAGCGAACAAGAGTAGACAGTCCAGGTCAGATGAGGGGGAAGAACTTGAACAGGCGGTAGTATCAGCAACCTAGAGCACCCGTCTCAAGAATGACTGATTGGTCCGGTCAGAAGACAAAAACGGGGGAGGAGATGGGTGGTGCAGAAGGGAGGGGGTCACAAGAAAAGCAGCGCACGCGCAGGGGGCAAGTTCATGCGCTGGCTGCAAGTGATCTTGGACGGGATGTCGCAGTTAGCATGCAGCACTCACGGTAGTAGTCTTGGGTCAGTCTCTTTTTTTGGTAATTGGGAGCAGGGGAAGAAAAGAAGGGGGGAAAACACAAAACAAGGATGACGGCAAGGAGGAAGAAACAAGTCAGTATTTTAATCCATGATGGGCGGCAGCAGCCAGCATACACAACACAATCAAACCATTTCAAAATCTTTTAAATCTGGGGGGCTGGACTCGTGATGATGAGTCGTTGTGCCCCGTCGTCTTGGTCTCGTTCTTTAGGACGGTATACACAGCATAGCTGTAGTACTACTACTGTGCAACTGTACTATGTGGATAGTAGTAGCGTGCGACCAGCTACAACGTGCCATGGCACTACGGGTGGGTTTGGGCAGGGCCAGCACAGGGCACTGCCGGACACGACAGGGGGAGCCCAGCCAGATGAGTCAGATGGAGGACTTTGGGCATTCTGATAGTGTTCACCACCTCCCTATACACATTTTCCTAACATAAGTCTCCAACCAAAGTACCTGAAGGCCATCACCCATGCGCAGGCATTTCCCTAGCCTGAGCACTCACTGCCAGGGCAGCGCCCATGTTTCCTCAAACCCTCTCGTCGCTGCCCATTGATCGTCGTCTGTCCCTCGACGCCCAACGACACCGCCTTCTTTCTGTCCGATCTCGACACGGCAGTATGTTTCTTCTTCCTTTTCGAGTATGCGAGGGAGGACCACTTTAGGGCGAAATGTCTGACTGGGGGCACGACTCACCGACGTCGTGTTCTCTTGTGTCCTACCTCGATCTCCCCCTTCTCGTTTTGGTATTCTCTGCTCTCCATGATTCTTCTATTCCTTTGAAGACATTTTCAGATAACGATGGGCTTGTGAACAAGGCTCAGAACTGTTCTGTGTGCTCGGTGACAGTCACGCGATCGTCCCACGAGGACTTTTGCTCGCTGTCAAATTCCTAATGTGCTCGAGCCAGAGAATACACACAACTATCAACTATCAAACTCTCTGCCTCTGCCAGTGCGGATGGGCGGCAGATTGGGCTCTCATTTGGACGACTCCTTTTCCTTTCATTCCGTTGCATATCTATCTATACGTGCTTCGCATCGCCACCATCCCTCATGTCTCATGACGTCGTCGTGCCTGAACCAATTCCGAGCCCGCAGATGCCCGAACCTGGCTGGCTGGCTTGTCCCCTCCCCCCCCCTCCCTTTGGTGCCGTCCTATAGGGAATGAATTATTGACGCTTGGGGTTCGTCAGTGTCACCGACACCCCTCTTTCCCTTCATATTCCATCGTTGATTTGCCAATGGGCGGTCAAGCGGGTCCTGAGCTTAACATTTGCTCGGACGTTGGCGCTGTCACGGTCGGAAAGGGAGTTTCCGAGGATCATCCTCAAAAGGGGACAGGCATGACATACAGTACACATGAATTGTCAAATGAGATGGTCAGGAAGGGAACTGGCCCACCAGATGCTGAGTTTCCTGGAGCCAGGTAGCCAAGGGCATGAAACTGCACTTCTTGTTGGGAGCCGCTTGTGGTGCAAGACAGGCAGGTTGTCTCGGCTCGTTCCGAGTAGACGGTGAATACTCTCTCTCTCTCTTTTATGTCTACTGCACCGACAAACAAGGGGGATTATCGGTGGTCAAACTATCACTAGTAGTTCTTCTATTAAAACAATCTCGTTTTCTGTGCTCTGGATTGCTACCTGTGAGGCTTGGTCCTGTGTGGCGACCGAGGACACTGTGTATACCATCACGAAGAAATGTTGTGCTTCCAGAACCAGGCCTTCCATTATCTGTCAACTTCGAGTTCATTTTGTGTCTTCCTTGACGTGAACGATTCTAATAGACATCCTTGTCAGAATCTCTTGCTTGTTCGTTCGTTTTCGATGATCCAAACCCCCGTCGTTGTTTCTCTTTTCTTTTCTTGTCTTTCTCTTTCATTGTGGGAGCCCTCGCGATCAGAAAGTCACAATGCTGTGCGTGAGGCTCTTGGCCATCCCTCCCTCAGACTCGCTCCCTGTCGGCACGAATTCTCTGCAAGCCTATGAATCGCTGGTCTGCGCGGAGGAAATCAGGATGGTCGGTGCCTCTCATGATCAGCTGCAGCTGTGTCTCCAATGCACTGTAACGAATGGCGCTGTTGATGTCGCCGAGGCGGTCGTGGAGGAAGCAGCACATGCGATACCTATACGATTCATGGTTAGTATGGAGCTGTCCTCGTTCCTTCACGTCTTGGAAGGAATCAGTGGTTTTCACGAGCAAGATGGGCACAGGAAGAGAGTAAAGCAAGTGACGTACGATTCAGCGAGGATCTTGGACTCTGCGTCAATGAGGGGGTGCTTCAGTATTTGGATCGCGTTCTTGGTCATCTCGAGAGCCTCGGCGGCGTTGGTGGCCAGCCTGATCTCTCTCTCGTTGTGCGCCGGATCATGCATGTCCGGGAAGAGATAGAAGAAGGCACCCCAGTACTGGGCATACAGCTCCATTTGCAGCTCGTCGGTGCCCTGGTCCTGGCACAGGCGGCACACGCACTCGAAGATGCCGTCGTGGAGCCACAGCTCGTCGCAGCGCTCCTCCTTGGTGCGGCGCAGGATCTCGCCGTAGGGGATGAAGATCTGCTCGCCGGCCTGGATATCGCACAAGGCGTGGACCGTCAGCCGCTTGATGTTGGTGTTGTAGTCGCGCCACGCGTTGGGCGCGCACGAGTGGTTGATACGGGCCTGCACGGGGTACATGCCGTCATCGACGCCCGGGTACAGCGTGGGGTCCGGGCGGAAGAGGCACAGCATCCAGATGGCGTACAGCTTGGCGAAGCGCAGCACGTTGTACTCGAGGACCTCGCCCTCCAGGTGGCCGCCGCGGAGGTTGGGGTTGATCTTCTCGACAAAGAAGCGCCGAATCACGTCGCGCAGGTTCTGGTTCTCGTACACGCCCAGGTTGTGCGGGAGCGACTCCATGTCGCGCATCTTGCCCGTCATCAAGCCCTGGGCCAGCAGGTCGCGGCAGAACCGCATGATGCGCTTTGTGATCCGGTGCGCGTCGTCCCCCTCGGTGCCCTGGCTGCTGTCGTCGTAGTCTGGGTCTGCCTCTCGAGGGACATCGACCTCTCCAGGGACGTGCGGTTTGGGCGAGGAGCTGAAGGTGAAGACTGGCGCTTCCTCGATGATGCGGGTGCCCTTGAGGATCTTGCGGGTGGCGAAGGTGCCCCAGCCCATGTGGCCGGCCGGGCGCAACTCGATGAGGCTCTCATGGGGAGCTGATCGGGATTGGTGAGCGTGTTTGTCAGTTGAGAACCCCAGGAAAAAAGCATCAGACACGGTGGATTGGGAGTGTGGGGACGAAACAAATATATCCTGACTCACCTGGCGTGTGGAGGGGCGGTCCGCCTGGATTGGCAGGATGATCATTATCGACGCTGGCCATCTTGTTTGATGTTGCTGTTGTGTCGTTACTTGGTCTGCGCGTGTTTGATGGAGAAGAGTATTGGATTGAGAGAGGTGAAAGGTGGTTGTGGATTGGGGGGGCCTGGTGGGGGAACTGATGTTGGGTACGTGCAGGCAAGCTGAGGTGGTTTCTAGAACCAGCTCAGGGCTGGAATTCTTTGACCCCCACAGAGAGATATCGGCGGAACACAGCCTCCCAATACAGTTGCTTGCTGTGAAGTTGGGATGGGAAAAGCCACGGACCCAGCAGCGCCTGGCATCCACAGCTGACTGCACTATTCACCAAGTCAGTCAGCTTGTTGATATCAATCCTGCCTCAGCTCTCTCCCATGGAGAGACCAGCAGATAAAGGACAGGAGAGTCAAACTGTGCTATGGGCTGGTCACTACTGTGGAAAGAACAAGGTCAGTGTCCAGCTGGGTTGTCTTTCATCTTTTGCACCTCTTCACCCCAGAAACACAGCCTCACTCTGTCACTTGAATGCAGGCCATATCCACCAACCTCACCACTGGGTTGGCCAGAATCCTTGCCACAGGGCATGTCATGATCTTTGAGAATTATCTAATTCAAGTCAGCATCATCAGAGCCACTTTTCCTACTTCAAATCCATCAGTCAAATAATTCAATCATCTGCCACAGCAGCGAGGCTCATGCGAAGGTTCAGCTGATCTTTCGCTTCAGTTCAATATCGCCTTGATCTCACACAACTCGGCAACCATCATCTCGAAGCAAGCGAGCCATGTCAATCCATTGCGATGCCTTTCCAACACTCAGTCTCAAACAGTGAATGAATGACTGCTGCCTTCAGGATTTGACTCAATCGCAATATGTGTTGGCCAGAGAGAGGCTCCCTTTTGAAATACTTAGAGCTGCTCCTATTTAATAGTCTACAGACCTTGTCTCATCACTAAAGCGACACCTATGTGTACATATGTTTATATAATCATGCTTTGGTTGACTAGTCTCAGATGATACGATGGCAGGTGGGCACTTCTACAGACGCATCTGAACGAGAACGAGGATTCCAACCGATAACGATGGGAGCTCGCTTGCAGTTCGTTTCCGGCTTTTGCATATACACTTTTCATCTCTCGCCTATGCTCAGCCTCGATGATATTGTCTCCACGAACAGAGCACTAGCCCGCCACAAAAGGAGAGAGTGCAGTAGCAATGGTGGATAGTAGAATGCCGAGCTGATCAGCCTTGGGTTCGAGTCCACTCAATTACTCCTACCAGGCTTCCACAAAGAAGGCTCTTCATCTTGGGTGCCTTTATTTTAACTCCTGGATCTCGTTCTCCTTCGAAAAATTGTAGGCTATGTATTGAGCAGCAGTACCATGCCCCCGGAGCTTGATGGAGTGAAGTCTACTGTGATATTCCTCACTATCATTCAAGAAGTCCTCTTTACACGTGCATGGCAAGAAAGGATACAGACGATGTACTCTTATTGATTTATTACGCTACTGATCGAAATATGTAGTTGGGCATAGACCCAGACTTATGTTCAGAGACCGGACATGTATAATCACAAGATATTAAAATACGGTCTCGCCCTTCGTTGCAAAGTTTGTTCGTTTGTCTGGCAGTGAAATATTATTCATACAGATAGGTATGTAGATTGAGTTTGTAAAGCTTGCAGTAATTCATTGCCTCTGATGCTACAACAATTACCCTGCGCTCACTGCCCATCTTTCAAAATGACAAAGACACTTCTCACCCCTGCCCAATTATTGATACTGGCCAATTTACCAGCCACCGAAGAGCATGACCACTCCTGTCTCCTGACCTCTCTTTTCATGCGTCCAGCCATGATTCTGACTTTTCCAAAGGCTTAGGCCACCTGTTATTTTCAAACAAGTGCTCGTTGATACGATCCTTGTCTTCGGTCGGAGACTGCTCGTACTTGACGCCGTCTTTGACCAGGTCTTGTTGGCTCCTGGTGATGACCTTGTATTTCCTCGACATTTTCCCTGCGAGACCCTCCTTGGCACCGTCTAGTTGCAAACCGTTGTTAGCCTGGAAATCAAATTACGCGTGATGACCCTCATAAAGAGAAAACAAGAAGGAGTATCACTGGAGTTTAAACTCACAAATATAGACAACACTCAGGTCGATACCAACGGGGATCCAGGTGACCAGGGCCAGAACCTGACCAAAAGTCCACTCGTTGTCCCCATCCGTACCGCCCGACTTGACCGACACATCATGGCGATAGACGGTGAAGAGACCCAAGAAAGTCCACATGATGCCCAGACACAACAGCCCGTTGCCCAGCCGCAGCCAGAGCCGGACCAGCTCCCAGACCCTCCAGAACTTCTCGCGCCGCTCAAAGACATGGCGATAATTGCGCCCGCCCAGGCTGGCAACCACGTAGTACACCCACCACGAGCAGTTGAAGATCATAAAGACGTGGCCCACCTTGAGGACAACCTGCAGGGCGTTCAGCAGCGACAGGCTCTGGCAGTCGATCAGCCAGATGGCCTGGACCTTCTCGATCTCCTTGCTGGCGAACTTCTCGAGGTGGTTGATGTCGGTGAAGATGCTGAGGAACTCCATGTTGTACAGCACGTCGACGGTGATGGCAAAGACCAGGACCAGGAACCAGAGAAAGAGGCGGATGCGGCGGCGGCGCAGCTCGTGGGACAGCGACTGCAGCACGAAGCCCGGGAAGATGGAGAAGGTGGACAGGAAGACGCAGTCCAGCAGGTTGAAGAGCGAGTAGGTCTTGTCCGGGTTCATGATGACGGAGCCGTAGCGGGTGATGGCGGCGACCAGCATCGAGATGGTGAAGAGGAGCATGGCGTCCAGGAACCCCTGGATGGACTCCTCGAAGCCGGCCACGAACTTGTTGTACTTCTTCCTCCACGGGAGACTGAGGGAGGGGCCTCCTAGTGCGTGGCACACCTCGGGCGCCAGGACAATATAGTACACAGTGACAAAGACGGCCGCCATGTAATACGAGATCATCATGCCGATGCCGCTCAGGTCTGCATCGCCGTCCCAGTTCAGATATGGGCAGATGGTCGCGTTGCAGCTCTCGAGGGCAAAGTCACTTGCCTGGGTGAAGTTGTAGTCATAGTCGCCCTCGGCCAGGCTCATGTACCACAGCATCGCCTCGGCCTCGTTTGGCACGGTCCAGTTGTCGGGCACGATGGCCTGCATGAACTCTATGGCTGTCTCGGTCGGGACCGTCGCGTAGGGACTCGCCGAGGCATTGCTGGCGACGCCTGTGTAGATGTACGAGACGAAGGCGGACACGGGCTGACAGGCTGTGAATTGTATCAGCGAGACGGGCGGGGCCTCCCAGGAGAGATTGAGGCCGTAAGACATGGTGAATATGAGGGAAATATGAGAGAGAGAGAGAGAGGATTCAAAAAAGGGCGTGGTTCTCGTTGCAGAGGAGTGTGAAGGTCGCCCTGTGTCGTCTGGCGATCGACCCCGGGACGATCTGTCTGCTCTCATGCAGAAGAGATAAGAAGAATATCCCGTCGCAGGAAAAGAGGGGAGAGGGGAAAAAAAGAGACACAGAGCGAGAGAGGTGAGAAGAGGAAAAAGAAAAAGAAGAAAAAAGACATAACACATTCAAGGAGGGAAGCAGACGGCATAAGACTACAACAAACTACACCCAGACCAGGCAAGGCTCTCGAAGGATTGTAGCAACAAGGACGACAGCGAAACACGGTATGCATTGTCAGCGACCTGTTGGGACCGGGGGGTGTGGCATAAGAAAGAAAAAAGGTCCACAGAAGGAGGCCTAACGGCGACCCACGACCTTTCCTCCCTACTATATCGTACGTACTCCATGTGTGTGGTGTTTTGGTGCTGACTGCGGCTGAGCGTTGATGAATCCTTTGAAGCCCTGGGGGGGGGGGGGGGTCCGCCAGGAGCTGAAAAAAGAAGTGGCAGCAATGTGTGGTTTGCGGCACAGCGGAAATCAATGCCGAGCCGAGGAAGTGAGCACAAAAACAAACGATGGCAACTGTTGCATGTCTTGTTGGGTCAATTCAGTCGGTTTTGGATTTTATCTCCCTTGGCCAGGGAAAGAGAGGAGTGGAGGATCAAAGTAAAGGGGGAGATTCAGCTTTTCCCCATGAAACCTCCTCCAGTAGTAAAACTTCGTTCAGTCACACCAAGTTGGTAAGACCAGAAGAAAAAGAAAAAAGCAGACATAGCGCGTTTTGTGGTGGCGCATTCTCTTGATCATTCAACTCCAGGCGCCTTTCCTTTTTTGCCCCATTCCGCGCAGACATGGTATCCTGTTTCCCTCCCGAAAAGAAAAAGAAAGAAAGAAAAACAGACAGCGGCTAAGAAGAAAACCTTGCGACCAACTTCTTTCAAGGCTGAGCATCACCAGAATCCAATAGCCGCACGATGACATAGCTCGTGGCAGCAGCCGCGGCGCCGATCAGCAGCGTCTGAACGGCACCCCAGATGCCGGCCTTGGTGGTGCGAATCGTGACCCTATTTGAGAGAAACATTTACATCAGTAACCTGGATGCGATAATGTGGGGTCATCATGAGAAGGGGGGAAGAAGGGCCAGGCATCTCGAGACGACATGATGCATTTTTGCAGGAAAGAGAAACAAGGACAAACAAGAAGAAGACTTACCAGCTCTTGATGTAACCAAACAGCAGCAGAATCACAACAGTAATGGCGATGCTCACAAACAGAGCCTCCTGGGCACGAGCCATGATAAAGTAAGGAATCATGGGCACAAGGCCACCGACGAAATAGGCCAGGCCCATGGTGGCGGCGGACTTCCAGGCGGCGCTGGTGTCAGGCTCCTGCAGCTGCAGCTCAAAGTCCATCATGAAGCGGACCCAGCGCTCTTTTCCCTTGGGGTGGCTGACGCACAGCTCGTTGACCACGCCGCGGGCGCCCTCGCGCGAGATGCCGTACCGGTCAAAGATCTCAAAGATCTCCTCGCGCTCGCGGTCGAAGCAGTGGTCCACCTCCCAGGCCTCGCGCTGGTACTCGGCCTCCCAGTGCTGACGCTCCGTGGCGGCGGCCAGGTACGCGCCCAGGCCCATACTGATCACTGAATTCATGGACGGTCAGTGGTTGTTTGAAGGAAGGAGAAAAAAGAGAGAGAGAGGGAAGAGTCGTGATTCCAGATGGCAATAGTGTCGCCTTGCAAAAAAGGAAGAAAGAAAGAGGGAAAAGGACTTACTACCAGAGAACAGCTCAGCCAGACCGCCAATAACGACAAGCTTGGTGCTTCCCAGGGACGACAGGCCGGCAGTCAGGGCAAAAGGGACCGTAAGGCCATCGGCAAACCCAATGGTGATGTCGCGAATCATGTCGCCATTGTTGGAGTGCTTCTCGTCGTGGGATTTGGTGCTGCTGTTATCGTTGGACTCATGGTGGTCGGCGTAGGCACTGCTGGTTTTGGGAGAGGAGCGTCGGAGGCAGTTCAGTCGCTGCAGGCCCGTCGGCGATTTGGGAGCGCGTTCCACGGCTGGCTCGACGGCACCGTTGTTGGTGTTGGTGTTGGTGTTGCCGTTGGCGAGGAGGGGGCTTGTCTCTGAGGAGAGGATAGACATGGTGGTGGTGGTGGTATGGATTGAGAGGCGGAAATATGAGAAGAGATGGTGAGGGAAGAAAAAGGGGGGAAAGAGAGAGAGAGAGAGAGAGAGAGAGAGAGAGAGAGAGAGAGAGAGAGAGAGAGAGAGAGAGAGAGAGATGAGGGAAGAGAGGGAGCAGGCAGGCGGTTTGATGCTTCTGATGTCTGTAGGCGAGGATTGAAGGTGTACTCTTAAGAGGTGCAGCAGGCAATGCAACAAAACCCCAACACAACACGTCTTCTGCTTGTTTTGTTTGTTTTTCTTTCTTTTCTACCACACTCAGGAACAGCCTTTGTGATTTGGCCAAGCTGTCAGGTGTTCGTCGCCTGGAGAGTCGAGGTCCAAGGTGGTGAAATTTGGAGTATCAAATAGGGTTGCACCTCACCTCCTCTCCAACAGATCCGGAGTCAGTGTGTGTGGTGGTGAGTGAACCAGTGTACACGGCAGAGGGCTTGATGGATTGAGATGGGACAACAAACAGTGCACGCAGCTGTCCTCCATTCCTCAGGGCACATCTTTCTTTATATGCTGAGGACAATCCCAGCCTAGTAGACCATTCCAGAGCAATCAGATGCCCAGCATATCTTCTTTCAGGTCTCATTCTGTATTCTTGTTACAAAAATCAACAGGCCATGGCTTACACGGGTGGGGCGATAGTCCAAGCAAATGGTCAGCAGATAACCTCGCAGTCTCATTGGTGAGCTGGCGTTCCCGCCTTTTCTCTGATTTCCTCTTTGCCCTGCTTCCAGTAACATCATTCCAAATCATCAACCTGCAAAGGCCATGTTTGTCAAACAAGATGCTCACTTGTCTATTGTGCAGATCAGCTTCCTTTTCATCAATAACATCGAGGCAAACATTCCTGGATACGGCAGGAGAATTCGGACATAAATGACATTTCAATTGTCTTATATCCGAAAACGCTCCGTAGCGGAAGAGAGAGAGAGAGAGATAGAGAGGGTCAATACCGATTGAAGCTTGAACTGCAGTTGGCTGTTCACTTTTAATTATGTATTTACTTTTATTTAAGGTTGGCGTGGAAGCTTATAAAAATGAATGCAACTGTTGTCACATGATATCTCCATGATGATCCAATCCCATCTCTTTTCACCACTCAAAAGCTGGAAATAAGAGACATAGTACAAATTTCAGTGGGGTATCGATGAGAACTGATCTCAAAATCAAGAGGGTTAGGGCATGACCAGGTAGTCCACTGTAGCAATTACAGCTTGACAGGTAAACAGTGAGCGGCCAAGGCCCGAGCCAAGCCCAGCACACTTACCACAGTAAGAGAGGGTCTTTTCTTTGGGCGGGTCTCACCCTAGACCCAGGCTGCCGATGATGACAGCATGTTTTATTTACTTAGTACTAGTGATACGGCCTTTGAATGACCAGTACGCGGCCTGTAGATCCGAGTAAGTAGGTCCACATCCAGTTATCCTGAAGCGCGAGAGAGAGAAAGAGAGGGGTATGTCTCTGACCCCGGGCCCAGTCCTCCTCCTTCAACCATCGCCGTAATATCCAAAGCCAGCCACTCAGCACCAGCGCCTATACAAGCTCTCTTCGGCTCACTCTCGCATACTCTTTCCACGTTTCAAGATGCCGGCCAACACAGAAAAAGACGTAGCAACCATCGAGTTTGCCAGAACTCTCCAAAACACCCCATGGTGCGATGACTACGAGAAGATGATCTCAGGCGTCCTGTATGTTCCCCAACGAGAGAAAGAATATTCCAAAAAAATAAAATAAAAAAATGAATTGATCATCCAATCCCTCAAAGATCAAACTCTCTTCCCCCTTTGCTATATCCCATATAAGAGGAGAATGGGCAGAGAAACGAGAGGAAGAGAGGGAGGGGAAAAAAAAAAAAAGCCTCTGGACCTGCTGGACCTGACGACTTAAACCCTCTGTCTCTCTCGCTTCCAGGTACAACTGCCTGGCACCCGAGCTGGTCCAAGGCCGCTTCCGCGCCCGCAGGTTCATGCACAAATACAACAACTACTTCCCCGAAGACGCCACCGCCGATTCCCTATGCGCAGACCGCGAGCAGATGCTCAGGGGCATCCTCGGCAGCGTGGGCACGTCGCCCTTTGTCGAGCCCCCAGTCAACATCGACTACGGCTGTAACGTTTCGGTGGGCGACGGCTTTTATTCCAACTTCAAGTAAGTGTTTTTTTTCTGTCGCCATTGTAGAGAGGGGCATGAAAAAAAATAAAAAATGAAAGAAAGATGGTTCCTCTTCTTTATCTTTTGGTCTATGCTGACCCATATATCTTCTCCCTCCCTTCTTCTTCCCCCCCAATAGCCTAGTCATCCTCGACTGTGGCATGGTCAAGATAGGCCACAGGGTAATGTTCGGCCCCTTCGTCTCCATCTTCGCCGCCACTCACGAGACAGGCGTCCAGTCCCGCCGCGACGGCGTCGAGTACGCCATGCCCGTCACCATCGGCGACGACTGCTGGATCGGCGGCAACGTCACCATTATGCCGGGCGTCACCATCGGCAAGGGCTGCACCATTGGCGCGGGGAGTGTCGTCACCAAGGACGTGCCGGACTTTAGTGTGGCTATTGGGAGTCCTGCCAGGGTGGTCAAGAAGGTGGACGCGGTGCCAGATCTCGATGCTGGTGCTGGTGCTGGTGCTGGTGCTGCTGGTGCTGCTGGTGCTGCTGGTGCTGCTGGTGCTGCGCAAGGGTCGGAGAAGGGCAATAGGGTGGTGCCGGAGCCGTGAAGGTGGTCTTGAAAATGGGTATAGACATATCAGCCTTGTACGTCTAGAGGATATAATGAATCAAAACGCATAAAACAGAATCGTCATGGCATATTGAAGCACCAAGGACTGTGGGGGACACCCAACAGTTGACGATTGCACAGAGACTTTCCTTGGTGGACGAGGTTGGACGAGCTATTTGTCAGTCTCGGAGGCTGTCAGAAAAAGAGCAAGTACGCCCACCCCCAGATTATCTAGGTTCAGGGCTGTCTTGTGTCTCCAGAAGAATGACAAGCAAGAGATACGTCCAGACGGAGCAGGGGCGTGCGAATACATTTCGCCAATAACCAGGGAGTCCCACTTCTTGTCACAGGAAAGTCATTTCTTCTTTCTGAATTTCCAGAGCTGTCTACTGCAGCTATTCCATCCACCTGGGCAACGTGAGAGAGCAGAGAGAAGAACCGCTCTGCATGCTTGATTGCCACCCCTTCACAACAGAACATTGGGTCTCCTCGCCCTAGCTTCCAAATGGCACCCGGCACTTACACGACCTTCTCTCCGGCGTGCTAAGACAGCCTCTCCTGAATACCATGAGAGACGTCGTGCCGCAAGCACTGCTCCTTGCAGGTCCCCCGGTCAATATTCGATAGCCATTTCAGATCTCGGTCCGCAGGGACCTTTCCACTAAAGAACGGATCGCATTCCGATCTAGCTCGCTTCTTGACCAGATCCCAATTTATTTCAACCTCTTGTTCTCCATTCATACACGAGCCAGCCAGGGCGAGAAGAGAGGGAAGTGTGGCCGGAGATGACGAAGGATTCTGATACTCGAACTTCGTATCACCGGTCTCTTTGCAGACCGGCACCATGGCGAGGATATAGGTACAGTCATGATCCGTCAAGTCATCATTCACATGCGTGATGGTCGGTGCCATGGGCGAGACCATCGTATCTCCAACGAAAAAGAAATCAAGAAATAGAATCCCAAGGCGGCGCAGAGCTGCATGACCACCCAGACCAATCCTGTGCCAGATCAAACAGGCCAAGCCAGCCAGCGCTGCAGGTCAGCCTTGCCACCATCAGGAGACTTTTGGTCCGCATATCGTACCCGCCCCACCTAACTTTGGGCGGGCAGTCCTCGGCAATAGAGGCATGAGTCGGTCTCTGGAAACTTTGCCCTAAGTGCCTGGTGGTCATGGCCCACAGGTGAATGGACAGGCTGATTTTCAATCGTTCTTGCGACTACTCCGCGGCGGCAATGTACCTTAGTTCGAGGAATAGGCCGAAGAAACATAAATATGCCGGAATGCTGGTCGTCGATATGTGCAGGCGAGCCAGTGTATGAGACCTAGAAAAAGGCAGGCTACATGCCAGCCGGTGTTGTACAGAGGCAGGCCGTCCTCCTCTTATATGTGGAAAACAAAAAGAATGACCGAACCGACTGGTGTTTTCATCATTACTGACCACCTTTCCGTGCCTTCTCTTGTGCTCTGGCCTCGCGGGCTGCACGCACCAAGGGCGAGAGCTGGGCCAGATCAACGCACTGTTTCATGAACTCATGCTAGAGAACAAAAGAGTCAGCAGAGTATAGCAGGTTAGGCTTTTGCCGGAGGGGGGAGGGGGGGGTGTGTATACGTACTCGAAGCAGATCGTGGGCACTGGCACGCTTCTCTGGGTCGACTTTGAGGGCAAAGTACAGAAAGTCTCGGAAGACAGCGGAGAGGCTGTTCTCGTCCTTGATCGTCGGCGTTCCGTTGGTGGCGATCAGCCAAAGGGCACGGAGGGGCGATTCAGTCAGATATGGTGGCTCTCCCTCGATCATCTCGATGGCCATGATACCCAGGGACCAGATGTCCACCTTCCTGCCATACTCCTTCCTAGTGACGACCTCAGGAGCCATCCAGTATGGCGTGCCCACCATGGTTGTACGCTTGTTGTGGGCCTCATTGATTGTCGCACAGAAACCAAAATCAGCTGTCACACACACACACACACACATATACGCATTAGCCTCTGGTCATATTCAGGGTTGGCTGTCGTCGCAACTTACTCAGCTTGATATTTCCTTCCATAGAGAGCAATATGTTGTCGGACTTGATGTCTCTGTGGATCACGCCCTTTGAGTGCAGGTGCTGCAATCCCTTCAGAGTCTCCCTGCAGACAGATGCAATCTGGCCCTCGGTCATGATATTAAAAGTCACGACATCTGTGAGACTGCCTCCCTCCATGTACTCCATCACTACCCACAGCTCACCTGAACAAAGGAAACTGTCGATGAAGTTAACAATGTTGGGGTGCGAGCTCTCTTTCATGACCAGGATCTCATTGATGATAAGGTCCTTCTTGGGTTGCTGCTCCAGGTTCATCTGCTTGATGGCGACCAGCCTGTTGCTGCCCCGCTCGTGTCCAGTATACACTCCGCCGGACGCACCCTGGCCGATCTTGGTGAAACCACGATAGATCTCGCGCGGGTCACCTTCCGAGCAGATACGCTTGAGAGACGCAATCACGTCAATCCCGTTGCTCTGTCTCTGCCGGTTTCGAGGTCTCGCGCCCGGCACAGCGCCCGGCTGTGGCTGCTGAGGCCGCTGAGCACCGTTCTGCTGCTGCTGCTGCTGCTGCTGCTCGGGCACCCGGGCAAACTGGTGCTGGGACTGAGGCGGTGTGGGCTGCTGGGCCGGCTGTCTCTTACTCGGAGCACGACCAATCTGGCCAGTCATGGCCACCTGTGCCTGCGCCAAAGCCTGTTCTTGCTGCTGCTGCATCAGCTGCTGCTGGTAGGCAGCCGGGCTGGGCTGCACCGGGTTGTATGGAGCGGTGCCGTTGACGCGGGAATTCGATCGCGATCTCGATCGGTGCTCTTCGGGTAGCATGGTCGGCGCATCCTTCGCGGGAATGTAGGAACCCTCTTCGCCGGTGGGGGGCATACCGATGCCCGAGTCTTTGGTCGTGTAGGGAGGCTGAGCGTTGGATCGATTCGACATACTGACCGGAGGCTTGGGAGCCGGGCGGCTGGGCATCAGGTTGATATCCTTGGTAGGATGAGAGCCAATACCTTTCGGGACCGGAGGGGGGGACCGGGGGTTTTCGAAACTGCCTTCAACATTCTGAGGAAACCGCGGGCTTGCAGGCGGGCTTATCATAGGTGACATACCCGTATAACTTGATGAGAACTGTCCAGACGAGGGCATCGTGGCCGAGCCAGGTGCAGAGCCGACCTGGCGCATCTCGGTTGCTCTGGCATCATGAAATTTCTCCAGGTTCTGGTCCTCGTGAGGCCTCTCTGTTGTCTCCTTGTAGAAGGTGAGAACGTCGACGAGCATCTGGGGATTTGCCTGTCTGTCCTTCTCGGGAATGCCGCTCTCGTTGATCAGCCGTTGCCATTCCTTGGGCAGTCCCTAGCATAAGTGCACACAGGTAGTTAGCACGAGATTCCATCTCTCTCTATCTCTCTCTCTGTCTTTCTCTTTGTCTCTATTGTCTCTAGATTGACAATGGCAAGTCGGGATCGACTAAGGATAGGAAGATGACAAGAGCAACGAGGAGAAGCTGGAGAACGAGGAAAGGTAGAAAGCAAAAGAAATCGAGAGGGAAGAGAAGAAAGAAAGGGGAAAAAAAACAAAAAAAAAAAAAAAAAAAAAAACAATGTGAACTGACCGTGAATTGGCCGGTGGAACTATCATAGCCAACGTGGGTGACGTGCACAGGGTTTTCGGGTGCTGAGATGAGCGGCTTCTTGGGCGAGCCGACTAGACTGGTCATGAAGCCGGAGAAGCCCGTCTTCTTGCGCAGGACGGAGGACATCTTGGGTTCCTTGGACTCGTCAGAGAAGCGCTTCGACGGCGGCAATTGACCGTCGGGCATCTTGGAGCCCTGCGACTTCTCGGCGGCGGCCATGGTGTCAGCGGCAGCCGAGAAGCTGGCGTTGTGGTCGATGGACAGGCCAGCGAGTCGGGTATCAGGGGTGGTATGGGCAGGACGGGGAATGGACGGTCGCTGGGGGGAGGTGGGAGCCTTGATGGCGTCGATGCGATTGATGATGGCAGATCCGTCAAAGGGCGCGCCGATGAATTCTTCTGACGCTCTGGAGTTGAGACGACTATGGGCAGAGGCGGCCGTGCCCAGTCCGTAATTAAGATTGTTGTTGTGGGGATCGGAGAGACGGTGGTGGTCCCTGCTGCTGCGGGACGGGTCCCCTCGGTTGGCGCTGGCGGACGACGGGGGTTGTTGCTGGTGCTGGTGGGAGAAGGAGAGGCCGGTCGAGAACTCGCCCGAGGGAAGGATAGGGGAGGGGTTCAGAGAGCGCTGCTGCTGCTGCTGGTGGTACTGCTGCTGAGAATAGTGGCTGCTGCCAGTACCGACGAGCCCCACAGCAGATGAGCTTGGGTTGGTAGACGAGGAGGAGACAGGAGGGTGTCGTGGAGAGGAACTGTTTGACGCGTTGTTGGAGTTGGGAGTAGTCCTTGCAGGTGGAGCACTTGGCGCCCGCCTAAGGCTCGTGGAGCTGCGTTTGCTCTGGATGGACAGGGTGTCGAACCTGGAACCCGCGACGCTGGCGCTGGCATCGATACTGTTAGAACTGCGGTGCTGGTGCTGCTGGTGCGAGCTTGGGGGCTTCTTTGTCAGGCGACGCCGCGAAGATGAGGGTGCGGGCGCGGCACTGATGGTGGTCGAGGTTGAGGGTCGGTTAGTGTTGTTTAGATTAAAGCCGTCCATGATCCCACGACACAACGTCCGAGGAGGCGGCTGGGCCTAAGGTCGGGGGGAAGGCGCCAGGGGGCGTAAAGTTCGACAACAAGGAGAGAGCGGGGTGCAAAAAAAAAAAAAAATAAAAAAAAAAAAATAAGGGCGAAACGGAAGGTTGGGTCTAGCTGGACGGCTGAAAGGCGCGGGACGGGCGTGTGTCCTCTAAAGGTGTGAGACGGGGAAAACGGGGGGAGGGGCCCAAGAGAAGGGGCCCAAGCCGCTCTGATGACACTTGCTGGGCGTAGAAAGGGTGGTTGGCCAATGACGTGGGTTGATGTGTCTACGGGAGATGAGCCCGCACGCCCGCTGTCAGAAGACCAGGTCTGCTGGAACCTTTAGAACAGCAGGGTTGCTTGCTTGCTTGCCCGTCCTGATCCCTGGGTTGGGTTGACGAGATTAGAGGTGATGCACGAGGGTGCCGCGTGGTTGGTTGTCTCTGGCCGCCTGTGGCTTGCAGGTCGCTTGATGACGGCAAACTGAGAGGCGCGCGAGAGCAGGAGGGAGCGACTGACTGCCTCGAAAAGGAGAACAGAGTGGGCCGGATTGTCGAAGAAGAAGGTTTAAGGAGGTAACGGTGTAGGAGAAGGAGGAAAAAGTAGGACGAGAGACTTGAATGGAGGTGGCCGCCGTGGCAAAGGGAAGCAGGGCCTGAGTTGGGTGTGGACGCCTGCGGTCGTACCCCCCCACCGTGTGTGTGTGTGTGTGTGTGTGTGTGTGTGTGTGCGCGCGCGGCGTGTGTGTGCGTTGTGTCTGTTTCTGCTCTGGATCTAGGATGCCCGTGCTGGGTGCGTCCTCGTCCCCGTCCGTAAATGTACGTAGGTGCTACTGTTTCTTTAAGAAACAGTCGAAGTGCGGATGCACACTGGCTGGGGGGTGTTGAGAGTGGGAAACACTTCTGAGCTCGGACAGGCCGCGCAATTGGGAAGCTCTAGGAGGTTGTTGTCATTTCTCTCGTGACCCGTGCTCGACCTGGGTCTTGTCTTCTTGTCTTTGCAGCTGTCACAAGTCCTTTTGCTGGACTGGCGGGCTTCGTCCCTGGTTGCCAACTTTGAAGGTCGAACCCTGTGACTCAAAACCTCCTATGCTTGCGAGCTTGCAAGCAGCATCAACAGATGAGCCCAAGGACCCGCGCCTTGACGTGTCGACGTAATGCGCCGCCGTATGATATGGGCCGTATCGTATCGCTGCTCCGTCTTGTCCATCCAGAAGGGGATGCCAGCTGCCAGGGAACTTGCCGGGGACTTGCCTTGGCCAAGACCTGCCTGTAATTGCTCCCAGATATCCTCCCTGCTGTAAATTTGCGTACGCACTATGGGGTAGTCCTGGTCCTGCGGCAGGGCTGCGACAAGGTTCGATAGGGCGGGTGGGCGGTGGAGTCCGCGGACGCTTGATCAGGAATTGAATTTAGTGGGTGTTGGCCGTGCTCGATAAACGGGGGTCCTGTTGTCGCTGCTATTGTACTGTGGTATGTGCTGTCGTAGTAGCCGAGGGCACTGTAATAAGTGAGGTCGGGGGGTCCCTGACCCTGCTGTAGCTGTACAAGTAGCAGCGGTACGACTATGGGTGGTAGCAGCTTGGCCTTGGCTGACCTGGGTCTGGGCCCGGGCTTGACAAGAGTCGTGCAGGTGCGTTTGCTGACACTTGGCTTTGGCTCGAGAGCTTTCCTGGGTTCTGTAGTGCAAACGGTACAATTAGCGCTTCACGCCTAGACAATGCGAGTGGAAGACGAGCGACTGGGTATAAAGACAAGGCGTATGCTCCTGCTGAGCTCTCGCTTGCGGGTCCAAGGCGATGCTGCTCTACCATGGTAATCAAGGCACCACAAGAAGACAGGTGATGGCTTACTTGAGGTAAAAAGGCTCTTGGCGCTCAAGACGAGAAAAGGGTACAACCCAGATCTGGCTTAGCAGACGATCGTCGCGACTTGGAGTGCGAGTCTTCAACTCGCCAAAACTGCTGGTGTTTCCGATTACCCTGTATCGAATCGAGTCCGAGTCAAGAGGGCCGTTTTGTCTTGGTGAATCTTTGGCACAAGGGTCTTTTAAGATCTCGGTTGAATGAAAGACTGACGATCGAACAGCGAGGGAGAACAAATAAACGGTGACGAATCTTCGTATTATGTTCCGCTCTTGGTGATGTTGCTTTTCCCACCAGTTTTGTCGCTTCTTTGAGGCCCCTTCCATCCATTGACAATAAGATGCTGCAGTATAGCCTCCCAAACGACGTTGGTGGCACCAGAGTACTTGTCTTGACAGTGTGATTAAAGATGCTGGTGATACTCTTCGTACGGTATGGAGGGTGCCATTGTGCTGCAGAGAAGGCCGTGTAAGATACAGTGAAAATAGCCTCAAAGTGGGGTAGCACCTCACCACAGACAGTACCAAATCTTTAATTTGCACGGTGACAGGGATATGGTCCTGCCTGGGAATTATAGCGGAGACACACACATGGTCCAGGCTCATAGGGGTCCCTAGGGGCCACAGCCAGTTCCAAGAATTCCCTACCTGGCCTCTGAACTGATCCGCCCACCAGGTTTGGCCAGCTGGCTGCGGCTCAGCAGTATCCTCACCATATCACCTCACTCCTGGGGCAAAGATCCTCCTTTTCAGTCCAAACCCCCAAACCATCCCAAGAGCCAACCCTTTCATGCTCAATTCCTGCTCAGGGAAGCTTACAGGAGCAATTGCCTTTTGACGGCCAGATGGCTTTGAATCCATCAGTCATGACACAGTGCCAATACCAGAGCCTGGCCAAAAGCTGTTGCACAGCCAACCCAGGACGCCTGCCCCAATCTCCCCTTGATGCCCATGCACGGAATTTCTTTCTGTGATACGCCCGCCATGGTATGATTCCCCAGTCCTTTGTGTCACCCAGGCCAAATTAACTGGAGAATTTCATTCCTCAATCTCAGCCTCTCATCTCGCCCCCATCCTTCTCCTTTTCTTCTATGCTGTCCCTGCCTGCCATGGGAATTCAGACCCAAGCATGCGGTATTCTGAGAAGATTTCCATATCTGGTGCTGATGCTGGCACATGCCTGTGAATTGGTTTGGTCATTTGGTTTAGGTTCCCCTGCCTTTGGCCCTATGGCACTACTATGTTACATGGTAGTGCTTGAATTCATATTGATATTCAGTGAATATGCTTTCTATTAACCCATTTTTAATTTCGTCATAGCCAAATTTTCACCCTCTAGTCCTGATCAGGTCCCAACGAATTTGCCAAAGTTTCCAAGGTGATTGATCCCATGCGGAACTGCTAGTTGTGATGTATGCTGTTTTGGAAGAACAGGCATTCTATTCGCCCGCCCTCTTGTCCTCAAACAGCACAGCATCATCTTGTGAAGGGATGATGTCTCACTGCTAGGGAGCGCTGTGAAATTTCCACATGACCCGACGGGACGATACAGACTTGGGATGATGCAGACTTCAAGTTGTTAGGAGTCAGAGCCTCCGGTCATCTTCAGTAAGGAGGGAGGTATCAAGACAGCTTTGCCAAGATCTGATGTTGCGTCTGTGCTCAACCTCGAGGAGGACCACCCCCTCACTATGCCTTGTTTTTTCTGAAATCTTCTGTCTATAGGCTTTGATATAGATGCATCATATGCCTTTGCATGTCCATGTTACCATCCTATATTTCGAAGCAGGTCAAAGCAAAGATTGATGCTACTACCCTCAAACAGCAGGAAGCAGCCATCAGGTATTGAGGTTGGCTTGATGAGGCGGCCTCTATGGTCCAAGTCTCTAGATATAGAGGTCTCCTCGTCAAAATCAGGCCCTCGCATTCCACCAGCTTTGCAGCTGTTCTAAGAGATATATTCTGTGGCTCGAGGAGGCTTGGTCTCTAAATGGAGCATCTTTTCCTCATCGCAAGGTCGTAAATGGGCCCGTGGTAGTATAGTCAATTATCAGCTCGTGCGCTCTAGATAGTACCAGTTGTATTGACCAGGGAAGAGAAGGGCGTATCCAGGCAGGTGAAGCGGTCAAGGAACAGGAATACACAGGTAGCGAAGGTCTTGCGGCGCCATGTCTGATTCCTCAGAACGTCTTCTTTGCGGGCAAGGGAACGGTAGGATCTTCGATGCTCTGCAGACCTTGTCTCGATGCCTCCGTTCGGACAAGGAGGTAGACAGCGACGTGGAGAATCTCGATCCCGCTGGAGGTATGCAAAGCCGCAAAGCTTCATCCTCCGTCCGTAGAGCCACCCTTTACCACCCAGCACCAAATCTTACCTGAGGACCTCGCCAATCTCAAGATCAGCGTATTGAGCCTGGATCATTCTGCGCGCAGAAATTTGCCAAAAGGCCCGGGGAGGGGGCCAGAGGCTTCCAGCACCTTCATTACTAATCCTGTCTACTTTGTGAAAACAATGCGGACTAGCTGCAGCTGGCGGGGCTGGCTGCCCCAAACCCTGAGCACAAGCCTAGGGTCCCACGAGGCTGAGCAGCCACGCGGCTGAGCAACAACTACACGAGGCTACAACCAAAGACATCACCACTGAGCAAGACTACATAGTACTCCAATTGATATAACAATACTACAATAGCTCCCTCATACAATGGTAGCCAAGGAAAAAGAGTCTTGACCATGCATAGTAGGCCACACAATACAAATAGAGAAAAAGAGGTGATGTTGTGGGAAACACCATGAGAATTGCTCAGCCGCGCGGGGCCTCTCTGCCCTAATCGACACTGTGTCTGCCACCTGGCCCAGCCCACAACTCACAACACCACGACTCACTGTATCACGACTCACCATGATGTCGTTTTGCAGAGACATCCTCGCAGCTCCCGCCCAAAGTCCCCGCTATTTGCCCCGCTGCAGCCTCTCTTCTGTCTACATAAACCAGCAACTCGTTACTGTTGCCATCAACAAGCTTCTGCCAACTTCCTTTCTCTTTCTCTCTCTCTGTCTCCTCCTTCATCCCCATCTCTGTCCCTCTCTTTTTGCCTTTCTCTTCTCTTCACTCTCTCCAAGCACCATCCATCTGTCATCTTCATCTCCCCAGCTCATCTCCCATCTCATCACTCAATCACACATCCAGCATCCAAGTCCGTGTCCAAGACACACAAAGTCTTTCATTGTTCAAGAACCCCATCCAAGTAAGCAAATCATCTCACATCACCAGCAGCTCATACCACAAACATCCACTGACCGGACACTGCGGATCGTAGCTCAAAACTTTCGCAGACAAGATGGCTCAGACCATGGTCAACATCACCATCCAGCTTGAGCACCGCCTCCGGATCTTGCGGGACAGCGCTCAGGCTGCTGATCCCACCAAGTCTCCGGCTGAGCTTGCATACGAGTGAGTTGTCACCCATAGAAGCAAATTTGCCTGCCTTCCCACCCCCCCCCCCTCCCCTCTTCCTAGCTTCTCTTCCCTTTCTTTCCAACTGGGCCAGTGGCTCGACATGTTGCCATCTTCATGCCTGAACAGCACAATCTGTGGCAAGAGAAGTGGTGCTCCTGAGGCCCGTTTCGCAGAGGGAACGCTCACTGACTGAGATTGTTGTTTTCTATCAACTAGGCTCCACATGAATGGCACCCCCATCCCCCACGACGCCGAGGTGATCATGGGCTCTCAGGGCGCGCGCCTCGAGTGCCACGGAATCGTGCTGGCGTGCCAGTGTGACAATGTGGACGCCCAGTTCGGCTTCCCTCAGGGTGGAGTTCCCTCGATCCTCCACCTGCCCAACATCGACTCGGCCGATTACCAGAAGGCGGTCAATACGTTGGTGTTCCTTCTTTACCTGGAGGAGAATGGTAAGCCCAGCCAAACCCTTCCCACTTTCTTCTGTCCCCCCCCCTCCCCCCTCCCATCCAAGGTATCGATAGCTCATTCTCCTTGGTATTTCGCAGACCGTCCAACTGCCGCGCAGATCAACGCGGATATTGAGATCCAGGGCTTCAACCCTCCCCTGTTCTGGATCGGCTTCACGCTCGGCCTGGAGGCCCTCTGCCCCAAGGACCGCACCCTCGAGCGTCTGCCCCTCCACGGCTACCAGGACCTCGTCGACACCAAGATGCGCATCATGTTCCAGGCCGTGACCCCCATCGGCAACCGCGGCCCCATGGAGTGGCTCGCCCAGGACCTGCAGATCGACCTGGTCGGAGAGGGCATCTGTGCGGCGGTGCGCTCCCTGGAGCAGCACATGGGCCAGCTGGTCCACCTCGCCAACCAGGGCCCCCAGCTCATGGTCGAGCTGGCCCGCTTCTGCCTGGCCGTCCAGGTCCGCGCCCAGGACTGGTCCCCCGCCGACAAGACCAAGTTCCGAAACGACCTGGGCTTCCTGTGGGACCCCGCCCGCCACCCCACCTTCCTCAACGCCTACCTGAACCTGAACTTCGCCTGCCGCGCCGTCCGCATGGACACCATCATCGTCGTCCGCAAGAACAGCCACGACGAGACCTGCGCGTGCCCCTGCGTGCGCCGCTGCGACAAGATCAGCCGCAACAGCCTCGTCCGCCGGGGCCCGGGCAACCCCCAGCCCTACGTCCTCGTCAACCCCTTCGACGGCGGTGCCAAGCTCGTCTGCCAGCACTGCGACCAGAACTGCGGTCGTATGCCCTGGCGTATCATCTGAGTGTGCTGATTGGGGCTTGTGGATCGACCCGCTCACGTAGAGACGCGTCGGAGGGAACAGCTTGAGCAGCAAAGCGGGAGCATCAGTCGGCCGCTGGGGAGAACTTTGAATGGAAGGGTGAAGATCAGGATGGTGGATTCAGGTTTGAGACATGTTTTTTTCTTCTTTTTCTTTTTCTTTTTGACGAAACCGCGCCGAGAATTGGGCTAAAATGGGTAAGGCGATGATGACTGAGCAGAGTGGATCTGAAAGCAATTTTGCCCTCTCCATGAAGGATTGGCCAGCCTCTTCTGTCTCGATTATTAGCTTTCCCTACCCTTTTCCTTTCTTTTTTCTTTTTCTTTCCCCATCAGATAGTCTGACTCTAGGATTGAGGACCTACCGGCTCGTTGACCATGCGGAACCAAGGAATTCCTGGATCTCATGCATCAGCATTGAAGTAACAAAGAGCCATTCCCTCAATCCTACAAACAACGAGCATAACGAAATTCAGAAGCAATTGTCTTTTTTTACACAAAGCCAAGTTGTAATTGGGATGCCTGCGATTTTTGATACTACCTGCTATTTAACTGAATGCAATGCTTGCGAACTTCGTTGAGGTCCCATATTCTGGGCCACGATCATAGGACTTTTCCCAACCGGCCTGACCATTCCAAAAAGAAATAATGTAGAAAAGCAAGAAGGGAAAAGATAAAAAAAGAGACCAAAAAAAATAAAAGAGCAAAACCTCATACCAATATTCCTCTCACCACCAGTTATCTTGCTGCTCATCGGGGTCGGGACTGACGGCAGCAGAAGCAGTATTGCTCTAGTCCCTCGCCCTGGACCCGTTCTGCCCGTCACGCACAGCAGCAAGGATGAGATCCTTGGCCTTTTCGACACCATCCTTGGTGCCGATGACCTCGATGGCCTCCCCGTTATCACGAGGCACATTGATCTTGCACCCGCTCTGTTTACGGATCGAGTTCACCTTGCTTCCGCCCTGACCAATCACGTGACGGTAGGTCTTTGGGTCTGGCAGGACCAGGTACCCGGTGACATTGTCCTTGGCCTGGTTCAGCGCTGTGGTGATGGCGTTCTTGGCCTTCTCAATATCCTCTGAGGATCCCTTCAGAACCCAAGGGATCTCGCCCTCGTCATTGGAGACGCTCTCGACAACGTTCCAGGTGTGGGCGTCTTCGTCGGCTTCATCAGTGATGAGAGGAAGCGCGCTACCGTTGCCCCGGGGTGCAGCAGTGGTCTTTGGTGGTGGGGTCTGACCGGCGTGGTCAACAGTGACGTGGTAATCACTCCTCAGCTTGCGGAAGAATTGGCCATTGTTGGAGATGGCCTGGTGCAGGTTTCGCGGGACCTGAACCGTCTCTACCGGCTTGTCCTTCGTCAAGTTGGCGATATGCTCCTTGGCCTTCTCAACAGCCGCCTCCTGGCCGGTGATCTTGACTGCCGTGTCTGTGCTGCCCTGCCGAGGAATGTCAATCGTGACACTGAACTGTTCCTCCAGCCGCTTCTTGGTATCTCCGCCGCGACCGATCAGAGACCTATGCTTCTCGGTAGCGACATCGACCGTGGTCGTAACCTGGCTGTCCCTGACGGACACAAAGTCCTCAATTTGCTTGATCAGGTTGTCAACAACCGCTGAGCGGCCCTCCAGGGTGATGGTGTTGCCATCAGCCTCCTGCTTCGGAAACTGAATAAGACGAGCACGCTCTCTGGCGTCGTCGGATCCACCGGCCTTGGTGACCATTTCACGGAGGTGAGCACCTGGAAAGAGAATAAAGTTAGCTTCAAGACCAAGCCCACACAGGATGTTCTGGAGCTGACTCACCTCCGGCACCAATCAGTGCTCTGTGGTACTTCCTCTCCACATCAATAGTCTTTGACACGGTATCATCAAAGGCGGCCTTCTTTTCTTCCAAAATCTTCTTAGCCTTCTCTACGTTTGCCTTCTTGCCCTTGATTGTGAGCTCGACGAGGGGTTCGTCTGAGTCCCTATCGTTGGGAACGTCAATCCTCGTCTCGGTCTGTTGGCGCAGGGCCTCCATGGCAGCACCGCCTTGTCCAATCAAGGACGGAAGCTGCTTGCGCTGGACGACGACAGTTCCGGTAAAGGACTGCTCCTTCACCCAGTCGTAGAGCTGCTTCAACTCATCGTAAGAAGAGCTGACGCCCTTGCTTGGGCCGCGAATGATGATCTGATCGGGAGCTTGCTGGCGACGGGGCTTGGCGGCCTCACCAGCGACTTCGGCACTGTTGTCATCGTCCTTCCCGTTCTTCTCAGCACGTGGGAAGAAGATCATGACATTGTACCGGTTCTGGAGCCTGTTGACGGTCTTGCCTTCGGGTCCAATCAGGTCGCGGTGGAACTTGGGCTCCACCGTCAGCGTCTTGGTGGTCTCGTCGGCAAGCTCCTTGCCAAGCGACTCAATGTGCGACCGTGCGGCTGAGGCCTTGGCCTTGGGGCCCTTGAGCTGGACTTTGCCGTTCTCGACCTGGATGTCGACATCGAACTTGTCGCGGAGATCCTTGATCCTGCTGCCCTGCTTGCCGATGAGATGATTGGCATACTGCTGCGGGAAGTCAAACTCCAGAGTGAAGTCGCGTTCCTTCTCGTCCGCCTTCTCCTGCTCCACGAAGGCTTTCACCTGCTCCGCCAGACGCTGTGTAGCTGTCTCTGGCCCGCGCAGCGTCACGGTGGAACCGGTGTTCGACACGCGGATCCGGATCTGGTTGGGACCGCGCTTGTCTTGCTCCTTCTGGATAAACCTCCGGAGCCTGTCGTGGAACTTGACAGGGACCTCGACGTTGACAACAGTGATACTGTCTTGCTGTTCCAGGATATCTCTGATGTGTTTCTCGGCAGCACGGAGACCCTCCTCGAATGCCTTCACGTCACTCTGCGACGGGGCAGCACGTGGGATCTCGTAGGGGCTTCCGGCCGTGCCGGGGGCTTCGTAGACAAGCAGGACGGGTGCGCCGGTTTCGGACACCGCGGGGACCACCAGCTGAACACCATAGTTGTCGCGAACGTGCCGGCTGACCTCATTCTGCATATAAGGATGGAAGAACGGGTCCACATCGACAGTTCTCATCCTGGAAGGCGGGTGACTCTCGAAGATGCTGCGGATGTCCGAGGTCGCGGCGGCGGTGGATTGGCCCTGCGGCAGGAAGAGCTCCCAAGGGAGAGCACCATCCTGGGAGAACGGCGTGTTGATGTGAGCGCGGTATTGCTTCTCCAGGCGATCGATCTCATTGCGGTGGCGCAGGTAGCGTGTAACGTTCTTGGAGTGAACCGCACCCCTGCCGGGGGCCTGCTTGTTGGTCCACTTGAGATGGTCCACATTGTTCATGTTCATGCTCTGAGCCAGCGTCTCTGCCTTCTCAAGAGCAGCACTGATGCGATCCTCGGGTCCGACAATGGTGATGGCGTCATCTTCTTCATCTGTCGGCAGGATGATTGCACAGCCGGTCTCGTTGAAGAACTCCTCGGGTGACAATCCTGAGTGCCCAATGATAAATTGGTGGCGGCCGCGCTGGATCTCAAGCTGCTGCAGGAACAGCTGTTCGCGGAGCTCTGCAGCGCGGCGCTCGATCTCCTGCTTCAGAGCAAGAACGGCCTCGCGCTCGCCTTCCAACTGGATATGGTGGTCCTGGGCGGCACGGAAGGCAGGGCGCTGGCCAGGTGCAGGGACGGGCGTGGTGACCTCGGAAGACCACGTGGCATGAGGTGGAACGCGCATCTGAGCCGGGCTGGCATCGCCAGTGGTGTTGGCAATGAAGGGGTAGAACTCAGGAGGAATATCCCTGACCCTCGTGTTGACCTTCGCAGCCCGTTCGCCAATAATCTTGAGAATCTGCTCGCGGGCCTGGGCAGCCGAGATGGAATTGCCCTCGATCTTGACGTTGATGTATTCGTCATCGAGATCATCGACCGGACTGGCAGCAGACGGCTTCTTGTCATCCTTGGGGACCTCGATCCGTGCGCCTGTCTTCTCCTGGAGAGACTTGATGTTGGCGCCTTGTCGTCCGATGATGTGGGCTCGAGCGGACTGGGGGATGGGGACTTGGATGGTTTGCTGTCACACACAAGATGCCTTAGTTTTCTGTCCTCCGTACAATCTGCAGGAAAAGAAATGTTGGAGGAGAGAAGGGGGGGGGGGGCTTACAGTAGAGCCGATCTGCTTGACAAGTTCCTTGAGTGCCTGCTGGGCCGCCTCCTGGGGGCCAGCAGCCTCGAACTTCTGGCCACCAGCACCTCCGGCAACGGCCTTGACCTGGGCACGAGAGGATCGGTTGATGTCCTGGATGATCTGTGCCAAGGGGCGCCTCAGCTGATCACGAGTCTTCATGTGCTGGGGTTCGAGAACGATAGACTCGATGTGTCTGCCGGGAAGGGTGACCGAGGGAGCCTTGGACTTTCCGGTGGGAGTCGCGGTGCCAGAGTTGGGGGTGGCAGCCCGCTGGGAGCCATTGACGGGGGCTGTGCCATTACCGTTGGTCCTATCCGCAAGAACGTTCCAGGTTCCCATGGGCACAGTCTTGGGAGCCTGCGCCTTGGGACCACCGAGTTCAGGAAACAGCTCGCGAGACTGGGTGTCCAGAGCCGGGGCTTTGGCCTTGGGGGCGGTAGCAGCAGCAGGGGCAGCCTCCTTTTGCTTTCCGGCTGCCTTCTCAGAGAGAACGGGGGCTTCAGCAGAGCCGGTATGAGGCTTCAGATCCTCATCAATAACATCTTCAACAGTGACATGATGGTCCTCTGCGGCCTGGGCATGCTCCTGCTGGAGCTTCTGGGCAGCGGACAGCGGCTCAGTCGTCGAGGAAGCCATTGTGTCAGAGCAGTCGATTGAGTGGAGGTGGGAGGGAGGGGGGATTCGATACAGGAGACCAGGAGTGAACAACCAAGAGAGGGATTTGACAGGAAGGGCTGTCAAATCAGGAGAGGGTGGGAAGAGAGGAGGAGAAGGTTGTGGATGATGCCAGAAGGACTCGAGCAGCGGCGGGTTGAAGGACAGGAAGGCAAGTTGCAGCAACCCATCAGCTGTGCGACGTGGACTTTCTCCAAATAAATAGCTCCACTTCTTTTTTCTCAACCCTTCTACAATAATGCTCTACTGGGTATTAGCGCCTCTCTCGGGAGCTGTCTCCCCACCAAGACCCCTGTTAACCCCAGGCCCAGGCCCTACCTACTTCACCTAGGTACTTTAGGTTTGTCTTTGGGGTTGTCTAGGGTTGCGCCTAGGGTTGACCTTTACTGACCCGAATATCACCAACTGTTCTTCATTTCAAGCCCATCAGACCAGAATGTTGTCACTGTGGTACAGTGACTTGATGTGACTCATGATTCACAGAAGGGGCCTTGCCTGATCTGTTTGAAAAGCCTGTGGTTCACAGGTTCAGTTGTGAGCCAGTGCGAAGGGGCAGCCTTCTCCTTCATCTAGGCCAGAGGTTGTAGAATAGCCTATCATCTTACACCAATCCTGGCCCTGGCTCCATATGCAGGTGTAATTCAGAGAAGACAAACACACAGGCATTTTCTCTACCCCTCTTTTTACTGTATGAGGCATTGTCTCCTAGGAAACCTCTTCAGCATCATGAAACATCGCTAAAGTGATGTCCATGAGTGACTGATCGAATCTCACATTAACATACATGCCAACAAGAGTCTATCAACCCTCAGCTCACCAGAGCCCCGTGCCTGTACCTCTTACCATACTTCACCCAGTTCCATTCGAATTCGACCTGGGAAATTGCTGTAACTAGGAAAACCCCTTACTGCAATCGTGGTGCCACCAATGATTACCATAATAGCAAGATGAGCAAAAGTAATTGCCTAGAGTGTTGGCGCTAGGCCAGGTTTGAGCAGACACGACGTGATGACCAACGTCTTAGGTACCAGACTAAACATGGCCTTTCATATAGCTTCAATAGTAGAGAGAAATTTACGCTTGCAGTGTCAGCATCATGGACTTCCTAGACACCATCTTTTTATGTTCTGTCGAGCCGGAGTGCTGTTGTTACCCAAGTATGTATGCCCTTTGGTCCCGTATCATCATCATAGTACAATGTCCCTTTCGATATCTTACATGTTGGTCCTGTAGTTGACTTCCCTTACTGATCGCTCTTCAACACCCCTCCCCACAACAAACCAACAAGGCCTGCATGGACCAGGCCTGAAAATGCTCCTGAATAATCAATACCCAGATCACCACCGCCAGCCCCGCCCACTTGACCCACTACCGCTATGATGGCCAGACACCCTCGCGCCGCCCTGCCCAGTGGCCGTATAGTCGAAGCTTTCCCGGCGGCCTCGAGACGGCGCACGCACCTCATATACACCATAGCGATCATCTCCGTACCGCCCGCCGGCGGGCGCACTCCTGGGCGCACTTGGCACATACGACTCGACCGTTCTGTAGCGACCACCGCCAGAGCTACCACCAGCCGTTCCATACGCGACACGACGGTCCCGGCTCGAGGAATCGCGGGCTCCAGCGGACGATGCCCTCCGGCCGCCAGAGGAGGTGGCTGAGGAGGTGCGGCCGCGGTGCGTCCCGTAATAGTCCTCGTGGAAGCGGCTGTTGCTGACGGGTGGTGCGGTTGTGCGGGAGGTCCTTAGAGTGGGGGCGTCCCTGTCTGGGCTGAAGATGCGGTAGAGACTGGACGAGGAACCAGACCTCTGGCTGCTGGACCCGGACCTGTGGGAGTGCGACGACGACGTCGGCGTAGAAGGGATCGTGGTGACCGTCACCCTGGGCTGCGACGCGAGTCTCGTGCTGCGGGCCTCGTAGGGTGGGCTGGGAAGGTAATTACCGTGCTGATTCTGAACTGCGTACGTCTGACTGCTGCTGCTAGATCGTTTGTGCTGCGTGTATGGACTTGAGGTATAGGTCTTTGATGAAGAGTGGACGGGGACAGCAGCAACGTATTTCTCGGCATATACGACTTCGGAACGGCGCGGCGTCCGAGTCGAGGGCTTCTCCGCTGCCCAGGTCCATTCTGGATGGCGGGAACTGCGGTGCCTGGATCGGAAGCCACCTTCTGGGACACAGCTCACCGAGTCGCTGGGAGCGAGGGATTCCAGGTCATCATCGTGGTACCCTGTTATGTTCAATTGTGAGCACTGGCTCGAACTTCATCGCCTGTAGTTGGCTTGCATTGCCAAAAAAAAAAAAAAAAACCCCCCCCCCGAGATTGCATGTAATGGTGTGACCCAAGAATTGGAAAAGGAGGAGCAGGGACGGCACCAACCCATATTGAACCCATAGAGTTCCCTCTTGCTGGATAACTAGCACTGTAGTAGTAGTAGGTAGTGGTGGCGGTAACGACAAAGTGGTGATGGTTGCTTTGTGGCTGCAGGACAAACAAGACCGTTTCTTGTCTCAGAAGAGCAAGACAGATGATGAAAACATGAGATGGAAAACGGCGTCGTGCCACCTTATGACGAGATTCAGGACTATGCACGAAGCCGAGGACACGGGAACCTGCCGCCTCGTGAAACTGAAAGAACCCAGACAAAAAAGAACTTGTAGAATGTAATGTGCTCCTTTCTCTGCCTGCACGTCTCATCCGAGTGGTGGCTAGGTTTAGCAGTAGAAATCTCGCCACAATGCACAGCACAGATGGAGCGACAGGAATCTGCTGTTTCGGCAAATGCCTACGAGGCAACCACACCCTGCGACCGCCACCGCCCGGACAACGTAGGTAAATGGCCCACCGAAAATCCTCACCCCCCCATTTCCTCTTTAAGCTTCAGGCTGTCTTTTCTTTCTCCTTCTGTCATTTGTCGCACGCCCGCTCAACACACCGACTTCTGCAGATCTTCACTAGGAGCTCCCGGACCAACCACTGCGGCGAACCGCGCAAGCTCGTCGCAGGGGTGAATTCGAAAAGAGTGGGTAACTTTTTTGCCCCGGATGCTCTCCCAGCAAGTGAATGCCTAGCTTTGGTCTTTCTTTTCTTTTTCGTGGGCGCAGTTTCATGACACTATTGTTGGATCCGCGGGGGCCATCCGAGCGGCCCGTGGATGCTTACTGATGCTCGCTTCAGTGGACAGCACGAGTTGATGCGACGGGACCGACCACCCCCGTGGCCCATTTTGACGTCAGCTCCAGCTCCCAATTCCTCAGGCTCCCCCAGGCACGCAGCAAGCAGCAGACCTGAGGAGGGGACAATTCGATCCACACAAAAGAGAAACCCCCATGTTAAGAGTTAGGCCATCAAAGAGGGGGAAAATACTTCCAACACGATCGATGACTTCAGGTAAACGAAATTTCTGGCATTGGCTGTTGATCTGTGACGTCCTTTTGGGACGCGCTTCGTCTACAGAATCTGGTAGTTGTAGTACTTCTGGTGATTGGCCCCCTTGTTGAGAGACCACTCCATCCGCTTCTGGGCTGCGTGCTCGACCTTGCGGCTGCGCAACTCCGCCTTCTTGACCTCCTTCTTCTTTTTGTCCGAGACGCCTAACATGCCGATGCCACCCTCGGCGCGGCTGACCAGCTGCCTGTTCTGATCCCTCTGGCGGCCCCGGTGCACAATCTGCTGGCTGCTACCTTCCTCGCCGTCCACATCCATCGCATCAGTATCCTCGCCATTCTCGATCGCCAATTGTCGCTGGGCTCGTTCCTCGGGTGTCGGGTAGTCGCGCAGGTTCTGTCGGTAGTACTTGTTCAGCGAGCGATGACCCACGGACTTGCCGCTCGGTAGGTGCAGTTCATAGTCGTCATAGAAGACAGCTCGTGTGGGCTTGTGTGAATGCGAGTGGAAACCATCCTTCTGGCGATGAGGTCTTGAGTCGCTGCGCGAGTGGTGAGGGTGCTTCTCGAGCCGCTCGTACTGGTGGTAGTGGTTCTCGGCAGGCACGGCAGTCAGGTCGGCAGAGTCTAACGAAGAAGCTGAAGAGTCCGTCTCCCAGCCTTCGTCTCCAGCTTCCTCAACTTCCTCGCCATCTTCATTGGTGACAGTAGTAGCACGTTTACCGCCCAGCCTGGCACCGCCGTTCGTGACAGACTCGTCATCCGAGTCCATCTCCTCATCACCATCCGAGTATGTGCTCCGGAAATCGTAAAACTCTCCAATCTCTAGCTGCTCCTCCTCGGTTGTGTAGGGAATCTTGCAGTGGCCCGTGTCTCGCATGTGAGTCTGCACCGCAAAACCGTTGGACTTGACCTTGCCGCAGTACAGACACTCGTTGAATTCCTGAACCCGCTGTTGCAGAGATCCTAGAAGGCCTTCTACATCCACCAGGTATTGCTTTTCGGGAATGAACATGCCGTGAGAACGCTCCATGTGGGCGATGTTCGAGGGCACGTCGGATGATTCCAGGTTGCAGAAGAGGCATGACTTAAGCGACAGATTCGGTGGCCCACCGGACGTCTTGGACGGAACAGGAGTGGCAGAAGAAGACTGCTGCTCACTAGACTCCTCGGACATGGGCTGCTCTTCTTGCTTCTGGGCGTCGATAGAGGGACCAGGATGGGACGGGCGCTTGACTGGAGAGGGACGCTCCTGTATGCCGGTATTCTTCATACCCTCCACGATGTGACTAAACTCCTCTTCTGCCTCCGAATCGATGTCTGACCGGTGAGAGGAGGACGGAACGGGTTCGCCCAGGGAGAAGGTGGAGCTGATCATGGAGCTGGCATCGTCGGGGATGACTGCAGCGCCGTTCTGACCACGCAGCAAGGAAGCCTCCTTAGCCTTGTGCTTTTGGCTGCCAATGTGGTTCTGGTACGAGTTCTCGCTGTAGTAGGTGCGGTGGCACACATTGCACTCTTTCTGCCAACCAGCCCGCTCGGCCTCTGCAGTCGACGTTGCTCTGGCTTGGAGGACTTTTTCTGTGAAGATTTCGGACGAGATTGGAGGAAGGCTGGCAACTCGACGCTTCAGATTATACCGACTATAAGATAGCATTCCATGTTAGTGCAAGGCTGTAAAGAGAGGTGGGCAAAAAAAGACCACCACCTGCCCAGAGGACCTACTGCCAGTCGCTCCTCATGTGGCCCTTTTGCAGATCGCTGTTCCGGAAGGCGACCTGACAAGTATTACAGGTATAGGGGTGAGAGGAGGATGTGTCCTGGGCGGGAGCATCGCGGCTGCCACTTATGGTCGCCATAGTCGGCAGTGTATGTGCAAAAAGACGGTAAAATATCTGCTGGCGCTATTCAAGATGTCGTGAACAAGATCCAGACAGTGATGATGAAGGAGGGTTGCGGCTCAACGGGGAAGCCGGAATGGGAGCAGTCGAGTGGTAAAAGGAAAATTCAATATTCTGGTCTTGGATTAGTAAGGGAAGACTTGCAGACAATTAGGTCAGAAGTGGCGATAATTTCTTGATTTGATCTTTGAGCACCCGCCGCGGCCGTCTTAGTTTTTGTGGTGGGGAGGCACAAGGCGTGCAGGGAGACAGAGAGAGAGGGGTTTTCAGAGCCGATAAGCGTTGATAAGCCCACGGCGCTCGCCCTGACCTACAAAAATACTACCTTAGCAAACCCTCAGGTACCTACTGTAAGCGCACAAGGGTGGGGAGGGGGCATCTGCCGTCAAACTAAGTATAGGCCCTGTCCATGACGGGATTTGTCATGGGGGATACAACTACTATTTACGTCTATACCATAGTACAAGTACAACAACCCATCATTCCTTTTGGTTCTTGGATCAGCTCTAGCCGTAGTGCAGATTGTACACGAAAAGAACACGGAATACAGACGACACCTCGTGGAACGGAAACAACGGGCTTTCCCTCAGAATTAGGAAAATTCTTCTTTAAGTAGGGAGAGGAATTACCGTAATCTTCTCTCCCAGCTCTTCCGCTAATCGAACCTTGCGGTGAATGGTAATACCATGTATGTTGCCTAACAATGCCCTGTGGATCCTGTACAGGTTTGGTACTCACCGTTTCATGAATCCCCCGAGGTCATCAAAGGGCAGCAAGTAGGAAATAACAACGTGTATTGCATTGCAATGGCAGGCAACAGGGACCAAATAGCCCAGTGAATAGGGCATTCCTGTGTAGCTACATAGTTGCTGTACAAGGTTGAAAGAGTAGCCTACCGTGCCTACTATGGCAGGGGCCAGCCCTAGTCTGGGACCCTGGGCCCTGGGCCCTGGGCTCTGGAAATCTGGAGTAGGAGTCCTAACAGTAGACCTTATTACATAGGATGGCCTGTGCTTACTGCCGTTGACCAACTCCCACTTCCCAATCCAGCGTCCGACCATCAAGACGAACTTCATTCCTTATGCTCATTCAGACATCCTGACCAGCATTTCATTCTTGCCACTTGTGTTGCGGGCAGTGAAGACCATCCCGAGCTAGCGTCTGGTCCCTCCCCTTCCTCCTACGACTTTTCATAGCCATTTCTCGGTAGATCTGCCGCCCACGTTCCACCGTTGCATCCGTTGGCCTTGTGGCAGCCATTCTCATACCCAAGCAACCTCTCATAGCGCGGACGAAACCCGGCTGCGACAGAGTCCACGATCCTTCGTGACCTCGTCTACAGGCCCACCCACTGCGTTCGCATTCCCTGCCCAACTCTCGACCGAACCAAGATCACTTTTGCGAGACCTCAGCATCCTCTCTATCCGGTACCCAGCCGTTTTCGACGCTCCCCTATGACATGACGCGAGACACCGGTCGGTCCCTCGATGCCGGGAATGCCAGCCATTCCATACACCACGATGTCGAGATCGACTTGCTGGCAGGCTTGTGGGAGACCGCACCGTTCGCCCGTCTGCCCTGGGACGCGCCGCCAGAGCTGAAGGCACTCGTTGAAGACATCGAGAACCCAAAGAGGGTCTACGCTATACATCGCGCCTCCCGCAGGCACGGCTTTCAACAGCTCGTCGAGAGGTTCATCGTCCAGCTGCGCGAGGGCTGCGGCTCGAACTACTGCTCGACCCCGACCTGTTTCTCCTTCCGCAAGCGAAGCGTCGGCCGCATACCTATACGACGATACAATGTCACCAGCGCCCGAGTCCTCGCCGTCTATATGGCCAGCCAGGACAACCCGGAGGTTGCCATGTGTCCAGCGCTCAGGGCACCCAAGCTGCCACCAGCCGCCATCGACTCTCTCGTTTTCTACCGCAAGCCAAGCGTCCAAGGCGGTCAGGACAAGACACGCTCGCCTGGGAAAGGCCACTCTACCAGTCCTTCCGATCCTGCGTCCAAGGCCCGACGAGTGAGGGTAAAGGCAAAAATTCATGTGCGGCAGGGTAGTACAGAAGCAGCCACTGCAACGGACAGGCCGAGATCACCATCCCCTCCAGCAGAAGACGCGCCGGCAGTAGATTCGCCCAAGTTTGATATCATGGAGAGGCACACGGGCAAGGACTACAGGTCCTTTGCCGCCAACATGTTCGGCACAGTTGCTTTCAAGATGCTGGAGTGGCTGACGCCTAACGCTCTCGAGGACATGCACGAGACCGCCTGTGACCTGCAAAAGGACTCACCTTCTGATGACGAAGCCGAACTACCAGGACCACCCCGGAGACGGTTTTCTTCCTCGCCGAAACCCTCGACGCGGACACACAGCCCGAAGTCGACAAGAGGAGCGACTGCCAACAAATTCTCGATCCCAGAGGAGTCAGCATCCCCAGTGACACAAGACACTACCGATGAGAATACAAAAGATCAAGAGACGGAAGGTGCCCTTTCACATGGCCAACACCCCTTACCCAATCATCGACCGAGCAGTCTCCGCCGTAATTCCAATACCAGAGTGCGCACGAACTCTGTGACACAGCCAAAGCGGCAAATGTCTATTGATGCGTATCCGATTGACTCGTTGGCGGAAGACGGTACGAATGGGCTCCGCTCCCCGCGTCAATCAGGAATACAGACGGACAAGACGGCGAGGTCTATCAAGAGTACGACCCCGAGTCTGCCCCGACCTGTAGCCCAGGTTCCACCCGTCGACTGGTTTGACGATTCTCGTTCTCAGGAATCCTCGCCCCGGCCTACTGAGGACAGGAGTCGGGCAACAAGAGACGGATCTCCGGTGCTAGCAAGAACAACCTCTCGGGAGAGGCTCGCGCAGAGGACACCCTCCGAGATATCAACAAGCGAAATCTCCGCAGATACCCCAGAACCTGATGTTGAGATCACGTACGACTCTTTCCTTCCGCAAGCCGTCTCTGTCCTTGATCTTGATGTGGTGGACTTCATGTGCGACGTACTCGATGACGACGGAACTCGTGAACAGAGTCTGTTGGAGCCGGCCAAGGTCGCCAAATCTCTGGTTGGCCCTTCGAAACGGAGGAACAAGCTGAAGAGGAGGTCGAGAGCTAGAGACATGCCTCGATCCCGCGCTCTGAAGCTGGAGTGGAAGCTCTTCATCGAGCAGAGCCTCTTCTACATCCTCAGTGACCCTCACGCCCTGATCCGCTCTTTTACGGTCAAAGACGAGCTGGTTGACTCACAGACGCTGTGGTACTGCATGCTCAGGATGACGAGGGTGGCTCCGTCGCTGGTCTACCACTGCCTCTGGCTGTCTGCTGCCCATCTCTTTGCACCCCCAAAGTCCGTCCAGTCTCTAAGGTCACCCACGGCAAGGTTATTTCCAAGGCAGGAGCTGTCTCTGTCCAATGATGAAGCAGGTCGCCTCATGTCCATCTGTTTCCATGCCTTGGTCGCAGCAGTACCTGTTGCGTCAGAGAAGGGCCAAATCTTGGAGATGTCGCGATTACGAGCACAAGGATTGAGCCTGGCTGGGAAGGGCGGTCGCTCTGCGGAGCTGTGTCTTCAATACGACGATGCGTTCTCCCACGATTTAGTCATGCGCTTAGCAAGGAGGCTCTTGGCCGCCATCACGACTCGCAGGTATTTCGATGACATGATCGATCAGGAACACGCCTTTGGCGACGAGGCTATAGTTCAGCCAGATATCCTGGCGCCTCTATTCAGCCAGCTCGACGCGCTCAGCGAGAGCAACGAGGAAGGCCTTCATGAGACACGCATGTCAACTTTGCTTCTGGATTGGGCCCGTTGCGTAATGTTCCAGGAGTGGGACGGGAGCCCAGAGGTACCAGGCGACGGTCCTTTTGGTGGAGCTCTAGCACTGATCGCTGCCATACGTAAGTGCTTGGCTGCTGTTGTTATCGTTGTTGTTTGCTGTTTTATTGTTCCTCTGACTGACGCTGACCGCTATATAGACAAAAAATCTCAGGCCCTTCGAATCGCGCACAAGCAATTCCAATCCGACTATTTTGCTGACCGGCTCGACAATGTTGAAATGCCTGTGGCGTGGTTATCCTTCACGTCTACCAGACAAAGGGCTCACCTGCTAGACTTTCCGTGCATTTTCAACTCCGATACATTGGTGTCGTACTTCCGCGCCATCAATTTCTCCAGGATGAGTCATGCCTTTGAGGACGCAGCTTCTCTAAAGAGTCGACTGGATCGGCTATTTGACCAACAAACGCTTATATACAACCCCCACCACAAGAACGTGCTACAAGATCTACTCCGCACAGCTTCGTCAAGATATCTCATTCTGGACATCGGCCGCAAGACAGTCCTGAGGGACGCATTCGACCAGCTGTGGAGGCGGGAGGAGAGAGAGCTGCTCAGACCTCTGAAGGTCCACCTGGGTGAGGACACAGGCGAGGAAGGCTTCGACTCCGGTGGCGTTCAGCAGGAATTCTTTCGCCTTGCTATTGCCGAGGCCTTGGATCCTGCCTTTGGAGCTTTCACTGTCGATGAACGGAACCGCATGACATGGTTCCAGCCAGGCTCGCTTGAACCGACCTGGAAATTCGAGCTCTTGGGTCTGCTTGTTAGTCTGGCTGTTTACAACGGCCTGACACTACCCGTCTGCTTCCCTAAAGCTCTGTATCGCAAGCTTCTAGGCGAGCCGGTTACTGATATACATCACATCAATGACGGCTGGCCCCAGATAGCCAGCAGCTTGACGGAGCTGCTAGAGTGGGACGAGTCCAACGGCGCAGTCGAGGATATCTTCGCCGTCACCTATGAGTTCTCAACCAGCATGTTCGATGAGCATGTCTCTCGGGAGATGCACTCCACGACGCCTGGCACACAGCCCAATCTGGACGAGTGGCCACAGTTCCCTTCTCCCAGCCGAGACGGCCCTTCTTCGCTCTCTGCCGACAATCCCGCAGATGCTCCTTATGTCACAAACGCCAACCGCAACGCCTACGTGTCCGATTACATCCGCTACATGACGGACGTTTCCGTCAGGCCCCAGTATGAAGCATTCGCGACAGGCTTCCGCTCAATCCTGCACCCCAAGTCGCTCACACTGCTCACGCCCGAACTCCTACAGAACCTCGTCGAGGGCGCACAGGAAATCGACATCTCGGAGCTGCGCCGTGCCACCCGCTACGTCGGCTACACGCAGTCCTCGCGCGCCATCAAGGACTTCTGGGCTATCATCAAGAAGTACGACGACCGCATGAAGCGCAAGCTGCTCGAGTTCGTCACGGCCTCGGACCGCGTCCCTGTCGGCGGCGTCAAGAACATCCAGTTCGTGGTGCAGAAGAACGGCGAGGAAGAAGGCGAGGGTGGACACTTGCCCACGGCGTATACTTGCTACGGCACCCTCCTGCTGCCTGAATACCGGGACCGGGAGGTGCTCAGGGAGCGTCTGGGGATGGCGCTCGAGAACGCGCAGGGATTCGGGTTTGCCTGAGGTGGGTGGGCCATGCTTGCTCAACACTCAAAAAAGACTTGTGCAGTATCTATCATCTCAAATATCTTCCAGCTCCTACGATTCTTGCAAGACATGGGGAAGGGGGAGCTGTTGTACATGAAATTTATGTAGTTAACCTTTGTCTAGGCGTAAGCCACAAACCAAGACAAATAGCATCGCGAGGGTATGGCAAGCCTGGGAGTAAATAGGGTCCAAAAGTCGATGGATGAGCGGTTCCTTTTAAATCCTTTCCGGTCTTTATTTGATGTTCTCTCAAGAAGCGGGCAATACATTCAATTTATTTCTTCTACACATTTCTGTACAAGATACGCAAACGTCTTTGGCTTGCTCGCCAACGTCAAGGTATCATTTATCCCAAGCATCTCACACACGGAACAGGTCCAATTTGTTCGATTTGCTCTTGGGTCACCAGAAGAAAGATTGTCTGTACAGTTCATGATGGTTCTATTTTGATTTTGTGGTCACCACTCACTCCTTGTCTATATCAGATCCTGCCTCTCTCCCTTTTCTCTTACAAAAGAGGGGCTTTTTGGCCATTTATTTTTAAAAGTCGTCCTCACCCGACCCGCTCACGATGACGTTATTCACCTTGAGCACCATGCGGCACAGCTGTGTGGCCAGCATGAGCTGCTGCTTCTTGCTGATGAGCGGGTCAATGACAAACGCCTCCTTCATATCATTGCTGCCCTTCTGCATGCAGTCCACGCCTGCCCGGCCGCGTGTGCCCTCGCTCTTCACCTGCTGCGACTTGACCTCGGCCAGGGTCGCGATGGGGTTGAGGCCGCTGTTCTCGGCCAGGGCCATCGGGACGGCGTCGAGGGCTTCCGCAAACGCCCGCATCGCGTACTGCTCCAGTCCGGGCGTCTGCACGGCGGCATCCTCCACGGCCAGGGAGCAGGCAATCTCGGCCGCGCCACCGCCGTAGACGACGCGGTTGTCACGCACAAGGTTACGCACCACGCAGAGGGCATCGTGCAGCGAGCGACGAGCCTCATCAATGATCTAAGACTTGTGTGTTAGTCGTGCAACATGTACTAATCAGGGTTGAAGCGAACATACCATCTTGTTGCTGCCACGGACGAACACGGTGACAGCACGAGTGTTGGCACACTCCTCTATGACGAGCATCTTCTCTCTCGTGGTACCAAAGGACATCTCTCGCACAATACCGGCAGTACCAAGCTTCTCGGGCTTCAGGTCCTCGAATCTAGGTACTATCCGGCCGTTGGTGGCGATGGCGATCAGCTCAATCTCTGGTCCGCCGACCCACCGCACTGCGGGAAGGCCGTTCTGCAGCAGCAGGTGGTTGGCCTCGTCATCGAAACCCCACTGACATATCGCCAGATTAGCCCCAGTATCCTTGATCTGCTGGATCATCTCGATGAACTTCTCGTGTTCGTAGTTCTGCAGCTTCTTGAACTCCTCCACCGTGGTAATGTCCAACTTGTGCTTAGTCTTAGGCTTGGGGGGCTCGAATGCGCAGGTCAGAATGGCAATCTTGGCGTCCCGCACCTCGGAAGGCATCTGGGGGTGGGAGAAATCCTTGTCGACGATGACACCCTTGACCAAGAGCGTGTCCTCCAACGAGCCTCCGACCTTGCCATCGACCTTGATGAGCTCAAAGTCGACATCCTTGCGCTCGAAGTCGGCGACGGAAAGAACGGCGTCGACGGCGATCTGTGCAAACTGGTCGTGGGCTTTGGAGACGATCTTGCTGCCCAGACTTGTCCTCGCGACCTTGAATAGATTGTCCGTCTCGGTCTTGCTGAACTCGATAGTGTCTGCGATCTTGTCCAGCTCCGACACTGCTATGTCACAGGCCTGGTCGTAGCCGTCAGCGATGCGGATGGGGTGAATGCCCTTGTCGATCAGCTCGGCTGCCTGCTCCAGCAGAGCGCCAGCCAGGACGACAACACCGGTGGTGCCGTCGCCTATCTCGTCATCTTGTGATTTTGACAGCTCGACCAGCAGCTTGGCAACGTGATTCGTAATCTCCATCTGCTGCAAGATGGTGGCGCCGTCGTTTGTGACCGTGATGTCGCCATCGGGAGAAATTAGGATCTTGTCAAGACCGCGGGGGCCGAGAGAGCTCTTGACAATGTTGGCAACGGTCCGGGCAGCGAGGATGTGCGACTTGACGGCCTCGTTGCCATACTGTCTCTTCTTCTTGCCCTGGCTGGAGTACAACAGCTTGTCAGAGAGTGAGAGCTCAAGTGGGGAAGTAGGCCAGGCGGCGGAGGCTCATGTGGTTTGTGTAAACATACTCTCTGACAACAATGAACGGTCTGCCCTGCTCGTCTTTCGTGACCACAGCTATGGCTATTGTTAGCACCTAAGTCGAGGGCCAGGAGATGTGCCAGTCGTTACCGTTTGAGAGATCCAGATCTGTCAAGCAGAGTGCGGTTAGTACAGAAGCCCAACAAGCTAAAGCTACGCGGAGGGGAAGGGAAAGGGTTGCGACATACTCATCGCCATTTTGAAAAATCAGTGGCAGTCCACGTGCCCTCTTGATTTATCGTTCTGGGCGAGGGGGGTCCAATAGGGGAGAAGTGTCGACGACAGAGCTGAAGGCGGAACGATGGTGGACGACGCTCATACAGACGCGCTGGTGGAGTTCAGCAGTGCCTATCCACCCAAAATTTCGACCTGGACTCCAGAAAGCCCCTCCATCGCAGCGGCGAGTTGCCTGCCGCAGTAGGTTCTGTTCTTACAGGGGTCCTCTGCCAGACCCCTAAATACGTATGCCTGCTAGGGGTGCTAAGTCAGCGTTTGGGTACCGAACTGCCCAGCTCATTTCCAACGCCACAAACTCAGCGAAGGATGCACCCAGTGAATATTCTCCTTGACAGCAGAAAATGGATGCGAGCCATTCAGAAATACATCTTGTTGCTACACTTGAACTCTGGAATGCCGTCTTTTTGAAGAGTTTTAATCTCATAATTGACACTTTTCGAACCCTTTTCGACCCCCCTCCCTTTTTTTTCTCTCTTTCTTTTCTCCTTTCTCCCCTTTCCTATTGCGACAATCTTTGCTCGAGTCAACAGTTGGTAACGTGAAGTCCATTAATCAAGGACATCTGTCTCGATCCAACCAACCCCCTCTGTTCTTCTTCTTTTTCAAGTACCATGTTGCCTGCTAGCTATTCTAGCTGTACGATAGCCTTTCCAGTCTTCGTGATTATGCCCAGTCAGGGACTCTTTTTTTTTTAAATTAAAAAATTAAAAAAGATTAATGACTACCAAAATTTCTACAGGCTTCCTGTAAGTGGGTAAGTGGTTATGCTATGGATTTTAGTGACTTTCCAGGCTGTGTAATATGAACGTGAAAAGGCCAGGTATAGCCAATAAGGGAAGAGCAATTTTTGGTTTTGTATAAAACTTCGCACTACTGCTACCTACAACATTGTATTGATTGCTCGGCTCTGCACAGCATATGCAGCTATCCAATGATAGCACAAGACTGGTTGCAGGACAATAATCAGAAGCACACTCGGCTGACTATTTTCAATTCCAGGCAGCCCATTGAACCAGCAGGTACCCGCTACCTCTTTACCAGGAATGACCGCCTGCTGTATTAGGCCTGCTGACCAGACTCGACCCCGCCAAAATCAATTGCGACGTCACTAACCCAGCACCTTGCAACCTAGCCCCTCCACACTTCCTGCATCACCAGTCGTTCTTCATAAGCCTTCACCAGCCAACTTTGCATCCTGATTTGCATGCACTTCTCTTCGCTTATAAGACACCCTGAGTCTTTCCAAGAACACAGTCATCTGGCCATCTAACCTTCTCATAGCCATATATTCCATTTCACCTCGTCATCACAACGAGATTCAGACTGCAACACGACCATCACCCCACACTTCAACGATTCATAACCCCGCTCCGAGAGCCACCAAGGATGTCTCGACATAGGCTATACCAGAACTATGACTATGAGGACGAGTTGAGCGATTACGATGGGCAGGGGAATCAAGAGGAGGAGGAGGAAGATCTGAGCCCGGAGGATAAGAAGCAGATGGCAGAGGCCACCGCCGAAGTAATAAACGTCTTGGGCCCGCAGTCCGACAAGGTTACAACGCAACAGGTCCAAGAAGCTCTGTGGCATTATTACTACGATGTCGACAAATCTGTCGCCTATCTGGTCAACAAGTTCATCGACCCACCCAAGAAGACCACCAAGCCAAAGCTCAAGACCACCACTCCCTCATCCGACGGTGAGCCCCTCTCTCGTCTCAGTCTCCTGACGTGTCCCTTCCCCTCCGTGCCAACAGGTGCCTCCGAAGCAGAACCAGAGAGTACGACTTGCTCAGACTTCTTCGCCGACATGCCCTGGCTGAGAATTCCCGAGGACCGCAGGACGGTCTTCATCAGCCCACCGCGCCCACGCGGCGGGCTCCTGGGCGGTTCGTCTTCCCAGCCAAAGATGTCCAAGCTCCAGGCCTTGGCAGCTGCCAGAAAGCGCAAGGCGGAAGAGGCGACACTTCCTATACGGCCTCAAGAAACATCTCAGAGAGGAAGCTCCCAGAAAGAGGCGCCCCGGAAAGCCAGTGTCCCGGTGCCCGCTGATCCAGCGGACCACCAAGCATTGGCCCCCCAAGCATCAACTATCTCAGCACCGAATTTCCAAGCGCAGGCAGTCTCAACGCAGTCTACTCCACTCACTGGATCCCACATCGACGGCACATCAGACGATGCCACTACCCACATGGCCGCCCCTTCAGCCTTCGCGCAAACTCTCTTCAAATCTGCTTCGGAGGCGCCAGGGCCTACCATCCGAGACTTGTACTATCCACCCTGGATGGCATACACTTCCCCCGAAGCTCTCAAAAAAGCATTCGAGAAGCCTTCTCCAGATGACGTAGTCCTCACTGCACAGTCGCAAGGTTCGCGGTTCATGGGGAGCAAGTAAAGGACCAGCTGCTGACTCCCCTGCAGCAGGCAAGAAGGCGGCGAAACAAATAAACAAGGCTGCCGAAGCAGCCCAAGACCTCAACAAACTCAAAGTCTCCGAAGCAGCCCCACTTCCTAAGAGCAAAAATCTGAACGTCCTGAAGGAGTATGCGAGCAGCAGGCAAAAGAAGGAGTTGAGCTTCGTAGTCGTCGGACACGTGGACTCGGGGAAGTCCACCATGCTGGGCCGTTTGTTGTTGGACATGAACGTTGTGGACCAGCGGACTATCGACAAGTACAAGAAGGAGGCTGAAAAGACTGGCAAATCCTCGTTTGCCCTCGCATGGGTGCTTGACTCGAGGACAGAGGAGAGGGCCAGGGGCGTGACGATGGACATTGCCACCAATCACTTCGAGACGGACGCAACCTTACTGACGCTTATCGACGCCCCTGGACACCGAGACTTCATTCCCAACATGTTGGCCGGTACGAGTCTGGCAGACTTTGCGGTTTTGGTCGTTGATGCCGCCAAGGGCGCATTCGAAGCCGGTCTCAAGGGCCAGACTCGGGAGCACGCCCTACTTCTACGGAGTATGGGCATCTTCCGGATCATCGTGGCCGTTAACAAGCTTGACACGGCGGAATGGGACTCGGAGCGCTTCGAAGAGATCCGAGATCAGATTCTAGGGTCACTGAAAGCACTCAAGTTCCCAATCAAGGACATCAGCTTTGTCCCTGTGTCCGGCCTCAAGGGAGACAACATTGTGCGACGCTCTACAGACCCGGCCGCAACTTGGTATTCCGGGCCCACTCTCCTTGAGGAACTCGAAAGATCAGAACCCATGACGGGCCCTGAGGATCTTACCAGATCCTTGAGAATGATGATTACGGATATCTGGGAATCCCCGCAGAGCCCTGTTACGGTATCTGGACGGATAGAAGCAGGCTTCGTACAGGTTGGCGATGCTGTGCTGGTGCAGCCGAGTGGGGAGAAAGCCTACATCAAGACTATCGAGCGAAGTGGAGGGGAGGAGCCCGTCGATTGGGCTGTTGCGGGGCAGCAGGTCATCCTGTACCTGTCTCATATCGAAGAGATCAACGTACACCTCGGCGACGTCCTATGCTCAATGTCCGACCCAATTCCCTGCGTCAATGTGTTTACGATGAGAGCGTTGGCCTTCGACACCTTCTTCCCTATGCCTGTGGATCTTCACAGGGGTAGATTGGCCGCACCGGCCTTTGTTCGAGAACTGACAGCAACTCTCGACATACAAAAGGGCTCAATCATCAAGAGGAAGCCACAGATAGTAAAGGCGGGAGCTGTGGGGAGGATCAAGGTAAGGGTCGAAGAAGGGGCCAAGCTACCACTGGAGAAAGGGCAGAGGGTGATATTACGTAGTGAGGGTAATACTGTCGCGGCAGGATTGATAGAGTAAAGGGTCGGTCAAGCAAATGACACTTACAACTTCTTTCTCCCGCCCTGCCTACCATCAGTAAGATGACTCCTTGGACAACCTCGTATCTTCCTTCATGGATAGCACATGGATAAGATTCTGCGGTAACCCAAACCGTTCTCCCTCACCTATTTTTTTTAATTTAAAAAAAGACAGAATTTGCCGCCTTTGATAGCACGCTTAACGTAGGCGCCCGATATGAAAGGACACATAGCATGATCATGAGAAAATACCAAGAACCCTACCGCCCCCAAAGAAGGGGGGGGGGGGTATAATAACAGTGTCACACGGAAAAACTCTCCCGTAGCCAAGAAGCTGGAGCGGGTCAGGCACCTTGAGGCGCCTATGCCACCCGGGCTGTGTTGACACTATGTACTCTCAGCTGAAGACCTACAGCGTTGCAAGCAATTGTGCTCTAATGACAGAGGTCATGTTGTCAAAAATCAGGTTGTTTGCAGTACAGCTTATTATGTTGAAGCATACCTGGCTCTGCCCTTTGGCTCGCATGCATGCTATGACTAGTGTCATTGTACTGAATTCCCAGATAGGTTGTGTTTTACAGTAGTGATGGAGCAATGGGAAGCGGGATACTGAATTAAGCAATGGCCCCAGGCTCCACGGTAGAAGAGAAGCTCAGAGATCCTTCTGGAAAGAGATCTGGAGGGGCGGTGGAGTTCTTGTGTGGGGATGGAGCTCTGCATGCAGAGGACTCATAATTCTATGGTACTCATGACTCTTTAATCCAAGTATCCGAAAAGGCCACGGTGGCAGTTCATGAAGTGAAGGGCATTTGGCAATACCGGCAGCATGGACACCTGGTTTCTTTATTGAACCCAGACAGCCTTGTCCAAGTGAAGAGTCACCTTTTCCGAAAATAGGGCTTCAGTGGTCACTCTTCTGCGCCAGGTGGCCAATTCACATGTGCATCAGTCCCTGTAAATTCAGCAAGGCTAAAAACAGCCCCTGCAAGGAAGATGTACTGTCCAATCTCCATAAGCAGTGCTGACAGCCTGTCTAAAGTTAGTAGCTACCCAGGTTTAGCCCTCTTATCGATTAGGATGTTGCCGCTGGACCCCTGTCAGTACTAGTGAGATCTGGCTTCGTTGTGAGAACTGGCCACATTGACTTTCTCAAGCTTCACCAGCAATATTTCAGTGCCGACTCGACTACTGCTCTTCTCTTTTTCCTTCTTTCTTCCAAACCTCCACACCCACCACTCTTCCTTTTCCTGACACAACTTTCTTGCAGTTCGCATACCTCGCCGACACTACAGGCTTGAGCACGCGATCAGCGCTTTCTTTATTGTGTCTCTTTCTTTTCTCTCTCTTGTGATACCCCCAATTTCCTTCTTTATTCACCGTACGGCAACAACCTCCAATCCTCCGCACACACAACTCGCCGCCATGGAGACGCGGTCGAGAAGCGGCCTGGCCATGGGCCTGGGCTTGGTCTTCTGGATGTTTCTTCTCTTCTCTCCCTTAGCCTGGGTCGGACAGGCGAAGGCTGATGATACCGAGAACTACGGTACCGTCATTGGTATTGTAAGTTGTTATTTTTTGCGCCAAGCTCTTGACTGTGGCGAGTCTTGGAGCGCATACCTTCTGCGCTCTGTCTCCGTCATGCAACGTCTCTACAACAGCGACTGACCTTGTTTCTACAGGATCTGGGTACAACGTACAGCTGTGTTGGTGTGATGCTGAAGGGCAAGGTCGAGATTCTGGTCAACGATCAAGGTGCGTTGGGGTTTGACACCCGGAACCCCTCCAATCTTCAATGACAACGTGTCCACATACTAACAGCTCTCGTTTCTTGCCAATAGGAAACCGAATTACTCCATCATACGTCGCTTTCACCGAGGAAGAGCGGTTGGTCGGTGACGCCGCGAAGAACCAGGCTGCGGCAAACCCTTCCAACACAATCTTCGATATCAAGTACGTGTCCTTCCTAGCTACAGATGCGCGTCTTGTCACAGGGATTTCTTGTGGGATTAGGGCTAACAAATAATTCCCTACAGGCGTTTGATCGGCCAAAAGTACTCCGATGACGCTGTCCAGCGCGATCTCAAGCACTTCCCCTTCAAGGTCATTTCTAAGGATGACAAGCCCTTCGTTCAGGTCAAGGTCAGCGGCGAGGAGAAGAAGTTCAGCCCTGAGGAGATCTCGGCCATGATCCTGGGCAAGATGAAGGAGGTCGCCGAGACTTACCTTGGAAAGAAGATTACCCACGCCGTCGTCACTGTCCCTGCCTACTTCAACGACAACCAGCGTCAGGCTACCAAGGATGCTGGCATTATCGCCGGTCTCAACGTCCTCCGCATCGTCAACGAACCCACGGCCGCCGCTATCGCGTACGGTCTGGACAAGACCGACGATGGTGAACGTCAGATCATCGTCTACGATCTCGGTGGTGGTACTTTTGATGTCTCTCTCCTGTCGATCGACCAGGGTGTCTTCGAGGTTCTGGCTACTGCCGGTGATACCCACCTTGGTGGTGAGGATTTCGACCAGCGTGTCATCAACCACTTCGCCAAGAGCTACAACAAGAAGAACAGCGTCGATATCACCAAGGACCAGAAGGCCATGGGCAAGCTCAAGCGCGAGGCCGAAAAGGCCAAGCGTACTCTGTCCTCCCAGATGTCCACCCGTATCGAGATCGAGGCTTTCTTCGATGGCAAGGACTTCTCCGAGACCCTGACCCGGGCCAAGTTCGAGGAGCTCAACATGGACCTGTTCAAGAAGACACTCAAGCCTGTCGAGCAGGTTCTCAAGGACGCCAAGGTCAAGAAGGACGAGATCGACGACATTGTCCTCGTCGGTGGTTCCACCCGCATTCCCAAGGTCCAGAGCCTCATTGAGGAGTACTTCTCTGGCAAGAAGGCCAGCAAGGGTATCAACCCCGATGAGGCTGTCGCTTTTGGCGCCGCTGTTCAGGCTGGTGTTCTTTCCGGTGAGGAGGGTACCGATGAAATTGTCCTCATGGACGTGAACCCTCTGACCCTGGGTATCGAGACCACCGGAGGCGTCATGACCAAGCTGATTCCCCGTAACACCCCTATCCCAACTCGCAAGAGCCAGATCTTCTCCACGGCCGCCGACAACCAGCCCGTCGTCCTCATCCAGGTGTACGAGGGCGAGCGCTCCATGACAAAGGACAACAACATCCTGGGCAAGTTCGAGCTGACTGGCATCCCCCCGGCGCCCCGTGGCGTTCCCCAGATTGAGGTCTCCTTCGAGCTGGATGCCAACGGTATCCTGAAGGTGTCGGCTGTCGACAAGGGAACTGGCAAGGGCGAGTCCATCACCATCACCAACGACAAGGGCCGTCTCACCCAGGAGGAGATCGAGCGTATGGTTGCCGAGGCTGAGAAGTACGCCGAGGAGGACAAGGCCACTCGTGAGCGCATTGAGGCTCGCAACGGTCTTGAGAACTACGCCTTCAACCTGAAGAACCAGGTCAACGACGAGGATGGCCTCGGTGGCAAGATCGAGGAGGATGACAAGGAGACTGTAAGTTTTTTTTCCCTGGAAATGCACCCAAAGACCTGTTGTTCAAATGAAAAAGAACCACATGACTAACTTTGGCACTAGATCCTGGATGCAGTCAAGGAGACCACTGAGTGGCTTGAGGAGAACGCCGCCACCGCCACCGCGGAGGACTTCGAGGAGCAGAAGGAGAAGCTGTCCGAGGTCGCCTACCCGATCACCAGCAAGCTTTACAGCGGTGGTGCTCCCGGTGGTGACGACGACGAGCCTCTGGACCACGATGAGCTCTAGATGATGTCTCCAGGATACAGGAGCAGGGGGGTGATGAAGGAGACACGGTAGAAAAAGTTTCCAACTAAATCATGATTATCTCTTCCTGCATTTCTTTGTGTTTGCCTGCGGTGTTTATGGTTCGGTGGTCTGGGACAGGCAAGTGTGCATTACTTTGGGGGAGACGGTAGTAGACAGTCACCACCTGTATTGTAAAGTACTGGAGTTTTTACAATCACCTTCAAAGGCCTAGATTGATATGTTTATGTTGTTTCTCGTATTGTAAACACCTCAGACAGGGCCTTTTCTCCGATCCAGGCAACTTACCAAGTCACCAAGCTACGGGAATCACAACAGCAGCACTTGATAGTACAGTAGAGAGAGCCTTGGAAACGATGCACTTACTCGTTCACTGTCCCTATTCTCCCAAATCATAACACGGACCATGTTTACACCAGAAAAATTATTACAACGCCATAGAGCGCAATCGATCAGGGGAAAAAAGCATAGATTCGTTGGCTAGACCAAGGAGACGAGGAGAGAGAATAGGAGAAAAGAAGAAGAAGAAGAAGAAGAAGCAAAGGTATCTGTCTAAAAGCCCCATCATCAACAACGGCGAAAATCAAGAAACCAGTCCTGCCCCATGCACAATCGAGGGAGGGAGAGAGAGAGAAAGAGCATGGCGAGGTTTGATCTGCCTCCAACATCAAGTCCACGTCGGCTCGCCACGCTCCACCTTAGGGGTGATGACGGCATTGCGGTCTGCAAAGGGGTCGTTCTCGTCCTCTTCATCCTCGGGCTCCGACTCGTCGTCGCTGGTGGCGGCTGGTGGTGGTTGTGGCCGCCCCGGGACGGCTAGCTGGGACGAGGGTTTCAGCGTCGCTGACGGCCGTGGTGGGGCGGCTGGACGGGGCGGCTGGGCTGGTGGTGGCGGGGAGGATGGGGTGATGCTCAGGCTGGCCATGGCTGAGGTTGGGCTGCGTGGGGAGGATGGCGACTTGGCCTTTTCGGTCATCACTATAGAAGGGGTCAGAAAAGGGGAGGGAGAAGAGAGGGCGCCGTGATTCTTCAGAGGGTAGGGTGGGTGAACATACTTCGGTACATGTGAGCCTGCTCCGCCAACTCATCGTCAGAGTCGCTGTCCGCATCGATAGAGCGGTCCAGCTGCTCAAAGGTCATGAGCGACATGACGAGCTCATCGTTGGCGTGGAGGAGGCCGCCGAGCCACTGCTCGGACTCGACATGGTGAATCTAACCCAAGAGCTTTCTGTCAGGACACTTTACCGCAACAAGGTTGTGTAGTTCACCTGAATTGGTGGTAACTCACGTAGCGCAGGATCTTTCGCCGCAGGTGCTTGCACGTCTCAAAATGAGCCACGGCCGTCGGGTTCTCCGAGATGCGTTCCTTCTCACGGTTGATGCTCTGCAGGGCGTTGTTGAGGTTGGTGGCAGCGATGGACGACTCGGCGATAGCGGTCTTCATTTGGTCCTTCTCGGCCTCGAGATCGAACTTGCGGTGCTTCCTGCCCGACTTCTTGTCCTTGTCCTTCTTCTTGCTGCTCTTGTCCTTGGAGGAAGAGACGTGGCTAAAGGAGGTAATCTGCCCTGTCACGGGGGAGGACAGGGCAGGCGGGCCGCGGGACGAAGAAGCATGCGGCTGCTGCTGCTGTTCGGGAGCAGCAGGCCGTGGCTCATCCTCCTCGTCGCCAAACGGATTCTCGGTCTCACGGATGACCTTTGAGCGCTCCTGTGTGACGACCTGCTTGCGCTTGGGGAGCTCCTTGTACAGGCGGGCGACGCGATCCAGGCCGGGGGTGTCCTTGTACTCGGCGGCCCAGCTGCGGAAGAGCTCGGAGCACTTGCGGCGCACATCTGGATCGGACAGGTCCGAGGTCCCGCAGACACGCAGGCGCTCCAGCAGGGGCTCGTCGGCAAAGGTGCGCTGGAACCGGGGGCCCGCGTTCTGGATGAGGCCATCGAGGATGGTGAGGGCGCGGAGCTGGCGGTGGGCGTTGCCGTACTTGAGCTTCTTGCGGATGGCGCGAGCGGCCTCGGTGGGACCTGAGCCCTGCAGCTTGATGACCTCGACCAGATCTGGGATGCCGCTCAGGTCGTCCTCCTCGTAGGCCTCGCCGGTCAACCGTTCGATTGTGACGGTGACGGCCGAGTAGGGCTTCTTCTATGAGGGAAGTCAGTGACTTGCGATAAGGAGAGAAGCGATGGCTCGGAGAAATAACGCAGCATATGATAGGCCAGTTTTGAGGGTCGAGGCAGAAGCAGAGGAAACCCCATTCTTCTTCTTATTTCTTCCCTCTTGCTTGTTTGTTGCTTTCCCGTTTCTTTCTTCGTGCCCATATCGAGAAGCTATGAGCTCAAAATGAAGGCAACTTACTTGTGAGAACATGTTGTCTGAATATGTGTCCAACGGAACGTTTCTCCTAGACAAGTCACTGGAAGACGGACTTTATCCCTCCTTTCTCCTCTCTGTCTTTTCTGAAGCTCCTCTCTGATATGATCAATCCTCTTCAGGTTGGTATTACTCAGAAGAGGATCCTGGGCACACAGCAGCGACAGAGATGGGTCGGCGTCCTCCCGGGTTGCAATCGATGAGGCGGGGAAAACCGCTCCACCCCACTTGCCAGTAAGTGGACCCAGAAAGCCACGTGCGACCAAACTGTCGTCAGGTATCAGACAGGAAAGGAAAGGAGAAGGATGTTTGCTACCTGAATGAGGCAGAGATGCTGAGAGAAGGTGGCGTCAGGGTGCCACGAACCACGCACAGTTGTTTGTTCAACCGAGACGGGCGGACAGACAGACATCCTTCTTTCTCGGGACTTGCATGCATGTCGTTGGCAACAGCCGGCTTAGACCCCAAGGGAACCCCTACACACCTGACAACCCCCCCAGCGCATGACGTTGATGGCCCGTGCATTACACTCCAAGCCCCTAACCCTGAAGACGACATGTGCTCTTGCGCTATCACATCCCAATAAAGGAAGGAAGCAACAATGGATTAGGCTGCTCATGTTCGCAATCACCAGGCAAAGGGGGAAAAAGAGAAGAAGAAAAAAAATTGGCTTCCTCCTACTTCTCAAAAAGCTTTACCGACAACAACAATTCACGAGGATAACTGCAATCTCTCATCCTCATCGTGCAATTCAACAGTTCCGGAGCTGACCTGTGTCACGAAATCAACAGGCCTGAGTATTCGCTTGTGTGCTGGACTGTCTCGTTTGTACGCACTCCGCTCCCAGCCGAAATCTCTACTGTGTTGAATATTCCTTTGACTTTCCATCGGTGTAAATTGCCTGTCTTAGTGCGAAGCGAGAAACTTACGGATCTTCATTAAAGCGCCTTTCAATCTCCGCCAGCGTGGGACCGTTCACCGACCCTATTATGGCCCGTTCCATCCCATCGATCTGTTCGTTAGGAGGCATAGTATAATTATCGGGCCAATCTGGGGGGCATTCCTGCGGGACACGCGGTTAATGCAAAGACATTGCTCGGAATAGCAGGCTCTACAAAGGACAGATAGCTCGATTTTACTGAGGACCCAGCTTTCTTCGTGGAAGAAGCAGAGGCGAGAGGGAACATCTGTCGCGGTTGGGGGTATTTTTGGGGGAGTGAGGGCAGGCCTGGTTCGGGCCTGTAAGGAGACTGGCGAGGTACTCCGCTGAGCCAGGACGCGGTGCCATAATAATAGCAGACGATTATGGCAAGTGTCGTATTTTCGGGACAGGTAAAGAGGAATCGACTCTTCGGTAGGTACATTAGACCAAGAAGCGAACATTCTTATAGATCAACATCTCCAGGGTCGGTCGTCTGCTTCGAGACCTGCGACTATATATTGTGCCGTCGCTCTCCCAGTCTCCCTTCTGCGTATCTAGAGCCACGGCCAAGGTACAAACAAGGCTGAGCTAGTACGCGCCGGGGGCCTTTTTTCACATCCGCTGTGATTGAGCTCAAGGCCTAAGTTAGGAGGAAACGATGCCGATCTGGCTTAGTCTGCCTCCACCATCTCTAGGGATCAGACTAGGACCTACATATAGTCTTTTACTGGCCCTGTGTTGTCACCGCCTTCGGGGTCTAGGCGTCCAGCGAGGACCAGCTGGAGCTGAGCATGCTTTGGATGCAGCTGAAACTCGCTTCACTGGGTGGGAAGAAAACGCGGGTAGAGCAGAGGCACCATTGGCCCAGGATTCAGGATTCCTGGCGAATAAGAGCAAATATTTAGCGCGGTGTGGGTGACAGAATAAGGCTGTGACATGGTGCCAACAGTATTTAATGACTCTGTGTCTTCGCAGCGCCTGCAGATCTGCCAGCTCGGTCTTCCTCAAGACCATCATCTTCATTTCAACCTCATTCGAAAGCCATTCCGCAATAATGAAATAAAATAAAAAAATTGCCTCAGCCATGGGCCAGCAACACAGTCAACAATCCAATGAGGCCGATGGCGGTTGGGGATCGTGCGCGCTCAGCCCGGAGCCCCACTACAGGTACTCCTACTGCTGTCTCAAAGTCCAACCACACTGGAATTACGAACAGAGGCAGAAAGAGCTCAGCAGAGTCGTTAACAACGTTCAAGCCCACGGGCGGAGGCACGTCCCACCCAGGACCCTTGAGGCCCACAAGGCTGCGAGGAGGCGGCGGCAAACCCACGTCCTAACCCAACAGTATGGACCGGGCCATTGGGTCGCCTTCTTCCGTGATGACCCCAGGTAAAGGCGACTTTGCTAAAGAATTACGTACGAATTTTTTCTTTCTTGCCTTGTTATTAACGCAAATTCTTGCAGGACACCGGTCGTTATTTCTGGTCGCGGTTCCCCGACGGGCCTCGACATGCTACCCGGCGCCACCAACAGGGAGGGACACTAGGGTTCTGTTCCAATATGAAGAGCGATGGAATGGAGGGCTTGCGCGAGGCCCCTTGTACGGTCCAGCCGATCAAATTGGCGATGTAGTGCATTACCTGGTAGTCCACTGGGAAGACCGGTAACAAGTCCAGTCAAGGCGGTTTGGAAATGATTTCTTACAGACAACTCTTTCTTTGAAAGCAGGAGTATCAGACCTACTATCTTCGCCTATGCAGGGCTGCCTGAATAAGAGACCATTTTAAAAAATAGTAATGCTATATTGATACAAATAAACACTTAATTATGCCTACCTTTTTTGGATTTCTTTTTCTCTGCGAAGGCGCAAAGTACCTATATCCTAGCTTGATTTTATTGTGATCTAGTATAAGATTGATTACCTGAATATTACTGGCTTTCGAAAACATACTTTGGCGCAATTCCCACCAGCTCTCCCTGGCTTCCGTCGTCTCTCAAAGAATTGCTATTGCCCCAGCTCAGCCGGGCCTGACAATATCGGTGGCCCATTGTCGATCTCACATATCACAGACCCTTGGGGGAGCTCCTGGGGGCTTCGCGGGGAGGATGACAACTCGAACGGCCCTGGCGCCTCTGATGCACCGCCTGAATCCCTCCGTGCAGAGGTTTTCCTCGTACTACCTGGTCCCTTCCTCAACTTCCAGCAACAAATGAAAAAGGCGACAGACAGAACTATCAACACACCGCCCACGAAGCCGCCCATAACTGCTTCGGTAACAGTTTTGGATGAGGTTGACACCAACGATGAAGAAGATTGGGCTTGAACTGCAGACACGCTTGTGCTCGTGTCCGCTCTCGTTCTCGTGCCCGTGCTAGAGCCTGGGTCAGTGCTCGCGATGGTGGCACTGCTCGCCAGCATGCTAGGCAGCAGTAATTGACTGGATGTTGGGTTTGCTGACATGGATGAGGATGGAGCTGAGCCATCGCTGACATAGAACCAAGGCGACGAGACCTTCTGCGCTGTATCCTCAAAAGTCTCAAGAGACGGAATGAAGCAAAAATACCACGCAGACAGACCCTCAATCTCATTCGAGCTCAGATTGTTTGTCCAAGAAAAGTTGAAAAGCAATGTCACGTCGATTCCCGCTTCACAACCCCGTCAACATGTTTGGCTTTGGATTAAAAAAAAATAAAAAAAAATGGAGGGCAGAGTGTCGACTCACAGCCAAGTCGTGTATGCAAGGTCGACTGCGGTCCAAAGAGCCATAACTCGCTGTTTGTCGGATCGCAGGTTCCACAGTCGTCGCTGAACGCTGACTCCAAATCCGCCGTCCAGGAGATCGTGTACGTGCTGCCGTTGTAGAGGGTCGAGGTATAGTCGGGCGACTGAGGAAAGATCCAGGTCTCCTCGGAATTACCCATCGCCCCCCGGGGCATCACAAGTATTGCTGCTGGAAGGGCGTGGTAGAGAGCGTGCAGCATTGCGATTGCGTTGATCCTGCATATGGCGCAAGAACGGTGAAGGAGGGCCGACGGGAGAAGAGGGGGGACAGGAATGGGATCCTTTACTACCGTAACAGAAGAAGAAAAGGGTTCCCAATCCATTGAGTACATGCTATTGCGGCACACCTTCTTAGTTATGACGACTAAGAGAGTAAGTATTGAGGTCTGGCGCCCCCAGTCGGCCGCCCCCATGTCCTGTGTTGTGTGTGTCGATATTCAGGAACATGACTTGTCATGAGACGATGATTTCCAGTTTCGAAAACGCTAAGAGATGATTAAGGGGGGTAGGAACAGGAATAATAGAAGACATATAGCCATTGGGTGGAACTTTTATTATTTTGCAGTAGCATTAATGAACAAGCAAGTCGTTTGCTGCCCCCTCCCCCGAACTCACGGATCTACCTTGTTGCATGTGCCATAAAGGTCAACATACTCTTTATCATCTGGAATCGTATAACTCAGGAGTTCCAGTTAATTCAACAGCATCATGAGGATGTCTTACTAGGAGGATTTAGGAATGATGCATTGTATGTGACGAATAATGATGATGTGCATCAATGCCACCCTACCTCATTTTCTAAGAGCGAATGAATTCAAGAAGATGAGTCTCGTCTCTTGGAAGTCGTATTCTCAAGTCACAAGCGCGATGCAGCACTGGGAATACCGCTTTGAAGGTAGAACGTTGAATATATGTGAAGATAATTAAATCTCGTGTTATGTCACTCATTACTTAAGTAGATGAGAATAGTGTGCTGATTATATCAGAAGAGTGTCTCCATAGCGAATCATGGGTACTGAAACAACTCAGCATGACTCTTTGTATTACTTAATTTTTCTTGAAATCATGATCAACCGTAGTCTCATCACGTCTAAGCAGATTCTGAAACCCAACACCCTGAGGGGTCTTTGTACTTTAACCTCCGTTCAGACCTGTGTAGTCCCCTCGTGGGGGCTTCAAAAAATCTTACCTATCAATCCTCATTGCAACAGCAACAAGTCCAAGACCTGGGACACGCATGCGCCACCCACCACCCACGCCCCACTTGGCTCGCTCTCAGGTACGTGAGAATGTGAAGCGGGGTCTGCATAGAGGGTCGACATCCTGTGCAAGAAGCAGGTGCCGCAAATCATGTTCCTGGCTTGTCTTCTCCAGAACGCCAAGTGTGGGGGTTGTTCTGTTGAGGCAGATGCGACGTGGATGGCCGCGGATTGTGGCCTGCTGGTGGTGGTAATGGGCAGCCGAATACGATGCTGACACCTTTTTTGGGGGTGCTGAAGCTGTGCGGCAATGTCTACTGTGAAGAACTACTGGACGTTTGGTGATATTAGTGAAACTTATTGTGGCTGAAGGTTGGCTGAAACTTTTGTTTTCTCGTGCGAAATCTTTGTATATTTTGGTCCTAAATCTTGTTCTCCTTTTTCTTCTTTACTGGCGCGGTTCATTTGGAGAACTCAGTATGAGACCCGTGTTCGAGGGGGAAAAAAAGGTGAAACTCCCAGAATTTTCCAAAATCGAAAATGTACAGATTAAATCCGGCGGGTGAGATAGACATATTTGCGTATTTTAAACAGAGTGAACATCAAGTGAATTGATGTAACGTGCATAATTGATTGATATCGTTTCTGCTCACGAGGCATTTGGGGTTGAATCAGCCAATTAGCAAATATGATTTCGAAACAACAACCCCTTGTGGTGTTTTAACTTTGCCACCGACTGCGAAGGATTTACAATAACCATGCAACTCGCGTGTAAGTGGACAAGCCCCCACCCGCCTTGGCCAAAACACTGCAATGAACTATTGCCTACAGTACAGGTAGTTACACAGTAGCAGGTAAGCAGTTCACTCAGGATGATGACACCGAACCGCCCCCCCCCCCCCTTTTAACGTTAGTGTTGCAAGGCAGCACAAGAGGCGGCCGCATCTTGTGACCTGCTGAGGGTAGGCTTCCAAGGATGCCTGTAGGTGGTTACGCAGGAAGAGAATGCTTCATATGAAGAGGCAAGAAACCTTGAGGATCTGCAATTTTGATCATAAGTCCTTGGTAGCCCGTTGGTCTCGCCAAGCACAATAAAACTACATCGTGATCCACTTTCTCATCACTTTTGTATAATTAAACATAAAAAGAAAAGCAAAGAGATCCAATACCCGTCGCAGGGTGCTACAGTAATAATTGGCCCAATTATTGTCGCCCCCACCCCAAGATGGCATCGAAGGGGTCGCTTCAGCCGCGGGTCCTCCCCATCTACAACCACCACCAACCAGATTATTATGACTATTATGATCACTATCAACACACAGAAGAGACAAGAGACGGGCAGGAGGAGACGAGATCTGAATCCAACTACTCTCAGGACTCAGAACCATATCCTCACGGCAATCATGGCACCCTGCCAACCACAACATTACCAGTGAAGAGGACAGAGACACGAATGGAGACAGAGAAGCCGCGGGCTCCCAGCAGCAAATCAGCAGACTACAAGCCCACGGCACTACGGTGGTGGTACCACCTGATTCTCATCATCTGTCTCGCTGGGCTGATCGGGCTGACGGAATACGCCATCCAAACTCTGGACGTCCACGAAAATGGGACCGACGACTTTGTCACTGGGCTGCGCAGGGCTCGAGATGTTGGGATTCATCATCCCAAGCACAGCCTACGAGGTGGTAACAAGAGCACGCTGGACATGCTCCGCCGAGACGAGGCCCTGAATGTGACGTCCACAGCAACGACGACAGCAGGAGGGATCTCGCCCGATGTGCAGTCGGTGGCGGGATCAAATCAACAGCCTGGATACCTGCACGAGAGCTTCACGTTCAATGAAAGGCCCCAGGGCCCTCATTATATCAACATGCCAGCTCCAGCTCCAGCTCCAGCAGCAGCAGCAACAACAACAACGACGACGACGACGAGGCTTGGCAATTTCACGGTTATGGGAGCGGCATCAGCGATTGACGAACCACGCCCACAAGAAAATCGGTTTCTGACCATAGGCCAGGCGCATGGCAATTATAGACCTCCTCGAGCCGGCAACCAGGCGGATGGTAACTCCCACCCAGATATGGGCAAGGCGGCTTATGTAGAGCACCGAGCCCTGCCCTCAACTACATCCATCGATGCTCGTCCGCCATACACACAAGCAAGACCAAAATACACGGAAACTCCTGCAAGCTCTTCTGGGGGTGGTTGGGCTACCCCCCCAGCACCCACGACGACCAGCGCACCGGGAGCCCAAAGGAAGGCGACTGGTGGTTCCCTGGGTTACTACGCTCGACGAGGCTCCGCTTTCGTTGAGCCAGACGCTCTTCTCACGGTGGCAGATAGTCAAGGTGCAGAGGTTCCCGCAGATTTCCTGGTTCCGGGCCAGGTGACCGTCGAGCTACATCAGCATAGACACCGGTGGCTCAATACCACCAGCTCTGCAGCTGCTAGCGAGACCTCGGCGGCTGGCAACCATGACGTTGTGCCCAAGGGTATGTCTCCTGCAGGATTACTATTAGACGGCCCGGGGCCAGAACGATACATGGCGCTGGGGATGTCCACATGGTGGGGCGATGGTCTCAAAAGAGATGCAGACCAGACTGAATCGGCGACAGCCAGCGTCATCTCGCTGCTACCGACTGGACCTGGCAGCAATGGCGGGGCTCCTTTGTCTTCTCCTCCACCCAGTCATGCCAGTTTCGAGCAGACTACTTCTGGGTCGCGTTCGAGCGTAGACCCGACTGATTCTTTGCTTGAGACAACGTTGACAACCGATGAAGGAGCTTACATGACAGTCGGGCGCACCACCACAACTGTAGCCACCGCCGCGGACAGTAGCAGAAGCAGTGATACCTCGCCCACAACCATAACAACACTCGAGGCACAAACCATACTGAGCGTGGACTCGAGTCATTCTGTGACCTTGACAGATGACTTGACAACCGATCAAGGAGCTTATATAACAGTCGGGCGCATCACCACAGTTGTAGCCACTGCTGCGGATAGTAGCAGAAGCAGTAGCACCTCGCTCACAACCACAACGACACTCAAGGCACAAACCACACCGAGCGTGGACTCGAGTGATTCTGTGACTTTTAAATATGTGTCAACCGATGAAGGAGCTTACATAACAGTCGGGCGAATCACCACAGTTGTAGCCACCGCCGCGGACAGTAGCACAAGCAGTAGCACCTCGCCCACAACCACAACGACACTCAAGGGACAAACCCCACTCCAACAGCCACTGGAGACAATGGCAACGGAGACAACAGCAACGGAGACGACGAGAACTGTGTCTGACACACCAAGCAGCACGACTGAGATATCGTCTCGGAATACGAATACTTCTCCCAACGAGAGCAGCCCTGGACGCTTAGGTGGCCCTGAGATGCCACCAGAGACCAACACAATGATAACTTACAGGACAGCCACTGGAGCGACAACAGAGATCTGGGAGACGACGTTTACGAATTCTGAGGGCCATGTCACCAGCTCATATTATACCGAAATACTTGGAGGGACAGCACAGACATCAGCATCAGCATCAACATCAGCATCATCATCAACACCGTCACAACTCAGTCGACTTCCTTCTGTTATTCCAGTCATACCAGGTGTTAGTACTAAGGTTCTAACGACACTATACACCAACGCTCAAGGCCACACCGAAACCTCATCCTACACAACCACACTGAGCGCAGTTCCCACGCAGAGTATCATTCCCAGCATCACCAGCACCAGCACCATCTCTCAATCTTCTCAGCCGCCTCCTCCTCTTTCCACATCAACTCTCACGTCCGGCAACAACAACTCATCCTCCACCGCTGGCACCACCACCGCTTCCTCCTCCAGCGCAAGCGCCGCATCCGAGGTCGAGGCCGTCGTCTACGGCGTCACCATGCAGGAATACGTCGTCGGCGCATTCCTCCCGACCGTGCTCGCCGTCTTCGTCGCCTTCCCCATCAAGCTCATCGGCATCAACGCCCGCCTGATGCAGCCCTTCCACGCCCTGGCCACCGCCGACAAGACCCAGGGCATCCGGCCGGAGCGGTCCATCTTCCTGCGCTTCTACTCCTGGTGGGGCGCCGTCTCGTTTCTCCGCGCCCTCAGGACGGGCCAGCCCATCGTGGCCATCTCGGACCTCCTCGTGCTCGGCGCAGGCCTGCTCGCCCCTCTCGCTGCCGAGACCGTCTCGGTGTACGAGGCGATTGACACGTGCGAGGAGTACTGCCGCGGCAACCTCGGGTCGTCTGTGGTGTCGGGCCGCGTCCTGCAGGCCTTCATGGCGGTCATGATTGCCTTGTTGCTGGCCCTGATTTTCCTGTTGACCATCAGGCGGTGGAAGACAGGCGTGGCGCAGAACCCCTGGAGCATTGCCGGCACGGCGAGCCTGTGTCTGGATTCGGACATGCGAAAGGCCCTCAGGGAGATGCCCACGGGCAAGGACTCTGCCATGCTTGGTCTGCTTGCTCGGAACCAGTATGCGCTTGGGGAGGCCAGGAATCCTTCCGACTCCCCGTTGAAGACGACTGGGTATGGAGTCATTGTCGCTGAACAGAAGAAGCCATCTGACGGGACAACAACAATAACGACAACAACAGAGAATGAAAATGATAATGCCGTCGTTAGCGGGGAGAAGAGTAAGCAGCCTTTCCTGCTGCTGACCTGGTGGGGACGGTGTGTCATGCTGTTCATCTTCCTCTCCATGCTGGTCATCATTGTGTATTATGAGGAGACCTCGGGCAATACTGGGTTTGAGAACTTCATGGACAGTCAGAGCTACGGTGTCAAATTCTTTTTCACTGCACTGGGTGTCGTCCTTGGTTATTGTATGGAGACGGTGTTCCGATGTGAGCTCTCTTCCTTCCTTTTTCTCTCTCTCTCTCTCTCTCTTTTTTTTTTTTTTTTGTTTTTTTTGGTGTTTCTTGTCCTCATTCTCCTCTTCTAAATGACATCGCTAACAACATACAATTTTTTTTTAAAAAAAATAAAGGCGTGGCCATCATGTCCCCCTACCTCAAACTCCGCGACCGCGCCCTCCCAGCCCAACAATCGATCCTCCTCTCCCCACCAACCAACGCCTTCTACGGCCTCTGGTCCGCCTACCGCCAGCGCCACCTCTACCTGGCCTTCCTCTCCTTCGTCACCCTCCTCGCCGAGCTCTGCCTTCCCGTCACCCTCTCCCACGTGCCCTTCAGCGCCGTCGAGACCTACATGACGCAGGTGGTCTGCACCTGGCTCAGCGCCGCCATCCTGGCGCTGATGAGCAGCACTCTGCTCCTCTCCTTCTTCGTGCGCTGGCCGCACATGCCCGTGGACCCGCGCACGGTGGCCGGCGCCATGTTTTATGTGTGCGACTCGTGGATGCTGGACTCGCTCGAGGGCATGTCGGTGCTGGATAAGCCTGGGCGGGACTGGAGCGTGAGGTCTATGCGACATAGGTATGGGTATGGGTTTATCAATGGGATGAGTGGGAAGAGCAGGATTGGGGTGGATATTGTGGATGATCGGGATGAGGAGGGGCAGGTCGGGGGTGGGAAGAAGGGGCTGGAGCCGCAGCAGTATGTGTGGGTTCTGTGAAGCCTTTGGAAGGGAGTCCATGACTTTGCATCTCATGCTTTGTTCTTTCTCTTATGTTGATGAATTATGATGGAGTTAATTGGGAATCAGGAAGAGATACCCCTCACCTTTTATACGTATTTAGCTGGTTAATGTTAATACATAATGAGATGACAAAAAGAAGAAGATGCTGCAGCACTGTCTATGAAGAAGCTCTTGTGTGTAGAAGGTAAAATAATATCCTAGAGGACAAGTAAGTCATCTTGCAAAGACCTTGCCTGGCCAAAGCCCATGTTCTCATCCAGATCAACATCAGTTTTGCTAGTAGGAAAAGACTTCTTCCCTCTTTGTAAACAACTGACACGATCAAATGGCCAGAGAGAACAGGCCTCTGCAATTTATCTACACAAGAACACATCCTCAAGTTCGTCTTAACGATGCCACGCCCTGGCGACTGCCCGAGCCTCATGCAGCGATGTCATCCAGCTCAGCTGCTGAGCACGCGCCTCCTGCCCCATCTCAGCAAATAGCAAGCCAGTATTACCTCGAACCTCTTCCTCCCCGCCCCAACCAGCACCATCCGTCGTCGTCGTCGTCGTCGTCGTCGTCTCCTCCCGAAGCCGCACATATTCCATCAGCTGCGCCAGGTCCTTCTCGTGCTGGTCAGCCGGCAGATACTCCCACCAGCCCCCTCCTTCATCCCCAGCCACCCAGCTCCGGTTCGGCAGGTACGCCTCCAGCGACTTATACTGGTCCCGATGAAACGGCACGCGCTTCGTCACGGGCCCTAGGCCCTCCAGAAACCCATCCGTCCCGCTGGCCGCCTCCTCGGGCGTCAGGCGGTAATGGACCCTACTGTCCGCCGCCCCGCCCACGCCGTGGCGCATGACCGACCTCACCGTCGACCGCAGGTGTTCCTGCAGGATGACAGCATGCCACAGGTGCGCCGCCGCGTCGGAGACACACACCGCCCGTCTGACGACCGCCGCATGGGCCTCGAGCAGGCTGACGTTCCAGGCCGGCCGCTCGCCCCAGAGGATCACCGGCGCCGGGCTTCCCGCGTCGAGGGTATCCTGCCAGTGGGCCAGGTCCACGGCCAGGCAGAGCGTGTGCCACCGCAGCACGCACGTCACGCACGTGCAGACCAGGTGCGGGTCCGGCGGCGTGACGTGGTGGAAGTAGGGCTGCCTGCTGATCTCGTGGGTGCGCAGGCGGTTCTCGTCGCAGAGGACGGCCCGCTCGGCTGGTGCGAGGGAGCTGACGAGGACGGGGAGCCGTATGCACTTCTCCAGGATCGGGTAGCGCCGGTGGATGATGGCGTGGGCGACGAGGGCGGCGGTGTGGTCGTTCTGGAGGAGGAAGTTGTGCAGGGCGCGACTGGTCCGTGCGAGGCGGAACACGTCGCTGGGCCGCAAGTAGGAGGTGATTTGGATGAGTATGTCGATGGGGAGGTCGGAGAGGGTGAGTTCGTTGTTGTTGTTGTTGTTGTCGTCCTTGTTTGACTGCTCGAGAGGGCCCTTGTAAGAAACTGCTGTGTGGACCTCTCCGCCCTCCGTCACCTCAGAATTGATGCTGTTGTCATGATGGCCGTTTTCCATTGTTGACACCATGTGATGGTCGTTCTTGGACGGGAAGCATAGCAGCATTTGAAGACAAAGATGAAGAGAAACAGAGACAAGAAACTAAGAATAAATATCCAAGTTGCAGCCCACGGCCACTGCATGACAAGCGTGAGTACTTGATTGGTGGCAAAAGAATGGGGCAATCCTCAGCTTGCTGAAGCTGTTCAAAAGTAGTAATCTGCATCTTTATATTCTCTCTTCTCCCACCAACCATCAATTCACCTGGACACACATATTAGCGGGACAAGGACTTCACCAGCTGATAACCAAACCATTCTCAGCTTTTCATCAACAACACACACACACACACACACACACACACACACACACACACACACACACACACAGCATCCAGCGCAAATAGGCAGTATAAAGGGGCAGGAAGGGGGTATTCATTGATGTCTGTCTGGTGGCTTATAACCAGGAAGCAGAAGGGGGAAAAGAAACCAAAGAAAAATAAAAACAATTGTGCAATTTTCATCATCCAGTCATCAGTATTAAGAGCCCCTATTTGATTTCGGGCTCAGGATATTCTCTCTCCCTCTCCTCCGTCTTTTCTAAATGATCTTGACCAATGTTCAGACTCATGCGGCGCCGGCAAGCTTCAGAACCTGCTCGTGGCCCTGGAACAGATCGGGCTTGGCCTTGAACAGGCTCTGCACGATGCGCTGCACGACCTGGCGCGTCTCGTCCTCCAGCTGGTCCTCAGGTGGGCTGAGCACCTCCTCAAACACGCCGATGAGCTTGGGTGTCAGGCTCTGAACCGTAGGCTCGTTGGCCTCGTCTACAAGGTCTACATTAGCTTTTTGGTTTGGACAATGAAGAGAAAATGATCAAAACAAAAACAGGACGACCAAGGGTTCAACTTACAAAGCTTGTACAAGCACTCGTATACAGGCTTATTCTCCTCAAAGTCCGCCTTGAGAGGCAGGAGACCCACGAGGACCGGCAGAACATCTGAGATGGGAACGCGGTCGGGGTGAGAGATGATCATGCGGCACACACAGCCAGTCGCGTTGTCCTTGAGACGCGCGTGGTCGATGGACAGCATGGGCTCCAGCTTGGACAGGATGTCCGTGTAGCTGGGCAGGTAGGTGTTGGTGTCGGTAGAGTTGTAGATGAGCTGGCCTGTGGCGTAGGCAGCGTTGCTCTTGACCTCGGGATCCGGATCCGTGAGACGCTTCAGCAGCAGCTTGAGGATGCTGGACGTGTAGGGGGTCACGCCAGCGCCCATGTACGCAGCCACCTCGGCAAGGACGCCGACCGCTGTCGACCGCTCGAGGTTCTCCTGAGAAGAGCCAAACTTCATCACTGCCTTGTCAAAGACCTTCCACAGTTCGGCAAAGGCCGGACCCATGGCCGCCCCCAGGCCGATGACGACATCTAGTGCAGTATCGACGACCACCCAGTCATATTCCGACGTGCCCTCCACATCCTGCTCGTCCTCGTCACCAAGATCCTGCTGGCTGGGGTGAGAGCGCGTGATCAGGGTGGTCAGCACCGTGACGGTCTGCTCCAGCATGTTCTGCTGGGCGAGAATACCCGGGCCAGTGGTCTTGAGCACCGCGGCGACGTTGCGGTTGATCTCAGCAACGACATTGCTAGAAGTGCCAATTTTTCTTTTCGTCAGCAGCCATTCGTCGAACATAGATGGAAGACTCGTCAAGTGAAGAAATGATGCAGATCGTTCAGGAGTAGATAGTTACGTGTTCTCAGCAACCGCATTTTGCGTCTGAGTGAGCTGGGTATAACGCGTAGTGCTCATCACTAGGAAAGCAAAAGAAAGTAGAGGGAGTGTGAGAGGAAAGAAGAAGGATGAGCATGATACGTACCGATCAGCTTCGTCGGGCCACATCTTCAAGGTGGCAGTGGCGACAATCTCGCCCAGTTGGACCAGCTCCGGAGGCGATGGCTTGGGAGGGAAGCCCGCCTCCCACTTCACACCGGTCTGCTCCTCGAACAGCTCGGCGACCCGAGCATAGGCCCGCCAGAGTGTGCTAATAGCCGCCTTTCGGCAGCCCTCATACGAGTGCTCGACAAGCGGGGTGATGTGCTCCAGGGCCTTCTGGAGGTATTGGCTGATCTCGGGGAGGCCACATGCATATGTGACAAGGTCGCCGAGAACCTCAATGGCCACCTCCTTCTCCAACGCCTCGGGGGTGACACCGTAGTCTGCCCACTCGTCCTCGTCATCCTCATCACCATCCGCCTCCATGGCCACCTCCTCGCCCTCTTCGGCCTGGCGGACCTTGATCTTCTTGCCACCCTGGATGATCTCCTCACCGGTACCGATGATAGCCTGCTCCTCCTCGGACAGGTTGAGAACGAGCTCCTCCTCCTCGAGCTCCAGGCTGTCGAACAGGCCCTTGAACACGCCCGCGTTGAAGGGAGCAAAGTCCTTGCCGTAGACCTTGGCCAGGGAAGCCCACAATATAAAGCTCGTCTCGCGCAGTCGGGGGTTGCCGAGGTTCAGCGCCTCTTCGCTGGCCTTCATAAGATCCAGGACATAGGGCTGGAACTTCTGAGGACCCACGGCTGCGGCGAAGTGACCCATCGCGTCACACACGCCACTGCGGAGATCCAGCTCGTCCTCGCTGTCCTTGATATGCACATAAGGCCCCAGGGCAGCCATGGTCTTCTCGAAATAGGGCTCAAAGGCCTCCTCCATCGACGAGGCGATGGCCCCCAGTGCCCCGGCGGCGGCGCTCTTCACCTTGAAGTCGGGGTGGCTGAGCAGCGTGCCGACCGGAGAGATCAGCTCAGGACCGTACTTTTGCATGACATCAGAGTCGAACCCGGTCGCCAGGGCATCGAGAGCAGCACAGGCGCACCGCAAGATCTCCACGTTCTTCTTGGCTGCCGAGGCATCAGCAGTCTCGACGCTAGCAGCCTGGATGTTCTTCAGGAGAGCCTCGACCAGCGCATCGCGGTCGGCTGAGAGCTCCTCAGACATCTCGTCGGCGATGCGGGTCAGGCCGATGAGTGCGGTGTGACGGACACCAGAGTCTGGGTCGTTCAGCAGACGCAGGACGATGGGCATGATCGTCTTCAGCTGGGTAGACACGAAGTCAGGCGCACCCTCGGCCACCGTGCCCAGGGCGAGGACACCGGCCTTTCGGAATCCGGAGTTCTCCGAAGAGGCAAACTTTGGGAGGGCGTCTAGCAGAGGCACGACGACCTGGCGAGGGGGCAGGTCGCTTGCCAGCTGGTCTACCAGGGACAGGGCCGCCCGCGCAGGGGTGATCTCGTCCTCGTCCTCATCGTCGTCGATCTCGGTGAGGATCTCCATGCTCTTCAGCGTCAACTGTGCGCCCATGTCCTTCATGGCCTGAACCTTCATGCGGCGGTAGCGGACGGTCTGGGCCAGGAAAGCCAGAGCCTGGCACCGGACATCGGCGTCGGCATTGGTGTTGACAGCGAGCTCGGCCATGAAGACCATGAGGTCGCGGAGATGCGGGGCCAGCAGGATGGGCTCGTAGGCGAGGAATTGCTGGAAGACCTCGAAGGACTGCTTGCTCCGCTCATCGTCGCCGCTCTCAACAGCATCCTTCAGGACGTCGACCATGCTCGGGATGAGCTGCTGGATTGCGCTGACGGCAGCCTCGTCCTCTTCGGGCTCGACCAGCATCAGCACGGCACCGATGGACATGACGGTGTTGACCCTGACATCTCGGCTCTGCGGGTCCTTGATGGTGCTGGAAAGGAGGGCCAGCAGCTCACGAACCTTCTCGGCGAAGTGAGTGGGGTTCTCCTCGAGGATAGCGTAGATGATGTAGGATCCGACCTCACGGTGGGAGACATCACCACCGTTGGCGAGGGTGAAGAGCGAGGGGATCAGCTCGGGCCAGGCGTCCTCGTCCAGGTCGAGGTTCGCGATGCTGGCGATGAGACGAGACTCGGAGTGACGGCACCTGGCGTTCTGCTCTTTCATGCAGGCCTCGACCAGGTGCTGGCGGACGCTGCCCTTCTGCTCAACGGGTATCTTCTCCCAGTATTTGATGGCCAGGCGAGCGGCCTGGACGGCAGCCTGCTGACGGAGGTTGGTATCATCGTGCGTGCAGACGATTTCGATCAGGAGCAGCAGAGACTCGGGCTTGGAGTAGAAGTTCTTCTGAAGCTCTGCAGTCACAGCCTTGACCCTCTGTGTGTCGGCTAGCAAGCAACACAAAGTGTCTGTTAGCACATGCTGTCCGTTTCCCGTGGTGGGACGTGCCTCTGAAGGTGATTGTGAAGGTGACAGTAACAAGCGACAGTTTACTTACGGATTTGGCTCTCTTGGAGCAGTGCGACCAGTCTCTGACGATCCATATTTGCTTCGTCTGTTGCTGGTCTTCTAAAAAGGGGTATCAAAAAAAGGAGAGACCTCCGCAACCTCAACAAGAGAAAGACGCGAGACACAAGAAAAGGAGGGTGAGGAAGTCAGCCAGAAAAAAGTTTCGGGCAGCAGCAAGGCAGAAATTTTGCAGGACTCGACACGCCCAAAAAAATAAATTGCGGGGGCCCCTCATTCTCTGTGTTATCTTATCAGCCCCCTCCCCACACTGGCCGGTCTTTAGACTCTCCAGGGTTAGGGCTCATGTAAGTCTGGCAGGGCACTCGATTATACCTTTCTGGTGCTCAACTCCTCCTCACTCTCACCTTCACATCAGCCTTGGGTTCTGTTCTTGCGCCTTATATGGTTGAAATGGAAGCAAAAGCTCTGCATTCATACTAAGTTTATTCAAATTTGGAAAATCAGCCCCAAGACAGAAAGAAAAGAGAAGAGCAATATTGTTTTAAAGAAGTCCAAACCCACAGTCAATCACTGCTCTTCACAGGGTCAAACGAAGGCATCCACATCAAGGGCCACTCTCATTGCAACAGTTGAGATGGTATGGATCAAGATTTGCAAAGGCATTCAGTTTCTTTATACGCTCAATTTTCCAACTTTGTGTTCTGCCCTGCAGTGAAGTGATGAACGATCCCGAACAGCCTAGCCCAGACATAATACTACCAATTAGCCCTTTACTTAAGCGGAGAGCATCACGTTGCTTGATTCTGCCGCTGAAGGCTAGTACCCGTTCCAAGAATATGGTCATAGGCTATCGACAAAACTTCCAATCCTATGAATATGCCCTACAGTGCACACTCCTGCTGTGCTATGTGTGTGTCTCTGCCAGATGCTATGTTATGGGTCTTGACCCGAGATCATGTCAGTAATGGCTTGGCATATAGAGTGGAGGCAACTATTTGATGCGAGTTTGAGCAGAACGACATAAATGGGAACGAACTCCCACACACAACTGGTTTTCTTGTTCCCCCAATCATGGCTGTTCTTCGTGGTATATGTTGACGACCGCAGTGTAGCATCCGCCCAAGAACCATGGATATACACTTAATTCTCGGCTAATATTGTGCCGACCAGGACTAATACTATAACATATATAGATTCATGGAATAATTGTGCAGTTTGCATTGCCTGTGCAGGATTGGGGTACTCATGGGAATTTGGCTCCAGATACTCACGCTCCCCTTTCTCCCCTCTCCACAACACTTGAGCCATCATTTTACATCGCATCTCAGGATCATCTCTCACCTGCACACCAAAGATGGAAAATCTCACAGCCTATGTCTTCAGAGTCCTACCGCTCATGGTCATTACCCTGGTGCTAGGAACCCAGGTGTCATCAGTCTCTGCAAAGACATGTGTGGTATCAGCAAGTGGCAGTAATACCACTGATGATGCCCCAGCCATCGTGGAAGCGTTCGAGGAATGTGGGCAGGGCGGGACTATTGTCTTCTCCAACACCACCTACTATGTAAATTCAGTCATGAACATAAATGGGATCGAAGATGCTCTAGTTGACATTCAAGGAACACTACTTGTAATCTAGAAGAAAACCCCTCCCCCAGCGGACTCCAGCCAAGGCTGCAGTGAAATGATCAAGGACTGACACGAAACTCAGTGGAGCACAGACATCTCATACTGGCTGAACAACTCGCTGCCTGTCGGTTACCAGAACCAGTCCACTGCCTTCATCCTGAGTGGCAACAATGTGACCATCAACGGAGGCGGTGTGGGCACCCTGAACGGAAACGGACAATCTTGGTACACATTCATCGGCGAGCAGTCGGACACGTCCAACTACCCAGGCAGGCCGCATGCCATCACGCTTAGCGGCCTCAACAACTCGCAGATAACTGGCGTGAACTTTTTGCAAAGTCAGATGTGGTAAGTACTTAGTCGTGAAGAGTTGTTGCGGACCTCGAGGCTCAAAGAAAAGCAAGGCTTTCAATGGTGGTGAGAAACACATGAAAGATCTAACCGCGAATTGATGACGACTAGGACCATGTCTATCATCTACTCCCACAACGTGACACTCGACAGCATCTACGTCAACAACTTGGTAGAGTCAGGATCAGCGTGTACGTCATTATATAGTGATCCCCTGCCTAAGCGTGAAATCAGGAGTGTGTTTGTGGAGCTGACCAAACTGCTTTGATGCAGCAAACACCGACGGAGCGGACACGATCCGGTCGTCCAACATCACCTTTGACAACTGGACCGTGTACAATGGTGACGACAGCATCGCGCTCAAAGGAAACAGCACAGATATTACCATCAGGAATTCGCAATTCTACGATGGGCTAGGCATCGCCATCGGAAGCATCGGCCAGTATGATGGTGTCTACGAAGTCATCCAGGGGCTCACGGTGGACAATATCACGTACAGCGATACTCTCCATGCGGTAATTAAACAACACCTTCTACCAAGTTCTACATATGAAAGAGAAAGTCCTTAACGATGTGCACCAGTTTTATTTCAAAACGTGGACCGGCACGCAAGTAGGCTACCCACCGAACGGCGGCGGCGGCGGCATCGCTGGTAAGTGTAAAGGTGGCAGCATCACACGTCCACAGGACTCCCTTCCCATCCTTCAGTTGCTGACCAGGACAAATCCGTCTTCCTGTACATATAGACGTCTCCAACATGAACGTAACATCTCTCTACGCATCATCCCTCCGCGGCGCCGCAGTGGCCATCAGCCAGTGCACCACCTTCTCCGGCGGAGGCACGCCCGCCAACTGCACCAACTCCGAGGTCCAGATCCACGACATCACGGTCCAGGGCCTCTCGGGCACGAGCGAGTCCGATGACGTGGCGAGCCTACAGTGCAGTGCCGTTAAGCCTTGCTACGACATCGCGATTGAGGACATCACGCTCACACTGGCGGGCGGGACGGAGGCTACGGAGTATCTGTGCAGTGAGGTCGAGAGTAATACCGGGTTTAACTGTACTGGTTCTGCTTGTGTGGGTAGCAGTGCCACCGGGGAGTGTTGATTAGGTGGTGTACATATATGTGTGTGTGGAAAAGGTTTGAGGCGGGGGGGGGGGGGGGTTGTGGCTGCCGGTCATCTTCGAGCCCAATCTCGTACAGGACACTCTTGATATTATTCGAGAGTGTCTACAGCACATTCGATCAGTTCAAAATAAACACACACTCGCTTGGACCAACCCCCCCCCCCCTTCTTTCCATTCACATGTTGCTGAGCTACTATCACTGGAGGTCGTGCTGGCTAAATATAGCGGCGGCGTTCGCGATGGCCAAGCGATGCAACTGTTACCCTCCTCCATGTATGTCTTGGCCCAATTTTGCAAAAGACCTGGTGGGACAAGTCAGCCACACACATAGTTCACATTATCACTAATAGTTGAAGGGATGATTGGCTCTCAAAGTACCCAAGGATGTTGCCCAACCTTTTGTCTCCTCTACCTGCAGAACGCCATGGCGCTATTGTCACGCCCAAAATATAAATTACTTTGGCGAAGAGACCTGCTCTCTTAAACTCTTGGTCATGGGTTAGAATTAATTTGCGCTTCCTTCCGCACAACGTACCTGGGCCTCGCTTCTGCAGGTAAACCAGGAATTATTCCGGACAAGACCCCTTCGATAGGTCTTCGATCTGGGAAATCTCGCAGGGGGGCCCAAGAGACTCACTTAATTCTCCTCCTAATTAGCCACAGGACGGAAGGCATCTCCGAAGGCGCCCCGGCTGGTGTCTCTCATGACTATTTGAGACCTTCCCACAAGACCTGCTAATTAGAAAGCTGGCGTCCAGCCAACCAACCATCCATCCATGCTCATAAGCGATTTTCCGCCGCGGCTCCCGGATTCCCCAACCTTCCCCCCCTTAGATTCGGCCGAGGATGCACGATGAATCGATGATTGTATTTTTTGGTTGTCTGTGTCCCTCACCAGCCTCCTCCCTCTCAAGAGCCGCCCCAAAAGATATCATGAACTCCCTGCTCGTGTTTTGATATTAGACGACTGAGACCATGTTTTTGATAGCTGTCTGTAGGCAGGCAGCCCGGTTAATGGGAGTGGAACAAGTGTGGCGTCTGTGATGGATACACGACGGCCCCTGATTCACATCGCAATGTCTGTATATTATTATGTTTATTAACTTTTGTAGACCTTGTCTGCTAGGATCCCTTCTTGGTTCGCGTCCAGGGTGGAAGACTTCTCGCTCAGGCAACACTCGCTACGCTTGCATGGCTCGTTCTCTCTCTCGGCCGCAGTGAGAGAAGATTGATCGTGGGTGTGGTTGTGGTGGCTACACTGCAGCAGCATCATGCAGGTGGAATGCAGCGAATGCGGTGCGCCCCTTGCAGACGGGAGCTGGCATATTCCCCCCCTGCCACCCAAAAAAATATCATGCACGGAGAAACGGTTGTAGGCAGGTAGCCTAAAGTACTAAGGCACGCATGGTAAGCGATGTTTAGAGTAATTACTGAATGGCCTTGTTGCATCTCGCAGCCTAGCAGCCTCCCTCCAGCCATGCAATGCATTGACTTGACCAACACGGCAGGTCACATTACATGAGTTGCATTCATCCATCCAATGGAGAAGGGGCGCCATGTACGTACAGAATACATACAATGGTGAATGGTGCAATGGGCCATTCTTCTCCTCCTGACCTTCCTCGCTTCGGATCCCCCCTGGCCTGGCGTGTTTCAGCTTTCCAAGGCAGCTGACTGCCAACCTGCCAGATGTGGCTTTATTTACTTTTTAATTCATGACTACCTACTGCTAGTCGAGTATGCACTTATGGTAGTCTGGAAAAATCGTGGCACCCGGGATTTGAAGGGAAAAGAAGATTTGTACTATGGTATCACAAGGGAACCCCTCCCCCCCCCCAACTTTTCGATACTCTTTCCTTATTTTTTCTGTGGCAAGAGGGTAATCTCTGTTTGTTTTGATACTCAAGGCGTGACCAGTACCTAAATAGCCAAGTACTTCTATACAGTAGCATGTCTCTTGTGAGATGAACGTCTCTGGTCAGTCCGCCCAGGTACTGTAGGCTGGGAAAAAGCAATACATTACTGTGGTAAGATACACCTCGTCAAGACACCCGCCACTGCTTGTATGACCCCTGGTCTACCCCGAGGTCATGCATCCTGGTGCAGTGTTTTGGGGTCTTTCTTTCTCTCTCATGTGATCGATGGGTCCCCTGTTGAAATTGAGGAGGAGGAGGGGGAGGCAGGAGAAGCGCGCTTCGGCAGACCGATCTCTCTCTCTCTCTCTCTCTCTCTCTCTCTCTTTCGGAAGATTCTCATTCTGACCACACCATGACAGATGCACTATGGCTGTACCACAGTATGGCATGTCCTGGTTGCCTCAGAAACCAGTGGGATGGTGTGGTGGCATTAGGCGGTTAGAGCAGTGGCCTCGACATGGCAGCTGCCGTGCGATCCCTGTGGGAAACTCTCGTGCATGCAGCCAGGCGAGAGAATGAATCCCACATGATCCATGGAGAAATGCTGTGAACACAAGCCTGTACTTGTCTTTTTATTGTCTTGTTCCGGGTAGCATTGTCTATTGGGGTTCTGGCGAGCCATGGAATCCCCCCCCCCCCCCCCAAAACGATTTTGTATTGTATATTCTCTGGTCATGCCCTCGCCCCCCTTTTCTTTTCAAAAAAAAAAAAAAAAAAGTAAAATACAGGCAAATATACGATAGCATGCATATAATGATAATGTACTGATGCAGGTCTGATAGAGGAGAGAATCCCATGTGAAAAAGGCCATCAGTCCATGTCCCCAGCCCAAAATCCGGTTACCTGGTGGCCCTTCCTGGGTGACCGCCTCAAACCATCCCCGTGATTGGTCACCTCCTCCCTCACAACCCCTCTCCTCTCGGGGCAAAAAACAGAACAGAAAAGAAAAGAAGAGCCTAGCAGTTGCCAGGATCTCTATTTACCCCTGCCAAGAGGCGTGGTCTAGCACTTGTCCTGCAGGTTTGTCGCCTGTGGCAGCGTGGCCCCAATCGCCGATCGCAGGCTTGTACCATAGTACTGTAGTGTGTGAAATCCTGTTGCTCTGTATCCCAGTGCTAACTAGCTACTTAGTATGTGTTGATCAGTATGTCGTATTACTTGATCTTCTCCCCAGCTCCTCCAGCTGAGCCATTTTTTCTTTCTTTGAAGGGCGTGTCATCAGATCTGTTTCGTGGCCATCGTCGTCGGCCTCTTCCTCGTGTCCGCAAAACCACTCTGTTAGAGCCGGCCTTTACTCTAAATCCCTGGCCTGTGTGGCGTAGCGATGCCCCAACCCGCAGCGGCCCAGTCACTCCACCACTGCAGAGCCAGCCAGCCGTCCGCGAGTCTACTATAGTAAGTCAATCTAAGTCAACTGCAGAGAGGGGCTGGCTTGGTCTGGGCTGGCCTGACGATAAGCTTGTCGGTACCGTCTGCTCGTCACAAGCTTACTGTGAGGCGAGCCGGGCTCGCGAGGATCACAGACGGGCTAGGGGAAGAGGCAGGAACCCACACCGAGTCTACCGAGGAAGTGGGTTACTCGAAGGATCCACGGGTGATGCCCTGGCCTGATGGCCCACATCCCGGTAGTCAAGTGGAGTCTGAATCGAGGTGTTGTCTCCGCGATGACCTCATGAACAAAACGTTCTTGGGGGTTTTGAAAAGGGTGAAAATGGCTGGTCGGATGCTGTCCATTCATCCGGCTCCCTCCTCCTTGGTACATTGGTAGCAGGAGAAAAGCCTAAGGTTAGCTGTCCCCCCCCAAAAAGGGTCTATTTTTAGTTGTAATAGAAAAGAAAGAAAGAAAAGAAGAAAAACCCCCCAAACTCCCAAGACGTAATGCAATGCGCGGCGTGGGTTGTGAACAGGTCTTGTGAACGTGTGTGGTATGCATGCGTCGATGGACATGCAACTTCGTCGTAAGCTTTTCCAACTGGCTCGAACCAATTACGGCACAGCGTGTACGGGGCAGTATGGCCAGATAGCCTACTACTCACTACTACCATGACTGTTTGGTGGTTGGGAGAGGGGAAAGAGGGCCTGTGAAGTCAAAAGAACCGTGGCGAAAGCAGGTTGGAACCTTGGGTGGCTCCTCCCAGCCCGCTCAAAAACTTCCCGGACCGACGTGTCACTAACTTGGGCCGACATCCGGCCTAAGTCGTTGTGGAGTCGAGACCTGAAAGGGTTTCGTAATAAGTCAAAAAATATCCTCTCAAAGAAAAGAAAAAAAAAGAGATGCGTTCGTCATAAAAGAGGAGATCAGCGTCCCAGAGCCATTGGATTTTTTGGTTGTTGACGACGAAGATGAGGAAGACGACGACGTTTGGTGGTCTTGTTTTCTTCTTTTAGTGCAAGTCTGTCCTGCTCCACGACTGCACGAAAGAAAAGAGAAAAAAAAAACTGTGCTGCCGCGCCACAAACCTCGTCAGAAGACGGTTCATGGACGGCAAGTAGTAGAAAGAGGGAGGAGCAGCACACATGCGTAGCGCAAAAAGGTAGCTGCAAGTGCAGGCGGAAGGAGCTGCGCAAGCCCCTGGTCTGGGCCCTTGTCGTCAATCGGGCTAGTGTGCCGTGTGTGGTTGAGACATGTACCGCCCCCGCCCGAGGTACATTGACCCGTCTGGGCAATATTCCTGGCATCTTTCGCCCTCTGTGAGGCTCTCTCTCTTGCTCTACTCGTTCTCGAGGCTCGTGACGAAACGACCCATGAATTAGCAAGCCGCGTCAACGTCCCAGACCGTTCTTCTTTACTTTTCCCTTCCAACTTGTATTGCTGTTATTATTATTATTATTATTATTATTAATATCAACCTTCTCAAGAAGAATCTTCGGTAGAAGAGGAGAAAAGACGGGACCAAGTCAACGCAATCCGTGCGTAATGGGTTGGTTCGTCGTTCCCAAGGGAGGTCGAATCGAACTCCGCCCCCTTAGCCGACAGCCACGTTGAAACTTGTCACCGCCGCTTAAAGCACTGAGCACTGTATCTGTGTTACCGCACCGGCAAGATCCCCAATAGATCGTTTTGTCGACCGAGCCCTTTTTCTTTTTCTTTCTTTCCTGAGCTTCTCTCACGTTCCCTCGGGATATTCAGACACTGTAGCCTGTCGAGAGTGGACCCCAATCTAGACTGGCATATGCACGGCATGATGGGAGCAGGAGAAGAAAAGAAAAAGGGGAAAAAAGAACAAAGCAGAAGAAACACCAAGAACAACAGTTGCATCTGCTGTGGCCCATGGCTTAGTTGTTCCACCAACTGTGCCGTGCTTCGGCAAGTAGTGCCGTCGTATTGTTTCTTTGCCAAGGCAAGGCGTTGCGTTGTGTTCTTCTCTCTTCACTCACGCCCATCCACGCCATGGCTTTGTTTTACTATGATAGCGAGCGTGAACTCGCACTGCATCATGTTGTCTGAGCCTCCTCGTGCCACGCCGGACCAACAAGCCCACATCCGGCAGAATTGAGCTTATGTAGACTAACGACCTGCACCAAAAAAAAGGAATCATTCATTCGTGGCATGTCTGGAATCGAGACATGCACACACGCACGACCACGACCTCGGCTCCAGCTAGCCGCATGGGCTAGTTGGAGGCTGAACAGGGCCCAGACCAGACGCAACAAGCAAGATACAGACCGTTAAGAAAGAGAACTAACGGACTGACTGACTGGTTCCATACAAGATGGAAAGAGAGAGAGAGTGTGTGTGAGTATGAGAGAGTCAGAGAGACGCAGAGAGGCATTTGTTCCTCGACGGGGGTCTCCCATCATCATAGCCCGCGTGTCCCACCGTCGCAAGCCGGCTCTCCGGTCCTTTTAGAAGCCCCAATTTTCTCCCTCCTCTTCTTTTTCCTGTTACCGTGGCTCCTCTTTTGTAGGGCCGAGACTAACGGGATCCAGCGTCTCCGGGGTCCTAGAGGAGGGTGTGTGTTCTACTACTCAACAATTCAGAGGGAAAGAAGATTTACCGAATATACGAGGAGGCGCGCCATCACGGCACTTGTCTCCGAATCGTCTGCTTTCTCAAGAAAGGGTTCAAAGAGCCAAGAGGGCGATAAGCCTTGTGGAGTCACGGTCTGTCTGTTTGCGTAATTGTGGGAACGACTCAGTGACAGCTGTACCACGGGCGGGGTGCCCCAGAGAAGGAAGAAGAGGACATGCCACAGTTTGCTGTGTGGTACTTGCGGCAGGATGGCTTTATTGATCCTGCAGTCAAACCAGACCATACTAAACACAATGGCCATAAGAAATATGACAGTAACAAAAGTAGCAGGTAATGCTGCGGGCAAAGAAATCTGGTGGGAGGGTGCCCGGCCAAAAGAGGGATGGGATTGGATGGGTGGATGGATGGATGAATAGATAGATAGATGGAGACGGACGGATGGTTTGGATGTACATCCCTTGAGAGGGTACATGCGGTCGTCCCATGCAGCAAGGGTGGCACCATCACCAGCCCCCTGCTTTAGTCCACACAGAACTTGAACAGAACGAGCGGGCTGCGGCCCCCGTGGCGATCTACCATCACTTACACTATGTGTTAGTACCGGTGATCCTCTTCCTTTGGATCCAGTGTTTCCTAATCCCTGCTCCTCTGTGTGTGAATGTGCATACAGTATAGTACAGTACTTGCTTTCTACTCTCTCTGTTGCCTTGTCTCTTGTCCAACCCCCAGGACAAAGGCCACCACCACCACCACCACCTGGTTTGTGGGTGTTGACTCAGGTGATAACCTGACCAATTGCTTGTCTGTTCATCCTGTAACCCCTCTTCTCCCCTTGTAGGCTAGTGATTTTGCCATGAACCTCCCCCATGCCATTCTAGGGAATGCGGGAGGAGGTGCTGTGCTAGTCTTGCCCTGCTTGTCCACCCCTCGGTTGCTCAGTATATCAAGCTCAACCCCCTTCCTCGCCAACCTCCTCCTCTCATGAGTCTACCCCCCTCTTCTCTTGATCGATCTCCTGCTTTGCTCGTCGTAACTCTTGTCTGCTTGGTGTCAAGAATTTCCCCTGCTGCTAGCCCTACCTCAAGCAACAAACCTCGATCCCGGACTCACTCGCTTTGTCATCGAGACCCGCTTAGGTATGGTAAACCCTCTCTGGTGTTTTCACACCTTACAACACGTCCTTGCCTTTGGACTCTTTTTTTCTTTCCTTTTCTCTTTCACTACCTCTCCCTTTCTCTCTCTCACATCTGCAAACACTCTTTGAACCAGCCTTGCCAAGTTTGATCCTCTCTTGATCTCACCGTCTAACACCATTCCTCAGGCTACCCGTTCGTTCAGCATTACGATCGCTACACCTTCTCATCTGCACTGTCATCGCCGTCCTCTTTTTGTGAGAAACCTGCGCGGGAACAGTCAAATACGCCACAGCAACACCTCTCGCGTAAACGCCACAAAACAACAACGACAATCATCACAATGAAGGCCTCCACCACCATCGTTGCCCTCGCCAGCATGGCTGGTGTTGCCCTTGCCCAGGGCGTCACCTCTGCCATCGCCCCCTCTGCGACCGCTCCTGCTGGTTGCTCTGCTTCGTACGATGGAACCTTTGAGATCACTGTCGCCAAGGTCGAGAATGCCAAGAAGCGCTCTGAGCCCATCGCCGTAAGTTTTGCCTCCCCCCTTCCCAAGCCTTGACGACACTGTCCAGGTTACAAAGATATCCTGGTTGCTGCTTAACGACCACATCCCCCCGCTTGTGTTATCCCTGCCTGCCTCTTCACCACCTCAAATTTATTGTGCCACGTCGTTCGAACTTAATGTTTGCAAATGCCACAACTCGGACGTGACGCGGTTGCGTCCCGTTCCGAGAACACCTTGCAACCAAGCTATTTCTTCGTCCTTCCCCCTCCCGTCGTTGATGAGACGAACTGAGGCCCACACAGAGAGAGAAAGAGACACGGATAGAATGATGACTGACAATGACACCAACAGAAGCGCGCTTCTTGCTCTGACTCGGGTACTCTGGTTGCCAGCCTCTCTGGCGGCATCCTGACCGACGCCGAGTCGCGCACTGGCTACATCGCCAGCAACTACCAGTTCCAGTTTGACGACCCTCCCCAGGCCGGTGCCATCTACACCGCAGGCTTCTCCTCCTGCAGCAACGGTTCCCTGGCCCTGGGCGGATCCGCCGTCTGGTACGAGTGCGAGTCTGGTGACTTCTACAACCTGTACGACCGCAACTGGGCCGCCCAGTGCTCCCCCGTCGAGATCATCATCATGCCCTGTGGCGGCACCGCCTCCGAGACTGGCGATGGCCAGGTTGTCGGAACCCAGGTTGTCACCACTACCATCGTGAGCGCCATCTCCGACGGACAGCCCCAGGTCAAGACCACCACCACTGGTGTTCCTCTGTGCCAGGTTTCGCAGATCTCTGATGGTAAGTTTTTTCCCACCTTCTTTCTTCCCTTCCCTTTCTTTCCCCTTTGGGAGATGAAAGAAAAGAAGGGCTTCCCAATCTCGGAAGAGACCCACTCGTCCATCCCGCCTCTCAGGGGTATGTAAGACATGTGCTCACACCCAACCTCCCCCCCCCCCCCCCCTCGCTCTAGGCCAAGTTCAGGTAGCCACCACTCCCTGTGCCAGCATCACCAGCACGCCCGAGAACTCCGAGACCTCCACCCTCGTGCCGGTCTCCCAGTACACCGACGGCCAGATCCAGGTGACCCCCGCCGCCTCTGTGCCCACCGTGAGCAGCGTCGCCGTCGCGACCTCCACCGAGGCTGCCACCACACCCGCTGAGACCACCGCCTCGGCCTCGGGCGTTACCCTGCCCAGCGAGACCGTGCCCACTGCCACCGGTGCCTCTGCCACTGGTGCCTCGGCGACCGGTGCTGCCTCGGCTACCTCGGGCGGCAGCACCCTGGCCACGTCCGCCGTCTCGGGCAAGGCCACCAGCGGTACCGCCACCTCTTCTTCCGCCTCGACCGGCACCTCTGCGCCCGCTAGCAGCGGTGCGGCTGCTGGCTCTGTCAAGATGGGCTCGATGGCTGCCCTGATGGTCGGCCTCATCGGCGCTGTCGCGTTCCTGTAAACGCGCACGTCACCAACACAACCAACTTGGCGGACTCTCACCTTTCATCTTTCAACTTTGTTGCGATACCCAACTCTTCGAATAATCTCGTCCTTTTTCCTCTCCTCTTCGACTCTTTCGATTTCTCTTTGGTCGGGCTTGTTTAATCAACGAACATGACGTCTGATTTGGCGAGGTTTGTAATGCGGATGTCGGTAGCCTCAACTGTGCTTCCTTTGAGTCATCTTGCACTTAATTGGTCTGCGCTTTTTCGTCACCAAAACTCCAACACCACCATTGGAAAAATCGCAGAGAGAAGATTAATAGGGAGCGGCTCCTAACGGGGTTGAATGAAGAGAAGGTTCTTGATCTCGAGGAAGCACAGGGTACACACAGCATGGGGTAGGAATGTGTTGAGCCGACCTGGTGGTTGTTTTCTCATCTTTTCTTTTCGTGGCACATTACATGATCGTTTCGTTGATACTTTGTCGAGCCCCCGTGAATTCACGGTGAGCACAAACTAATGGACCTATGGGAAACGGGATTACATTTGCGTTCTTTTTTCTTTCTTTCTTTCTCTGCCTTGTTTGAGATCCACCTATTTCTTTTTCCATCTCGGAAAACCTGGTGGAAATCTGGATTCGTTCACTCGCACGGGGCACAAGGAAAGGGAAACGGAAAGGGGACACAACACGCACACGCACACTCACGGATGAAAAAGAAGAATACCCCCGCGGCAACTCTCTTGGGGGAGGGCTGCTCATGGACTCAGGGGAGGAAAGTCTTTCTTCATTTGATGATGATGAAATTTGGGTCAAAAATGGAACATGGACAATGAATTGAGGCCAGGAAAACTGGTCGTGGGCATAATTTGCAGTACTCGAGGGAATCTTCCGAGGGAAGTCCCTGTACATAGGCTCTTTAGACCACGCAAATAAAGCATATTGCAAACAATGACAAGTCTTTTGACTCGGTTCGATGTGTGGTGTTTGTCTTGGCTCGCTTGCCTGCTCATAATAAAAGATGTGGATCGAGAGTTTGACATGTTGGAATATGACGATAGATGCATTGAACTTTGGCTGATCCTTAAGCTGCAAGACGCGGGTAGACGCGTTGGCTGGGGGATGACAAAGCTTGGAGGGGCCAGCCCCACCAACCCTTGCCACTATACGGACGGTATAGGGTACGTACCTCGACCTGCGTTGCCGGCCGCCAAATTTCAGTTTCCGAGAGAGAAGGAAGGCATCATCATCATAGTACACACCCGGTGGTGACTTCCCCCACGTCCTCCCTTTCAACAGCAGGCAGACAACACAGAAGATTTCAAGCCCAGCCCTTTCTTCCTATCTCACGATACTTTCCACCGTACGGTGCGTGTTTCGCTCCCCAATCGGAAACTCCAACACCCTTTTCCCTTACCGAGGGGTCACACAGCTCAACCAAACAAGTCCTCCCTTGGTCCCCTTTTCCTCTCCCTCGCCGACCAGATTCCAGAAACGAAACCATCCCTTTCCTCCGCCTCCCTCGACTCACACTTTGACGACTCAGCTGCTCTTCTCCACATTCCGATAATGGCAGAGCACTGGAAGTCCACCCCAAGGTACTGGTGCAAGCACTGCGCCACCTACATCCGCGACACCAAGCTCGAGCGCCAGAACCACGAGGCCACCGCCAAGCACCAGAGCGCCGTCAAGCGGTCCCTGCGCGAGCTGCACCGCGGCAAAGAGCAAGAGGACCGCGAGAAGGAGCGTGCCAGGCGGGAGATTGAGCGGCTGAATGGCGTCGTGGGGGGTGGTAGTGGGGGCGCGTCCTCTTCTTCTTCTGCTTTCGGTGCGAGGTCGAGTCGTGGTGGTGGTGCAGCAGCAGCAGCAGCAGCAGGTGGTGCGTTGTCCGAGTCGGAGCGGAAGAGACAGGCGGAACAGCTTGCCTTGCTTGGCGTGAGCATACCGCAGGAGTTCAGGGGTGACCTGGCCATGGCCGGCGAGTGGTCCGTCACATCTACCACAATCGTCGAGGAGAGGCCCAAAGACGAAGATGAAGACACGAATCCCGAGGCGAGGGCAAGAGGTATACATAAGAGAGAGCGCACAGAAGAGGAGAAGGAAGCCGAGGATGCTGTCAAGGGCCTATTTAAGAAACCTCGACAGTGGGGCCGGGACGCGAGGGCTGCAGGAGGGGAGACGAGTGAGGACTTGGATGCACTGCTGAGTGGCGGGCTGGAAGTTAAGAAGAAGAAGGAGGAGGAGGAGCAGGACGAGAGTGGTATGGCAGGCACAGGCGCGGATGGCATCAAGAAGGAACAAGGCATGGGTGAGCCTGCAAAGGCCGAGCCAGCTGGGAACGGTGTGAAGCAGGAGGTTGCTGCCGACGAGGATCTGCCGCCTATCAAGCAGGAACAAGCAGATGGGGATGAGTCGATACCAGCAGCAGAGATTTCGTCTGAAGCAGTCGATAAGCCTGACGTGCCTAGTGTCAAGACTGAAGACGCTGCTGCAGAGGCACAAGGCGGCGTAGAGGCTCCCGTTGTGGCCTTCAAGAAGCGCAAACCAAAGAATATCCGGCAAAAGTAGCAGTAGACGCTCACGCACATTGCAAGAAGCTGGAAGGCTCTTATCACATAGAAATAAACGAGATACCCCGAGGAGAACAATGAACTAAATTGATTCCTAAAAGTCATGCTATTGTCTAAATGTGAAAGCCCTGTGCGTATGCTTAGGAAATCCCTCCAATGTGAAGCATGTATGCCATCTGTGCGTGTATACAGGCACAGGATACAAGAAACAAACAAAACAAACAAAACAAACAACCAGACCAAACAGAAAAAGAAAAAAAAGAAATGCAATTTACACGCGCAAATTCTCAACAATCAAGTCCACCAAACTGCCAGCCCCATTGTTATTACCAAGTTTACCACGAGAGCCAAATATTCCAATATCCATCGCTCCCCCGACTTGCAATGATGCCTCAACATCCACAGCGTCCTAAACACGAGGGGGAGACAGTCTATTAGCTTAATTTCCCGCATGATCCACGCAACTCGGGCAGGCATAACAACAAGAAGGAAAAGGGAAAGAAGCAAAAGAAGAATTTCCATTAGAAAACTTACAGGATAGGCATCCCTAACAGCGTTAGTCTCAAGCCAGCGCAGTCGGCCCGGGTCCATGACCACGCTCTGCTGGCCCAGCGCGGCAGCTTCATCGAACCCGACTTCCTCGAGATGGATGTTCGCCCCCTCAGCAGAAGCGGCCTCGTCGTCATCATCCTCCTTCCCCCCGCTGCGCGCATCTCCAGGCTCGTCGGGCAGGCTTAGGAAGTTCACAAACGAGTCGACCTCGACGCCCGTCCACGCCTTGATCTCCCACAGGCCCACCGAGACATTCTCCGCGGCGGAGATGCGATGAAGGTCGTGCTGGATCTGGGCAGCCACTTGGGCCACGCCCGCGGCCTGTGGTGCATGCACACGGAGAGGCACGAGACAGAGGGTTGGGTACGGCAGCGTAAGGCCGACGCTTCTGTTGGCGAGATACACGCCGAACACGACGTCTCTGTCCCTGTCTTGGCCTGACATGGATGCTAGGGATTTGGCATATGCCGCGAGGAACACAGCCTGTATGCTGATGCCCTTCTCGGAACACAAGGTCTTCAGCTTTGCCGTGTCGGCGAGTGCTGCACGCCGCAAGAGGATGACGCGTTCGCTTGTTGCTGATGCAGTAGAGCTGACATCTTGTATGTTGAGGGGGAGGGGCTGCACCCCTCGAAGATAGTCTTCCCAGAAAGACTTTCGTCTGGTCACCGCTTGCGCGCCGAGTGTTGTTCCAATATACTTCTTCCACATGGGCGATTCCTCCTGTCCATCACCGCTGATTGTAGCCGCGTCGTCAGACAAGAGCTTCTTGAACCTGTCCACGAGCAGCGGGAGGCTCACTCCATCATACAGCGCATGATGTAATTTCAGACTGAATGCCCAGTTGCCATCATTTTGCTCTTGTAAATTGACTGCCCAGAATGGATTTGAGATGGCTGAGCCTGACCGGAGTGCAAGTTGTAGGAACGGTATATCTCGAGATCCGGTGGCGACGAAGACTGTGCGCAGGATGGGATGCTGCTCGACAAGAGCCCTCCAGGCACGATCAATGACTTGGCGGTCTCTGCTACCTGAGATCCGATAGCGGAAAACGGAAAAAAATACGAGGCCGTGGGTGTTCTGCCAGATGCTGAGCATGTGCGTCTGCATCGCAGTGGCTGGCATGATTTCCTCCACGTCCACGGCATCGATGCCAGCAGCCTGCAGAAGCTGCCCCACCTTGAGGCCTGCCGTTGCTTTGTCTATCCAATTCGATGGGTTCTCGGTTGAATCTGGGTCTGATGAGGCTGGAGAGGAGAGAGAGGAGGAGGATGCTGAAGCCTTGGCAGCTATGTCCTTGATGGAGGCCGCCTGGATAAGCTCCCTCACGCTAATGGCAACGCCTCGCCTGCGTAGAATTGAGCTGGCTTTGATGGCGCTGATGGAGTCGAGGCCAAGGTGGTAGATACTGTGGTTCCTGCGTATACTTGTTTTCTCGACACCAGAGACCTCTGCGAGGACGGCCCTGACAGTCTCTTCAGTTGTTGACCACCCATCGTCGCCATCATCATCATTCTCCTTGTCGGAGTTCTCTTCTTCTGTTTGCCCCACGTATGCTGAATGTCTTGGTCGGAACGAGGGCAGCCCGCACACTGAGACCTCTTCATCATCGAATTGAAGGATATCGCCTTGAGCTGAGCTTATCAAGAAGCGCAGGGCACACTCCAGTTCCCCAAGAATCTGCTTCGTCCCGTCCGATGACAAGTATCCATCATCGCAGGCAGCCCGCCACGCAATCTTGTCTTGCTCAACTTCCATCTCCACACAGACGGGATACTCCACAGCAGATGATCCCCCGACGGAGGTGATGAACGGCTCACTGGTGTCGCTCGGAACGGAAGAACCAGGAGAGCCCTTTTGCAAAATGAACAGTGTGTTGAAGAGGCTGGCCTGCCTATCGTGAACCATTGCCTGGATTTTCCGCAGCGGAAAGTGCTGCGATTGGTTGATGCTGTTCATATTGTCTTGCAAATAGCGCAGGAAGGCATCGACCGATCCATGGAGAATCGCTCTGACGGGGACGGTGTTCATGGTCGGAAACATCATCACTTCAGAAGCCTCCGTGTCCCTGCCAGACAAGACAACGCCGAAAGCAACGTCCAGATGCTGACAATGCGTTGCAAGCACAGCCGCCCAGCACGCCTGGGCGACAACTTGTTGACTGATGGCATGGCGCTTGCAAAAGGCCTTGAGAGTCGTGGCTGATACATTCGGGGATGCCTCAGCCCGGTGGACGTTTTGACTTGTTGGCCCAGAGCGATAAGGGAACCTGGTGGGCGTGGCATCGGAAACATAGTCGGACCAGAACTGCCGAGCATGTTTTTTGGAAGAGCGAACAATGCCTCTGAGATACTCGGCATATGCTGCACGTGGTGCTTCGTATGTGCCACGGTAAGCAGCCTCGACATCCTGATGCAATAGTCCCAGTGACCAGCCATCGTAGAGTGCATGCGCAATGGAGAAGACGACGTACGTCTTCTGCATCTGCCTGGCAAACGTCAGTTGCAGGAGATGTGATAACCCACGGCCATCACGAGCCCTTGCGCGCGCCTGGTCCATGAAACTTGCAACCTCCTCAAGAGACTGGATCTCGACCTCGTTGAACTCGAGCGGAGGGTTGCCAACGACAAGCTGTGCGTATGCGAACTCAAAGGCTGGGCTCTCTACCCCAACAAAGACTGTTCGCAAGATTGGCGAGTTGCGAATGACAGTTTCCCAGGCATGCTTGAGTCGGGTCACGTCGACATCTGGCGAGATCTCAAGCACGTCGTGATTGAAGTACAGTTGGAAGTCTGACTGAACCATCTCAGACACCATGGAATCTTGCAATGGCGTGGGGGGCAGAACCTCCTCTATGGCAGTAAGGTCCACGCCACTCTCTTCTAGATATTGTCTGAGGGATGCTGAAGAGTCTTCAACGTCCGAGCAGTAGCCACTGTCATGGGTGTCGCCCTTCACTGCCTCTTTAGCTTGCACAGTGAGCAGAAGCTGCGGGATGCTCTGCCCCTTTACCAGTTCACTGTTGCTCAAGGTGATACCTGCCCTCCGCAGCCTCGCGGATAGTCTAATGGTATCAATGCTGTCGAGTCCAAGTTCGAGCAGGCTTGTCTGCGGACTGATGGATAAAGTTTCGACGTCAGCAAGAAGCGCCATCTCTTTGCGAATGATTTCAGCTTGAGGTGTCCAGTCGAATTCCGGCAAGTCTTCTCCCGGTGAACTATAGAGAACACTCGCACCGGTTTCTTCGTTCTGGAGGGCATTGGTAGCAAGAACGCTGTCTGAGGTTGGCAGCACCAGACCATCAACATTGTCCACCACAGCTTGCACGCTTTTCTCGAAAGTCTCGAGAAGCTTATTGAGCGCCGACTCGTCTGCAGTCCCCCGCGAAGCCACAAGCAAGATTTGTAAGGCACCTCCAGGAAGTAAAGTCGCTTCGAACGCCAAAGGATAATCCGGGTTGACATCTGACTCGACCTCTTCCCACAGTCTTTGGACGGCTTCTGGTGACGTCGAAGCCTTTTGGAAGGAGAATAGAATATCAAAGAGTGATTTGCCGTTGGAACACCATTTTTGCACGTCCCTGAGCGGTACATGCTGGAATGGCAGGGTGGTGGTGTTGAATTGGTGACAGTGACGAATGGCAGCTGACCAGGTCTGGTCTTGAGGGATACGGTGATGGTAGGGGATGGTGTTGAACAGCGGACCCATGGTCATTCCAACATTGTCCAGATCAATCGATCGGCCTGAAACAATGATGCCAAAAGTGACATCTGAGCCGAGGCATCTCTGTAAAGCAGTCCCCCACAGCGCCTGAACGATTGCTTGTTGTGTGACACCCAGCTTCTTTCGGACGCTCTCGAGACCATCAAAAGGAATGTGACGAGAGATACTGAGGTCTTGCAGACTGGGGGTCTCCGATAGCTGGGGCAGAGGACACAAGCTGATACCACGCAGATGTTCAATCCAGAAACCCTTGGAAGACGAGTTATTCTTGAGCGGACCGTGTAGCAGAGCATCGAAGAAGCTAGGTGCCTGGGCTGGGGCCTCTTGGTCTCTGTACAGTCGAGCTACCTCATGGAGCATGACGTCGAGACTGTTTGCGTCGTAAATTGCGTGGAAGATGTGGAGGACTAGCATCCGTGCCTCGCCGTGACGGATGACCAGGAACTCCAACGGCGATTCGATATCCTGACCGTTGCTCTTAGCCCAAGACATCTGACGACCATCTAGTAGAGCTTCTAGGTCTTCGCCCTCCTGCAGTTCAAGTTCGGTCCACGGCGTTTGTGTCTCCTTCATTGCCACCTGCACGAAGCCTTCTGTCGAGGACACGAACCGTGTACGCAGCACCGCGTTGTTGCGGATAAGTTGCTCCCAGGCTGCTCGAATCTTCGACAACGAAACTCCCTCCGCCAATGCGAACCGAAATGTATTGAAGTAAGCGCACTTCTTGCCCTCGGTCCTGGATCGCGAGATCATGCCTTGTTGTAATGCCGAACACGGCGCAAGGTATTCAATCTGGTCAGGGCCGATACCCAAGGTCCGACATACGGCGCCTCTATGACGGTGCTGGCAAGCTTCGATGGCCTGCCTTGCCTCAAGAACATCGCTCTGGGACTCTGCTGATAGCTGCATAGACTGCAAGACTTGAGCGAGATCAACAATCGTCGAATTCCTCAGGACGATCGCCGGAGTGACATGTTTTATGCCCTCCCGCTTCAGCGCCCGCACGAGTCTCATGACGTTGATGGAATCCACACCCAGCTCAAAGATATTAGTGGTGGCTAAGATGGTGTCTCTTGCAACTCCTGACATGCTACTCAGTGCGCTGCAAATTCTTGTACCGAGATCATCATCAAGACGAGTAGTCGAGATGGCAGAGGGTGCCACCAATTCTTCGGGCGATAGCTTGTCGAAAAGAGCACGCAGCTCCTTCACCTCTGCCTTGTTGTTTGGTGACAGAGGTATGAAGGACAGCAGCAGGACGTACGTAGGGATCATGTACCCAGGGAGCTTCTCGCGGCACGCTCGCTGGACATTTTGACCTACGCCAGCTGCCTCCTGTCCGGTGATGATCTTGAGTTCCTTCGACTTTTGATCGCGAGCTGTGACCACGAAAGAGACGAGGAGGTCCTTTTGCTGTTTCTCATTGCGGATCACCAGAGTGACAACATCGGTGATCTCTGAAACTCCAGACCTGATGCAGTGATTGATCTCCCCGATTTCAAGGCGCTGGCCACGGAGCTTGACCTGGTCATCGGCTCGGCCGAGAAAGTCGAAACAGCGGTCATGAAGAACGCGTACCAGATCGCCAGTCCGGTAGACACGCTCGCCAAAAGAAGCCAGAGTTGGGAAGCGTTCAGCAGTGAGATCGTTCCTGTTCAAATATCCCTTCCCGACAAGCTTTCCAGAGACGCAAAGCTCGCCGACGCCACCTCTCAGGACCGGAATATCTGTACCGGGTCTCAAAACATACGAGCCAACGTTGGCAAATTGCCTTCCAATATTGGAAGACCTGCCATTGACCGGCACGCAGGGAAAGGAGGTCACGCCGATGGTGGCCTCGGTTGGTCCGTAAAAGTTGTGAATGACGCGTTTTGGTCCCCATGCATCTAGGATTTCTTGCTTCAACTGCTCCCCACCCGTGATAAAGACGCCTCGGCAGAGGCTGGGCACTTCGTCTGGATGGATTAGGCGTGCCAGACTGGGCGTAAGATCGATGTGAGTGATCGCAAGGCGGGATATCATGCCGGCTAGATCCTCAAGAATGACATCTCGTGGCGCAGCAATTAAAGTGATACCGACAGACCACGTCCAGTACTGCTCCAACACGGAAACATCGAAGTGGTACGATGCAAATTGCAGCCATCTGGAGTCCTGGTCCCAGTGCCCCTCGAACAGCTTCTGGAAAGCAAGCATGGCTTGGACTGCGTTCTCGTGCGTGATCTCGCATCCTTTGGGGGTTCCTGTGGTGCCTGAGGTGTAGAGGCAGTAGCTTCGATCCTGTGGCGTCAACGACCGCGTGAGGTTAGGAAGGCCAGGGCTTGCTGATCTCAAGTTCGCGTTATCTATCACGACAATGGGCACCAAGGTATTGAAGCCTATGTCGATGCTTCTCGACTTGTCTGTCAGAAGCACAGCAGCGCCTGAGTCCTGCAGGATGAATTCTTTCCGAGACGATGGTGCTCCTGGATCCAGCGCAAGCAGTGCGCACCCAGCTTTCAAGATACCCAACATTGCGAAGTGCGCTTCGGGACACTTGTCAAAGCAGACAGCTACTATCCCTCCTGCGGAGACATGAGGAGCCAGCATATTCGCCACTTTGTTACCGTTCTCGTTCAGATCTCGATAAGTGAACTTTGTCGAGACGGGTTGGTCGTCCTCGAAACTTGAAACAAACTCAAGCGCTGTCTTTTCTGGCTGTAGTTGCGCGCTGGCCTCCACAAATTCATGGAGAAGTCCGATCTCTGACTTTAATTCCGGCTCCTCTGCTGGCAGGACAGAAAATACTTCCTTGTGCGCTTGGAGAAGGTCATTTTCATTGCCGTCCGGGTTCTGTGCCAACTCGCAAAACACAGCATCGAATTGCTGCAGCAGTATCTCCGCTTGCTCACGTGGCAGAACGTCGCTGAAGAATGTAAGGCGAAGTTCGACGGAGTCTTGCTGCGGCTCAATCTCGAGGGAGGCAGGGTAGTCGACACTGGCCGACTCATCGGTGACCTGCCACGGTATGTTTCGTTCACCACTATTCTCAAATCTCTGGTACACTAATAGCGTATCAAAGAGTTTGGTGTTTGGATGGCCCAGCCATCGTTGAATGTCTGTAAGTGGAGTCCATTGGTGCCGTTGGAGCCCAGCGTTGTAGCTCATCATTGTCTCGACGAGCTCGCGATTCGACGAGGCGTTCTGTGCGATGATTGGTAGGGTTGTGATGCAAGGAAAGACTGCATTTCGTGTCGTTTCCATATCTCGGCCAGAGAGAATGGTACCGAAGACAACGGCTGGCTCCCCTAGGTAAGAGGACAGAATTCTCAACCACGCCGCCGCCGCTATCGCTTGAATGGTGAAGCCGGCATGCCTTGCAGCCTCCTCCAGTGCTGGTAACGATATGGATGCTGTCCTTGACTGGACCCATGTTTCCCGCTGGTCTCCCCTCAGAGGCGTCATTACCGGAAATTTGTTAACAACCGCCTTGGGAGCATAAACCTCCCAAAAGGGTTGGGCGGTCTTTTTGGAGTTCCAGGTGTGCGTGATAATGTCTTGCACCACGGAGCCGAGGTCGGTCTTGCTGTGCAGAGTCACTCCGTTGAGGGCTTGTCCAAGAACAGACAAGATGGCCTGCAGAGATTGGGCATCATAGAGGACGTGGTGTATGGTAAGATGCATCTCGACACCTGAGCTGCCATCAACGAGCACCACCCGCCAAGGAGGTCGACGCAAGTCATCGAATATCTCCTGCGCGGCGGCCTTCCGCCAAGCTATCAAGTCAAAGCTACCGCTACCACTCCAAACTTGAACAGGAACAGCATCTTCCTCGTATTTGTATTGCAGCATGGCGTATGATGCATCCTCGTGGTCGACAGGCTCAAAACCTGTACGGAGGATCCTGAGGACTTTGACGGCTTGCACCCAGGCACGACCAACTTCTTGGGCCGTCACGCCGGAATCTAATCTGTAGCTGACGAAGTTGAGGTAGTCTTTGCCTTTGGAATTGACGAACTCCGTCAGCAAGCCCATCTGAAGAGTGGTGCAGGGCAGGTATAATTCCACGACGGCCCCATCTGGGACACTATCGTGCAGCAAAGTTTTGGTCGTCTGTTGAAACTCGGCAAGATCATATCTCGGCAACTTTGTATTGTCGGCTGGATTGGCCCTCAGCTTGAGAGCGAGCTTTGAGCACGTCGGGTTCTCTAGAATATCTGTCGCGGTAATGGAAGGGAAGCCTTCTTTTCGAAGCATGGCTGCAACCTGGACTGCATTGATGCTGTCGAGTCCTAGCCTGAAGATGGTCGTATGTCGAGTGATCTTATTCTTTGCGACATTAGAGATCTTGGAAAGCACTGAGCGAATGATGTCCTCTGATTCAACCCAGCTTTCACCTGCTTCGGCTTGAAGTGTAGTGTTTTCAGCAGTGTTGGTTGGTTGGAGCAGGTTGAGCGTGTCCAATCGTTCACGGAGAACAGGAGGGAGAGAAGCCTTGGAAACGGTACGTGAAGATGGATATGCGAGAAAGTTGGATATTACGTAGGAAAGGGTATCATGAATTAAAGATGCATATGCGTTGGAAATGTAGGACCTGTGAAATCCTTCAGCGTGCTGCAGACTAAAACCCCCGGGGATCTTGACTTACCGATCAAAATGAAGCTTCACGTTCAACTTGTCTTGGCCAGGGTTTGGGATGACTTCACAAACAAGCGGAAAATCCATCTCACCATCATCGCTCTCCAACACCCACAGTCCTCCATCCAAAGGCTGCGGAGGCTGTTGCAGCAACAACAAGGTCTCGAATAGCCGTGCCCCATTCGTAGCGATGAGGGTCTGTATCCGCCGGAGCGGTGTAAACTGATAACGAAGGATTTCTGGACCGAGCTTCTGGAAGTATCTCAGAACGTCAACGTTCCGTGGTCTCCCTTGGAGATCGATGCGCGTAGGTATAGTGTTGAAGCAGGGAGCAACGAGCTCCTCGACTCTGTCGACTGTGGTAGAGCGGCCGTTGACCACGTTGCCGAAACAGACATCGTTAGATTGCATGACGACGCTCAGAAGGCTACTCCAGGAGGCTTGCAGAAGGACAAGCATGGATGCGTTTAACGCCTTCAGACTAGCCTCAATACTGGACAGAGGAATATCCAGAGATTGGCCCAGATGGTCGCGACCCTCTCGTGTCTCAGAAGCCCGAGGCAGAGGTTTCAATCTCGAATTTTCCAGATGTTGCAGCCAAAACTGATCTGTATCCTTCGGTAAAGCAAGCATCTCCTGCAATAATGGCTCGTATGATGGCGTTGGGTGAAGCTCAGCACCAGAGGCAACAAGTTCAATCTCTTCCAGAAGTCGAGATATTGCAACACCATCATACATGGCGTGGTGGCAGACAAAGGACAGATAATGGTTCCCGTCTTTCCGTATGACAGCCAAAGACACTGGCGGTATGCAGGTGTCGATGGCAGAAGAGACCGCCTCAACGTGCTTGCATATTGCGTCGTCAAGAGATTTGCGTGACGCGTCAAGACTCATCCATTCTGGCTCATACTCTTCAAGTATGCATTGCGCCACGACATGTTCCCGATCATTTGTACTAAAGAAGCATGTGCGCAAGATGCCGTGTCTTCGGAACATGGCAGACCAATACTGCTTAATGAGGCCTGGATCGACGATCAAACGGAAAAGCATCTTGTTGAGGTATGAACCGGCGCTGGAAGATGATGCTAGCATCGCCTCCTGCAGCGGTGTGCACGGAAGAATAGCCTCGACATTCTGTCCTAGGAGGCTTAATTTGTGCTTGATGTCCTTGATGAAGCCTGGCTGGAAAACGTCGAGAATCTGACCATCCGTAACAGCCTCTGTCCACCCTTCGTGGAGTATGGTAGCAAGTTTTGCCACGGAGGTACCCTGCAGGATGATTGAGATCGGTAGCCTCCGGGAGAAGGATTTCTGCAGTCCCTTGGCGACAGCAATGGCCGAGATAGAGTCCATTCCCAAACTAGTGAGTGGTGTCCATCGCCTGATGTCATGTAAAGGGACTTTCAGGACGCCGGTTACAACTGCGGCGATCTTGTAGTCTTCCTCAGTCCATTCGCCGTCTGTTGCCGCGGAATCAGCACTGGCGCTGCTGAGCGCCTCGAGCTCTCTGGGGCTGAGGTTGCCGAAAATTGTTCGCAACTTGGTTTTGTCGACTTTGCCGGAAGAAGTCATGGGAATGCTGGATATAGGGATGAGGTATGAAGGCACCATGTAACTGGGCAAGCGAGATCGTACGTGATTGAAGATAGCCGTACTCCTCTCATCCAGGTTTTCTCCTGGGGCCAGAAGTTGGAAACTGCCGCTCTCGATGGATCTCAGGACGCAGAAGCAGGCTAGATGCTGCGTGCTGTCGTCGCTCAGGCTGACGAGGAGCGTGACGCAGTTGGACACCTCGCTGGATGTCGCCACAACGTTGTTGATCTCGCCCAACTCGATGCGTTGCCCACGCAATTTGATTTGGTCGTCGATTCGTCCAACAATCAGCAGCGAGCGATCGGCCAACATTCGGCCGATATCACCAGATCTGTAGATGCGACCAAGTTTTGAATGATAGATGAATTTTTGGCTTGTAGAGGTGGGAAGATTGAGATATCCGGCCACGACTTGGTCACCACCGAAGCAGAGCTCTCCAACACAGCCAATGGGCACGATGTCCTCACTGCTCGGTCCCAGAACAAAGGCAGAAGTATTCTCAAAAGTGTGTCCGAGGTGGCGGATGTGATCCTCAAGAGACATTTTCTTGACAGAGCAGATATTCGTCGTCTCCGAGGGTCCGTACCCCTGATAGAGCTTGCCAACCCACTTCTTGGCTACCTCTGCGGTCATGGGCTCGCCGGAGGTGACGAGAAATTCCACGGCTGGGACATTCAGAGGGTTGACTAGAGACGCTACGGTCGGTGTCATGCTGAGATGCGTTACGTTCATGAAATTGATCGACCTTTCTAGATCCGCGAACAATGTGTCATTGGTGCCGGCGCAAAGACACATTCCCCGGGTGAGAGCGAATAGAATCTCGAAGACGGAGACGTCGAATGCCTGAGAACATATCTGCAGCATACGAGAGTTGGGTTTGATAGGATAGATCCGAGAGAGGACATCAAGGTTGCTGCAGATGTTGAGCTGTGTGACGCAGACTCCTTTTGGCACACCGGTGCTGCCCGAGGTGTATATGATGTTGGCTACCCGGGTTGCATCCACCTTGGTCCCGAGATTCTCGTCGCCGTATTCCTGGAGCTCCGAGTCGCGAAGGTTGATGAATTGGCAGTCGTCTAATTCTGGTAAGTCGGACCCAGATATCTCGTCAGAGATACAGAGATGAATGCAGGCCTGGCTGAAAATTGTGTGAATTCTCGCTTTGGGTGTACTTGGGAGGAGTGGCAGGTATGCGCAGCCTGCTTTCAGGATAGCTAAAATCCCGGCATATAGCATAATTGACTTCTCCATGACGATTGCTACGGCTTGGCCTTCCACGGTGCCCGAGGCCTTGAGGTGCCGGGCAATCCTATTCACCAGACTATTCAGCTCGATGTATGAGATCGTCCTCAGGTCAGCCGTATCGTCACTGATCGACTGGGCGAAACAGATTGCTTCCTTGTCTGGTTGCTGGGACACTGCCCTCTCAAAAAGACCTGCTATGTCGGAGCATCCATCCAGCGTCTTGGGGGTTGGATTGAAGGTCGACAGAAGATCATTAGGAAAACATGCTGAGATAGTGTCGATACACAGAGCCGTGTTCCTCACAATGTATGCAAGAGTGCACTCAAACTGTCTCAACAATAACTGAATGTGGTCATGGTGAAACACATCTGCGTGGTAGGTCAACCGTAGCTCGAATCCTTGCAACGTCGGCTCGATCTCTACAAGAAGTTTGGTCTCGAGGTAGTCCTCATGAGCAATTTGCCGCACCTCGGGAGCTTGAGCCCGTGATGACCGACTCGGGATCGATTCTTGGTAGACAAAGAGGGTATCATACAGAGGCTGGCCTGAGGCGATGCCAATGGCCTTCTTGATTTCCACGGGTGGCAAGCTGGAATGGGCAAGGCTCTCCCTGTTCGTGGCATGAATGCCTTGAAGCAGTTCCTTGATCGTATAGGCCTGTCCAATCTTGGCTCTCAAAGGTATAGATGTCAGACATGGACCCACGATATTCTCGATGCCTTCGACCGGAATGGTCCGGCCTGAGGTGACGTTGCCGATTACTACATCATCTTTTCCGAGGAGCCTGGCCCAGAGCCACAGCAGACATGCCTGGAAGAGGACCTGAGGGCTGACGTCAAGAAGAGATGACACGTCCAGAATTTCTGAGATCCCAACACTTAGTGTGCGTTGAGCCAAGGAAATCGGCCGTCCCTTGACTTTTCGAGCCAATAGCTGAGGCATTGAGCTGGGCTGATACCCCAACAGGTGCTCCGCCCAGTAGCTTCGTGCAGCGTCAGCATGACGCGAGAAGTCAGTTGAGTTGTAGTAAGTTGAGACAGGTCGGAAGGAGGGTCGCTGAGGAAGCTGGTCACCTCGCGCCAGGAGGTTCAGGTCGGAGAGGAGAATGTCAAGCGACCAGCCATCGTAAATGGCATGGTGAATCTGCATCAGGACGCTGGTATGCTTAGATGACTTGTCTGCTAGAATCTGGACGGAGAAAGGTTTGAGGAGGTCTGGTTCAGCCAATTGATACTGGGCGGCAAGGCTCTCCACCGTTCTTATCAAACTCGAATCCAGGTCTTTCCAGATGACTTGTCTGAAATTGCCGTCAAGCACAACAAATCCTGTCCGTAATGCTTCGTTGCACCGTGCTAGATCTTGGAACCATGATACTATCGTATCGGAAGTATGTGTGGCAGGTATCTGCAACTCGATCCAATTGCAGTATGCTTTCGAGTTGCTCAGCGTCTCGACAAGCATGGAAACTTGCACGGGCGCGCATGGCTCAACGGCCTCGATAGCGTCAATGTTTATCCCCAGGCTGGAGGTAACTCTAGAAATCAGATCTAGATCTAAAGCCTCGTCTCTGCTCTCCATCGTCGCGGCAGGGGCAATTGCTTGTTGGTGTTGTTGTCGGCGAACCACTGACTGCAGGTGTGAGAGAGTCTTGGAACTGAGGACATCGATGGCGGTGACGGGAAAGCCAGCCGAACGAAGGCGAGATGCCAGCCTGATCGCCGCAAGAGAGTCAATACCAGCTGCAGATAGCGTGGAGGTGGACCTGAGCCGAATTCCTAGCACATCCTGAGCAACTTGTGCCAGTTGACGCTCGACATCATCCTGAAACTCGCCGGGAGAGTAGTCACCATCGTCACTCTTGGACTCCTCGTATCCTGACTTCAGCTTGCTCCGATCGACCTTGCCCGAGGGGAGTCTCGGGAAAGCCTTCATGAGAGTGACATCTCCAGGAATCATGAACGCAGGGAGCCATTCTGAGCATAGCTGGAAGATCTGACCACTGATTTTGTCGTTTTGTTGATCCGTCTCACAGAAGACGACTATGATGCCGTGGATCACAGATGCCACCGCCCCATGACACCCTGGTGCTCGGAGAACCGCCTGTTCTATCTCGCCAAGTTCGATCCTCTGCCCACGGAGCTTGACCTGACCGTCAGAAATCCGCCCAAAGCACTCAATAGTACCGTCCTCCTTGAAGCGCGCCTTATCTCCTGTCCTGTATAAGCGGCCATAAGGGGTTTCGATGAAGACTTTTGAGGTCTGTTCCGGCCGGTTGATGTAGCCAAGTGCTGTCTGGTGGCCGCCCACCGCCAACTCTCCCATCTCACCCATCGCCAGCACCTTGAAATCACCAGAGCCATCGTCTTTCAGAGGTTCCAGGATCAAGGTAGATACAGTGTCTAAGGGAAAGCCGATATTGTTTGGTGAGGAGGACGACTTGCATGACGGCTGAAGACTGCAGTGAATAGTCGCTTCTGTTGGACCGTACATGGCCCATAAGATGCTGGACCTGCCGATATCCCCTCCGAATTCTCTGACAACAGGTTCTGTCAACATTTCGCCTATCGTCAAAAGCAAGCGAAGGCCTGGAGCATTATCTCGGCATCTGAGTAGGCTGCCAGCCACAGTTGGTGTTAATTCACAAGCATCAACCTTCATGTCTCTCAGCACAGCAGGGAGGTCGTTGAGCATATCTGCTCTGTTGCAGCTCACGAGGGTGGCACCTCGCAGCAGGGGAAAGAATATTTCGAAGACGGAGACGTCGAAGGTAGGGGCGGCAAATTGAAGGAACCGTACAAATTGAGGAATGTGACGGTCGTGGGCGAGCAGGGCCTGTGTCGCAGCATCATGAGAAATTGCCACTCCTTTGGGTGTTCCTGTTGAACCAGAGGTATACATGACATATGCGACACTATCCGGCCTGATGTCTTGCGAGATATGGCCGTCCACGTCTTGATCGTCCTGGACGCCATCTTCATCTACCACCACAACCGCCACGGCAGATTCTAGGGCGTCAACCTTGGAGCGGAGGGCTTTGGATGTAATAACAACTCTGGCCGCTACATCACGGAATATAAATCGCACTCGTTCTGGCGGGGCGTCGAGGTTCAGCGGACAGAAGGCTCCTCCGGCCTTCAGGACAGCAAGCTGCGAGATGTAAAGCTCTGGGCACTGAGGAAGGAGGAGCGGGACGATGAGTTGTCCCTGCTCTTGGTCGTCTCCGGACGAGGCCACCAATATCCTCTTCGCCAGCCCCTCTGCCCGGCGGTGAAGCTCTGCGTAAGAGACGGACCTGTGGGGCCCGCCTGAGCCTTTGTAGTCGATGGCAGGGACATCATGGGGCGAGTTGTCCCTGACAAGTCTGTGGAGGAGAGCCGGACCTGAGAGTCGCTGGGGCTGTGAGTTGAGAATGGAGAGTGCCGGCGCTGTGGGTGTTGATGAAGATGAGCATGTCATCTCTTCGGCTTGGAATTGATCTTGTGGGTTGATGGTCTATGGGAGAAGGTGTAGACTTGTGTGTAGGAGGTTAACAAGTCTGATACCTCAGCAAGGGCCCAAGGGAAGAAGGGCGGCGCTGGGAGGGGATTGGATTCGCGTGCAGACACAGCCATCGACAACACGTCAAAATGTGAACTGAGTGGGATGTGAAGGGGAAGTATGTAAGTCAAAACGGAATGATTCATTGGAACTTGTGAGTGGGCCTGGGCCGGGGGCTGGAAGCTGTGAGTGTGACCGTGACTGTTGGTAAACGGAGACGAAACTGAGCGAGGCTCGCCTGTCCCAGTCGTGGGCGGTATATCGGCCCAGTCCGCGATCCGATCCACCCACTCTTGTCGTCGTTGTAGGCCATGATCTAGGTCAACATGGCCTTGCCATTGGACGCCATGGACACTGGGAAGTGCCAAGCGAAGCACCGATTGGTCTTGTGCCTTGTGATCTGGTATGGGGGTGGGCATAGTAGCAGCCGCGCGGTCGTCGTTAGTGCGGGATATCTTCACGTCGTGGAGTCCGTGGAGGGTGGTAATTTCGTGGCGGTTGACCCCTCCTGATTTGAAATGCCAGCGTTCTGATTTGTTTCTTGCCCCTAGTCTCGCCTCGTTTCCTCCTTCTCTCTTGCTTGTTTGGGGGTCACAAGAGGGTTGTTTTAGGTGACAAGGCTGATGATGAGATCATGTGTCGAGGACTGGGCAGCTTATGAGAATCGAGGGAATGGTCATCATGAGGTTGTCATCGACTTTCAGTGGTCGAGAGCGTATTTCATGTTGGATATCTTCTATTGCGTCATACTTAGGCGACCATTGAAGCTGAGGAATCCGCCCCAAGGCCTCAACCCTTTCAGGCGCTTTAGGCGGCTTGCTTTTTCCATTAGGCTGCTAGATCAGCTCGGCACAGTGGGAGTTTACTGGATTTCAGTGCCCTCCACGCCCAGGGCACGCGCGGCAGTTACAGGGTATTTCCAAGTGCTTATGTTCTGAGCTGGGATACCTAGGTCCGCAATCGGTGGTGTTACACACATACACACTCTTTCCCTCTTACACGACTCGAATTTCGGGGCAACGGAGTACAACAAGTACACATGCCTGCATACAACGACTCCCAGCAGTCGACTTTCCCATTTTGTCCCAGATCTTAGGATGCCAAATTACACCAGAAATATTACAAGCTATCATCAAGTAATAGAATCCTGGAAGATAGATCAACCACTCAATGAAGGTACTTGGCAACTGGCAATGTTGTGATGTTTGATGTAATTAGTCCAGAGGTTGGTGTAAAATACCTAAGGTGGTACACACCCGACAAAGACATCAAGATTTTTAAAAACAAAGATCATCGAAAGGGAGGAGTGGGGGCGACCTGAAGATGAGTCCACTGTTCTGATCCTAACTTGAATTTTTCCATTGTCTTTTCAGCACAGAAGAAGCTGGGGACTTCTTGTTATGTAATTCAATCAAGGATGAAGGTCGCCCCCTCCCTGCCTTCCTTCCCAAACCTCCTCGTCGGGCCTTCCTGTCTCCTCAGATGGATCTTCTGTGTATGCAGACAGGAGATGGAAGCGAGGGAAAGTACGATAGCATAAGTACCTGATAGCATAGATAGCAAATTCCAAGAAATGGCAGTCACGACTTCCTGATTAGATTTCACTTGGCAAAAAATCACACAATACAAAAGGTCTTAGATTCCCTGATTAAGGAGATGCTTCACGAAATTTTCGAATTCATTTCGACTTCACGACCACGATGCTGTCAAAATATCTACAGAAAGAAAGAACAGGGAATAATCACCACCACGTTCAATGCACTTCTCATGAAACCCCCATGCCATGCTCTTTACTTTAGATGTAAGAGAAAAAAGAAACCCGGAGACAGGAAAAAAAAAAAGGGGGGGGGGGTATTATTTTTCCATTGTCTCAATGTTCAGTTGTGGCCTGCTCATGCAGACTTTCCAAAAATGGCATCAACCATCTCGCCAGATCGCGTCGACAGAACCGACAGCAGGGTATCGCTCAACTTGGGAAGTATTAGTACAATATCTGAGGGACAAGAACAAGGATAAACTTACACCATGGGTGCCTTCGCAGCAGCCTTGCAACCAAACTCCAGATCCAGAGGCCACAGTGCCTTCAGCAAACTTGACCTTGTAGTCACGAGAAACTTCCAGGACCCGTCTATCACCGTTCTCTGTCTGGACAGGCCACTGATCAGCTCGGGACGGGCCGCCGACCACGCCGTCCTGGACCTTGGGCAGCAATTTCCACGCGTCCTTAAGCATGTCGACGTGTGCTGTTCTGCGGTAGCCCGTAGCGGCAACCAAGAGGTCAACATCCAGCACCTCCTCGAAAGACGAATCCACAATCTGATCGTTGGTCTCGACCAGCCCGTCAGCCTCAAGAGTCACGTCGCCTGGTAGCGCCTGGCGCAGCTTAAGACGAAGCTTCTCCTCGCCCTCTTCGACCGACACGATCTGCCTGCCGCCCATGATCCGATGGGGCCAATTGGTCTCGTCGGGCCCAAGCTCTCGCTTCTGGTCATACATCATCTCAAACAGAGTCTCGATCAGTCCCAGCCTCACAACTCCGTAGTTGGTGGCCTTGGCCTCCTTGATCAGGTTCTGGCGGTACTGGGCTGGCCTGGGGTACAGCGTGTCGATGAACTCGGGGTTGAAGATGGAGTTGACACTGCACCAAAATCAGCTGCATAGTTCTAACAAGGAGAAATGCCCATACTGGCTCTCAAGGAGGCGAGCAACAATGACTTACAATGGAGAATCGTCGCTTGGCTTCAGAAACTCTCCCTTCATGACCATATACGTCTTGGAGTTGGGGTAGAGGTTAGACACGTTGTTGAAGATCTCGGCCGCACTCTGACCTCCACCAATCACTGCGATCTTGACGGGCGCATTGCGGTCCGTCAGCAGCTTGGGCACCATGTACGCATACTGCGACGAGTGAATCACTCGTGGGCTCTTGGCCGGCAAAGCCTTGGGGATGGAGGCCTGGCCACCGATGGCAATAATCACGTTACGGGCGCGGTGCGTGCTGACTGCGCCCGTCTTGCAGTTCCTCTCGACCACCGTGAAGGTTTTAATGCCGCTAGCGTCCTCCTCGGGGGAGACGGAGATAACCTCGCTGTTGTACCTTACAACATCGTCGAAGTGGCTCGCACACCAGTGCAGGTAGTCACCGTACTCAGTTCTCGATGGCAGGAAAGTATCCAGGTTGATGAAGTCCAATAAACGGCCATTCTTGTGAACGTAGTTGAGGAAGGTGAAGTGAGACCTGGGGTCACGGAGGGAGGCCATGTCCTTCAGGAAGGAGATCTGCATCTTGGCTCCGGGCAGCAACATGCCTGCGTGCCATGCGAATTTCTGCTGCTTCTCCAGGAAGAGGACGTGGGGAGCCTGCTTCAGGCTACCGGCCTCGAGTCCATCATGAATGGCGACCGCGATAGCCAGACTCGCCGGACCGAATCCCACGCAGACGAGATCGTGGACTGAGTCCACGTCTGAAGCTCGCAGATGGGCAGATCGGTTGCGGTGGGTGCTCTGCGATGCAGTTTGTGTGCTGCCATTGGCGCCAGTGGAATAGCTGCTGCCATTCGTGTCGTGGCTGTCGATCTCACTGTGGGGAGCCATCTCGACTTATGACAGGTCGGTTGTGTGAGTCTAGGCAGTACTATTCAGAGAGGTGCGGACGACAATTTTTGTCGCTGTCGCTCAGTGTGCTGACAGACCGTTAGGTCAACAGATATTGATTGCAGTTGGAAGGCGCGAGAATATCTGTCACGGCTTTGGTTGATGATGTGACACCTCTGAATAGGGATCGATCAGGGATTGAGGTTTTATGGAAAATGTGAAAAAAGAAGTTTCGGAGTCACTTAATCTTCCACTGTGAGGCGATGGAGACGGGCATGGCGCTGGTTAAGTACCCATCCAGCCTCGTCGCGCAACGAAACGGACACGGCCGTTGCTCCGTGGTTCTGGCACCACTACTGAGAAAGAATGCCACATACAAATCTCGGCTTACCACACAGTACTATTCCAGCAAAGTCAAACCCCTGGCACCAGGCACTTGCTCCGCGCCTTCGCGTGCCAGAGCGACCTCTGTCGCCATTCCATTCCATCCCGCCAGATGGCACCACAGTACGAATTGGCTGCAGAATCCACGGAAAAGAAAACAAGTTGAGTGAGTCGTCATCCAGTCAAAAGCCGGGAGTACCCTAGGGGGAGCCACTAAACAAAACCTTACTGCCACCGACTTGCTGCAAATGGGTTGGGGGTGCTGCGGAACGTCTTGCTTTAGGGACTGGTGCGCTGGTGGAGACAAGTGTCCCTGGTGGCAACACCAGACGGTAGTGCTGCTGTTTGTGGGTCAGTATCGTCTCCGTTTCTGGCGAGGTCGGTGATTATCTCTGGATCTGATAAGATCAATCAGGGGAGACTAGCGGGTCCCGTGTTGTGGACGACACAGTGAAGGCTTACTGCGCAAATACGGTCAGCCATTGCAAATTTTCTAGCGTTCCTTCTGAGTTTTCGACTCGAGGTCGTCTTATTCTTCCTTCGACATTGCTACAAAGTGGGAATCTCCGCCGTGGGGGTATGGGGCCGTAATGATTTTCATCAGATCATCGCATCCTGCATGCATGATTTACAGTACTTTATGCACAGACAAACGACTGCAAGGGGGGATTGCAATTATGGCAGTGTGGTAACACGATACAGCTTGGTTTCTCTTCCCACGTTGCCACACCGGAGAAGGAAGAACAGAAAGAACCAAAAAAAAGAAAAGAAAAAAAAAACGTAAGAAAGAAAAAGGACGCCTGGTCCTGCAGGTAGCTGAAAATGTGTTATGTGTATACAGTAAAGTACAGCTTGAGTACAGGCGGAAAATTTTACTCGACGGCGACAGTCCGCCCTTGGCACAACATGGCAGCGAGCCAGGTCGTTCCCTGATGACGCGCAGTACTATGTACCGCTGTTGGCGAATTGTATTGGGTGGACAAGCCCCCTCGCACCATTGTGATGGCGTAAACAAGGTACGACCAGCAGACTTGTCAGATCTTTCGTTAGCATCCTGTAAGACGCGAGGTAGATCCTTCGTGCCTCGGTCGTTGCTCCACCGAGCTGTTTTCATTGGTCATAGATGATCTGATAAGATCAATTTTTGGTCTGTTTTGCCAGGGTGGATAATTGGGAAGGTCGAGTTTGAGGCATCATCCATGCCTCAACACTGTGCCATGCCCACTTCTCCGTCCCATGCTCCCATGAAATTCCCCTCTCCTTCGCTCATAATATATGGGGGTTTCTCCGCTTCCACTGACACTGCAGAGCGAGGTCGGACAGATTACGATCGTACACAGACTGAGAAAGAAAAATTTTCTCTACATCCTAAACACCGAGGACATACACAGCAATTAGTTGGTCGTCCTTGGCGTGTCCTCCTTCTCCACGCTTCAGTCACACCTGCCGCAAGTTGATGGCCTCATGATCTGATGATTTGGGGGTTCATGTGCCATCTTTTTCGACGAGTCAGGCAACTGTCCACTCACGACCGCCATGGTACCTTTGACAGCCCAACAACACCGATCTCTCCAAACTGTCCGCCACCACAACTTGGCCGGCATCGTTTCTTATAGCCTAAAGACATTTTGGTTACCCCGATTAGCGACGGTGTTGTACATGCCCAAAACAGTAATTAAGTTCGCGTACTAAAATCGGGGAGTGGCCACCAAAAGTGGTGATTCTTCCCATGCCTGGCCCCCCCATTTCAAGATTCCAATTACTCGGAAAATTCGGCTCTCGGCATACCAGCATGAGCACACCTTCTCAAGGGTGCAAAGTCGACTGCGCAGCCACACGATGAGAGCTACTTTATAGTACAATGTGCCCTTCAACAACTGGAGCCTCCTAGCGCACTTGTATCATTGCAAGCCTTCGGTGACTGACCGGTGGTTCTGGCAAGTGTGGCTTCCATCCAGGCCTGCACTATTGATACTGGGTGCCGGTGAGTGAGCCACACACTGCTTGACCTTGAGACCGTTGTGTCAGCTGCACGCAACCCAATGCTGCATGCAGTCTGGTGTCGACGCATGGAGTGCATTCATGCAAACAGTGTGTGCCTGGCTGTCGCTTTTCATACAATCACGGTACATAGGATCCGAGTTTGTGGGTTCGTATGCACCACCTTAGGCCCAGCCAGCCCTGTTTCCCCTGGGTTCAAGGTCGTCCTCGGACCCGACACACTGTCTACTGTAACATGGACCCATACTTCGGTGAGAGCCGGATCGTACTCTGTTGCTCTGCGCATGATGTTGTGCGACGCTACAGAAATTCAGGGCGACATGCTATACTAGTACACGCTTGGGCATCAACCAACATAGGACAGAGGTGCATGTAGTCGAGGGAGGGGCCGTACTGTATTGAGTGGACCGAAGCAAGTGGAGATTGCCTGCAGGTCGAGACATGCCTATCACGCCAAAGTTTTTCTTCTCGCTTCTCTCCCTATTACTATAGTACTTTGGATCATGCCAAGACCATCGTCTTTTTTTCCACAGAACCTGAACGGATCTGATCAAGATCGGCCTTCCAGATTCCGGCTCACGCCAGTCCGCTATGGCTGTTACAAAGAATCCCCCCCCAAAATCAGGGCAGGCTCCTACGCGACCCTCCATTTGTTGATACAAGCACCGCAGTACCGCCGCTTGTATTTCGCCTAAGACAAATGATCGACTCCGTCTTCGGCTCTCGTTCAAGAGATCTCGCCCTACTAGTTGGCGGCCTCTGTTTGAATCTTAGTCGTTACTGTTATGGAGTTGTGGCGCACTACGCGCGTGCTGATCATTAAGGCATCACACAAGACAAGCGGCAGTGGGGGAAGATTCTTTTGCTGTGGACGGTTCAATCATGTCCTTAGAGTGGGGTGGGGAAACAAACATTCATCGTAGGCAATTTTGGGGCAGGAAGCCTCGATGATTTTTGACTCCAGAGAAGGTTTAATGGTAAAATATAAGTCAAAGGGGGGGGTTTTGGGCCGGGGTAGTTTTGGGCCACCCTGGCCACCCTCGTCAAATACACATACCCATATATATATATACTGTTTATCTATTCTATTCACCCACCACGATGCAATCCTCCTCATCAGTAGGTAATTCGACATCGCTCTCTTCATTCAGACTATTCTCGTGGCGATTAGCTGCGTTTTGAGCTCTCTGTATATCCTCAATCCCTGCAAACTTCGAATTCGGATCCATATCAACCTTTCTTCTTTTACTAGGCCTCAGAGCCTCAATCTGCCTTTTCAACGCTTTATTTTCCTCTAATGCCTTGGCAAACTCGAGGTCCCTCTCCCCATAAGCCTTTTTTATCTTCTTGAATAGCATACAGCAGCCTGGTTCCGTTCGAAGTTGTTGCCGATTCTCTAGCAGCTGATAGTATAGCTGTTTAGCCTTTCGAGGAGTTGAAAAGAGGACTGGCTGGCTTGAGGAGGCTTTTGGGGAAAGACGAGGTGCTGTTGATTGTGCTGAGCCTGAATTGGACTGGGTCTGACGGCTTGGTTGATTGTTCTCGAGGAGAAGAGGGCTTAAGAGGGCTTTTGAGGGTCTGAGAGGCTACAGATCAGTTGCTTTCCATCCAGATCTAATATTCTGGCTTGAAAGGCCTTCCAGTCGAGCCAGACGATAGTTGCTGAGGAATAAACGCTTGCCTGCGATAGTTGAATCGCCCCATTGGCCTATATTGCTGATTTTCTTTCTGTATGCCCGTTTGAGAGATGAAAAGACCCCTAGATCGAGGGGTTGAAGAATGTGAGAGGTATGAGGAGGCAAGTAAATAAGCAGGATATTGTTTTGGAAGCAAAGCTACATAAACTCGTTCGTTTTATAGCTGCTATGGCTATCTAGGACTAACAGCCTGGCTTCTGAGGGGTCTGCTGGCTAGCTATGAGGAATGAAGATCTCTTTCAGCTATTCAACTGCCATTTTATTGTTTGTCCATCCGTTTTGCATAGCTGTAAACTTCCAATCATCAAAAGGCTCCAAATCAAGAGGAAACTACTGTTATTATACCGTTTGGCCCTTGAAAATCACCAGAGGGAAGAGGTAGGCACCTGTAGCTGAGATACACTCGAGGAAAGAAGTCCAGGCTTTTGATCCAGAGTCTTTCCTTTGAATTGAACGCAAAGAGGAGCCTCCGAGAACTAATCCATTTGTTCCTTAGCCCTTCATCAGGCCAGCTTCATCCATATTCCATCTATTAGCTGGCTTAATAGCTTGGATATGAGGAAGATTGAAAAGACGAAACCAAAGCTGTATTATCTCTGTTGTAGCCCCATTTGTTCGTTCAGAGGCAATGCAGCGAGTCTTCCTGACCTTTATCTCTGGATTTCTCTTCAAAAAAGCCTGAGTTCATTGCACCCCGAGAGCCTGAGAGTCTCCCTGGACCTCGAGGATCTGCTGAGCAAAGTATTTGAGTTCTGAATGGCTTGGTGGAACGCCTAGGCTTTCTTGAATCAGGATCCATTCGGCTAGTCTTCTTTCCTGATCAATAGAGAGCCTTTGCTGGTTTTCGTGGGCTGTTTTATGCGATTCCCCTCCTTCTAGGCGAGCCTGAAGAGTACTCCTTGGAATACCCCATTCCCTCGAGGCTTGCCGCTAAGACTTGCCTTTTCTGACAGCCTCAACGGCCTGGGCTAGCTCAAACTCGGAATAGGGCTTCATAACAGTCAGATAAAGGTTTGCTGGAAAGATGAAGTTGTTTGGATCAAAATTGGTTGAGTAATAGCTATCAAACTAAAGGGGGTTGAAGAGGCGGTGAGGGTGGCCAGGGTGGCCCAAAACTACCCCGGCCCAAAACCCCCCCCTTTGACTTATTGTGGATGAGGAGAAGTCGCGGACGTCGAGCGCGCGCAATCCGCAGCCGTCGTTATCGAGATCATTCTCCTTATTCCGACCTCTGAGACTTCGTGCCTATAGGTCCTCGCTCAGAAATGGTCTCGTTGGTCTTACAATACCTTCAAAGGATTCGAAAAAGGCATTCATAAACCGCACCAGAAGATCCACCCTCCCATCCCGCGGGAGAGCAAAGAACCCCCACGGCTGGTCGTTCTTGGCCAGGTTCGCCACAGGGACTGTCGCCACGGGCCAGCCGGCAGAGGACGAGAATGAGATCAAGGACGCGTCTGACGCGGAGAGTACGATGTCGAGGTCTACATCGCGCATGAACTTCGCCATGCCGTCTTGTCGGGCGAGATGGCGAAGACCTGTTGCTGCGGCTTCGTATTTCTCGCTGGTCATGGTGTCGTTGAGGGCTTTGATAAGTTCTGTTTGGGTTGTGTAGGCTTTTTGTTTTGGTTTGGCTGCAGTGTCAATGAACATCTCTTTTCGGGGGGTTTGTGAGCTGTAATAGGGAAAGGAAAGGGAGGAGGGATTGTGTGATGATGCTCCTCTGTCAGGACTTACGCTCTGGCATCGCCTTATCGGCGTGGGCTTCGTTCCAGGCGACAACATCGGCCAGGTTAGCGAGACTCGAGTCGCGCTCAAAATTTGTTGCGATGAAGTCTTCGAGGACGTCTGCGAACTCGTGGTCTAAGAGTGTCTATGTCAGCCCCTCCTTGACATCGCTCATGTTGCTTGGCGCGGAAAAGTCCCTCACAGCAGACTGTGTGCAGGGTTTCGCCCTCAAACTTGAGTGACTCCCACTGAGGGGGATGCTGCAGCGGGTAGACGACCCTAGCACCGAGCTCCTCCAACTTCTTGGCCACTGAGGCGTATTTCTCTTTCTAAAAAAGCATATTATTAGTTGGTTTGTACTGTATATAGCCAGATAGGACAGAAGCAGGGTGGGATTAGCTCCTCTCTTCCTCACCACCTCATCCGAGCCCCATTTCCACTCGATGGTTGAATGAATGCCCCATTGACTATCCAGGATCCCGATTGACAACCCCTTCCACCCAGAAGCTGCTTGGTTTCCATCCTTCTCGAGCGCCTGGACGACATCATAGCTGGTAGGAGGGAGGAGAAGGACTTTGGCAAGCGCCACCAAGTCATGAGGATCCCGCGCCATCAGGCCTACACGGTCCGAGAACGCCCCAATCCTTGAAATTCCATCGATGGGTACCGAGCCGTGTGGCAAGGTCAGGCCGTAGAGCCCATTCGCACTCGCCGGCAGCACGTTCGAGCCACCAGTCTCGGTGCCGATGCCTAGGGGCGAGAAGCCTGCTGCTATGCTGACGGCGGGACCGACAGAAGAGCCGCCGCATACCTTTTTTCGTTGTACAAAAACTCTCGATGTTAGTGTACAGAGGCAGAAAAGAAAAGAAAAAAAAGAGAAAGGAGGGGCGGCGCACCGGCTGGTCATCGTCATGGAGATCGTCTCGTCTGTATGGGGAGAGAGTTTGGCCTCCATATGCGCTCCATCCGGCGGGGGTGTTGTCAGACCTTTGAACGCGGTGAGCAGAAATGTCTTTGTTGTTGATCAACTATGGTCTTCCTACTTCATTCCACAGAATTCCTAAAAAGGTACTGTAATCAGCACACCGGGTGATATAGACTTAGAGAAGGCCCGGGTTGGGGGGGGGGGGGGGGAAGGCAACAGCGGATGGTACATATATACTCACAGTCAAGTTCCCTTTCCCAAGAACGATGATGCCAGCTTCCAGGAGCTGCGAGAACCTTGGTTAGTCACATTCTCTTTGGGCTCGGTGCCAGTCAAGTCCATAAGCTGTTGTTCTAACCTTGTCGACCACAGTTGCGTTTCGTTTGGCCACTAGAGATGCGATCGCACACGAGCCCGCAGACGTGACCATACCCAAGGAGGGATGGGTAACAATGGCATCCTAACGCGCATCATCAGCCCGATCCGATTATATAATTTTAACCTTCTCCCAGGGTTGTCTGCAGCAGGTTCCGCCCACTCACTTTGAGGATGATCGGGATACCGTGCAGCTCGCCACGGATCTGTCCCCGTGCCCGCTCCTCGTCCAGCTTCCTGGCCCGAGCGAGCGCAATGTTCCTGGGACACACCGACAGGATGGCCTTGAGCTTCAGCCTGTCCTCGTTGTGCCGGTCGATCTGGTCGAGGAACGAGGTGACTAGGTCCTCGCTAGTGAGCTGTCCGTTCCGCATGAGCTGCTGGTATTCGTGCGCTGGCCGCTGCAGGAGGGTGAAGGACCCGAGGCTCTGAGACATCGCCATATTCCTCAATAGATGGTGGCACCTTAATGCTTCACAGTGAGACCAGCGTGGTTTTGTTTTTTGCTCGGTGGCGGGATTCCAATCCCTTTTTCCCCCTCTCTTTTTCCTATCTCCTCTTTCAGACTACTACTTTATAACGATATGCATTTGTGACTATCTGTATCTCTTTTGAGGTTGTTTACGTGGCTGCCTAGGCTTACGTGCGTCGTCAGTCTTATCATCATCCGTATAGGTGAATGTGGACAAGGTGTCCGTCCTCCTTCCCGGCTCGAGGAAGTCCCGCTTCCCAACCTCTCAGTATTATGCATGTCCTGCACGATCCTTATGGGTCCAGCTTGGCAGAGGCAGGGAGAAGGGGGGAAAAGGTCCGGAGGAATCGTCGTGATTATTGCCTTTTTCTTCTTTAGTTTCTCCCTTTGCTATCTCTTTCTTTTTCCTTTCTTTGCTTTTGATTTCTTGGCCCGAAACATGCGACCATGGATTCTCTTTGCTTTTTCCTCTCGGCGAGACGCACGGGAAATTGCTCAACCAGGAATTCTGTCTTTGGCAGACTGAAGCTGACTTTGCTGGCGATTATGGTGATATGCTGTAGAACGCTCCTAGCCGCATTTCTAACATTTATCAATGGCCCAAAACCTCGAGTAAGTTGAAGTTCAACCAACAATGTAGAATAACTCGGTACTTGGGAGCTCATTTGAGAAGGGTTAGGGTTTTAGGCATGCGATCTTTGTTCATATACCGTAGTGGGGGCTCGTGCGTCATACCTGTTACTTCAACCTCAACACGTTCCTTCCCACGATTGAGCCAAATTGATCACATACATTAGGCAGGTACGAGGTGGTGGGCCAGGTCATGCAGCCAAGAAGCGCACTCGTATTTCCGTCTTCTTGAAGCTAAGTGCTATGAAATCATGAGCACTCTCTCGAGCTTCAGATTTCGAGTCACCACGCCGCTGCTGCGCACACCCAGCAGGCTCGCCACATACCGTCTGTCAGCTCTACTGCACCTCGCTTGTGGCCTGTACTCACCGAGAAGAGAGACTCGCATTGTGCACCCCACCTGCTCTTCATATTACTCCAGCATGGGCACCAATAACCAGTCCGGAGCTGCTTCCAGCGGCAACAAGCCGCCTCTGCAGAAGCGTTCGGTTGTCTCCTCGTTTCTCTACAAATTTAGCCAAGAGAATGGTGAACCAAGGGCTAAAGTTGCCTTGTTCAAGCGCAGTGGTCAAGTGCGCACCTACCCGTGAGTGCATCAGGTTGCCTGCTTTCGTCCCACCCCGTCAGCCTGACTGTTTTATCATTATTAGTTTTATCCCCGTAGCACCAAGTTCCTGCTGACTCTGTGACTGGCTGACATGATGCAGTCATCGCTGGGCGGTTGTGTCTGGGAGCATTGACCCCGAGGATCCTTCACCCTTGGCAGCAGCCTGGAGAGAGATCCGTGAAGAGACGACCTTGACATCATCTTCCCTAGAGCTCATGCGGCAGGGCAAAAGCTATGTGCTGCCAGACGAATCGATAGGGCGGGAGTGGACCATCCACCCCTTTGCCTTCCGCCTCAAAGACCCCAGCGAGGGCGGCAGAGGAGAGAACGGCATCACTCTGGACTGGGAGCACGAAGACTGGGCCTGGTATGACCCAATGGACATCGAGGACTCGGAGAGTTTTGGCGCCGTGCCGCGCCTGGCTGAAAGTCTGCGCCGTGTGTGGTTCGAGAAGGACCTTGGCGTCGATGCTGGAGCCGTGCTCACCAACGGTCTCGAAAGGCTGAAAAATGATCACCAGAGTGGCGCCCGCCAGCTGGCCGGCGCGGCTCTGGAGATTCTGCGGGACATAATACTGAAAATGGATGCTCAGCAGTCAACTGACGAATGGTGGACCAAGGTCCGCTTTGCTGCATGGCACATCTGGAAGAACGGCAGAGAGTCCATGGGGGCTGCCATCTTGAGCGCCCTGCTCGCTGCCTTGAAGGGCATGGAAGAGACGTTCCAGAGGGCCAAACAGGACGGCACATGGAGCGGCAGTAGCTCCATCGAGTGGAGGGCCGCCTCTATAGAAGAGCTTAACCGCCGCATCGCTGCTAGAGAGGATGCAGCCAGTAAAGTCTCAGTTGCGCTCGTCAACTTCTTACGCGAGCAATTCGCTACCCAAGAAGCATCTGGTCGGCCAGTAAAGATGTTGACCTTGTCGGAGAGCTCCACAATCTCACATGCTCTCGAGCGTGTCATTGCTGACACCGGCCTCCAACTCGATCTGCGCATCTTGGAGTCTCGACCGCTATTCGAGGGGGTCTCTCTGGCCAGCTCCTTGATACGGGCCGCTGGGGCCTGGTCATCACAAGCATCTGCAAGTCATGACGCTGAGGCGCAGAAGGACTCTCGTGTGCCACCGATTTCGAAACTGCAGGTGACACTCTACACAGATGCCTCTGCAGCCCTTGCATCCGAAGGCGTCGACATAGTGCTCCTCGGAGCCGACAGAATTGCCGAGTCTGGGGCTGTCAGCAACAAGACGGGCTCGTTGCCAGCTGTTCTAAGCGCCAGACATACTTCATCAAAAGCAAAGATAGTGGTCCTGGGCGAGACCGAAAAAGTAGCGCCCTCAGGGGCTGCATGTGCGCATGTCGTGGAAGACAACGCCCCCACTCAGCTGTACCGTGCCTGGCTGGCAGGCCACAACAGCGAGAGAATTCAGAGTGCTGCTGCGGGTACGGTATCCAATAGCCTTGGCAGCGAAAATGCTGTCGCAACGCAGCCTGGGCCGGGTGAGCCTGCAGCCCATGTAGGCATTCGCAACATTGTTTTTGAATGGGTTCCTCCGGAGCTCATTCACGTCTACATAACAGAGCAGGGCGTTTGGGAAATCGGGGACATACACGCTTTGTCTGAGACATTGGCCACCGAGGAGGAGAGGCTCTTCAGGCACATTTGACAAAAAAGACCGCCGCAGTAGCTGCAGGCCCAAGGGGGGTCCGGTTTGGCTGGGCCTGAACCCTTGCTTAGAAGCCACGCCTGGGCCTCTGGTTAGGTTAGGGGTGGTTTAGGGGCAAGTCGGCTTCGATCAACAACATTCCGGTTCGATTTGCCTTGCCTTGCGCTCCCTTGGGGATTGTCTTATGCATGAGACCTTTGTCACAGTTTCACTCCCTTCTTCGACCCTTGTTCCGGCTCTTGTCATTTCTCACAATTTCGGTTTCTTTCGCCCTGCGACAAGATACAAGATCTGTCATTGTCCGATCTGCTGCAAAAAATGTCCAGCCAGGGGCACAGGGTGGCCTGGTTGGCCGCCCCTGGCCTCTCGAGATTTGACCCGACCCCCTATACAACCACACCCTTTTATGTAGGTCATGAGCTGGCATGCACATCTCACTCTTTCTCGGGCAGGAATTTGGAATGGGCGCAATGGACTACGACACACCACCTGGGGTTAAGTTACCCGGCATGTAGGGTGACATCTTGCAATCCTTCTAGCGGCCCACATACGCAGGGAGTAAATCTTGCAATAGGCTCTGAGGCCGCGGCAGTAGCTAGGCTAAACGCCCGCTCCCGCGTAATCGACTAGCCAATATGGGTTTTGCCCGCAGCGTCAGCAGGGCAGGGAAGGGATGGGGGGACATGGCTGACTGCAGTTACTATTCCCGAGCCCAACAACAACTCGTCGGCTTTCTGCTTTCGACTCTCTACCCCGGATACCCTGCTGATGCCGTCTTACTGCGTTCCATGCTCAATAGACCGGGGCCGTGACAATCTCCCCTTGACGAACGTCTGCAGGGCCAGAACTGCCTACTTGATCTCATTGCTTATAGGGATTGGAGAAAGTACTTTGCACTCACACTCACTCAAACACAACACGGGCGGCCTAGCCGTGGAGCACCACGGCAAGAGGGACGGGAGCCAGCAGTGCAAACAAGGCACACAGGCCAGGCGTACTCCACAGAAAGAAGTCATCTGCAGTGCTCTACGAACTGGCCCAGCTGCTTCCTCATTCCTCAGTCCACCCAGGAGACACAGAAGAGGGTAACAGTTCGCATGCTGGGGTAAAGGGACGCCTTGTCCATATATCTCGGCCGACGTGCCATCCCTAGGAAACGCAACTTGCAGCCCCGCGCCCCTCCTCCTCCTCAGGGAGCCTCTCAAGGGACTCGTCGAGGTTGAGCTCGAGGCCGCAAAATCTCTTGCCTTCAGCTCCTGTTCCCTCGTCTCCATGGCAGCCTTTGTATCTAGTTCAGCTTCATCATTCATTACCAGCCCAGTGTGGACGAACCTCGTGTGATGCACCACTGCCGGCGTGAATCAGTGCGACTGATACAGAAGAATATTCCTCATCGTCATGGCTGGCACTGGTTCGTTCGCTGGTACCTCAAAAACTGGGCGACTAGGTGTGAATCCTCGTCGAGCTCATGTGAAAGATGGGGAGAGGAAACGTGTCAAGACAGCGTGAGTGTCACTCGAACTCGTTTGTCCACCTAGTCTCCCCGCCCACCCACCCATCCCAAGGAGGGGGAGGCCTTTTGGGGAGGCCTTTTCGGGGGAGAGGGGGGGGGGGTTACTGTTTTCGTATTTTCCTCCCTCTAGATGGCTTACTCTCAATCGGTCTTGTTTTCATCGACGTGGCTCAACTCGTGACTTTTTTGAGATGCGCCTCTAATCTATTCCAATCCAGATGTAACGGCTGCAATGTTCGGCGCGTCCGGTGTACTGGCGAGAAGCCGTGTACGCAATGCCAAGCAGCGCAACGGATTTGTGAATACCCGGCCGCCGACAAGAAGATATTCGTGGCCGCAACCGAGTACGAGGATCTCAAGACGAGCAGAGCTCTCCTGGAGAAGTGCGTCCAGAAACTGTTGCCCGACCCAGTGCAGCGGCAGAAGTTCCTTGCGGACATACGAGAGAATCCAGACAGTTGTCGTATCAGTGTCATCTCTGCCAGGGACGAGGAATCACAGTCCAGTTCATCGAACGCGTCGACCGAGACTGCGACTTCGACATCAACGGTCACATCGATCTCTAGTAACGCCTCGACGGCCACTGTTGCTTCGACAACCACTGTTGCTTCGAACACCACTGCCACGGCATCTCCCCCCGTTGATCCAAACCATTTTATGGCGCGCTACCTAGAGAGTCTAGAACCACGGAACTACCTGCATCTCATCATTACTAATGGAGTCGATGGAAGTCTTCTTCAGGACCAGAGAGGAATCAAGCGCTGGCTGGGTGGGAGCTCCGGTGCATGTTTTCTAGACCATCTCAAGAGGTTCATGTACACTCTCAAATCGGCCTTTGGATTCACTGGGGCCTCGTCAGACTCCTCTCCCGGCATGAGGTTTCTCGCTTCTCACGGCCACTACCAGACGTCAGATTCGCTGTCACTCTATACGCCCCCAACAGAGCAGATCAATGCCTTCTCGTCAATGAGCCACTGGGATATAGCTTGCACCCTACTCTCCAAAGCGGACGAGTACCTGCAGAACTACAGCAACTCGTTGCCCTGCGGAGGCCTTCACTACTTCGGGGAGCTCACGCCGCAGGCCTGGCTGGACGTGCAGACTGGCGAGAATCCACAGCGGGGCAGAGCACTCTACGAAGCTGCTTTTGCCATTGGGACCATTTACTCCCTGAAAGCGACTGACTCTAGGCGAGACGGTCACCTGGGCGAGATGTTCTTCGCAAAAGCCCGGAGCATACTGGGGGACCCGCTAGACATCTCCAGCCACACCTTTCGAGATATCTCTACTCTGGCCCTGATGGCCATGTACATGCTGGAGATGAACCGACGAGACGGGGCCTACTTCTTCCTCTCCCAAGCCCTCACTATCTGTGCCACATCCGGGGGATTGAAGGGCACATATGACAAAGAGGGGGATAGGAGAATCGTGTGGACCTTATTCTGTCTGAGCAAAGATATTTGCTGCATGATGGGTCGTCCGCCCATGTATCCCGATGAAGCCTTCACACTCGCCTTGCCAAAAGAGACAGAGTAAGTTTTCCTCCTTCTTATCTTTACGTCTTGATGTCCTGTGTAACGAGCTGAACGCATCCGGATAGAGGCATGCCACCTCCACACGGCCTGATCGCACATATCGAACTTTGCAAGATTGCCGGCTACATTGTCTCCGATACATACCATATCGCGCCTCGAGAAATCCCGATCGTTTACGAGACTCATAGTAGTCATGTGACCAAACCGCTAGGCCTGCTGCAACAGTGGCGGGAAAGACTACCCAAGGCTCTACAAATACCGCTCGATGTGCCACCAGATTTTCATATACCACCGAGGGAGGAACTACCCCTCGACCTCCAAGAGTCTTTAGAGGCGCAGCCCACCGGTGCTTTGCCGACAGACCGTGCTCTGTGCGTATTACACATGAAATGGAACCAGGTAAAGTCGTCCTTGTTCTTCTCAGGAAACCACGTTGAAGTGGTTTGGTCCAGAAGGTATCGTCCACGGCTAACGACCTACCCACATCTCACCCCTTCGCAGCTCATCATATTGACGCTCCGGCCGCTTTTCTTCATCGCGGTCAAGTGTGCCGTCGGCGGCGACTTGACTAAGATGCGCAGGGACATGTTTGACAGTCCCGGCGTGAATCCTGAACACATTTTGCAGTGCAGTGGCGCCGCACGGCGCAATTTGCGGTTGGGCCGTCACCTCTACCAGCGGTGCCGCACGAGCTACGACGGCCCTGGCAAGCTCACCCTTACGGACCTGCACCACATCTTTAACGCAGCCGTCATCCTGCTCCTCCACCAAATGGTCTTTTCGAACGTGGTCAACACAGATACGCTGGCCATCAACACGGCGCGGCAGATATTCGAGCGGGAGGCGCTCACTGAGATCCCGCCGCCGGGCTGCAGCGTCTCCACGTCGAGCGGCTACGCGTCTGACTGCGTCGGCGTTCTCAACGACCTCGCATGCCTGGTGGCGCGCATACGGCAGGTACGATTCAGGGACTCGGACTATGCCGACTCAGGCTTGGGTATGGATAGCAGTGGCTGGCCGTCCCCGGCATCGACGGAGGGCTCCCGCGGCGGTAGTATAGGCGGCGGCAGTGTAAGCGGCGACGGGGCCAGCTCAACTTCGACGGCCACCCTGGGCCGCTCCTCGACATGCTTACAAGGGGAAAAGATCAGTGAAAAGGATCTCGAGGCCAACCTGGGAAGTTTGAACCCTTTCTTCCATCAGGGGTTGTTTCCCCCAGCATTTTTTACGTTAACGGGTCCAACACCTACCCCTGATGCTCATACGCACCATAAAGAGGTGGAGAGATGGGTGCTCGAGGGCCTATGGGGCTATACTACACCTGTGTGTCATTGGATGGGATTGTGACCTGGAAGCGAACAGGGGAGGGTTGAAAGAGAAATGGTCATGTTGGGACATCAGTACATCCAGGAGATACTTCTGTGAGGCTGATGGGAAAAGCATGTAGGTGTATTTCACGGTGTTACTTGTGTGTATGTGTTATGATTACGGACCAGCGACGAAGATACGCTTTTTAGTGAGTTTTCTGCTTAGGTGGGAAAAGTATCTCAGCAGTCACACGACTTGACTGGAGAAGGTGAGCTCGAGGCGAGGAAAAAGAGGGGCTAGAGGGACAGGCAGGTCTGTTTTCTTTTTGTATTTGTTACAAACAAGGCTGGTTTAAGCTGGTCATGGTGAGAACGGGAAAGAGAAAAGAAGAAGCACATGAGCAATGAAAGAACGGACCATCATCAACCCCCTGGCGATCAGGGGGAAGGTTCCTGGATATGTGTTAAAATAAATGTATAAATACATACCCTGTCATGGTGAGCTTTTTGCTGGACAGAAAAGAGCAAAAACCAATCTTGATGAAATCTGTGAGGGAGACGTGGAGGGTTGTTGAGAGGTAGGGGAGCTGGATCTCATGTTAAGATTGTGGGCTCACTCGAGACTGGACGACAACTTTACAACAGGTATTGTGGCAGACAACCATTATTTGTTTGTCACTGCACAGTGAAGGCAGCACAATCTAAGACAAGTCTTAGAAATTGCAAAATTAGTAATGAAATAGACAAACGTTATAAGAAATTAAAACTACAAGAATTTAAACAAAACGTCAAGGTCAGTCAGTGGGTATCACATTTGATTCTTATCTGCATTTCAGAAAGAGCACTACTCATTAACAATATGTCGACCGAAAAATGATGATGCCGGAACTTGATGACACATGTGGCCTTTCAAGAGGGTAATTATATCGGACCACTTCTCCAATTTAGAGCGTGCCCACGCCGTTCAGGTAGTTCTGGACCTCAAGGAAGTCACCGACGCTGATCCAGTCGAGCTGTGGATTTTTTTCTCATGTGTCAGTCGGCAGATTCCAATCAATATTACTCTCAGGACAAGGCGGAGGATGAAGAAAGGAAGGGAAAAGAAAAAAGGAAGACAGGTAGAGAAGGAGTGAGTTAACAAACAAGAAAGAAAGAAAAAAAAAGGAAAACATACCAGAATAAAGTTGGGATACCGGTCATACAGGGCATTGCACTCATTGACCTCGGCCATGATAGAGGCCTCGCCGTTGGTGGTGGAGGCGGCGGTCTCGTCGGGGATGTCGATGCCGAAGATGTCGACGTCGAGGAAGTGGTTGACAAGATACATGCGGCCGGTAGCGCTGCCACCAGCGGGGCGGTTGACAGAGCAATCCGGGAAAGAAGAGTCGGTTACACTGGCACAAGGTATGGTTAGTTTTGTGTGTAGTGAGGGGAAGACGATGAGGTTACAGATTTTTGGGGGTGAGTGGTTGGGTAAAAAGGGACGAGGAGGCGCCTCCGCAGAGAATAATGTCAGTACACAAAAGGAGGACGGACTACTTACTCATACGAAGTCTCACTACAAAAGTCATAGTCAGTCATCTGTTTCTTCTATTCCTGGCCACAACTCCTTACATGCTTGGGATAGTAGGCTGAAACTTACAAGATGTACGAGGTGAACTCGGGCAGGATATAGCTGACAGAAGTACCAGAAGGATAATCCATAAACACCACAAGCCTCGTCCCGTCGTCAATCAGCTCGCCCAGCGTAGGCCACTCATCCAGGGTGAGCGTAGAACCCGGCGAGTACGCATACGCATCGGCGCCGGCGGTCTCAAAGGCCTCGGCAAAGACGGAGTTGTCGATGCCGTCGCCGTTGGTGATGAGCAGGGTGACGACCTCGTCCGGGTTGGCCTCGAGAAAGGTCACGACCGTCTCGAGCCAGGTGACGAGGGTGCCCGCGTCCTCCTCGGCGCAGCTCGTGTGGCAGAGCTCGATGACGCCGTCGTCGTTGTGGCTCTGGGCCTGCAGGAAGCGCACGCCCAGGCTGAGCTGGTCCGACACCGAGTCGAACTGGTTGTCGACCAGGAGGATGCCGTCAAAGGCCGAGTCGTGGCTGCCGATGAAGGTCACGTTGGAGTAGAGCTTGTCGCAGAGCTCCGAGTAGCCGTTGCAGACGGTGGCTGCCGTGGCACCGCTGGCGAGGAGGGCCAGGGTGGTGGTGATGGCGCTGCTGCTGGGGGACCGCATGTTGAAAGTTATGTGGTGTGGGGAATGAACGAGGGATGAAAGGCAACAGAAGAGAATGGACGTTGGGTGCACGTTGAAAATAAGAGAGAAGAGGCCGTGATGAACGTCTCTGACTTTCTAAGTGAGTACAATGAAGTACTTGAGTAAAACCTCACAACGCGTCGTCGACGAGTTGACAGAAAAAAAGAGGGAGGCGAGGCCTTGGCTGTTCTTATACTACACGATGCACATATAAAAACCATGCATGACTGGCACGAATGAGGAAACCCCTTGCACCGTGACGCGTGGTGTGGCTCTCAGGTCCCTTTCCCATTTTCTTTGGGTGTGACCCATCCATCCATCCGGTGCGGGTCGATCACCAAATGACAACGGCACGGCGAACGGGAAACCGTCACGATGGTCCAATTTTGCCCTCGTCGATAATACCCATAACATAATGCTGCAATCACTTCCCGTACAATCGGGACCTACATCAATTCACATGGCAACACCAGCTCTGTCAAGTCACAGGCCCAGCCACGCCAACCTGTCAGCCTGTCAGGGGGGGGGGGGCAAAATGATTTAGTGCACACTACAACCCTTGTCTTCTTACCCTTCTTACTTCTTTTATGCAGCAGGGGGGGGGGGCCTTCGATTGGATCTTTGTCCGTAGGGGAGGGAGCCATTTAGGCCAGGGGACGCTGTACAATACAAACGCAGAGAAATAGAACCTCTCAGGTTGCACGTTTGCGCCACGCACCACAGCTAACCAGTGTGCACCAATCATGCCTCAATACGACCCAACCACAGTCCACGACGAGGCCCAGCTGGCCAACTGGCCACCCTCGAGACGGAGTAGTGCCTCTTCAGGGTACGGCAGACGAGGAACGGGGGGCGCCATGCACGACAGGGGGACGGGATGATCCACTGCCGGACTCATGGCACTATTGAATCCTCATCGGTCGAGAAAATCACACTGGGCAGGAGGACAGGAAAGCCGGCAACTTGTATCCACAAACGAAAGTTTTGTTTAATTGCATGGGTTTTTCTCTTTCGAGTTCTTCCCTTTATTCTGTTTTTTCCTCCCTTTGTTTCTTTCACTCCCATCTTTCTTCTGGGCAGTAGGAGAAAGGGGCAGATAGGTGGGGGGGGGGGAGATGAGGATGACCTCTCCGTTCCCCTCTCCGATCCCTCTCACTTTCTCACTACCTACCCGGCACTTGACAAGATTCCATCCTTACTGCTACTTACCATAATCCTAGTAACATTCCCTCCCGCGCATAACAACTAAACGATTTCGTTTTATTTGACAATCTTCGGGTCCTGCCGAACAATGCCTTGCCCGGGTCGACCAGATGGCAGCCAACGAACAAGATCGCCACATGTGATTCCCCCTGCCTACAGGCTGCTGTCAGCTGCTGGGACGCTACCCCGGAGGGGAGGTCGGGAGGACATGTGGAGCAGCCGTCCACGGGATTACGTCTCCGCATTTCATAGAGGCTCCACCCCTAATAAATCAATAATACCCTGAGGTCGACGGCGAAGTCTTTACGATTGACTGGATGATGACCAACAGCTAACGGATCTATTCTATTCTTTATACATCTGATGTATTGCTGCATGAGGTGATGAGGACTTGGATTTTATGCTACTCTTATACCTTTGGCACCTTCTCGAGACGGCAGTACAGGAAGAATCAAGTTGAGATCGTTGATGTTGTTAGAGAGACATTTGCAATGTAGGCTCGCCTTTTACGTGGGCTGCGACACAAATCATTGGCCAACAACAGACAACAAGAACGATCCTATGTCTTTGATGGCCAGTTGTAGGCAGAGGCGACATCTGAGGATTTATATTTGGGCAAAATAGAACAGCTGAGGCTATGATAACAGCCTCATGGCATCTTTGCTGCGCTTCACAGTCTTCTCACAATTAATCAAAGTGAAAGAGTCATGTATGAATTACCTAGTATAAGTATCGAAGCCTCTTCATCAGGATTTGCAAAGAATCCATAATAGTAGGCATGTTTGAAAAGACAAGTGAAAGTCTCCTGGCTGAAGTTTATACTTGATTTGAGCCTGAAAAGACAAATTTGATCTCTATGCACAGGTTGTCGTGACCTTCAATGACATCAACCTCGTCCACATTACTTTGCAATAGCTTCTTTACACAATAGCTGAGCCTTTGTTTTTTTGGCAATGATGATAATCCTGAAGGTCAGCTCAGCATCTCCATTGAGCCCTTTGGTGCTCTGTGGCCCTTGGCCATGGATTTGGAAAGAAGAAAGCTGACTTTGTTCGATAATATGTAGCCCTTTAATGATCTAGCATACGTGATCCAAATGTGACTTCAGTAGTGCTGAGTCCACCCCCCGTCGGCTGATGCATAAGTGGCATTAAATAACCAATCCATAATTATTGTTTTGATGACCAAGCCAGCTATAATCACTTCCCAGTACAATTTCCGAAACCACACGAAATGCACTCCACCTGCTGCAGTCACATGGTCTCATGAGAGTGTGTTGCGGCTGTCATGCCAACAAGTACAGCCAAGGACATGCATAGCCAAAATTTTCCGTGTGGTCAGACTAGCTCCTGAATAAAATCATCAAATATGGCAGGAGTCTGCGAGCCTCGACCTCGAACGCTGAAACCCTGTCATTGTACGTGCTCACACCCAGGATCAGTATTGTTTCCAGTGTGAAGCTGTGTTGCACAGGTGCATCGTACAAAGACACAGTCGCGTATGGCATGTCAGCCATTCTTGAACAAGAGATGACCCAGCAGCTGAAGGAGAGCTGGTTACTTTGAAAGTAGGTAGACTCTTCTCAATTCAGGTAATATTATACGAAGATGACTGAGACCCGTTGGCTTTGATGGTCTAAATTCTGTCGGGCAATAATGACAATAGACGCTGACAGGGCGGACCTGGATCATGCCTTCTCGCTGCAGGTTTCTGAGAACCCTTCTTTTCAAGTTGTACATGGTACGAAGCTATTTAGTTATTTCTCTCCATTTCCCCTTGTCTAAGTAAGAAAGTACGTTTTGGTTTTGGAGGAAGGGAAGGGGGAGACAAACTTGGTACTAAGAACCCTAACCCCGATTACAAGACACAGGTCGTACAGTACCTCAGCAGAGCGATCTAAGAGCATTGCAGTTTAAAATGCAATGTCCTAGGAATAGATTTATAAGTCACGAATATGTTGAATAAGCACTCCAGCCTGTAGCAGCACCCTAAATCTCAAGCTGTATGGGGACGGTCGGCCGGAGACTGTCTTGGCAACTTCTTCGCAGCAGCCCCTGTATATGTAAGGTGTAAATGACGACCTTGGGGATCCAGTGACGTAATGAAGGTCACATTGAGTCGTCCCTTCATCTTTCTTCGATGAACATCACAAAAACATTGTCGACATAGAGAAGCTTCTCAAGGTACAGAATCTTACACCGTCGATGCTCCAGTGAAAAACAACCAAAAAGCATCAGTTCTACACAGACATAAAAACTGTGCCAAGACTACCACAGTTCACGTACAACCTTGCACACGATGGAGTCTTCGCAGGTCCCTGGTGACGAACGCACCACCAAGAGCAAAGTCCTCGAGACAGGCGCGGCCATGACCCAGGACTTCGCCCCCGTCAAGTCCATCTGCGCCCACCTGAATGCCTTCCATGTCTACGCCGACGACCCGAAACGCATCGTCGAGGCGAACCACTACTGCAGCCACCTGACTGAGGGTGAGTTAGTCTGGGCTCAACAAGAAAGAAGTCTTCCCTCTTTCAGAGGTGGTAGCTCGAACCAAGCGTAGAAGCCATGACTGACATGTGGCGTCGTCGCACGATGAACGCGTGCAGATGTCCGCCAGTGCATCCTCTACGACAGCCCTAACCCAGGTGCTCGGCTGATTGGCATCGAGTACATGATCACGCCCAAGCTGTATGAGACGCTCGACTCGGAGGAGCGCAAGCTCTGGCACAGTCACGTCTTTGAGGTCAAGTCGGGCATGCTCATCATGCCTCAGCCATCTGTCCTTGTGCCTCAGTACGTTCATCTAATGCTCTCTGTTCTTTTTCTTTTCGCATATGACCTTGTGATGAATAGGAGTAGTAGTCTTGGTCCGCATTATGTGCGAATTGCTTAAAAGGGAAAACTGCTAAGAAACATCGGTGGTCAGGGCTGCCTGGGAGAAGGCCGAGACGGCCGAGATGCAAGATGTCATTGAGCTTTATGGCAAGGTGAGTGGGCTCTTGAGTGTCTCCTCCAGAAATGTGCATAATATTCTAATTCTAGTAAAGGTATATCATCTGTGGCAGGTCGATCAGGGCCATAAACTGCCCTTGGGAGAACCGAAGTTGATGACCAGCTTCAGTAAGTCATCACTAAGGCATAGCACCGGTACAGGGGACTCTTGTGTATCCCATAGTCTCTCCTGGAAGAGGCCAACTTCAAAACGACGTTCCGAATCGATTGCTGAAAAGAGAGCATGCTGACAACTGCACAGCCAAGGCAGAACAGATGCCCGAGTTCGATAAGATCGTCGGCGAAAGAGACAGCAGGTTTGGCTCGGACTGGAAGAGGAAGAAGGAAATCCGGGAGAACATCGAGGAACCCAAGATTCATCCTGATGCTGACGCGACTTGGAAATAAGAGGCACAACGGGATAGGCCATTCTTCCAAGATCTCCACTCAGAAGGCATCCCAGTGCAGCTGCTTCAAGAAGCTGCTGGTCACGCAGGCGAACTATGTCACACTAAAGATTGATAATTTATCTTTCCTATTTCCATTATTTCCGACAGGTGTAACGGTCCCCTACATTCTATGCTGTTGCTTGGCTGTCATGTCGTTCATGTTCCTGCTTGCACATCGTTTCCTCAGGTGGACCTCGTATGGATTTGGCCCCCTCAGCCCCGTCAGCACCAAGGATGTTGGCAGCTGTGCTGGCCTCTGCAGCGGCGAGATAATGTCGTCATTTGGCCAAAGGTCTACACGAAACGTTTTGGCTGCTGACTGCAGGGATATCAATCCAACAATTAATTGTAAGATCTTGGTTCGTTCGTTAAAACCTTTGAGACGAGCTGAACATTCTTGTGTGTCCGGGGCGAGACCACTGGGCCAGGCCCGCTAATCCAGGCAACGATGTCGATCTCAGGACGATTTAATCTCGTCTTTGCTTTTTCAAAGACTACGTGTTTGTTATCATTTATTCAAGTCAACAAAAAATAAATATCTATCACCACTACTGCTACTACCAACACTACTGCCGCAACACCGCAAAGGGTCATATCAAAGACCTCCCCTTTTGACGCACAGCAATCTCGAGTCGTAAAGCAGTCCCTGCGCAGCGCGATCCAGGAGACATTGATCTTTCCTCTACACCAGGAGAGATAAAGTCATAGCGATGAATCTGGCAGCATGATAATATAGCTAAAATCCTGAAGCCCTGGGTAGGATAGGAGATAATCGACTTGGACCTACGATGACCGACTCCTTCTTAACGGAGGGGCAAGAGCGCGAGTTGGCAATCTTTGACGAGGGTACGTTTCTGTGGGGGAGTGACCTTGTCGAGAAAATCGCAGCTCTAGCTGAGCCGTTCGATTCGGTTGTCTGGTCGATACTGGAGCCTACAGAGATATATCCGTCAATCTCTTTAAGCTCTGGTGACTGCGCGGCTAGTTCTTCTGATTATATAAACGGTGTGCCTGGAGACTGCTCGACTATCTGTTTTGACAAAGCAACCTTATTTCTGCCCTTCAACCTAGGGACGTGCCTGGGACTGGCCTCGGCTTCGTTGTTGCTCCAAAATGGCACCTTTTCTTGGAACCAATCCTACGCACAAAACGCCGAGATGACCCAGCAACACAGCCTGGGGAACCTCACAGAGTGGAACGGGACGGAGATCTTCCAGGACGTCATCGACTGCACCGTCGCCTCTTGCTCGCAAAATAATATATCGACCTGTCCCGAGCAGACGCGCCACCTGGACGGCATGTTGTTCGCTGTTGACGACATTGACACCGTTTTCAAGAGCTTGGAGAGCTTTTGCGATGAGGTCGGCCTGCAGGTCAATTCGGACATTGCCGGTCCGGGCGTCATGACCTCGTACATTCTCCAGATCAGCGCCGCCCTGTTGTTCTGGCTCGTCGTCAAGGTGCTCACCTCGTGGCCGCGCGTGTTTGCCTGGCCCATTTTCCTGTGCACGAGGGAAAAGAGGCCCGATCCCGGGTTCGACCCGAACCTGTCGTGCGCACCCTACGACGAGAAGCCTGGGCGGAGGAAGTCGGCATGGCGACGAGCCAACGCCATGCAGCGCCGCCTGCGCCGCCTCCGGCTCCATGCGGCGACGGTGTCCACGTTGGTGGAGTTCCAGGAGGTGCAGGCGTTCTTTGTTGGCGCCATCCAGATCGCCACGCTGGCGACGTTCAAGCCCGGCGGGTCGTCACAGTCAGACGCGCACTCTATCACCTCTTTCGGCGAGGCCATCCTGGACAGCCAGCTGGTGCAGGTACTGGCCATCAACGGCATCCTGCCCATCCTGTTGGTGCAGTACATTTTGCAGACGTACGACAAGCGTTGGTGGTACTCGTTCGCCCTGCTCTGGGTCACCTTTGTCCTCGCGCTGGCGGTGCAGGCGAGGCGGAACTCGCTCATCTCGAGTTTTGATGTGCTCTGGGACGTGCTGAAGTCTGAGAGCCCTGTTGATGAGTGCGGGGGGAACGCCAACCCGATGGTGTACTGCAATACATACTTGTCCCCTGCCGAGAGTATCGGTGGAGAGATCTTTGTGACGTATTGCGGGATGATCATGCTGAGCATTGATTTCATGATACCGAGACTGCTAAATTGGTCTTTCCTCAAGATCATCATCGCTCGGGTGCGAGCTATGGAGTACGAACAAAAGAGTCCCGGCGTGCGGATCGTGAAGAAGATATGCCGGCGCACTGTCTGGTTTCTATGGTCTCTGCTGGAGTATGTCCTGGCTGGGACAATGTGTTACTATTTGATGAATCTGCTCATGATTGCTTTCTCCATGACGGGTGGGTCAAATACTTGGGGTTCGTGGTCTTTTGGGCAGCTGGTTTCAGTCATGGTCTGGGTGCCCCTTCTTTTCAAATTCATCTACTACAATGTCTTGTGAGTTAATTTTTTTTTATCTTTCTTTCTTGCTTTCTCTTCTCCCTCAGAGCATCATGAACAAAAACGAGCTGACTGGCCATGCAGTGGAATCGAAGAAGGCGTCGGCAGCCGCCTGACGAAAGAATTCCGGGTCGTCCATGACGAAGAGCTCGACACCGAGGACAGCGGGTATGCGAATATCGAGATTGACGAGTTTCAGCAGCTTCAAGACCCGACGTCATCTAGGAGAGACAACGACAGGTCTGCCGAAAGCGCAGTGTCGACCCCGGGTCTGAGTCATCATGGTAGTTTGGACTCGCTCGTGGCGAACGCGCCGAGGGCGTATCATCTAGATCACAAGTCGTCAAGTCGATATCTTTTGGGAGGCGGTAACTAATTGCGAGAGGACTCACTAGATGACAAATTTTTTATTAGTCTCTATAATCATCAAAAAGAAAACAAAGACACACACACACACACGAAGGGAAAAAAGATGGATCAAACATCATGACAAACAACGTACGTTTGAATCGACGCTGGCTAGATTCACTCAGTCTTTTCCCCTAATTTGTCCATATCTTTCTTCCAAGCATCTTTCACTTGTTGCAACAGGCCCTCTCTCGTAAGCACATCCAGGGCCGTCCCAGCCAGTGCCTTGGAAACCCTTAAACACCTATCAAACGCATCTCTTGTCCCCGCCGCGCTCGCAAACTCCGGATTATGAGGTCCTTGACCCTCGGGCCCAGGTACAATGGAAAACCCAGCCTGCAAACTCGGCATCTCATAACTCACATCTCCCTGGTCTGTACTCGCCCTCGTCCTGCCCCGTGCCTCGTCCACGTCCTGATCCAACGGGATCTTGCTCGTAGGCGGCTCAAAGGGATCCTTGTCCCCCTCACCATCCCGGCACGGCACCAGTGCGTTCCAGTACGCCGTATAGCTCCTGGCCAGAACCCTGTTCGGCACATGGTCCGCATAGGCCTGCACCTCAGTCACCTCCAGCCTCGCCCCCGTAGCCTTCGCCCCGGCCTCAAAACAAGCATCCACTTTGGCCCGCAATTCCCGCAGCCGCGCGCGCGAATCGGCCCGCACGACAAAGACACCCGCGGCATGGGCATGAATGATGTTGGGTGCTGCGCCGCCGTCGGTGATGTGGCCCTGGATGATGTCGCCGGGCATGGTCTGCTGGCGGAGCAGACTGAGGGACGTGTAGGCCGCGACGAGGGCGTCAAGGGCGTTGATTCCCAGCCAGGGGTTGGCGGCGGCATGGGCTTCTCGGCCAAAGTAGTCGACCTGGAAGCGGGTGTAGGCGGTGGTGGGCATGAGGGCGCAGTCAGCGGTGATGCCTGGGTGAGCCATGAGGCTCAGGTCGACGTTGTGGTCGCGGTAGGCGCCGGCGCGGAGCAGCTTGATCTTGCCGCCGCCGCCCTCCTCGGCGGGGGTGCCGAAGATGATGACTTTGCCTGGAATGTTGGTGTGTTTTTTCATGACGGAGACGGTGGCCAGGGCGCCGCCAAGGGAGGCCGTGGCTATGAGGTTGTGACCGCAGGCGTGGCCGATTCCGACGAGGGCATCTGTGTACTTGAAGTGAGCTTTGTTCCCTCTTTCTCATTTTGTTTCAAATAACCATTGCCATTGCTGAAGAATGAATTCATAGCGAAAATCAAGGAATATCTTTACCCATCTCCACATTAAACGAGATGACGGGACCCTTTTGGCCGCTCTCGTACTCGGCTGTCCACGCGGTCTCGAGTCCATAGGCCGAGGGCGTGACCTTCCATCCTTCCTGGGAGCGCATAAATGTTGTGAGGGTCTCGTGGGCGATGTATTCTCTGTACCCCATCTCGGGATTGTCGTGGATCTTTTGGTTGACGGGCCACAGATCTTGGGCGATGCTGTCCACGAACGAGCTGATTTCGCTCAACATGGAGGGTGGTGACTGGTCGAGAACAGGATCTCCTCTGGCGATGACATCTTTGTTCATGCCATCCGAACACGGTACAAGATGCCGTCTTGAAGAGTGGCGGGCTGCTGCAGCTGCAGGCCCATGGCGTTGCTCCATCGGCGGGTTGTTGGCGCCATGGTCATCGGAACAACAGCTCAGAGCATCGTCGCGAGAGATGATCACAAAGTCATCGTCAGTGTTATCCATCATTTTATGTTTTATTCTACACGAAAAACAGTCCTTTCGGTTCGAGCTCGTGACTCTTCTGTTTGGGAGAGTAATTGGTCTTATCGCGGTTTCTGAATGAACAAAGTCGTCGCCTGTCTTAGGGTCGAGTCCCGGTCCGGCAAGGACGAGTGCCGGGCCCCGCCTTCCTTGACGGCGGTGGATATGTAGTAGTGGACAGTAGGGTTAGGGTCGCTATATGATGGTCGACTATGTTGCGTGCGGACGACCTAATCGAGCAGGTGGAAAGATTTATATGGAATTATACCTCTTTCGTCAGAATGTTCAATCTCTTCCTTAGAACCGTACTGATTTGCAAGTGTAGCATTTCCTGCCGTGGACAACATCGAAACTTGCCATGTTCAGAGCGATGAGGTCGTGGACGGGCCTGTATTCATTGTTGTCTGGTTGTCGATGGAAAATTGCAGAATCGCATGTCTCTGCTTTCGATTGGGCTGTCGTACAATTTTGGCAAAAGGATCGCGTGAGCGGTGTCTGATAAATATACAAGTACTTTGTTAGCATTGGTGACAACACACTCTCTATTAATACTAGGACGTACCAAGTACACACCCGACATTCGTGTGCTCGGAGTAATGTAGAGAATATATCTTGTGAGTTCTCGTTTCTGCTACCGATATGGAACAAGATTGTCGGTGCTGTCGAGGAGGGGCTGGTGGTAAAGTTTCTGGCGGCGAGTGCATTCGAGTGCATGATGTTCCCCTTGATTAAGTAACTTTCTCCTCCACAATCCAAGACGATCTGCCAAGTCTTTGACAAGAGATGTCATCTTGGCCAAGATGTGGCCAAGGCGTAGCCAAGAAGTAGCCAAGATACTGATGACAGGTTATTCTCCGATTGTTTATTCTGCGTGACGTTCCCGCCCAGCTCATTGTCCCCTTGTTGATGTTATTCGGAGTCATGGAGGGACATCACAGGTAGTCTCTCGGCCGAATTCGTTTTTGGGGAAGTGAATCGTAAAGCCGTTCATGTGGTTTGGTCCTTTCAGAGCGCTTGGATTATTTGTTGCGATACTATGTAAGAGGATGCAAGGTCAGACTATACCAAGCCGCTGTGGAGTTGTCGTCTTTGTCGCGGACAGTCAGAATTGCAACTCTCTGGAAAGGACTTACCGGCGTTTTCTCTCCACTTTTTCGCCACTCGAGAAGGACATTTGATACACGAAACAATTCTTGTTCTTAAAGACAACAATCAAAACCTCCAATGTGAAGACGATCCTTGCTTGTTGTCTGACGATGGCTGGGTTTCGCGCTTCCTGAAGTACATAGGCCGGCCGTCCTCTGGTAGCCAAGTAGTTTTGAACTAAAGAGACTCAGGTGGTTTCCCAGACAGTCCAGGAGTCGCCCTATATACTATCAAAACCATCCCCCACGCCATGTCCGAGCGGACAATCGCCACTCTGGATCAGACCTGTATGCAACCCTCCTGTATGCACTATCCATCCAACCATCTCCATAACTATCGAACTGTGGGAGGGTGCCAATGAGAAAACTTGCAGGAGCTGTTCACTGCCAGGCTCGACAGGGAGGTCAGCAGCTACTCTGCTGAACACTCGACAACCTATCATTGCCGTGGACCGGGGAGTTGATGTGAGCAACCGGAGAAGAGGGGAGGGGGGGCGGGTACGCACGTTGTCGACCATGCAGCAGGAACTAAGTGGTTCCCAAGGGGTGGTCGACTTTATCCCACCAACCTTCAGACGGCGGCAACCAATCCATAGTGCTCCCGAGAGGTTGGATCGTGCCCTCCTGGTCATACGAGACCAATGCATGAAACGGGGGCTTTTGGTGGATCTTAGTGGCGAGATACTCTATCGATCTCACGTCTGAGGTGTGACAGTTGTTGACTGGGAGAGGCTGCATCTATCCTTGATGTACTTTTTTTAGTACTCCGACTAGTCTGCAGAAATCATGCCTCTTCTTGATTGAAGCAGAACAATGCGTAAATCCTCGATAATAAGGTTAGTTCCCCTCATTCTGACAAGTGTGGGCACGCAAGATGCAGTCGGGACGGAACAGAGGGGGCACTGATACATTTCGGTTGTATTCAAATCAAGAAACCATCAGTCCTATTAGGATTCAGGTTTTGATTGATGTCGGTGATTCTGATGTATGGAGAACAGATTACTCACTTCCTCCGATGTATTATGATAAGCCATGATGTGTGTGCGTGTATACACGTGCATCTTTGAATGCACCTCATCCCAGAAGCCACGTGCCCCTACCCACCCAGAAAGCCTGATGCTCACCTGACCTGCAGTCTAGGCACAGATAAGTGTGTCCAACCTTGATAGAGCTCACACATATGTATGTGGGGATTTGAGTTCTTTGGCGCGGAGGTCGCGCCGACATTGCTGTCTTATGTAGTGTGCTTCCGGAGGCCAGCGGGGAGGTTCAAGACTCATCCGAGCCCAGGAGTCCTTAATATATGCTCAGCCGTGAATTGTAATGTCAATTACGCAATAAGCTTAACCTTACATATATAACATTTCTTATAGGTATATTATAAAGTCATCATAATATGTATAATTAAAGTAGGCTCAGTGAGTACTAAGATGCGTCACTTGACGCAAACCTTGGTACACACAGAGACAGTTATGGAAGCCTTCTTTTGCAAAGGTTGACCTGGGAAATGATGAGGACTTTAGTATATAACCTATACCAACAGAAACTAAAATTCATCACCATATTTAGGCCATGAAAATAGGACCATGATTACATATTGCAGTTTCCACAAATTGGCACATGCACACCACTTGTCGAAAGGCCGCGACCCCTCCAGGCCGGACCACCTCATCTATTTGCTGGTCAAAGCGTTCTAGATTATCTTTTCAATTGCAAGATACTGATTGAGATGACAAAGACTCAGAATAGATAGAAGCCTTGGCTTCCATGGTGCATGTTATGCAATCCACCGCGCTTGGCATCGCTCCAGTCCCATGTACGCGTCAGCGTCGGAGGCATCGTCTTTTGAAAGTGCGACGTCTTCCTGCAGCATTGTAGCATTTGGCGCTACGGTCAAACTCTCTTCCATGGATGAGAGACAAAGTTGAGGCTCCGTGAATATGACTGAAGCCAAAAGAGAAAATTCCCGGAATATGCAGAGATGTTTCCGACTCGTGGACATTATTGGGTTGTCCCGCCGAGGCACGTCCACTCGAACAAAATCATCATGACTACCTCCGTGCATGATCCAAGGCCTGATCACTTGCTCCTGATCTTGAATCCCAACCATCATGCCTGATGTTCATCGATGCAGAATCTGTGTTGTTTTGGGATTTGTAATGGAAAACTGAGAGGCTATGCCAAAAAGCCCAAGTGATGGAATGCGTTAGAAAGAAGAGAACCTACCTCTACTCTCCTCTACACTGAAGACTTTCCTAAGCATGCAACACCACAGCGTCATTCCTGGTCATGAGATCCCCCCTCTCCGCGTCTTATGCGATTCTGCTGTGGTAGTCCTGGACCTCCATGATGCTCCCTCCGAACCTCACTAGGCCACCGCAATATATCTTGACACGTCATGGCGGGTTTCTTCGCCGGAGGTTTATGGTCGCCTGAACCGTTTCCTTCAAGACCTGATATAGGACATCGCTGCCCGCCCGCCCGATTTCAAGTTCGTCATGATTCATCTCGGCGCGCTTCTGTCACCCAAGTTTCCTCCAAGTCGGGTTGCATGCAACCGCTCATAGGCCCTCGATATCACCATGTGCCGTTCCAATCCCGTCCAGCGCATGCCAAACTGATAGATCAGACCTCAAGTCTGAGGTGGCCATCCCAGAGCCTCTTACCCCTCTTCCAGCGCCCTCCTCTTGAATGAGTCAACCTTGTCCATACCCTGGTGATCTCACACTGGTACCGAGAAACAGCCCCGTCTTTTGTCCCGTCGAATCTGGTCCAGTACGAGTCTCGAGCACTTCCCATCTGCAGCAGGCGTCTTCTTATTCAAAACCAACGGCAAGGGTCAAGAGAGTCTACCGACCACATCG